ATCATATATTCATTCTATTGCTTTATAAAATAAAATGGAATTTTATTTTTTTTTATCAAGAAAACAAAATATGCAAAACAAAATGTGAACAGTTACAGTGCCATTTCGTACATATTTTGGATGACAGTCCATAGACGAACAATATTTTTGTTCATTGGTGATCGAATTGAATTGAATTAATATATTCAAAAATGAAACGGTAAAATTTTGCCGAAATTTTTCGGATCGTTTTCAGAGAATACATAATTTGATAAACACAAAAATTCCAGAGGCACATTGTCCAACTTCATCATCATCATCATCGATTTTCGTCATTCACAAACCAATTTACTAACCGACCAATCAATTATTATGACTTCAAGTGAAGCATATCATATCTGATATATACATCATTATTCACGCATCCATCCAAAGTATTTTTAGAACTTTGATGCTAATGAAGCAAAAAAAAAACTTTGTTCAAAACGATAAAGTCATGTAATCACTTTTTCTCAAGTGATTTCTCTCTACATTTCATTTTTACATTTCTGATTATTATTATTAATTTTTTGATGATGGTGAAAATTCTAAAAGAAATGAATACTTGTGTGTGAAGAAATATGAAATTAATATTTGTTCCATTGAATACACACACACACACACACACAAACATAATCTTGGTTACACGTACATATAATATTTAGCAGAAAAATGTAACAAAAAAAAATGGAGTAAGCTAAATTATATATTTACCATGAAAAGAATTTAATTGGTAAATATCTTATCGGTAAAAAATGAAAATTCCATTTCTCCACGGAGAAATTCTATGATAAGCCTTCATCCAGTGGTTTCAATTTTCAACTTCCCTTTTATTCTTGATAACATCATAACGAGCATTCAAAAGGATCTGAGATTAATTCCATGCAAAAGCCTCGTGAAGTAAAAAAAAGGAAAGAATTCACATCATTATTATAATAAGAGCTATATTATCGTAAAGAAGAAAAAAATGAATGAATGAACACGCTAATGTGAAAAAAAAAAAATTCTAGACGGCTAATTTTGTTTCAAATAAATATGTTCCATTATTATATAAATAAAATGTATGTTCTGTTTTCATAATCTCCTTACAACATGTATATCCAATATTATTGTTATAATGAAAAATAAAGTGAACATAATGATATTTGTATTTGTATCTATTTCATAAATTTTTTTTTGTATGTGCATTTTTGTCATACCATCATAGCCAGGCAAACAAAAAATGTTTCTGCAAACCAATGTCGATGCCAGAAAGCCGCTGGCCATTGTTTATGCAATTTCTTAATTATATTCATTATTAACTAAATTATTCGAAATTTCTGCATTACTTATTCGAACTATTTTGACTATTCGTCATTTTGTTGTTATTGCTATATTGTCATTGGTGTCAGCAGCAAATTCTTATTGTTTACATGCACATTTGATCAACATTTAAATTTAAAAAAAAAATACATTGATATTCAAATAGTATAATAGAACATCAATGTCATCATTTTATCAACAAGGAACAAATATTTGCATACATTTAAATGAAACAAAAAAAAAAAAAAAAAAAAATTGCACCAAAGAGAAAACATTTTTTTTCCTGGATATAAAATGAAAATAAATAAATTCATGACAAACACAATAAGAGTAACAAAAAAAAAAATGAAAATGAAAAAAAAAATCAATCAAAATGTCAATTTTTGTAATGTTTGAATTTTTTTTTCTTTCATTCACTTTCTTGTATCCGATTTCTGAATATTCGTGACATTTTCAAAATCAAGGCCTAAAAAATCATAGATTTTATTCTCATCATTAAAGCTACATGAATTTTTATTCACTAAAATTTTAAATTATTATGACCATTTTTATGATGGAAAAAATTAAATGAAATTCATCTTTAATTTTTTGTAGTAAAAAACGTTTTATTTTTTCATATAAAAGTTTTTGCTTTTTATTCTACTCAAAAAAAAAAAAAAAAAATTTCTCTTTTCTAATTCAGGTCCATAACATCTGGTTGACACATCTCATTTATCATCGTCGTCGTTGTAGTTGTCCATGGTTATTTGGAGACAATTCTGAACATATATAAACATTCCTCGGATACAACAAGATGGAAAATAACAAAAGCCACACACACACACACACACACACATACCCAAAACTATATATTTTATGTATTAGATGGTCTTTCAAGAAAATTGGATTCGTAACGAATTCATATTATTTTCAGAAACCACCACCACCACCATCATCATCATTTCATCCTCACATAGAAGAATAATTTGTTCAGTATAATAATTTTGAATTTTTATTTCATCTCGGAAAATAACTACGGAAAAAGTCATAGCAAATATGAATTCAAAAGAATGATTTTCAAAACGAACAGTGACCGAATTATTCATACGAATATGGTGAATTTGAAAAAAAATTTAAAAAAAAACAAGACAAACAAACAAATGCCGATGAAGTAATTTGAAATGAAATGATAGCCATAAAAAAGGTAGCTAGCTGCAAACAATATTTGGAAAATAAATTCACCAGAAATAATGATTTCCTGTGCAATAGTATTGCCAAAAAATTTCCTAGTTTTTATGTTTTTTTTAGACAATTTATAAATGAAGTTATCACCAACAAAATTCTGGTTGACATTTGTTCTACTCTTCATTTCTAATTCAGGATTATTGAAAACAACTTTGACAATGAGGGTAACCGGAAGAATTACTAGTGAGCTGAAGTAGGTAAAATTACCGTTCCTTCATCATAAAATATGAATGATGAAATTCAATAATCATATCAACCTTCTATCTGAAAAACAACTGTCATCACAGAGTATATAATGGAATTAATGGATTAAAACTCGACATATAGAGAAAACATTCGATGTTAACCACCAGAAAGAAATCTGAAAATAGAAATAGAAAAACAGATCTAAGATGAAAAAAAAAGCCCTTTTTGCAACTTACCAGACAGATCATAAGAAAACCGGAATGTAAATCAAAATTAATTACATATGGCCTGGTATCGGTTTCTTTGGAATGTTGTTGATGATTATGTAAAAAATCTGGTTACTGTTTTCTGTTTTTCATCGAAAACATAGCACATAGAATTGAATATAAACAACAACCAGAAAAAAAATGTTTAAAACACACCTATATGGATAGAGGCACACTTTTTAGTGAAGAAAAAAAACTACAAGAATGAAAATCAATCAAATTGACACGATTTATGTTGTGCTGTCGTTTGAATTATTCTTGAAAGTCTGCAAGTCTTGTCATCACAGCTGCTTAGTGATTCGGTTTTTTTTTTGTTGTTGTAAAATATTCATTATCAGAAACGAGTTGATTAATTGTCTGTGATTAATGAAAATCGATGCAAAGAATTTTTCTCATTTACACTTATTTAGAGAAAAATATTTTCATTTACACATACACATTTGAACGGACATGGAAACTATTAAAAAAAAATTTATACCGTTTGAATGCTAATGTCAATGGTAGTAATTTATTTATTTTTCCCGTTGATATGAGATGAGATTAGTGAATGAGAAAAAAAGAGAGAGAGAAAGAGACTTCAAGATTATTTATGATGATAAGAAATTTTTTTCTTGCACAATATAAAATAGATTGTCATTTAAATTTCGGTATTGCCGATTTATCCGGTACAATTTTTTCTGACTTTTTTTTTACTATTTATATAATGGTGTCCAGGATGTTTGAATTCTGGCTATTATCATTGAATTGATGTTAAGTCAACAAATAAATACCGATAACAAATGCAAATATTAGCAATTTGTCATCAAAGAAAAATATGAATTTGACAGTTGTCAGGTAATTTTTTTTATCATTGTCAATTGTTTTTTTTTTGAAAATAATTAGTTAACTAATCATTTAATCAATCGGTAGTAGATCGATTGATTTATTCCAAGTGGCCAATTGTCGCTGATATTATCAATATTCAATATATTCATGTTCCATTTAATAATAATAATATTTACAAGAGCCAATGTGATTACTATAGCAGATTTAAAAAATCAAACACACGTATAATTTCACTTGGGATCAGCTTTGACGTCATAATGTCAGGAAAAAACTAAAACTAGAAACAAACATACAAACAAAACAAAATCGAAAAATAAAATTGAAATCCAATGCCAAAATTGGCAACGATGACGACCATCGACGACGAGACATACGCCGATACCGATAATAATAATCCTCATAGCTCCTCTTAATCAGTTTCCATTGATTCAGATATCGATTCCACTTTCTATATGGCTTCTGACTTTTTTTTCTGGTAGGCGTGAGTTTCAATATAATTGTTTGTTGTTGTAAATTGAATAAAGTAATACACTAATCATCAGAAATATAAAACAGTATCAAATCACTTTTAGAGAAAAAGATGATTTTGTTGTCAATATTGTTGTCGCTAATGATAATGATAATAATAATAATAATGGCAAATTGTATTCAATTTTGATTTCAATTTGGTATCTGTTTGTTTTCTACGGATCTGGTAAGCTGTTAATTTTCCCATATACACAGAGAAATAGAGAAAAAAGGAAACATTGAAAAATAAGAAACGAGACAAAAAACAGCCTTGAATGAAAATGGATTCATTCAATTTTGTTTAGTTTACACTTGTATGAAATGTCATTATTATTATTATTATTATAGTTCCAAATAGAAGATAATTGGGCTAAAAAAAAATAAAAAACTTTAAGAAACCCTGTAATCAGTAATTTTAAGACCAATGAATTCACGATTGACGAAAACCGACAATTCAATTTTTCATGATCATCATAATGTGAAAAATTTAGCTTGAAAGAAATCAACTTTTTCAAACAAAACAACAACAACAATAACAAATGCAGAATCTAAAAAAAAAGAAAAAAAATATCGAGCAAATTTTATAACCAAATTGAAGAAACCCGAAACTTTCCGAATCTTACACAGCTCAAACACATACACTATAAACTATCATTACAAAGAGGTACTTACCATTTATTCATAGTATGGTTATTTCGTTGCCATATCATTATGGGTTTGTCGGTGATAATGTTGTTGTCAGATGAATAAAAACTAGTCGACTTTATCTGATGATGGATGTTACAAAAATTTAGAATAACAGAAAATGGTGAAAATGTCTTTCTTTTCTTTTAGAATATTATAAGTTATATTCACTGATGATACATTGATGAAACTTAACAACATGGCAAAAAACAAAATCATTTTTTTAAGGCATATACCCGGAATATTCAGCAAACTTTCAACACATATACACACAAAAAGCGAGAATCAAATGAATTGTATGTGATGAAGATGTGGTTCCGAACCGATTGGATTCGAATCTAAAATGATGATGGCGATGGTGGCTATGTAGCAATAAGAATTGAGTGTGTGTTTGTGTGTGTGTGTGTATGTATGGGCCAAAACTGTGGTGATACTGATGACGAACGATTGACGCATATGACGACAACGTCGACTACTGACTGAATTCAAGCACGCTTACCAAACGAAAACCAATTTTTCGTATTCCAGATATCTAAAATAGCCAACCCAAATACCGCAATATTGCACTACCACCACCAATAACTGAAGACTTTCTGCACTTGCTCTGGTTTTTCTCTCATTCTCTTGTTTCAAGTTCATCACCCAGCTGGAATAACAGAATTCTCAACTTAATGACCTCGACAACAATGTCGATGATGATCATGAAAAATGATAGTGATAAATTTTTTTTTTTTATATTTATCCAGTTGCTTATTATAATCACAAGCAAAAACAGCTGAATCATGGATTGAAAAAATTTTAAATTCAATCCATGAATTCAGATTGTTCGTTATATCATAATTATCACTGGTTCCTTTCTATGATGATGAATGACATAAATAATATAGGGCAGAGTTGGTAGCCGCAAGTTGAAATTGGGCAAGAAACCTAAAAAAAAATTCTTCGCTCCCCTTCGGTTACACGATTCCCAAAATATTTAATGGATGTTTTTTTTCTTTCGTCAATGTTGTGCACAAATTCTTATTATAACAAATGCGCACGGACACCATACCAAATATACACGCTTTGAAACAAAATCGATTCCATTGAATACAGAACAAACATTATATTGTTGGCTCTTGGGACATTCATTTCTAGCTTTCACTTTTAAATGAATGATTCAAGTGTATCCATAGGATTTCTATGGTTTTGTAATTGAGAATTAAAAAAAACATTTATATTCTGCTATTTCTATAGTTTTTTTTCATTCGTTTTTGTGGCGCCCACAAGACCAAATCATATTTTTTTTTTTGATTCGTGATTCATGAACCAATTCAAAGAATTTGAATTTTCAAAAATTCAAAAAACATTTGAAAATAAAAATACCGGATAGTGAAACCCATAAAAACTAACTTAATAGATAACCAGAACCCAGAATAAAATCAATTCATGTGCTGAGGCATATTTTTTCTTTGTTTATGTATTTTTGATTTTTGCTCTGGTTGCATAAATTCTCAAAAAAAATTGAAAAAAACTTTTTCCTGGTCTAAATCGCTTTAAAAGGAAAAAAATTTAAAACAAAAAAAAATTTAAATCGAATAAAGACAAGCACATGATTTGAATGCAGTTCATGAATCGAAAACAACTTTCAAAGTTAATCGTTTTTACCCAAACAGAAAAACACGTTCACTTTTGAATTATTTTGTTTTGTTGTCATTTTTTTTTATTAATTCCTAAAAATAATATTTGAAAATAAAAGTAAGAATCTTTTAAGGCTTTTTGTTCAATTCAACTTTAATAATGCCAGATATAAAGTATATAATGTTAAAAAGTGAAACAATAATTCTATAATGAATGATTATTAAATTGAAAAACAAGCCAAACATGTTACAGTTGAATTTATTGAAAATGTGAACAACAATAAAATTTTTGAATTTAATATTTCAAATATCCAGTGGAATATTGGTTATAAAGAAAGATTTATCAATTATTAAATGATTTTAAAAAGTTGTTCAAATGTAATTTTATAGCTGAAAGAATCAAAAATTTTATCTATTTGATCAAAATCAACAAATATGATGGTGGTTAAAAAAAAAATAATAACAATGGTTGTAAGACTAATGTACAATCAATCCATGTGCGTTACCTGGATCATTACGAAGTGGGCGGAATGTGTGGCGCTCTAAATTTTTCGGGATGATCATGAATGAATTTTACGAACATTGAAGCTCGTTTTTTATCTTTCTGTTATACAATTAGAAAAAAAAATCTCGAATGTTAAACAAGTGAATAGTTAAAAAAAATTCATAACTTACAATAAATTCATTGACATCAACTAGCGCTACTTCTCCAATATTTTTAAATGAAACCAGCAACTTCCGAGTGGTAAAATCAATGGCCAATATATCTTCCGGTTCGATTAGATGAACCAATTTTCGCCAAACTTCTGAATCATGTGCAGTCTTTTTATCTTTATATGCAAGAACCTTTTGATCTTCCTGACAACGTGCATTTTGAACAATAAAATGTGAATTTTCAAATGATTTAACTAAAATCAATGAATTATCCAAATGTTCAAGATTTTCGGTAGTGTTACTCGAATCAGGAAAATCCTCCCATTTAGCTTCATAAGCGACAATTCCATTTTCAAGTTTTTTATTCCTTATACGTTCGACGCTCCATTCTTCCTGATTATTAGGATCAGATTCATTCTCTTCATTTCCAAGTTCCGCACGCAACGCTTTTATTTCTTGTTCAATTGCTTCCTGAATTGCTTCACGGCTCATAGATGAATTCTTAACTTTAACATTGTTCATTAAAACTGACGATGTTGACATATTTTCCGTTATTTCGTTAGCCGGTAAACGATTTTTTGTTGGAAAGTTCATCTCCTCCCAGGATAATTCACTCCATTCACGTCTTCGTACAGATTCGTTAGGTTTTTTTGCCGTCAGTTCAGAGGAAGATTTTGATGCTTGTTTCGAAATTTTAGACATAATGATCGAATTAAAGCTACACAGAAAAAAAATCCCTCCTGACAAAAAGAGGGCAAACTTATTGATATAATAATTTCAATTTGAAAAGTTGATTAACTCAAAATTAAACTTTTGAGTAATATAAAACAATGAAACATTTGTACGTCTTATATGAAGGGCATGAAATCCTATTTATTATAATTCGTTCAAGTATGAGTGTTCGTTCACCCGGTTTACACTCTGCAAAAGTACTTGCATCACATAAAAAATTACAATTTAAATCAAAATCAAAAATGGATAAATTTTCACAAGACTAGAAAAAAAGCATTTTTCCTCAGTAGAATAAAAAACAAATAAAAATAAATCATTAAATAGAAACAAACACAATGATTAATCGATTATATTTACAAAAGTATATTCTTTCAAATACAAAAAAGGTCAGACCTTCATTTTTTTATGATTTTTTTTTGTATCCACAATGAGTATTATTTTTATCTAGATTTTTAAAATTCAATCAATTTTTCGCGTTGCAAACGGATTATTTATGACACATAAGGAATTTCCATAATCACAGATCAATGCTTTTTGTTCATAGGAAAACATGAGATTCTTGATCGATGATTTTGTCCATTTATTATCATTATTATTCATTAACATTGAATTCCAAGCTGATGAATCTATATCGGTTGTATGTGATGCTAATGGTACAATACAAATTGATCGGGCATCATTACAATCCCAAATTATTAATTCATTATCACGAACAGTGACCAGAATAAATGGTTCAAGAAATACCATACCACGGCAGATTGTATGCTGATTAGGTATTCTATGAATCAAATGCCCTAAATTCAAAAAATAAAGTTGATCAATTGTTGAATAACAACAGGCTAAAATGAGTAAAGATAGAACAATTACCTGAATATCGATCCCAGATACAAATCGTATTATCCGTTCCAGTGGTAACATAATAAAGTGAAGATGTGACAATAGAAAGAATTTCGGCATCTGAATGTGCATGCATACTAAATATGCAGGTACCGGTATTCAAGTCCCACACGCACATCTGTCCCAATTGACATCCACTCAATGCACTAGCCGTTGAATACTTTGGAATAAATTTTTAAAGATTATTCTACGGTAAAAACGAAAATTTTTCAAAACTTACAGGATCAATAGCAGTTGTCATGATGGAACCACAATGTCCATTCAATGTGTACATTAATTTAAAATTATCTAAAGCAAACACTTTTAATGTTGTGTCCATGCTGCCGGAAATTAAACAGCCACGACTACCAAATACACGAATAAATTCATCATCTTCAAGAGAATCGATTATTTCTATTCTGGTAATCGGTTGTTTATGAGCTTTTATGCGAAATTTCGATCGATAACTGATTCGATCGCAACATTTTGTTTGTGATGAAGTATCGTGTTGAAAAATGGTAGAATATTTATCTTCTTTGAATTGTTCCAATTCTAGTATTTCTAATTGACCATTCAAACGAGCCAAAGCAACAGCCCAATAGGTGGATTTGATAACCGTTAAAGCATAAGAATCATTAGATTTTTTGAATTCTAAATCTTCGTTGCCATTTCTGTATGCATCAGGATAATAGACAAAAGATAATTGTCCAGTATAGGCATCCCAAGCTTCAAAACGGCCATCATCACCGCCACAACCGAGCAGAACATATTTATCATGAATATCAATGCACCAAATGGGACGAAAATCTAAACATTTAGATTGATCATTATTGGAATTAAAGCTTTCACAGTGACCATCAAAATCAACATTGTCATAATTGTTAACAGCATCAACGTCATTTTGGATTCCGTAAAATAAAGTTTTCAATATATTTCCTTCGGTCCTAATTACTACTGGTGCTTTATCATTAGACATTCTTTGTTTTTCATGATGGTCATCGACTTTTGTTTGCATTTCATCGATGATTCTAGATGGTTTATAGGAGAACATTGATGATGAAAAATCAATCATCATCTGGTTAGATCGCTTGATTGTAGCCAATGATTCACATGTAAGTGCATCGTATATTCGTAAATCACCTGACAATGAACTAGCAGCAACCAATGACGTTTGAACATTTGTTGCAATCAAATCAATATCTTGATTATCCAATAGGTATTGTTTTTCATTCGTATAGGTTTCTTTTTCACGATCATAATTCAGAATAGATATATCGATACGTAACAACCGATCAGGACCACCACCACTTCCATCATTATAATTTCTTAATAAAGCAGCACGTTTAACAAATGTTCCAAATCTTTTGAATGGATTCGTTTCAGATAATTGTGATCGCCATTCAGCATAATTACGTGTGCAAATACAGCGGTAAAGCTGTATGATTAGATAAATGAATAATATAAGACACGGTGTCCACAGTCCAATAATTAGATGAAGATCATCTCTTGACCAATGATTAAGTTTTATTTGTTCAAATTTATCACTAGTTTTAATAAATAAAAATTTTAAATTCATGAAATTAAATTAATTTCACTTACTAATCATCATCATCGCGAATGACATATTCTCCATTCGAGAATTTCATTGGAATAAACTTTTTTAATATGTGATAATCCGAATCAGCAGAATTTCGACAAAGTTTAGCTCGTTCAGGCGTGATTGGGACGGATAAAAGTATGGGCGGCAATATCGATATGAAGCGACCGGTTAATGAAATGTTATACAATGAAAATAAATTAGTCCAATGTTGATTTGTAAACGGTTTAGGCATTGAATTGTCACGTGATGAATAGCTAATTCGATAATATGGATTTATTGAAGGAGGTAGTGATGATGTATTGATTGTTTCTTTTTCATTTTCACTATTAGAAATTTCATTGATCTCCAATAATTTCATGAAAGATTTTTGAGAATTTTTATCTGTAAGTAAGGTTTCGTTGATTGTCGTCACTGGTATGATGTTAGTTGTAACTTCGGATTCCGATTTCTGTATTGTTGTTAAATTTGATTTGCTGAACAAGATCGATTGTCCTTGAGTCAAAATCGTAGCATCCATGGGAGTGGTAGTTTGTTCCAGAACCAGATACGCATTATAAATGGCTAAACCTATACAGGCACTTAGCATTAGGATAAAACCCCTTTGAACGAGCCGTAGACGAGCGAGGAACAAAATAAAACGCAATCGTTTTGGTGTTTTCTGCTGAACCGGATCACCAGGTCGCGCATAAATGTTACGTGGATAAACATTTGGTGAACGTTTTTCCGGATAAGTGTTGATATTTCGTTTCTAGGAATGTTAATCGGGTGATTAAAATTTTGTCCAACAATAAATAACAAAAATAATTACCTTAATCCTTTGTACTAGCAATGAATAAAATGGAGTAAACAATGTGATTTGAATGAAAAAATCGGAAAGGAAACAAACGGCAGCAATCTTGCAACATTCTTGAAAGAACGGCATAAACGTAAATGAACCAATCGATAGCAAGGCCAATTCGGCTAAAAGATTTTTCGTTATCGACAAGCCTTCCTTGCTTAAAGCTTGTGCTACACGAACTTTTGAATCTAAATGAGGATTGGCCAACACCGATTTAGTAAGTACCAACATGTTTTCGAAACCTTTTTGAAATAATAAGAATTTTTTGTTTCAAGACTTTCAATATCAATAATAATAATCATTAACTTACTGATACCAGCAACGAAATAAGGCAATAAACGATTGACAATCAAAACGGAATGAAAACGAAGACGAAAACAGATACCGAATGACATGAATAATGACATCAATAAAGTGATTAATGTACAAAGTGAATAGAATCGTTTATTAAAAATAATTTCCACTTTACCTAAATTTTGAAATTAAATTTTTAGTAAATAGATTTTGCATGATTAGACTACTTACGGACAATGTAGTACATGTAAAAACAAGCCATTGCATAGATCAATATCAATGGGAATAGATAATTATAAGTGAATGTTGTATGAAAATAAATGTGTTTGGTTTTGTTCTCTAAAAGATCTACTTGTATCTGAGGTTCTGTTTCATAATGATTTCTATTTGATGATGGCTGCTGTTCGTTTGGATTTTTATTGCCCATTATCGTTGAAGACAATGGATAGCGTTTATATAGATAGGCACGTAATGCTTCTATGAATTCGGGTGAATTTTTACGCAATATCAATGTTATTGAATATGAAATAGTTCGAACACGATTGCGGCCATATGTACGACGTATTCCGGTATCTTCGAATGAAACACCGAATATAATATCATGCATTGAGCCCGATGGTACTGGACTAGCCGGGAGATCTTGAAATTTTAGCAATGTATTTAGCAAATTTTGGTCTTGTAAAAATTTGGTACGATCACCATGCCATACATTTGCCGGTGATAATGTCAAACAGGAATACGAAGGAAGATGTGAGGCTATATGTGAATAACGTTCTGAAAATGTCGGTTCGAACACTTGAAAGCAGACATCGTTCAAAGTAATTGGTTCATCAAAATCATTTTTAAATTGGAAATTCGATACAGCTTCGACAATTTCAAATATTGTTTCGAATGGAGCGCGTAATGCATCTACTAGTTGCATATCTTGAGGCCATGGTATCACAGCTGAACGGATATAGATTTGTTGAACATATGCATAGGAAAGATTCGATTGAAACTATGGAAAATTGATGTGAAAAATGAATCGTAACTTAGTGACTTTGTGCCCACTTACCCAAGGTGGAATATTCTGATCATCATTAAGTTCATTTCGAACATATGAATCGGGCCAATAATTAAAATGTTTCATTAATGGATGAACAGAATTATCACCAGAGTTTAATAGTAGAGAATCGTGCGATTTAGAAGAGGAAGAAATATATACATCATATGAACTACCGAAAACGCCACGAAAAGTAAATATCTGATATGAAGTTAGAAACACAACCATCAATGAGAATGAGATTATTAGAGCTGGATGTCGTGAACAGAATAGGCCATGTTTATAATATAATTTCGAAACTTTTTCTTCGATCGTAGCAAGAAAATGTATCGATGATTGAGATGTCGTTGTAGACAATGATGATTGTGATGATGATAACAACGATGGATTGGGAGAATTGGACAAGCGTAAATCAACGCTACGTGTTCGCTTATGTGATGATGGTTTCCTATTATGATTTGAATGGGTGACTTGTGGATGATTCGATAGACTACTTGTTGATGAAAATGAACTTGTTCTGCTATGTTGATATTGATAGTAATCTACATTATTGGTCCCCGATGATGACGGATCAATGAAATTTGATTGTGATGAATATGGTCTCGAATGTATTCGTAAAGGATCAATGACCAATGATGATTGTGAATCAGTATGATTCAAACGATCAAATGTTTCAGCAGCCAAAGATGACGCTGACGATGGTATTGAATCGACATTTTGAAAAAAATCTCGATGATCCGATTGTTCATCATTCATTGTTGATGCGATAATGATTAAGTTATTAATGAGTTACGATACAGAATTTATCGATTGATTGAAGAAAATAATTAGATTGAATTATTGAATTATTACATTCAATCATCAAGTAGTAATAGCTGTAACATAGTCATATGATTTGAATTCAAAGAGATAAATGAATATATCATGTTGATAAAGATGATCAATTTCCTCGTTCATTAGAATTCAATTATAGATTTCTGTTGATTGAACTAGGATGACGTAAAAACAACTGCCACAAACACGATAAAAATTGGAATCATTTTTTCAATGTATTGTTATGATGAATTTCTTTTTAGAATTTACAGTGAAATGTCGATGTATTCAAAATGGACATTTTTCAAATAAAAAATATTCTAATGAGGTCCAGTATAGGTTTAGGTGCAAATGCACAAACTATATTCATATTTTTTTCGAGCTCAAAAATAATGATAAAGGACGTTTATTTTTTTTCGCTAGTTAAAGTGGCAGCACAATATCAAGGACAATTTGTTGTTTAATTTATTTGATAAATATCATTAATGATGATGTAGATGACGGCAGAATCGATTGATTGATTGATTGAATGAAAGTCTTTTTTACCTTTGTTCGTCATTCAATGTTTATAAGGAAAAAACAACAACAAGAATCAATTAATTTTAAATAAAACAAACAAACAAATAAATAATTCAAAAGAAGTTATAGTTTATTCGGAAAAGTTTCGCTGAATTTTCGATTGGAAAAATCGAATCGTTGCAATGAACAAAAAAAAATTGCACTCGTAAATTTAATTGACGATATAATCCAATGTTTTTCGTTTTCACTTTTTTTTTTTTTTTCCTTCCATTTATATGTACAAATGTCTTATATAGATATTTATATTATTATATTACAACACACGATATTTGCAGAAAGACTTTGAGTATGACTGGTTGATTGGATTTTTTCTGTCTTGAACAAGGTTAGATTATAAATTTTGAATTTTTAAAGTATTCGGCTTAATCACACGCGCGTAACATGTCTAACGAATAGATGCAATATATTATTTGGCCAATTTGAGCTAATAGAGTGTGATTGAAAAACCAATGGTTGTCCAATTCATGTTTACGGTGATTTTATCCTCAGGCTAACAAGGATACTGCACATATACTACGTGATGGATTTTTTTTTCACAATTTTTTTTTTGTATGTTTTCGTGGTGACTGTATTCCTTTTGTTGTTGTTGTTGTGATGGATTGCAACTAATTATCAGAATTATAATTATGAAACATTTATTGCAGCAATATTCGTTCATGGATTCGCGAAAAATTCGTACATGTTTGCTTTATGAATATAATCTTGGTACAACCATCGATGAAACATATCGTCGAATGTGTTTGGCATTTGGCGCTAATTCTATATCAATAAAATCCATACGATATTGGTACAATCGTTTTAAACGTGGTGACCAAACAATTGAACAACAATCATCAAAAACAAATGGTTTGCAAAAAAAATTGAATGAAATTGAAATTTTATCATCAAAAAATAAAAATGAATCCAAGATTGAAAGTGCAAAATTGACTCGAATATTTAATGAGAAAAATTCTCTAATGTATCAATGTTTGCCTCGATCTCGAAACTATAAACACCATATTAAACGGAAAAGTAGTGGCCAGAATATTTTAGATAAACGAGTAACTATTTCTTCAAGTAATAATGAAATGATGGCAAAAAAATCGAATACAACATCTAAACGACCAATCATTAAAAATAGCATATATCAGGATTTAAAAAGAATTTTAAATCAAAAACTTTCGATGAGTATCATAAAAAATGGTATAATCGTAAACAAATGAGCTCTCTCAATGATCTACAAATCTTACTGCAATAATCACCACAGTTGATTATATGATTTTTATGCTTACACATTTGTTTTTAGTTGTAGCTATTGATAAATTTCATTTTTCGACCATCAATATTTTTTCAATTATTAAATCTTGTCGTATAATGTTGACGAACAACAATCATGTCCTGAGAAAAAATCTGAACTTGTTACTCCCATTTGTATTTGCACACGTCATGATTGGCGTAATTTGGCAACGTCATCAATAATGATATATGAGAATATCCGTCACCCGATCGATTTTGAATTATGAATACGATTTGTAAAAAAGTACATTTTTCAACTCTTAATTCGGATAAAAGATGGCGTAACATTATTGTAATTTATATTTATAAAATTTTTTAAACTTTTTATTTATATATCGATAAACGATAATTATAAAAAAATTTGTAGAAAAAAAAGATATGCATGATAAATTTATTAGTTAATAATAATCATCTGATCGAATCGATTGAGGTGAATGTTGATATGGATTATAAGTACTGCTATTCAATGGAATAATTGATGTTGTCATCAAAGATGGTGACTTATGATTTGATGGCTTCTGTTGTCGACTTTTATTCGGTTTGCTGATACGATTTTTATTTCCATTTCCCATATTTTTGTTACTATTGATCAATTTGGCTCCCGGTCGGCTATGGGTTGTATTTTCCGTTGTCGATGGTGAATATGAAGAGCTCATCGATGGTATTGGTTTGTTATTATTGTTAAAGCCATGATGAAGATGATGATGAATCGTGTTAAGATGTAATGGTTGCTGTTGTGTTGAATAGTAGGAACCAGATCGATCACCATTGTTATTACCATGATGATTATTGCTATGATGATGGGTATTATGTTGATGATGATGATGATTACCTACAACATTGCTTGTCATTGGATTCGCTATAGATGTTGTGCTTCGATTCAATGATAGACGAGAATCATATGGAGAATAATAGCTACCAATGTCAATTTTGTATGGATCATAATCATCCATAATAGTCGGTTCGTGTTCAACCATCTGTGTTCAGACAGAAAAAAACAAGAAGAATGAAAAGAAAATGATCCATATAATTTACAGACTAACATTGATGTAGGCAAGTGATTATCCTACGCAAAATCCGTTCAATTATTTTTTTTTTTACATATGCTTAAATTTGATCAAAGATTTGACAAGGTATATAATTTGCTAACAAAGAATTGGCCAATCGTTAACCCCTGACTAGATTGGTTCGAATTGTTGTTGAATCGCAAAATGAATGAATAGTATTGTATAATAAACAGCGCTTAACTATGTGTAAAGAGAAAAATGTTTCTCTTACCTCTGACCTGAAGCATGAACATGACATTGATGTACAAAGAAATATATTGACAACCATCATAATGATGAGCAGAATGCCCAACATGATACACAATGCAATCAGCCATGGAAAACGCCATTCATTACAATGACCATGGATAAAGTCATCCGAACCACCACTACCTCCACCACCGACTCCAGCCATCATGATAGATGATGACATTTGTTGATCTGGTTCAAATACATAAACGGTTGTCGATGCAAGCATTTGCATTCCACTTGTTGGTCTATTACGGCTGTTACCAATCGATGTTATATTATGGTTGTTTTCAATTGTTTTGTTCATCATCATTGTTTCATTGCCAATTAATGGACAAAATGATGGATCACAAAAACTACAATTATCAACCAATTCAACTAAACATTGCATATGTAGTTGATTAGTTCCTGGTAATTTAAACATGGAATAAATTTCTGCTTCTGCAATATTCTGTCCAATCTGTTTAAATGGGCCTAACATATGGTCGTTAATGTTTGGACAACCATTATTGTCCAAAAATTCTACATCCGTATCGTTTCCATTGAATATGAAGCAATTTCTTACATAAAGATGATATGATGATTGGCTACCACTGGTTTTCAATTGACTAGATATTTGCTGCTGCTGGTGTTGTTGAACGATTTCAGCACGTAAACGATATGGTTCACCATGATATAATTTATTTATCTTATGCCCGTGGCGATCAACAAATTTGAACATTAATTTTTCATTTTTGTTTCTTGATTTTTCATGTTGAAAAGATTGATGAACAGATCAAAGTGTGTGTATGTGTGAATCATTATAAAGATAATTAAGTCATTTAGTTAGTTAATCAGATTATGTCATTTGTTACACTCACCTATTGGAAAATTCGGTATTACCACAAGTGATCACAAAATGTTTATCATCCGATAGTTCTAAAGCTCGATGTAAACGTACAACTAATGATATCGATCTTTCTTCAGTACCCTATATAAATTATAAATGACGAATGAAAAACGTAAAAAAAAAAATGAAATTCTAAGACAAATTGTCCATCATTTGTAGACAAGAGGATAATGAAAACGAAATTAATTTGCTTGGCGTTCAAACTTTCACATACAGTTAATTAATGAAAACAACATTCATTTCTAAATTGTCCTTCCTGACTTTTTTTTATCGAATTTCGTCTTATCCTCATTCTGTCGAAAACTTAATCACCACATAATTGGTTTAACTAAATCTAATTCTCAAATGGAATGGTTTATGCTTGCTGTCATTCAAATGTTCTTTTATTTATGAAAATGAATTAAGGATTTTTTTTCATTTTGGCTGATTTACCTTTACACGATGTACACCACAGAAATTTGGCCGGTTTGATGGAGCAAGGAGATCGATGTTCAATACGACTATTGTTGAACCATTACCATATATTTGACATGGATTACGGCGAAAATTTCTCACATGTACTATACCATTGAACGATTGATCAAATGTGACCATAATATTCATCAAGTTACGTTCACATTGTGCCTGTACATGTGGATCAAAAATATATGAACCAAACGTTGTCGTTGTTGTTGATGATGGTGATGATATATTTTGTTGAGCGGATAGACTGACTTTTTCACCATTATTGTTCAATTTATTCTGGGCCAATACTTGACTCTGAAACAAAAAGTTTTGTTTTAAAAAATCAATGTATAATTTTATTTTATTTATTTTTCATAATAATATAAATAAATCAATTATTCATGGCTGTCATGTAAGTATAAAACAATAATCATCTTCAATAATTGATAAAGATGTCAGTGGATGTGTTTGAAAATTTTTCCAAAATTCATTTCGATGTGTAGGTAAATCATTTGATTGATTTTCTTCGTCAAATAATGATTATCAATTTTTGTAGCCAATTTTTGTCATTATTATAATAATCATATTTATAAGAAAAATGCTGAATCGAATGAATTCTTTTTGGTAAATTATTTTCTTTCTCTCTCTCTCTCTCTCTCTTTCGTTCTTCTCTTAACACTAAAACTGTATGGTTCCAATAGGACAATCAAAGAGTTGATTATGTTCAATTTTATAAAACAGAAATTAATCTAAAAAATAAAACTAGAGCAAAACTAATTTAAACTCGGCCAATCTTGTAGTTGATCTAATAAAATAAATTCTTCATCATTATGGAACTAAATATGTGTGTCGGCGTGTTCATGATATACATCTCATCTTATTATTTTCAAATAAAACTAAAAGTGATTATTTCATATTAGGCCAAATATGCAAAATAATTTTAAATTGGAAATAATAGAAAAAACCTTTAAAAATATAAAGATAATCTTAAACTTGTCAATGATAGCTATCGATGAAAAAAAAAAAAAACAAACAATAAACGAACAAATCATTAGAATGAATCAATAGATCGATCGATCAATCAATCTGTAATTGTAATGGATCAAAATGACTATGATCAAATCGTCATCATCTTAGATTATCCAAATGATTATAATTTTATCTCGATTAAATTTATGCAAAAAAAACGACATCAGCCTTTTGAATTGGCAAAAAAGGCTAGTCTCAATTCATTTTTGATTATTTCATGATAATAATAATGATTATTATGGACTTTATTTACATCATTACAAATCAGAATAGGACTAGGATAACAAGAAAACAATTTAGTACTTTGATAATAATCATCATCATCATTATAGATGCATTTTGTAATGATAAAAAATTGAGAGAAAGAAAAACCACAGAATTTTATCTATTTGCTTTATAAAATGGTTACTATAATCATTATAAATAGCAACCAAGGCAAACCAAATCATCTCGAAAATGATCAAATTAATACCTATTATTATGAACATGGGATTACTAATCGAAAATCACGATCTGTTCATTTGATTCCAATCATTAAATTTTGTAGTTTGTAAACAAATACTATATTGGATTGTATGATTAAAAGTGAAATGAATCATATTCACCGATTTCCATTGCATTTGTTTATAATAAACGTTTCCGAATCAACTACCGTATTATTATTAGGTGTGTTTTGTGAAAAGTCGATAGATTAACGATTAAAAAACATTCAAAAAATCAGAATACAATTTGCAATCACTAAAATACAGCATTACATTCAATGAGACTTCCTATCCAGTGATTGCTTGCACATTTGAATATATATATAATTTAATATAAACTACATTTAAGTGAGCAACGAAAAAAATATGCCCAGAAATTGGTTCTCATCATCATCAGCATCATCGTTGACTAATGTTAAAACATTTAGTAAGCGAATTTATCTTCATTTGTAAATTATTGTTGTTAGGAATCTAGATTTTTTTCCTTGCAATTTGTCCAAATATACAAAGTGGAGTGATTAATGTAAATGGAAATGATTTTTGTTTCCGTTTCAATTTAGTTTTTAATAATAATAATAATGATGATGATGATAATAACAGCTATACAGATTCGTCATGAATCGTTGTTTCAAATGCATTTAAAATTCAACAAAAAAAAAATACTGACTACAAACAGAATAGATTATACAAATGAACATCATAGGTAAGGTCATCCATCCATCCATCCATCCATCCAAAATACAATTTAAACAAGAAAAAAATAATAATGAAAGAAAGTGGTAATCATGGTCGCATATGAACAAATGATAGTGCTCACGATTTTCTCTAATTTCATTTTTTTTGCCATTTTAGACAATCCCTTTGAGACTTATCCAGATAAATATTAAGATAGTGAAAAAGGAAAAAAGATAAAAGTTCAATGAGTTCATTAACGTGTTCATCAAAGTGTGACCCGTTACCATACTTATAATCATGACCATCATCATCATCAATTCTTGTGTTTAATTTCAATATATCCATTATTAACATAGACTTGTGTTTGTTTACGATTCTCATTTACATCTGTAAAATTTCTATGCAAATAGATAAATATGTTTTGAAAATTATCATTTCTCCATCAATGTATTTTTGGACAACTGTTGAATTGTTTAACCAAAAAAATTCATCAAGAATATTGAAATTCAATATTGTTTGATTTCAAAGTTGGATTTGAAATCATAAACAATTGAATTTTTTTAGCAATAATTTTTTTTTTTGATCGATTGGATTTGTGTTTTTGAAAAAACAAGAAAAAAAAAAAAATGAAGAAGCGACTGTGTTGATCAATTCAATCATCATCGATCATTTGTGATGATGGGAATCCTTGATGATGTCTGTGAATTTCGTATTTTCAATGAAATTGAATTTCTGTTATTGAATTGAAAATTTTTTTTTATCGATGATCTACGCTTGATTGTTTAAAATATATTTGCATTCACAGTAATTTTCTATTATTTATGACGGCAAAAAAATTTTTTTTTTGTTGGATTTTTTCCAGATCAGATAGCCAATCGATCAAGAAATGTTTGAATCTGATTCGTATCAATAATCGATCAAATACATAGCAATTTTATTTTCTTCTGTTCGTGATTTTCATCATCATTCAAATGTAGATCATGAAACAATTTTCTGTTCCTGCCAAATAGATAGAGTATAATAGGATGTGATGTCAAATTTAATGGATTATCCAATCGATTCAATCTATTTGTGCACGCTTTAATATATGAATATTTATTCATATGAAATTGAATGGAAAAACTTGAATTTGAAATTACTGAAATGAAAATAGCTAACATGAATAAGAATTCATGAGAAATTCATCGTATAAAATGATAAGTGTTTTTGGATTGAATTTTTAACCCTGGATTTGTTAATCATTTATCAACAAATGTACATGTTTTAAAAGTTATTTTCATCATGTTTAATATACTTGAGTGTGGCTGTACTATTTCTAGTTGTTTTATGTGCCATTTTTTCTAATAAATTCATCCTTCAGAAGAAGATGGCCACACTTTTCATATGATTGAATATTTTGGTTTATATGAAAAGAAATTTTAACTTTACTTTCATTTCATTTAAACATTTTGACGTAACATTATTTCATTTATCATCCACAACAACAAAAAAAGGATTTGCAAGAGGATTTTTTGGCATTATGTGACCAGAATATTATCTCGACCGGTATGATGGGCATGAATATAGGATGTAGGATGATGCAAAAAATCCCAAACTCAATAAGTCATTTTCACTTGAAGTATTGCAAAATTCATTGGGATTTTTGTTTTTTACAAACACACACACACATGTTGTGGTAAATCTTTTGTTATTTTTGATGAGCAAATCAAATCATACAGACAGATAGAAGAGAAATTGATAAAAATTTGAAAAAAAATCCTAACCATTACTATGCATGTGTTACAGATTTATAAAGGATGGAATAAAATTAGCATATTGGTTCTGGAAAATAAAAAGACCTTGAACCTATTCAAATTAGTATTATTACAAGAAAGAAGAAATAAAATCAAACATTTTAATTTTATGTATCGGAAAATGTCAATATGTCTAATTTTGAATTATGAAAATATAAACTTACATTTAATTGAGATGAACTTGAAAAGATGATTAAAAGGCTTATAATCATCGATAATAATGATGATTGAAAGAAATTAGAATGACATTGTTGTCTATTTTTACATGATGATAATTGTGGTCGTTGTTTTTGATGAGGATGATGATAATAATACAATAGTAATCGCTTTATTAATGAATAATATTGATGAATAAGAATAAAAATTCGAGACCAATAATCGATATATATGCTAGTTGTAGTTCTCGATTTTTCATTAAAATTGTTATAACCATAATCTACGGCCGTTGTTATGGAATCACAATGTTTAGGTTTCATCATCATCAATGCAACATTCGAATGACAGTAATGAACATTGATAGTGGTGGCACATAATGAAAGTGATGCTAAACAAGGATAGGAAAATAATGTTGATGGTAATGATAAGATTTGATCAGGTGATGATTGTAGATCAACATTATTTATTGGATAACGATGATGATTATCATTATTTTTTATTCGTCTTTTCTTTTTTCTTCTATTTGTAGCGGTTATTCGGGTCAAAATGTTCGAAATTAAATTAGATTGGCCATCCAAATATATTTGTGTGTGCTGTTTTGTGATGGTAGTTTCTTCTTCATGGTGGTGGTTGTCATCATCACCATTATCTTGTCGTCAGCGTCATCATCGACGCTTTTGTTATTGGCAATAGTTTTTGTGGTCATATTGTTCATTGTCGATGTTGTTGTTGTTGTTGTTGTTATTGTTGTTGATGATGATTTTGGACAAGCCATCTTCATCTGATATTTTTTACGATTATTATGGTTCCCCATAACAATAAAAATCTATACAATTTAATCATTTTTTCGAAAAGAAAATTTAATCTTGATTTTTCTGAATAATATTTATATCAGTTAATATGGAAAACATATACACAAACAGGTATTCAAATTGTATGTATTTGCCTGGATGATCATAATCTCATGTGCGAATCACTTTAGATGATAATAATGATGATGACGATGACGATATTCACTCGTTGATAAAAGAATGAAACGACGACAGGTGCGTCAAAACTAAATTGGAAAAAAAAATATTTTATCGATAAATCGTCTTCGAAAACGAGGAAGGAAAAAAAATTTAAATTAGAAAAATATCATCATTCAATCGATCGTTTGTTAGGTTTTACCGACACATTTGAAAGAGTTAGATTGGTAATCTCCAATCATTTACAGATTGAATGCGATGATAACTTTGACAATTTTTTTTATTGTAAACACACGCATATACCAGATTTGAAAATATTTTTTCTTCGATAAAAAAAACTAAAAAAGAGAAATATCCAGCGTGCAGATTGTTACTCTTTCATGATGATTAATCAATTCATCTGATTAGTATTTAAAATCTATCATCATGAAATAAGTGGTCAAATGTTCCCACATTTTAAGTTATTTTGACTGGGGATTTTATTCTTTTCTTTGAAAAGGTAAAATTGCAACATTTCTTTCTCTTCTGATTCAATTTATTTTGTTTAGACCAGGTTATCAAATAAGATAATAAAAGAAAGATATAATAGATTTTCATGAATGTAATTTTTCTCTAAATACTGAATTTCTATTAACCAAATAAGCTAAAAATATAGCTACTAGGAAATTTTCATATATCTCAATGGATATCTTAAACATATTGATAACTCCATCAATCAACAAAGAAAAAACCATTCATTGGTTATGAATCATCAATACGTTCGGCAAATCATTATGATACAGGATGGATAAAAATACTTGAAATCGACATTTTATATTTCCGATAAAGAAAAAAAGATGTGGTACAATGTTATTTCAACTTATTTGGAATCAATTCGTTACAAACATTGTACAGCTGAAAAGAAAAATAACGGTAAAACTATAATGAAAGAAAAGTCCAATCCATAATACATCTGATTACGACTCAAAAATCCATGAAACGTTCCAAATATTTCAATATTGTAATTAGAAAACTCACTGAAGTTTCTTTGTCAAATGATAATAGTAAAATTGAATTTGTTATAACAAATCAACACATGATTAAAGAATCATTCAAAGCACATCGTGTTGATATTTATCCTGTGTGTGTGTTTTTCAATTTACATCAGATAAAAATACTTGAAATCGACATTTTATATTTCCGATAAAGAAAAAAAAGAGAAAAAAAATAACGGTAAAACTATAATGAAAGAAAAAGTCCATGATTAAAGAATCACGAAATTTACATTAACTATAAGCTTGTACTTATAACCTAATCGAAACCTATTCAAATCAACATGAGATCCAGATGGATATCTTCATAACTTGATTAATCAATCAATCGATTGATCATATTATTTCCTGCCTTTCGCCATCATCATTATCATCATTATTATTATGGTTGAAATGAAAAATTAATGATCATGAATCAAGTGAACATCTTTGATTTGATGATGAATAATGACGATTATGACAATGATGATAGATGCCTACTTTTGATCTAGATGGATGGAAAATAAAAAGAAAATTTTTTCGATTACAATAAAAAAAACGGATGAAACTCATGAAAAGATCACGACCGAATCGATCGTTGGCCACAACAAAGCCTTTTTGTTTGAATTTCATGATTGAGCTTTTGCACTATGGATTTCGATTAAAAAAAAAAGAAAGATCGAATTCAGAAGCATTCCATTCATTCATTATAGGTTGTTTTCTATTGGCCAAATATCGATGATGATAGCATGGGTGACATATCAAGTGTGTGTATTCAATTGTGTAAAGACATACGGATACAAATGACATCGAATTCATTATGATGACAAAATCAATTTTATCAAAATGACAATAGATAATTGTAGTGAAAAAAAAAAAATTCATAGTGACAATAAAAAAGAATGAATTTTTTTTTTCTTTGTACATCTCAGACAAAATCGTTGATCATCATTATTATTAGACGTCAAAGATCATTCATTCATACGTTCTTTTTCAAATGACAAAGACAGAAAGATAAACAAACATTTGGAAAATAATCAAAATAATGTGAACATATTGTGTTTGCATGATCCTGGAAAAAAACAAACAATTTGTTGTTGTTTTTTTTTGTTGCATTGACTGAACTATTACATCCACACAAAAACAAAGACACATGATAAACAAACGAATGAATGAATGAATGAAGAATTGAAAATGAACAAAATTTTTATCAGTATTTTTTTTTGTTTCAAAATTTCTTGCTTACTTGTTTTAATGATGATGTCCATACGTTGGTTATTGTGTAGTTCATTTGTTCCAATTTTCAAATTAGATTTGTTGACAATTATGTGAACGGCCTAATTTGAAGAATTATAATGATGAAACACTAAAGATCTATACATACAAAACATTTACAACACTCATAATTACACTTATTATTATGAAATGAATATTTATCAATCAATCAATGAAATATTGATAAACATATTCACTAAAATATCCACACAGAAGTAAAACAAAAAATTTCACAAACCTGTATGCGATTCAACCGAAAAAATTCCCATAGTAAGGAGAACTAAATGTAAAAAAAAAAACGGAAAAATAAAACCAACAAACGAAATTGAAACTAAAGAAAATTGTTTTGAGGAGAAAGTCAAAAATATTTTTTTATTGCTGCTTTAAAAATTGTGATTGTTGATGTTGATGATGATGATGATGATGATGATGATGATGATGAGAGAAACTCATGCACTGAACTCAAAGATCCAAAGTTTGCAACTGGCGTGAAGAATTTTTTCTTTTTTTACTATCAACTGAATGTCAGACTGGAATGACTTGTTCGACTACTTGTAAAAGTGTGCAGATGGATTTTTCGACTTTTCCACTTCCATCATAGACATAATACCTGTTGGTGGCATTCATACATGTTGATGATGATGATGATGATGAAAATAATGATCGATGTTAGGTGGTGGTGGTGATGGTGGTGGTGGCAATGGTTGTAAGTTGTAGTTGTTGGTGTCCATTGGTCATTGGAAATTAACATTTTTCTCTCGCGTTAGAAAAAAAATGTCTTGTCCCATAAAGTTGCATTCATTCATTCGTTGTTTACTTCAGTTTTTGAATAAGAAATTTTCGTTCTCTTTTTTCTCATTACATACAGCAACAAGTGTGGACAAATTAATTCAAACTTTAATGTTGTGAGGTAAGGCTCACGAGACATTCGAAAAAATTGTTATTCTCATTCTTATCATCATCATCACTATTCGCTACTTCACACAGATTTATATTGGATATAAATTTTTAACGGGAAACGAAAATAAAACCATATGTCATAATGATGATGATAATGATATATCACATAACGGAAACAAGACTAATCCTAAACAGATGAAAATCGTCATTTATTTGCCACGTTAAAAAGACTGAATCAAATAAATAGTATTTGTAACTTTGTCATCATTCCTTTTTTTTGTAGTGTACATTAACTATAGATATTCATCAAGAATCATAAAATTATATAACGGAAAAATATTTTAATCTTCATTATAGCTAGTATATTTGAATAGTTGGCTTAGATTTTTCTTTATAAAAATTTCATTTTTTTCAAAAGCATAACCATAGGATTTGAATTAAATATGATTCAAAATAGCTATTTTTGGTCAACACGAATTTCATTTTATATAATGAACACAAGGATAATGATGTAATGGAATGGAATAAAATTAGAAAGCATACATACATAAACATACAAAATGATTCGAAGATTTGCATCAAAAAAAAAAAAAACAAACACTGACAAAAGATAATTAAGTTTGGAGAGAAACTAACGTTATAAACAAAAGCGAAAAAAAAAAAAAAATGATCTAATTATACTCAATTTATAATTAACCTGCTTGATTATGAAAACACAACATACTCATCATAGACACCGCACACACCCTTAGTCATCATGATAAATAATAGGAAAGTTTGATGCGTAAATAGAACAAAAAAAAATTAAACTTTATTCATCATACATTAAAATTCAACAAAGAAATTGATTTCATTTTATAAAATTCTAATAACAATTTTTTTTTTTTGATGATCAACAAGTAAAAATTTAGATTTTCATTCATTTGGCCAATGTCGCTACTATTTATAACTGAGAATAAATACAATTCAAATATATTTTTTCTAAATGAAAAGGAACCTTGACAGGATGTGCTATACACACACACACTGATAATGATACATGTTTCTGTCAGGTTATTTTGTATGAAAAAAAATTGAAGAAGTGAAAAAAAATCCATTGGCATCGATTCAAGTCATGCTTGATTGTTTGTTTGATAGTCGATTTCTTTATCCTAAATTTTGTTTGTTTGTTTATTTGTATATTTGAATAACATCAAATACTTTTTATGAAGAAATGGACGTTTATTTTTTTTATCTGGCTAAAAGTTACAATTGAATTCATGTAAAGTGTCGAGCAATTCGAATCGATGACTCAGCGTTTGTATCAGACACACCAACATTTTCATAGTTATTCTCAAGTTATTGTTGCTAATTTTTTCCGGTTAAAACTGAACCCACTTTTTTTACATTCGATCGTGACAGAATCCATAATTTGAGAGAATCACATGCGTTAATATAGACATTGTAAAATCACGCGCTGATTGATAATGAATTGCTTGTTAAAAATAAGAATGTTAGATGATCATTGATCTAATGGCCACGATAAATTGATAATAAATAAATGACAAAAAAATGAAGAAAAAATTTAACCACACATCATTTATTGAAATAAATGATGAAAATGCTTCCCAGAATATAATGAAGGTTGTATGAAAAAATTATTAATTTTCTATTTTCAATTATTCCCATGACTTGAAAAAAAATTCTCTCCATTCAACAATGAAAAGAAAACTATAAATCAAATTCACAATTGCCTATATCCGCGAAACAAGAAACCAAAAACCAGAAAAAAACATCAAAGGAAATCATTCATCTAAACGAAAAGAAAAAGAAATGTTTAAAATTAGAATATAATGAATGAACGTATTTGTCCACACGAATACAATAAAATTCAGAACAATAAACATTGTTTTGAAAAAATAAATCACTCAGCGGGTTAGTATTTGTAGGGTTATCTCAAGCCATTTCATCATCATCTTTATCTTAGTTTTGTTGATGATAACTTTCTGATCATTATGATAATAATCAATAAGTATTAAATCTCAGAAAAGCAGTATGATCTCGAAATATGATATCAATTCAATCAAAGATCGATTACATCTGAAATAATAATGCATTCGTGGAGTTCAAATAGGCAATTTGTTGTTTATAATGAACAAATCATCATCACTTTTATAGCTATAATTCCATTATCATCATCAAAATCATTTTTGTATATTGTTAAATGATGATGAGAATGGACACGCTTTTTAGCCGATTACAATCAACAAATTCATTGATAATGGTAACCACAAAATAAGCGCATTAGAAACATTTGTTTTTTCTTGTATAGCAATGAATATTAAATTTTAACGGTTTAATCTTGAAATCTTTCATTGATTTTATGAAATATTCATATGAAAACATATTTGATATATTGAATTTATTACATTAATATTTTTCTCTTTCAATAATTGTCAATTTTGACAATCGGCAATCGAATTGAAAATTTAAAAAAACGACATTGAATATTTTTACTAAAATGCTTCAAAGCATGTTCATTTTTATTTTGATTTTTGCTGGCCTAATAATCAGTGGAGAATTAAAATCGAAATTTTTCATGTACTAAAAATAGAAAAAAAATTCACTTTTGAAAGCAACCCACATACGAATGGGTTACGAATGTAATTTTATACTTTTACATATAAAAATCAATGCTCGTTTCGTTTCATTCGTAACGATGTACAGTAATTATCGATGATCAACAGGTTATCGTTTGACTATTTAGCAGCTTCCTCTCTTCTACTTTCAATTTTTCATCATACATATTGAGTTTATGAAAAAAAATAAGTTTGTATAGATTCAAATCATTGACCAACATTTGGTCATTCGAACTAAAGAAGCCACGAAACGCAAACCAATACGACTTATCTGATCATAAAGCAATCCTGATCGAAACGATCATCATCATTGGACATATCATCATTACAGCTTAACAACAACCAGGAAATCTAAAAAAAAAAAAAAATTCAAAACATTGGGAAATATCTTGAAAAAATAAAAAAAAATTAAAAAAATCATATGAACACACATTCAATTCAATGATTTTCTCATTCATTTGGTATAAATATCTAGTTTAGATTTGATCATCAATTTGTTTTTTTCCATTATATTCAATCAGATAAATTGATTTCATTGCGAGAAGGAATGCAAAGACTAAACGGTGTTCAGATGTCATTATTTCATTTCAATTTTTAATGTATGTTGCAAAAATGGTTGTTAACTTTCATTAAATATTAAATCAAATGACATGAAAATGCCAATGATTGATTCGATTTGATCATCATCATCATCATCATCATTTCCGCCACTTTCGATTGGTGATGGAATGGAAAAATAAATTTAATGATGATCTTTACATTCGAAAAAATCTATGTATCATCATCATCATCACTTATATTTGTCGATATCCCAAAATGTAATGAAAATGATAGAAATGATTGTTACATGATTAGCATGATAATGTGTATAGCTATTGGAATCGATAAAATTTGCCTTTTCCAATCATAACAAATTTTTTTTGGAGATAATCTTACAAGTCTTAATTCAAATAAAATACATAAAGAGATATATGAAGGAGAAATTTTTGTTTATTCTTTCTGTCTTTCTTATTTTCTTTCGGTTTCAAGCTATTTACACAACAACATTAATCAACAAAAACAATATGAATAATTGAAAACAAAATTATCATATTCACAAATAGACTAGATACAATCAGAAGAATTTTGGTAGATGATATCATCAATTCACAAATAATTTTTGTGTGCGGCTATAGGTTTTTCTATTAGTAATGACAAACGATAAATTTTACGATTCAAATTTTAGATTAGTGTCCAATTTTTTTTTTACATAAATAAGTTTTTAAGATGACCATCATCTGTCATTATGATCATCATTGTGTTGATTTGTAAGAAAAAATAACTTATGGAATAATTCATAACAAGCATTCACGATGCCCCAGGATAAAAATGAACGGCTATAATTGATGTGAACACCACGGAATATTCGACGTAAGTTGCGATCACGTTGATTATAAATATCTATAGCCGCTTCAAATATGTTTAAATGTTTTGCTCCAGGTGATTGTGTTTGCATCCTGGTCCGAACCACATTCAATGGATAAAACAATGTGGATATTAATGCACCAACAATCGAACCAGATATAAAATCTTTAATCATTTCAGTCATATAGGATTCGTGGTGGCCCATATTTTGTGGTAGATGATTTTTAATTTTATTTCGAAACGTAAAAAACAGAATGTTTGATGGACCATTACGCAGAATAATGGCAGTAAGACCACGATAATATTCTTTTATACCGTGAATATGTAATTTTTTAAAGGCATCCACTGTATTCGCATAACGGTTATGAAGGCGGTCATCCTTTTTCATTAGAAAGAAAAAAAAATGATTGAGAAACATGTCAATCGATCAAAATATTTACCTGTAGAAGCATTTGCACTCGTTCTAAAGGACACATGATAGCTTCAGTTGAACCAGCTAAAAAAGCTGACAGACAAAAACGTGCATATGATGGCATGATTTGATCGGCATAATGATCCAATAATGAATGATAGGTACCAAATGTTCCGAACATTATCGATAATGTGATTGAACGTTGTATTAATGGCGGGGCAATGCCACGATAAAGACGACCAATGCCTTCGGATCGTAATGTGGCAGTAGCTTTACGCACCGATTGTCCATGGAGCATTTGGCGAAAAATTAATTTATTAATCGGAAATGTTGCGTATACGTTTACAATAGCTGCACCAAAACCACATAAATAATCGGATAGTTGACAACTATCAATGATCGGATGGTGATCAATCTGTGTGACACTATTGCCGGTTATTGCAATATTGGTAGTTGTATTCGTGCTGTTATGAGGGTGATGAGATTCCTGATGATCATTCTTATAGTTTAAAATATTCATTTTTGATAATAATGGATAACGAAATTATGAGTTGATAGGATAGAGACTGATAACTTTGATTGAATTCTAATTCATTCTCAATTAAGTTGAAGATAAAACATGCTGAAAAATTAAAATGATAATTTGAATAAATATTAAAAAATTAAAATAAAAATGAACTCACCTTATTCTTTCCTTTGGTTTGATTATCAATTTCATAGCAATAAGTTCAAAATGGTCCAAAAATGACACAACGATTATGATGATTCAAATTAATATATAATTCATTGTAAAAATTGGCGATATTCCTTCACCATAATATGAAAACAATATATCAACCTCAAAACGATAAAACATGTTTTTTTAATAAAACAAATAAATTACAATTTAACAAATTTTTAAATTTTTTCTTAGAAACATAGTTTTTTCATGGAATTCTCCAACAAATCACCGAAAAAGTTTCTAGTTAATAGTTGAGAAACATTTGATCAGTGGATTCAATGTAGATAGATAGATAAATTTTAGTTATGCAAATTGAATCATTTTTCATTTTTTTATATTTAAAAAAAATGAAAATAAAAATAGAAACAATTTATAGCTCACACAGCTGATGGATATTTCCGAAGAAAATAACCATAAAAAAATCTTATAATATGCAAGATAGATGGCGCAATCAAAAGTAACAAGTGATTTGTGTACCGGAAAGCCTCAAAATGACAAACATTTTCTTCCAAATAAAACAACAGAATAAAAAGAAAAAAGAAATTTTATTTTATAATTATGATATTCAATTCATAAAGTTTAAATTGATCATTAAGCAAAAACATGTGACAGCTAAATGAATACAAATGAGAAAATTATTATGCTTAAATTATAATATATATATAGAGTGAATCAAAAAATGTGAAATTAGAAAAAATATATGAATAATATATATGAATCAAGAATGTAAATGTCACATAAGAAAAACATAACAAATAATCAAGTGAAACAAAGAATGAGCAGCAGTTGGATGATATCAGCTTCAAGATTTGAAATTTAGGCACGATTTCAAATTTTTTTTTCTAGTGATAATAAAAATGATAAGTTAAATGATATGATTCTATGAATTGATTCGATGATTCAACGTGAATTGATTTGATTCGATGAGTTAGAATCGTTAAGTTTGATTTGTAACGAAGAATTCCATAAATGTAAGCCATCATATCTGGCAGTCGAGGCATTTGTAGGTTGACTGAATAACATTTTGATAGTTATGATTTAAAATATTGAAGTTGATGATAATCAAGAAGATTCTGTATGACAAAAAAGTAGATGCAAGAATCATTAAAATGAACTTTAACTGATCGAACTAAAAAACCAACCTCGTGTCGATAAAGATGAATAAAATTGTTGTTGATTCTGCTCATTATCATTATTATTAGATGTTTGCTGCTGCTGCTGTTGTTGTTGATTAGTACTATCTGGTGATGCCGGTATAGAATTATGATGATGATGATGATGCTGATTCAACAAATCAAGACTGTCATTATTAATTATAGCTGCCATCGTACTGTCACCTATGGCATTTGGTCCAAAATGATGAGTTAGGCCAACTCCGCAATTACCGCTATAGGATTCGCCACCACTAAATTGTAGATGTTGAGATGCGGCAGCAGAATTTGGGCTAACCCCAGAAACAGCAGCAGCGGCTGCGGCAGCAGCTGCCGCTGCAGCTGCTGCCATATCACTGATTGATCCTGTGGTTCGTGTAGATCCGAAACTTGTGCCACCACCACTATTATTGCCACCAATGCCTAAGCTACTTTGATGAGCGACATTCGATAAGCCAACAAAAGATGGTTGATGATGGTGAACAGGAGTATGAGCATTGTTTGCGAACAAATAAGGCGGAAGTGAAGATAGAAAATGTTGCTGTTGTTGTGGACTGGCTTGAACTAAACCATTCCTAAAAATTGTTGAAGCAGAGACTGGAGCAGTAATTGTATGATTTCCAGCGGCTAACACAGCCGAATTAGAAGCACCAATATTGTTAACACTAGCAGCTACTGCAGCGGCTGCTGAAGCAGCATTATTTTGATGTGCGGCTAATGATGACGTTGGTGTGTTTGCCATTGATTTCGGTTTCCGTTTTCTGGTCTGTATCTGATCTTTTTTCATTGTTAATGGGCGGTGAACGCCATGTAATTTGAAATAAAGCCCACATGCGTTACAGACGGGATCACCATTATTATTTCGGCGCCATAATGATGTTGTGGTTGTTGTACAATTAGAACATTTCATACCTGTTCGTCGATTAGTACTCTGTGACAATGGAATGAAAAAAAAATAAATGAAAAAAGACCAAGTTTATAAAAACAACATACCGATAGTCGTCGTTGATTTCGAACCAATGGGCGACTATTGCCATTGGATTTATGATATAGACCACATGCATTGCATAAATAATGGCCCGTGCCATCACGACGCCAAAGAGGAGTAGATACGGCACCTAAGATGATAATAAAGTTTTAATTTTGGAACCAATTTTTATGTAAAAAATTATACTAACTCTTACCACAATTGACACATTCACGAGTATCATTTGCAAAGGTGAAATTAGATAATGAACTAGATGGTGATGGTGATCCAATGACGTTAGCTGCATTTCCATTGACAGTTCCAGTTGCTGCAGCAGTGTCGAATGTGGCAGCATACATTGGAGTAGCATTGAATGCGTGACTTTGTACTGAACGATTACTAATTGATCGTTGAGAAGTTGGAGCGAATAAACGTACGGCCGAATTCAGAGCCGGATTAAATTGTTGCACAACCAATTGTGGCAGATCAGATTGCGGTGATGATGAATGATGATGGCCAATATGATGGTGATTGAGATAATTCGATTGAGTTAATCCTGTAGTGGTCGCTAATTGTTGCTGTTGCTGATGATGAACAATAGCGGTAGCACTTTGTGGAGCGATCGCAGATCGTTGTTGTTGTTGATGATTATGCTGATGATGATGATGATTCAGAGCAAGATTTTGTCCAATATTATTATTTGTTGTTAATTGATCCGGAGACAAATGTGGGCTAGCATCGTTGCTATAGACAAAATATGGTGATTCTTGTTGTTGCTGTGCTAATGTTGTTGTGATCACTTGTTGCTGTTGATTATCATTGATCATGGTAGAATTTGATGCTGAGGCTGAAACAGACTTTTTTGCCGTCGATATAAACAAATGTCCAGATGTCGGAATTGATGTTGATGGTGAAGATGAGGATGATGGCGGTGTTGAAGATGGCGGTGTATTTGTTGTGAGATGTTGTGATCTTTGCTGTGGTGAACCGCTTTCCGAAAGATTCATCACTGGCGGTGTTGGATTGACAATTGAAGATGATCCAGACGGAGATGTTCCATCACCAATTGATGGGGATGACGATTCTTGTACTTGATGGTTATTATTATTGTGTAAACTATTTGATGATGTCAAAGTCATGTTTGATTCTTGAATTTGATTCAATAATTGATTATTATAATGATAATTAGCAAATTGTTGATGCTCAAGATCAGATAATGAATATATGGTCATCGATGGTGAATAATGAGATTGTCGTTGATGTGTTTGTGGCGTGGAATTTTCCAGATAAATCACATTAAATTTAAATGATTTTCGTGGGGGAGGTTCATCATCCTCTGACGGTGATCGAGTACAATTGTCGAAGGAATCTGGTTTATATGGTGCCTCACGTTTTGTAGCGCCAGTAGCTGTTGTCACCGATGATGGCGATGATTGCCAAACAGCGGAAGAAGTGGTGGCGTCGGCGGCACTATATTCTATTTGTTCACATTGATTGGAGGGAATAAAAAAAAATAATCATCATCATTATTAAAAGGGTAATCATAGTTTTTAAGTTCAATACATAATGATTAACTAGCTTAGGATCATTTCAATTCAATTTCGTTCATCGATGATAGATAATTTTTTGTTTTTGTAATCTTACAAGATCTTAGTCAAAAGCAATGGCCAAGACATAACAAAGACTTGGGGTTTGATAAGTAATTTTTTCGATGTTCTATTATTAATTCTGCCGTTAATGATCTGGATTTCTTTGTGCTTACTGTTGTTTGTATTCAAACTGGAACATATTTTTTACACAAACAAAATTGGTTTGATGCGGAATGACATAAAACAAAAAACATTTGTATTATTGATTATTTCATCTTCATTACTATTGACATTAATTGAATCACAGTCAATCGATGATGTGTGGACACAACACAAATTTAAAATATAAAAAGGAAATTTAATAAAAAAAAATGAAGATTGAAATGAAAAAATCAATTTCTTGAAGACTCGGCTGTTTAATATCGTTCAGTCAGCAAATAAGGTATCGAATCACAATTTGGCTAGGCCTTTTATATTATTCTACTACATGGATCGGCCATGTGATTTGATTATATTAAGGTAAACTCTCTCCATTCAAATGGTAGGCCTTGGTAGTTGATCGAATTCAGGTCCTATGGTAATAACTGGTTCTTTTTATCAACGACCTCGATCGAAAGTGGGGATAACAATAAAGTTTTCTATTAATATCGGTTGATATGAAGCTTTCATCGTTGTTCGTCATAAATTCATTCAATCGTTTTATGATTCATGACCATGTTTTTTCCAAGCGGTCTTAGCCGATTCAATGATTTTCATCCAAGAATGGATGCAAGGAGGAAAGGGAAATCCGATCTCTTTTTACGATGTCCTTGACAGGACATCACATAATTATTAACGACAATTGTCGTTTCTGTTGTCGTTATTGTTGATGCCTTTGTCGTCGTATTCGATGATTCGGAAATAGGATAAAGGAAATGTTGGCCAACCTGATTTTGTTGTTTTTGTTATTGCTGCTGTTCTAACATTTGTGTTTGTAGTTCTGTTTTGATGATCAACTTTTTTAGAGGTGGCTGTGAATCTTCAACACATCCACCGCCAAAGGAATTGCTGTTATCCGTTCGATGGATATAACAATTGTTGTCTACACAGCGTCATGTTCTTTAGCGATAAACTTTTGTCCTGAAGCTTCTGTCGTGGAAAGCCTTTTTTGCTTTCCATTCGAATCAATATCATCATCATGATGATGGCCGTAATTCATGATCAATTTATTATTATTTTCATCCCAAAAATCTTCGCCTAGAATAAATTTTTCCATAGCCTGAATTTCTTGGTCAGCCGTATCATTGTAGTTATTGTTATGATTATTAACAGCACAAATCTTGTCAAATATGTCCATAACATTAAATGCTGAATGACACCGATCTTTGTGTTTGAAGTGGGTGTCAGGTAAAAAGCATTCTTTAAAAAAAAATTATTTTTGCAGCTTTGAAATACAATATAAACACTATGGCAACATATTGTATATGAAAAACTTTGTCTTTTTTCAAATGTCAGCCTAGCAGGGTCTATTTATACGAGAGTGATGACTAAGACATAATCTTTCAACTATTAGCAGGTTTTCAAATGGTTGATTAACAAGTTGTAAAATAAAGTCTCTTTCTCTTTCTGTTAGTATAATATTAGTCACCGTTTTTAATTAAACAATTATTTGATATTTTTAACAATACACTAGAAGAACATTATTTCATGAATTTTTAAGCGCTCAAAATTCAACTTGATCTATGGTCACTCGAGATTTGATGAGTCATTTTGAGTCATCAAACAAAGTGTTAAATTTTTTGCCCAAACTTGAACATATGAAGAATTTTCCCTAATAACAAAAAAAATTGGTACATAAAAGTCAACACTTTTACTGCTAACAGGGGAAGAAGTTCATTTTTTCGGTGTACTATTTTTTCATCGATTAATCAAAATCGGAAATCGAACCATGGGAGTTATTATTGATAGAAAAAATATTGAATCGTCAAAATTTGTTTTCATACAAACTTAGATTATTTAAATTATAAAATTTTGTCTTTTCACTTGTTAAGCCGTATTTATATGTTGAATTGAGATCACAATTTTGATGATTTGATTGTTGATCAATTTTATCGAATTCAGGTTAAATAATATTCAGCACTTGTTTATCTCGTAATATAGAAAATTCATTCACATTATACTCATTTGATGTTCGTTCAACTTTGGCGCCACTGACACTGTTGTTGTTTTTGTTTGTAGGCAGCAATAATCATCAATTGGAAAAGTAGTAGAAACGATGCTTTCATTTTTGTCTGTTGATATTGCCTGATGGTTCAAGAGAACATTTGTCTTGTCGTGGTTGTCATTGTTATTATTATGGCTACTATAATATTTATTTGTGGTATTATTTGCATTAATAAATTTTTATCATCATCCTCATCGTAATATTGAATTTTGTCCAAAAATTTAGTCGGTCGCTGCTGACAACCGAATCTATTCGGAATAAATGCCGGCAAATCATCACCGACACTAACAACAGCAATAGAAGTATTTTGTTGTTGATGAATCGATGATTCAGTTGTTGTTGTTGTCGATGTTGTTGATATTTCTGATTGTTGTTGAGGTCGGGATCCTATCAAATGTTTGTTTGACGATAATGTTGTCTTTACTAGGTCAACAATAACGGTAGACGGAGAATGAGATGATCCATACGATTTGGATATTATATCGATGAGAAATGAATGATGATCATCATTGCCATCAGCTACAAAGCGATTATTTTCAATGATCGTCGACGATGAGGGCGAAGATATGATCAATAATGGTGATGATGATGTATTATTGTCATGTGCATCACATCCAACAGTCAAATTATGATTGGGCGCCAATATAATATCCATATTTAATGTCGATCTTGATTTTCGGTCTATTATCGTTGTAGTTGATGCTCGTTGCTGTTGACGCGGTTCCATTATCAAATCAGTCTTGTTATTATTGCTATATGTTTGTTGCTTCTTATGTATCATTGCTGCTTTAGTGTTATAATAATTCAGTTTATCACTCCAAATAATCTTCATAATCATCCTTATCATTGTTTTTTGGTAGCTGCCGTGGTTATTACTGCTGGTAATTCCATAATTGATTCATACGTCATTAGATCATTGCAGGTTGGTAGTGACTTTTGGAGGTGGTGATTATCAACCATTATCAGCCAAGCTCTTTCTAGTTAGAGTTGCCATTTTGGACCATTGAGATTTTGTTATTATTTGCTGATGATGTGCGGCAGTATCATCAACCATAGTGGCTAACAAGAACAATGGTGGTGATAAAACATTTTTAATGGGTAACCGTAGCATCATCATCACCAATTGATCAAGGTATATTATTTAATATAGATTTTTTGTTGGACAATCCATGTGACTGTTGTTATTGTCGTCTTTTATTTGTGATTTGTTGTGTTTCATTCGAATCGGTTCCATAGAATGTTAGTGTTACATTTGATTTGAACAGTGCATTTTTCGTACAATTGGGTTTTATCATCAAAAAGGAATAATTCTTGGCATCGGATAACTAGGCTTCACGCTAGTCTTAACGTTATATCTTTCTTTTTAATTGGAACGATTTGAGCCGTCCACCCACTATGCCGACTTTTGCGATGGATGTCCATCTCTAAAAGTTCTTTGATTTCCTTTCTGGCCATATCCATGACTGCAACGGGAAAACGTTCTTCTTGAAACCACTTCTTCTTGAACAACTTCTTGATGTTAATTTCTTCATCTTCGCTAGCTTCAGCCAACCAAAAACCATGAGAAATTTATCTCGGAAAAAACCATTGATAGATCAGGAATGGAATTTTTTGAGCCAGATAATATGTTAGTCCATGAACGGACTTTGGCCAACGCTCCAAGAATGTGATTTTATTGCAAGCGATTTCACAAGTAAAAACAAATAGTTTAAAAGTAACACCAGTCATTTAAATAATAAAATAAAAGTAAAAATCTAATTATGGAACACCCATACTACTAAATTTTATTAGAACTAAGATTCAATGAGAATTTTTTTTCTATTCATGATTTTTAAGAATTTTTTTTTCTATTAGAAAAAACTGAAATTTTAGGCATTATACAAATGATGAAGTTTATCAATTTTATTTGTGTATAAAAAAAAGATAGATATCTATTTTGCAACAATTTTTATTCATTGTCAAATCTTTTTTATTTTATTCATCACAATCGCGATTGGTAATAATGATAATAACCAGTAATGATGACATTGAAATGAAAAATTTGGCCAAAAATCAAACATGAAATTGTGGAAAATATCTCATCAAAATAAGATGGATAAATTTTTTTTTCAGACTTAATATCTCAAATTTCAATACGGATGAAAAAAAATTGTTCATCATTTATCAATCATAATAATCATTGAACAATCACGTGCAATTTGAATTTGGAGAAAAGAACTTTGAAATGTCTGAATGGTTTGAAATATTTTTTTATCAATTGTGAAACAAGATGTTTCCGGATTATCATCTGTCGATCGATCGATTTATAATCAAACGGCTTAGAAATATATTATATTAATGCCAAATAGGTTAGTAGGTATATGACAGTGTTTTTAAACCTAAACTAACGATTATTTTTTTTTTTTTTTTGATGATACGATAACGGATAGGCACAATTTTCAATGATGAAAATGAATTTATCTACTAAAGAAAATGAATCAAATCAGAATTTTATCAACAATCAATCAATCGATGAATGAATGTTGTAGTTGTTGTTTTAGAATGCAAGTGAAAAAAAATGGGAAGTTTCATTAAAAACTTTTGAAAAAAAAATAACCAAAAATTTATTTTCAATATTTGAAGACCAAGAAAAAAATCTCTCATCAATAACAACGAACAATTTTTGGAAAATAATTTATCGCCTATGTGGTGACACTACAACTGCTGCTTTTTTTTTTTTATTCTCGCTTGCCACCGGAAAATTGTATCATTGTATACAGATGACATTGTTTTAAGCAAAATGGTGTTTTCATTTTTTTTTCATTAGAAAGGATTTTTTTTCAATAAACAATGTCATTCATTGTACATTTTATTATTTTTTTTTTTTTTTTTAAATAAAATGATAAATCATACAAAACTAGCGAGAAAAATCCAATTTTTGTGATCATAAATATCAGTGAATGGCAATATCTATTAGTGGGTGGAATATAATAATAATAATAATGTATTCATAAAACCCTTCAAAAAAAAACTCATTTAGCAAAATCTAAAAGTAAATCTTCACAATTTAAGAGAGGAGTGTCTTGCAAATATTTTCATTACCAGAAAAAAAACAAATATTTGAATCTATAAAGTTTTTCTCATCATTTTTTTTTCTTGTTTAGTTACAGAAAAAAATGGGCATAGAAAAATTGAGCAAATCATTCAATCAATTGATTGATCGATCGATAGATTGTATGGATAAGATTAGACACACATCAATAAATGCAAAGAATTGCGTAATACATTCCCATGTATCAAATTGATCTAAAATTGTTAATAATTAATATAGAAAAAAATCAAATAACTATGCTATATGCTAAAACTGACTGCTTGATGTCTGTATACTTGATTTGCTTATCTACATTCATTCATTCATTCAATAGAACAATATATACAATAATAATATGCTATGGAAAAACTCATTATCATCAAATTGATTGATTCGATTGTATTGAAACACTCAAAATATATAGTAAAAAATTGCCTCAAATTGGTTATGATAGACAAGTGTGATAATGGATGCGGGTGCGTGTGTGTATTTGGGTATTCAAAAGTACCTTTAAAAATTATATGGAGTACATTTGATACAAATCATCGAACAGTTTAGAAATTTGAGCCAAATTCATTAATATCGACACAAAAGAATAACATTAAAATCCATTGATTGATCTTATGGTCAAATTATAAACAAAATAAACAAAGTCATTGTCATTGTTGTCAATAATTTTTAGAACAATTTCAATCAAAATCACTAAAAATCAAAAAAATATAAGGGTGAAATATAAAGGTGAAAAAAAACAATTTTTGAAAAGCATAATGAAAAAAAACGTGCCTGATTCACTATGATGATGATGATGATGATGATGATGATGAAACTGTGATGAGTCAATCATCAAGTATCATGTACTAAAGAAATAAACAAAACAAAACAAAAAATTCAATACAAAACTTACCTTTCATTTTAATCATTTATTATGTTAATATTTATTTATTTGAATGAATTGTTTCAAAATTATATTGATATATAAAGTCAATCATTATTCTGTAATGAACACATGAATGAAAGCAAATAAATAAATTGATGATGAAAAAGGAAATGGGAAAAAAACGAGTACAAACGCAATGTTAATTAGTGTCGCCCTCTAATGGCGCCCATCAGTACAAACATTTTAACATTCTATAGAATGTGCATTTGAGAGAATTTTAAAAGTTTCAAAATCTTGAAATTCCAATAAAAACAAAACTTACCATCATTAACATAATATTTATTATCACAAATTTCAATCATAATTTTCAACTTTTTGAACACTGAATAAATGTTCGCTGCTTGTTCCCACCAATTACCAACTTAGTTCATTTTGTTAGAATGGTCAATTTACAATTCACTTTTTATATTCTCAGAAAATGAACTGGGTTCTTCATATGGTTCGTTTGGAATATGAAGTAATTTTTTTCAATTTCTTGTTGAAGTGTAGGAAAAGGGTTGGTTTTTCTTGGTAAAAAAAATAGAATAAAATAACGGAATCTATTCATTTATTCATTGAATTTTTTTGGCTTGTCTTTGTTATAATAACGATTGGTTTAATCTTTTAATTATAATTACAAATTCGATTCTCTCACGCTTGTACCTACTGAGTGTTAATATTGTGTACTTGTTGTGTGTGTGTGTGTAAAAGTCAGTGACAGTCATTTTATTTTTATGGTCTTTGTGTTTGTGTTTCGTTTGGTTTTCTAATTAACGACGAGCCAACATTCAATTTTACCAATGACCATGAATCAATAATCATACCATTGAATACACACGCACAAAATCAAGGTCAAGAAGAATTTATGGCACATGAATCAAAATTTAGTCAAAAATTTTTAAATTGATAAAACAAACAGCTGTCAATGATTGGGTGGGTTCGATATCAGATTTGATCTGGTTTGGCTTGGCCTTTTTTTTCACAGCTTTACTGATTATAATTCATCATCATTCGAAGATTGATTGATTGTGAACAAAGATTTTTATCGATTCTTATCTTGTGTATTTTTTGAATTTATTCATCATACTTTTAATATGATAAAATATCATCAAATTGATAAGAATATTTATTTATTTTTCACCATATATTAGTAGTGTGATAGCAAGAACAGCAAATAATTTTTCTGGTGTCTGAATTTTAAAGCCGTTTATTTTCGGATCTTGGTTGATGTGATTGATCCCAGTCATAATAATTATCATCGGCTGTAATGCCCATACGAAATAAGACATATCGAAATTGGCTTATTATCTGACGATAAGGTGGGCGTTCATTGAAACGAATTTTCTTCACAATTTCAAGAAAATTCTCATATTCAACTGGCATATTTGAACAAAGTTCTTTACTTGTTGTCGTCATTTTGATTATACCGATCTGTTTGGTTCTTTCACGTAAATCAGCAACGTTCAATCCTTGCCATGGTAATTGGCCTTTATGTAGAAAGATGATCATATAAATTATAGCTTCAAGATCATCTCGTCGACTCAATTCACGGCCCACATGATTATTGACACTAATATAACGTGCTGTTCCCGTTACGCCTTTACCTTCCACATAGCTAATATGTCGATTATCTTCATTAATATATCTTTTGCAAAATCCTAAATCTATCGCCAACACAAGAAAATAAAGGTTAAATAAACAAAAACAAAAGTCAATTTTTAAAAATTGTCATACCAATCATATGGACTGTAGCCCATTTTGACGTATTGGGTTGACCGAATAGGAAATTGTCTGGTTTCACATCACGATAAATGATACCTTGACTATGTATATATTCGAAAATATTGAGCATTTGTATCATTAATTTGGTGGTCGTAACCAAACCAAAATGACCACCACAAATTTGATTCATTTTCAATAAAGATGGCCCAAGTAGATCCATTACAAGTGCACTATAATTTTTACAAGGACCAAAATAATGTATTTTTGGTATAAAAATCATATAGTTTCCTAATGTTTTATAAAATCCATATTCCAATGGTAATTGTGGTTTATCAATATCGGCTCTTTCAACTTTGATGGCTACTTTTTCTCCAGTTTCATTGTTTGTACCGATATAAAGTGAACCGAACGATCCACCGGTTACATAAAAGCCAATTGTGAAATTTGAATTCCCAACACGTTGATTGACCAATATAGCTGAATCGCTGGATGTATCCTGCGAGGTTGCCATTTGTCACGTATGCATATTGTTTTCTTAGTACATATCGTTTATAATCATTTACATCCTGTATTGTTAGAACCTTAATTCAATTGAGAATAACAAAAAAGAAATTTTCATTTCAATTTGGCCGATTGATCTTAATTTGATTTTCGAAATCTAATAATCGATTGTTGATTGATAAGAACTCAAGCATCATCCAGATTTTAGTGTTCGTTAAATACATCTCCGGTTCCATATCACAACATGAGCATTATCAGAGAAAACGTTTTTAATTTTTTTTTTTTTTTGGTTTATACGGATCAAACATAGGGGTTTTCAAAAATAGAAAAAAATCATCTAAAAAAAGTCTGGAAACAACAATCAAAAGAAAAATGGATTTGAAAAATCTGTTTTGCATCATCTTTTCGACCTCTATATTTTTCATTGGCTACTGTTCAGCAGATTATGGTAAGTTCGTTATTCATTCATAGTCAAATCTTTTTAAATTGAAATATATTTTGCCCATGTGAGTAGAAGATTTGAAAACCTTATCATTGAAAATTGGCGAAATGAAATGCCTAAATGTGCCTAATATATCGGAATTTCTTTGGAATTATCATTCGTTAAAAAATCAACCAAATTTTGGTGACAATTATGATGAATTACAATCATTGTTGGCTCAGACAAAAGTCTTATATTCAGCTTTGAATGATCAGATTAGTTACTATGCTCAATCTGAACATCAAATACAATTTTCCAATCAAAATTATTTCAATCTAATGATCTATTGGCATATACGTTCGATACAATGTCAAAGTTTATATATGGTATTCAAATGGATCGAACAAGATCTGCTACGATTTCGTGAGGACCATTCATCCATTCTTCGTGAGGTATTTGATGATGGCCAATTTCAGATGAAAATGTCGAATTATATTGAAAAACATTATTTGACCGATCTGGAAATATTCAATCAATTGGATTATGATATATTTGATTTTGTTCGAAAAGCAGCCAAACATGTTGATAAAAATAGCATTATCAATCGACTACAAAAACTACATCAATTATTTGATGAGATAAATGATGGTCTTACCAAAGACATAATTTCACCGGCACATGATGAACTATATAAAAATGGATTAGATTTTTCTATGCAAAGTCATGTATTGATCTCTTCGACACTTGGCTATTACCGATGGTTAACCGATTTTATGCGTCAATTTCAGGAAACATTCCAGAAACATTATCCTTGATTAATGATTAACAAATCCATCAATATCCATTATCAATTGATTGAAAAAAATAAAACTGTGTACCACAACTGAAAAAATTTTTTAATTCTGTCTATAACAAACTAAATCCAAAACTAGTCAATTTTTTTTTATTTTTATCACTAAACCGAAGGTCAAATCATTTTATATTTAATTGTTAACCTTGATCAGATCAAGGCGATAACATTTAATTTTCTTCTGAATGTAAGGAATCGTGAGACAAAATTTTATAGATTCTTTATCTTGATGATGATAATTGAATAGAGTGATCATGATTCAAGGATCAATGGTGGTTGAGTATTTCAATGAGAGTTCTGGTAGTTTGTTTCATTCATTTTCATTTCATTGACATTCAATGACACCATTGCATACGATTGAATCAGAACAATAAGAAAAAATGAAATTTTTTATTATTGTTTTGACAATTTCTTCAATAACAATTTTGAGCATCATGTGGTTTATTTAAATCTTTATTTTGAGATGCATAAAGATTTAATGGGCATCGATGATCTATAACAGAATAATTTTTAAATCATTAGCACATAATTTGTGAATACATCAAACAAAAGACGTATCATGATGAATTGTGTTCGAATCGTGATTTTAATTCAAACGAATCAAACTTATGATTAAATTCTTTAAAAATGTATTAAATTATGATTTATCGATTGTCACAAGGCCATAATGATAATTTGTTGCTTATCTTAATCCGCTTTTTCGAAATGGGCCAACAATCTTGAGGAATGAAGAGGATCATCAATCGATTGATTAATTGATATGTTTCATTAATATACACAGACAATTTGAAAAAAGTGTTGCCCAACCAATAGTTACATACGACGATGGCAAAGATGATAATGATAGAATCTGATTAAAACAATAATGTCTATAATCGAGTCACCTGAGTGTGTAAATTAGATAACAAAGATGATGGCTATGAAAAGGAAAAAACCAATTGAAATCCAGGATATATAATCGATTAATGGGATGACAAAACTTATGATAACGATATTTCATCATTTACATTTGCAATTTGTAAATCATCCGATTTATATAAATACCATTGGAATCCATTCATTCATTATCATTGTGATTTTTTCTTTCTTTTTCCATCAAAATTAAAAATTCATCAAAAATGAAATTCGTTTTGGCCATTGCCTCTTTGTTGGTATTGAGCACTGTTTATGCTCGTCCAGCTTCAATCAAAACTTTTGAAGAATTCAAAGTTTGTTTTCCATTAATTCTATTTTGTTATTTCATATATAATATCCATTTACTTTTGCCGATCATTGTAGAAAGCCTTCAACAAAAACTATGCCACCGTTGAAGAGGAAGAAGTTGCCCGTAAAAACTTTTTGGAATCATTGAAATATGTTGAAGCTAACAAAGGTGCCATCAACCATTTGTCCGATTTGGTAAGTCGAAAATCATCATATTCTTAGACTTTTCAATCAATATATTTTTTACTAGTCATTGGATGAATTCAAAAACCGTTATTTGATGAGTGCTGAAGCTTTTGAACAACTCAAAACTCAATTCGATTTGAATGCCGAAACAAGCGCTTGCCGTATCAATTCGGTTAACGTTCCATCGGAATTGGATTTACGATCACTGCGAACTGTCACTCCAATCCGTATGCAAGGAGGCTGTGGTTCATGTTGGGCTTTCTCTGGTGTCGCCGCAACTGAATCAGCTTATTTGGCCTACCGTAACACGTCTTTGGATCTTTCTGAACAGGAACTCGTCGATTGCGCATCTCAACACGGATGTCACGGCGATACAATACCAAGGTTAGGTCCCTCTCCAATTAAAATTACAATATTAATTAACAATAACAATAATAATCAGAGGCATCGAATACATCCAACAAAATGGTGTCGTTGAAGAAAGAAGCTATCCATACGTTGCACGAGTAAGTTTGATTTGATTAAATCTAAATAAAAATCAAAAATTGTATTGAAAAAATTGCTAGGAACAACAATGCCGACGACCAAATTCGCAACATTACGGTATCTCAAACTACTGCCAAATTTATCCACCAGATGTGAAACAAATCCGTGAAGCTTTGACTCAAACACACACAGCTATTGCCGTCATTATTGGCATTAAAGATTTGAGAGCTTTTCAACATTATGAGTATGTTTTGCAATTCATTAAAGAATTGATGAATTTTAATCTTTTATCATTTATTTTTTAGTGGACGAACAATCATTCAACATGACAATGGTTATCAACCAAACTATCATGCCGTCAACATTGTCGGTTACGGAAGTACACAAGGCGTCGATTATTGGATCGTACGAAACAGTTGGGATACAACCTGGGGTGATAGCGGATACGGATATTTCCAAGCCGGAAACAACCTCATGATGATCGAACAATATCCATATGTTGTAATCATGTGAACATTTGAAATTGAATATATTTATTTGTTTTCAAAATAAAAACAACTACTCTTGCGAGTATTTTTTACTTTTATTTTTGTTTTGGTTTCGGCTTTTATGATATTGTTTCCGTCTTCTAGGATACCTATAGGTATCTATATCTGTTTTCGTTAATCATGGCGCCAAATGTTATTGGCCGATTTTTGCTATAGTTGATAGTCCAATACGTTTCTTTTGTGATTAAATAAATCTCTTAATGCCTCTTGGTCTTGAACGGTTAGGCTATCTTTTTTGGAGAATCGATTACCACATATTCGACACATAAAAATATTCCTAGCTTTATGATTTAAGATGAACATTAAGTTCATAGTGACTTTCAAACCTATATGTACATTTGGGGCAGGGAAATTTCGACATGTTCTTCAACGCTAATGATGGATTTTTATAGGCATTCTATATGGATTTCATCGACGACGCATCCTGCCGATGTGGTTTTAACCATATGTCATCGTCTAATTGCCCTTCACCTTTTAAACATTAATGCATTCGACTGGACAATGTTAATACTGATTATTTGACACAATTCACCAGAGATTCAAAAATTAATTTAAAACAAATGTAAACAACAGATATATTATTATTTTCGTTTTTGTTTATTGTATCTAATTTATAAATTGTTGTTATATCCGTGAATTTGTTTGCTCAGGTGGAACCCAGAATTTTTTTCTTCATATTCAGTTAATGGAGGGGCCCGCGTCGCGAGTGCAAGCTATTGTTGTTAGCGCCCTGGGCTCATGGATTGGTTGATCCGCCTCTGTGTTGAATTAAAATGAATTAAGTGAATGAATGAAATGCCAATATGAAATTCGTATAAAAGAACAATTGGAAGAAAAACAATTAGCCATTTCAAACCAACTAGCCGGTCTTTACTTCCACAATGCATTTTCTGTCTCGTCTGTTTCGTTAAGTGGGTAAAGACTGTGCCAATCAATCTGTCAATAGTGTCCGTTTCCCAACATTGCTGCGAACTTATTACGATGACGATGCAATACATCGTAGTTTATTACATGTATGTTGACAAGGAAGTTTAAGATCAAACCGGAATTTAGGTTTTTTTTATTTTAAACCTTGAATTAATTGTCTTGGCAATGTTTTATCTTCGCATCAATTTGCGATAATGAAAAGGATTTTTAAAAATCGATTAATTTTTGATATAGAAAGAGATGGCTAATAATGATTCCACTTATAATCATCTTAAATCGATATCAAGCTATTATAATGATCTAATATCTAAGATAGGATGGTCTTGTTCTTATAAAAACAACATTGTTCATTTGATGGGATTATATTTTTTTGCCATCGTCATTGCCATTGAAAAACAAAATGAAATTCATTCTTACATTGTTGATTTTGGGTTCTGTAGCCGTGAATGCTCGGCCATCTTCGATCGAAACGTTTCAACAATTCAAAGTTTGTATAATCCAAATAAATCATTTCATTTATACGATTCTTTATTTTTTCCCATTTTAGAGAGCATTCAATAAACAATATGAGAGCGTTGATCAAGAGGAAATTGCACGGCAAAATTTTCTTGATTCATTGAAATTTGTTCAAACACATGATAATGCTGCAATCAATTCATTCTCAGATTTGGTATGTACAAAATGAAAGTTAATTTCATACAAAAAATGATCGTGATTTATTTTTAGTCAACCGAGGAATTCAAAGCCAAATTGATGATGAGTGATGAAACTTTTGAACAAATTACAGCTGGTGTTATCGACGATGATGGTGTACGTGGCTGTGAAATTACACAGAAAAATGTTCCAGCCAGTCTTGATCTCCTGTCAATGGGTTATGTGACATCAGTCAAATCACAAGGTCCATGCGGTAGTTGCTGGGCTTTCTCCTGTATTGCTTCGGTTGAATCAGCATATCTAGCAACCAAAAATCAATCCTTAAATCTTTCGGTACAAAACCTTATGAATTGTGCATCTACTCATGGTTGCCATGGTGAAGCACCACCAACAGCATTTAAATATCTCCAAAAAACAGGTGTTGTAGACGCCAAAGTCTATCCATATTTTCCTAGTGTGAGTTCCATTTCTGGTTGAATAATATTTTATATTGAATAATTTACATTGTAGGAAGAGCCATGTCGTTAACGTTATTACGAACATTCAACACATTATCATATCAAAGATTTTTGTCACATATATCCGGTCAATGAAGGAAATTTGAAACAAATTTTGGCGCAAAACCATACTGCCATTTCGGTCATCATTGGCATTAAAGATCTTTCGGCTTTCCGTCATTATAAGTATGTTAATTTTATTATCCTTCCGTATTTATCATTATTAACCAAAACTATTTCATACAACAGCGGTAACTCCATAATGCGTGAAGATAATGGTAGTCAAGTCACTTATCATGCTGTGAACGTTGTCGGCTATGGTAGCGAAAACGGTGTCGATTATTGGAATGTTAAAAATAGTTGGGGACAATCGTGGGGACAGAAAGGTTTTTTCCGTATGGAAATGAACAAAGATTTGATGGGCATCGCTGATTGGGCCTATGTTGTAACCGTTTAATTATTACATTTATCATGATGAAATTTGATTCGACAACACATAATTTTGACAAACACATTTTTTCAACCATCAAATTCGAGTCAAAATTTTCTCCAAAATTGAAATAATTTAAGAAAAGAAAGAATAAAATTGACAAAAAACTATTAATGAATTATTTATTGAATTTTGTGAATAGATTTGATAAGAATGGAATTTCTTAAATGGATATGATCACAATGTTGAATGAATGAAAATGCAAATCTTTTATACAGAATATTATATTATTATAAGCAATTTTTAAAATCAAGATTCAAATCATTATGAGATTGAGAAAAACAATCCAGGTTACGATATGCATATTTGTGATGATATAACGAAAGAAAAAATTAATTCAACAGTATATGCAAGGCTCAAATGTAAATGTTGACATTTTGCTCTTCATGGTTCTCATCGACATTGTGCTGATGATGGACATTTGTATAATGATCATCGGTTTGATCGATTTCTATCGGTGGCAATAATACTGGTCTCAATGATTCCGATTCATCAAGGTGTTGTTGATGTTCAGACTGAATCTCATCAACGTCTTTAGTTATTGATGGTTTTTTCACAGGGAGAGATGGCGGTTCTTGTTTGATAACCGCTGCTGTTCCATTGTTTATTTTTATCATAGAGACATTTCGATTCATTTGATTGGTGTTATTAATCTGGCTCAATGAATTCTCCAAAATTTCGGTCATAGCCGGTATTGATGCAATCACTTGTTTTACCGCTATACTATTGGCACATTGATTACATCCAACGCATACGGCATCATGACAAATAATCGATTTTTGTTCCTCTTCTCGATTACCAGTTGTCATCATCACCATAGCTGTTTTACCATAATTGATATTCGTCGATAATGTAGGTTGTTCTATAGAAGATTGCGGTGAGCAAACAGTGTTTTGTCGAGATGTTGTACTTGTTAATGAAACCATGCGATGATTATTCGGTGTGGCAGGCTTCGATGTCCAATGTAATGGCTGTGCGCCCACACTTGCTGCATAGATTTCTTCTTTTGAGGTTAATTTGTCTTCTTGAGTATAATATGTAGCTCCATGTTTTCGATAAATGGCTATAACAACCAGTATTAGGGCTACTAAGCTGAGAATGATCAAGAATGCTAATATAAGACCCACTTGTGGTTCGGATGCAGTGAGCCGTAATTGGACTTCTGGATTCGTACACCATTCTAGTTCATGATTTAAACCTGGTTCATGTAGATATCGGCCTTCCAATGATGATGGAATCGAACAACGAGCACAATGAATCAATCGATCAGGATCATCAGTTAATCTCGGGCAAACTTTCCAATATTCAGCCGGATCAGTATTCAGCCAATCAATGAATGGTAATATTTGGCAACGGTAACAAGAAAAAGGATTTCCATGTAGATATACTTGAGAAAGAAATCGCATATTTCGAAACATTAAAAATGTGCTTGGATCAATAAATGGTAGTTTATTGTTCGATACATCCAAAGTAGTTAACGCAATGGCCATTGGACTCAATAGACGACTATTCAGCTCGGTTAAACGATTGTTGGATATATTCAGAAACACTAACGATTCCAAAGAATCAAACGCAGATTCAGGCAGTGATTCATCTAGATTAATCTCGGTGGCAGATAAAAGTTTCAATCGCCGTAATGGCTGCAAAAGAGCAACAACGGAGGAAGGTGAATCAATTAAATATCGATTTCGATCTATGCATAGTTGTTCCAGAGAATTTGAAATCGGCTCCAGTAAACCAGCACTAAACGATGTTATTTTGTTATTGGAGATATCAAGTTTTTTAATTGCGTCTGCTTGACAGAACACACAATTCGTCAACGGGTTGATAAGATTTTTTGATAAATCCAAACTATTCAAATTGAGACCAGCGAATATTCGGTCTGGTAAAACAGTCAACGAATTACGATGAAGCAGGAGAACACGCAAATTCACGAGACCTTCAAATGAGGATCGATTCAAATGTTTCAGATGATTATCACTGAGATCCAAATATTCCAAATTTGTCAGTTCTAGATGTTAAGAAAAATGAATTAAATACCATTAATAACACAAATATAATAATTTATATATACCTCGGAATGTAAAACCATCAATTCTGACCAATTGACAACCATTCAAATTAAGAAGACGAAGATTAGGCAAGCCTCGAAGCTCATCCGACCGAATTTCAGACAGTGGATTCTCACTTAAATCGAGCTCTTCCAATGAATTTAACGAATGAAATATCAATGGTACTAGCTGATTAAGTTTATTTCTTGCTAATGACAATTTCATTAAACTTGATAATTTACCAAATGGAGCCGAGGGCAAGCCAGTGGATAGATTGTTATCGCTCAAGTCTAAAATTTCCAGTGAATCAAGACAGTAGAAATTACCTTGCACAACAGCATTAATATTATTATGGCTTAGATCAAGAATTTTGATTGAAGATTGGCAAGGATTACAATGAAAAGGGCAAAATGTCATTTCACCGATTGCTGGCAATTTACTTCTGATTATTCGAATCTCTTCTAAATTGGTCATATTGGTAAATATACGGCCCAGAGTTAACGAATTGTATCGATTCTGTTTTGGTGTTATGTTGATCACCTGTTAATCAAGAAAAATTGATATTCAACTTTTGTTTGCATCAATAATAAACTCGATATACCTGTGTCTCTTGATCCATTTTATCGATTGGTATGTTTTGCATTGATGCTGCACAGGTGACCGTTTTACGTTTTTGATCATCAACATCACAGACACATGGTGGCGATGGACAACGTTTGGGTAATAATGGTGAAAAAAATGGCGATACAGTATGTCTATCGGCGAATACCATTAATCGATTCTGGCTGCTACTACCAAAAGCAAAGATCATAACCAGGAGCAAGTTGATGATTACCGACATCATTGTCCTACATATGAAGGAAAAGAAAAAAAACTGGATCAATTTAGATTGATGATACAAAAGAAAAAATAACAAATATTCTTTGTTCATATTATTTATTAGATAATCAAAAAAAAAACTAAGCCACCAAATACCATTTTTCCAATGTAATAAAATAGATCAGAATCATCAAAAAAGGTGTGGTTCGATCCAAGCCGAAAAAAAATCTTATCAAATCATTAATTCTATTGCCTGTGTATTGTGAACAAAATTGTATCTAAAAAAAAAAAAAAACGTGCGTGTATTCATATGATCGACGAACAAAATTGTAGTTCAAATTCTTTTTATCCTCATTCATCCAATGGCCTCATTTTTTCATATTCATGTTCTGATTAAATTTATTTTTTTCCAGACATAATCACAACTTGATCCTATGAAAAGGAATCGATGTTTTTTACTTTTAAACACGCGGGGGATAGCGAGATAAACAATTACAATATTAATCATTAATATATGGAACATATTCTCATCACATTTTTTTTCATTGAAAAATAGAGTCAAGTATGTACTTGATGGATATTTTTTTCCGAGAAAAACTTAAAAATTGAAATCGATATTTTTTTTTTTTGGTTTTTAAGTATTGATTTAAGACTACATTGTGATCAAATTGTGTAGCTCGTGATCGCATTATATCGTATATTGTTGTATTACAGGAAAAATGGCAAAAATAATGATGTTATTTGCAATCTTTTTGGTCTTGTTTTCCGGTATAATTATAAACCTAATATTCATTCCAATCATAAATAATATTTTTTTCCATATCAATAGGAACAATGGCTGAATCATTATTCATTTATGATGATTATTCATGTGGTTCGTATGGACATGATGTCAATGAATTAATCGAACAATTTCAACTATTTAAAAAGAATGAACACAATCAAAATGAATCAATTGAAATTATTGGCCATTTTCTTAAAAAAATAAGAGAATATCGTGTCGAGGCGATTAAAGTGATGCTTGAAACCGATCGAAAATTATTGACACTCAATAATTCACAGATAATATTGAATATACAATATCAGAAAAAAAAGATTCGATGTGAAAACTTGAAACATTTATCCGAATTATTGACCATGCACTTATTGGCTTATAAACAAGGAATGTTTGATTTTGCCGAAGAAATCGACCCGGATGTTAATTTTGATCGTCAATTTAAGAATTTTTTAGACAGATCATCTGAAGTAATGAATATTAATGAATTTAGCGAAATAGAAAAGAAATGGTCAAATAGTTCAGCGAAAAAACTATTGAAGAATGACATTGATGGCTTGATAACAGCGTTAGATGATTTGCGAGAAGATTTTTTGAAAAACATCATATTGCCAGAATTCGATGCTCAATCACGTTATGATTTGTATTTTTCTATTCAAGATCAAATTAATATCCGTTCAACATTGAAATTGTTTGGTACGATAAAAATGTTTATGAAAGAATTGTTGGATGATTTGAATCAACCAGATTTTGAAATTTTATATTAATAAACTGTATACGGTATTTTTTTTCTTTATAAATAAATGGTATGTTTGTTTCTGATTATTGATTATTGAGTGACTTGAACAAATAAATCTTGGATTACCAAACAATCATAATAATTAAGGCATTTCAATGTTCAAAGTTCAATACAACACTATTTATTTATTGATTTGTTATCGATCTGATGTAGTTAGAATTGAATTATGTTGAATGAATGAATGATTTTTAATGACAAGTCAAGTAGTGGTGTTTGAACAACAAGACAAATAACTTATCTATAAAGGAATTCGAATTGAGTAACATTGGAAACTTTTATCATGAATCTCTAATGTTCTTCTTTGATAAATAAAACAGGATTTGTAGTCTAAGTGTAATGAGATTTTAAATTTCATGACAAAGTTTTTTTATGATTGAAATCAACTTGTGGATAAAATGGATCAACTTTTTTTTTATTGTCATCATCATCTTCATAAGTTACTGGCATCAGAAAAGGGGCAAAAAATATCATGTGACAAAAAATATGTCATAACCGATCACGATGATGACATTTTTATGAAGTTTTTTTTCAACAGTATCAGTGTCAAGTATCCAATCCAATTCATTATCGAAAAAAAACTGGTTAACTGTGTAAATGAGAATAATTTTTCCTTTGTTGAAAAATAAGAATCTACTGCAAATATATGTAGTTAGGTTGATGTTCATTGTTATTGTCTCGTAGTATTTTTTTTTTCATTATTATATCTAGATTTAACAAGGCGATAACAACAAAATCATCATAATAATCGTGTTCAAGCTAAAAATAAGCCACAACACAACCAATGGCTACAAATCGGACAAGAAAAAAATTCATTCGATTTTCATACACATAAACACAAGCACATGTGTGTGATTCATTATATTTTTAGAATAGAAAAAACCAGCAATGAATCCAAATATTAGTAAAAATGGGCATTTAAAAAAAATTTTGTCCTTCATAAGAAAATTCTCAACGAATCAATAAGACAAATTCTCAAATTCTCGGAATATAATACATACCTGGATTTTTTATTTTTTTTCTAATGATTAAATTAATAAATTAATTATTCAATGAGAAGTGAATGATGTCGATGAGAAATTGTTCTTTAAATAAATGATGATGAATGAATGAAACTTCGCATTATTGATGATTGAATAATAATTTTCATTTGATTGAATAATACAATTTGATGGATGAATCAACGGATCCAGAATTATTTCATTTGGTTGAAACACTGTTGTTGTTCGTGTAATATACGTTTGTAACCTGAATGTCAATGATGATGATGATGATGAAGATTCGTTTTCACTATTTCTGTTGTTAAAGAAATGACTAACCACAAAGAGAGTTTTCACTCATATGAGAAAACCATTTCTCCCGCGCGCATAACTAAATAATTTTCATTTTCATTTTTTTTTTTTTTTGGTTCATGACATGACGGGTGTCAATACACACATACACGCATACACGCATTAGATGGCATTATATGAAAATTTTGAAATCGTGCAACAGCCATATGTGGATCCATGTGTCTGTCTGTTGTAGATTCGAGTACCACTACGATCGATCACTGTATATTTCAGAATATATGTAACATACATACATGAGAGTCAAGTATATTCGGTAAGTTTTATTTGTAACCCACCATCATCATATATTTTTGGTTCTATTTGTCGGTGTTTGTGTGTGTGTGTGTGGCAGCTGTTCCGAAACCAACAAACATCAAATGGTCAAAAAAAAACAACGATGAACCAAAGAAAAAAAGAACGTCTTGATTGTCGTGGTTTGATCGGATTTTTCATTCTGTTTGTTGTCGTGGTTGTTGTTGATGATGATGACAACATATTGTAGGCGTTTTTTTTTTCATTGGCCATTGATGGACATGACTTGATTCAATTTGATTAATTAATTGTTAACATGGATATATTTCTGGGTGTTGTTTTATATAATACGTAATCTAACAAGAAAAAAAATGATTTTATCGAAAAGTGTGTGAAAACCATATTTTCTAAATCTAGCCATCAATAAAAGCGGATTATCAATATAAATAATTGGTTACCCATTTTTGTTCGATTTTTGTAGAATCGTTTGGAAATTGTCCTTAGTAATCACCCGCTTGAGGATTATTGCCAACCACAGCTCACACACAAAATGGTACAAACGGGCCAGATCTGTCCTCATTTTATTTGCATCGGAAGAAAATTTAATTCATTCATTCAAAATTTTCTACAATACATGCACATATAATCACACTTCAAAGAATGAATACAATAGATTTTTTGATTATAAACTCAACAATTATTTTGGTCACATTTGTATTGTTCCATACATGAGGACCCTGTATAGCTAGGACTCGAATCTTCAATTCATTGTTGTCATATCCGGACTTTAGCACCCTACACCCCAAAATTACAAACACACACACACACACACACACTGATATATGAACCCAGTCATGTGTTTGCGGACAAAAAAGGCCACTCTATTGAATCTATTTTATTTCGTCTATAGTACCATAAAAAGTCAATTGTGTACCGGTGCTGTGTTGTTAATTTTTAGAAAAAATCGTTTTCAATGATATCGAATTCATTAAAAATGTACGTTCTAAGTAATGGAAAAAACCTTGAAAATCTTTGATTTTTGTTTCTTGACTATATTTAATCATGAGATTCCCCATCGTCGTCGTCTTCGTCGTCGATGATGATGATGATTGATAATTTAATTTCAAATTCTGTATACCGGTGGTGTTAATGTGAGTTGCAAAAACCAATACGATAACATCAGTCCTAGCCACAACGCTGTGTATACTTACTATAACGAATTGCTTTTGTATATCAAATGTTTTGGTTTGATGAACAAAAAAAAATTGAATGAACAATTTTTTCGGGTGTAAGGAAATGTGGTAAAAAAAAATCCATACGGAAATTCACTTTATTGTTAGATTTTAGTTTCTAATCATGCGTTACCACCACCCGATGATGAGGAATTAATTATTCGAGTTTGCCTTAATTATCATCAACAACATTGATAGTGTGGAATCTAATACTTTATTTTGCAACCATAATCACTTCACTTTTATCGTGCAGTGAGAAAAGCAAAGTTGTTATCAGAACCAAAAAATTTTCTTTTAACTTAGGCGTTCGGTAGATTCTTTGATAAAAAAAATTGTTTGTTCGGGGTAAATACCCTAATGCTGGAAAAAAATCTGAACAGATGGCCATATCGTTTAAATTAAGACAAATGATGAAATTTTTTCAATATTAAACCAAATAGTGTTTATTTTTTTTTTTTTTTTTTTTGAAATAAAATTTTCGATATCCTAATGGCCAAATGAAAAAGAAATTTTTTTTATTTTAACATAGGTTGCTGACCATTTGAAGAAACTATTATAAACGTCTTGAAACTATTGAGCGGAAAAAACAGTTGTATCTGAATTGAATCTGACAATAAAAATTTATCACATATTTCCGGTCATACAAACACTTAATTTCAAGTTTACTTTTGATTCTGAACGAAAAAATGAATATCCTTAGTCATTTAGTAATCAGTGAATAGGAACTTTTTAGGAATGATATCAATGTGAATAGTAGAATCTTGTCGATCATCATCATTATATTCTATGAATTTTTCATTTCATATAATATTGATCATGTTAGTGGGCACACACACACAAAAAAAAAATTTTCTAATTTATAGATTTTGATAAAAGAAAGAATTCCAAGAATTTTTCTCCAATCATATTAATCAATTTCAGATTTCTTTTTCTGTTTCGAATAGTTAATGGTTAGACACAAGAATGTCTTGGAATCTGACTCGATCTTTTCTTTCGCTGGGCTTCATTTTGAAAAGAATAAGATAACTGATAAAATTTCGTTTCATTAAACAGGATTTCAATCTGAATGTATAAATTGCACTTTATCTCAATGCTTTTTAGATTTCACTAAAGAATAAATTTAATACTATTCTCGTATTATATACATTGTGAAATGAAGCATGGAAATGTCACAAGAATTTTTTCTTCAAATTTATCCGAAAACAAAACTAACAACATACAGATACAATGAATTTAAATGTTGACATTATCCATATATGGATGTTGTTTTCCTAATAATGATTTGATATGCAAAAGGATGATTTTGATGATGATTCACAAGGATCCTCCTTTAGCATGTCGTTTATATATCATTCTGTAGTATAATCATCTTCATCGGTGTATCAGTCCCAAAGTGGATATTTTTATTTTTACATATATTCTTTTATTATTCTTCTTCAAACAAACACCCGGGAAAAATGGAATATTCTAATGTAAATGTTTTTTTTTATATTATTATTATTATCATTATGCTGAATGGTTAAGTTTTTAAATTTCATGAAAATGAATCATTGAAATCATCTTTTTGGAATCAAGTCATTAGTTTTTTTTTCTGAATTCAATCCATACAAAAAAAAGTAACAGTCTTCACAAATATATTCTTTTTATGGTTTGTTTTTTTTTTTTGGTTGCAAACATATTTTGAGGTTGTGTTTGATGAATCACCCTTTCTATATATTTGATATTTATCCATTTATTATTTTTTGTATAGAATTTATGTAATGTATATGATATGTACTATTTATTTGCGGAAAAGAAGTCGTGACCACATTTCCGGACAGTATAAATTTGATTTTAGGAAAATATTATCGAATTATTCTCACACAAAGAGATTTGATACAAAAGTCGAGTCATTCTAGCTTCAAGGCTTCTTCTTTGGGTTTTTTTTTGGAGAGAGTTTTCTGAATGAATGTAAAAAATTATTTTTTTTTCTCATAATCGAGTATTTCTATGGCCTATAGAAAAGTGACTACTCTGGACTTTACAAGCAAAAAAAAAAAAAAAAAACGTGCAATAATAACAAACACAAACACCAATTCGGTTCAGTGGATTCGGTATGTCGAATGTGCAGAACCAGAATAGAAAAAAAACCTAAATCGCATCATCAGTATGAGTCATACGAACCATGTCTAAACAAGTTGATGCGGACGAATAGATGCTACATTCATTCGAATCTAATGAAACCTTAGAGCAACATACACACACACACACACATCCACACAAGCGACAAGGGTCTGAATTTTCAATTTTTTTTGTTTTTTATTCTTTTTTTTTCATTTGCTCGAACTTATTCAGAGAAAAAAATTTCACGGCTGTTTAGTACAATTCAAAAAGTTTGGCCTCAGCGGAATCATTGAAATCATCATATAATGTATGGGCAGATTGTTAGTCACACATACGATACATTTGCTTCAAGCATCACGGCAGGATGTCCTCATCTTTCAGGAATTCAATATAGGAAAAAAAATCAAGACCATAAAAAAATATCATTTTTCTATTGTGGACACAATGATGATAATTAATGATTTTTATCATCATTATATGATGATTAAACCAAGATTAATCGACCATCATACATACACATACACAAAAAAAAATTCTTATGCCCAAAAAAACCATAATTATTATTCTAATGGAATGATACGAATGAAAATTACTCATGTACATTTTATCATTTTCATTTTATTATTATATAATAAAATTCAATTCAATTCAATTTGATCTGATCTGATCGATCCATCGATCTTTTTCAATAATATATTTTAGCCAAACATTTCAATGGTATCATTATTATTATTATTATTATTCGTTACACACACACACACACACATAAAAGAAAGACGATACAATTGTGGTACGGTATTTTGTTTTGTGTAGAATAATAAAAAACAGATGTGCCGCTTATAATAGAAAAGAAAAACACAAGAGATTTGGTCGACCAATCGACCAATAGATTTGACAAACATACAAACATTCGTCATCATCATCAACATCATGATCTAATGTGTGGATTCAAAAGATCCGGATATATTTTAGTAAGCTTTGCAAACATTAAAGCATTAATGCAATGCATTCGAAACCTAAAAATAAAAATATTTGTTCTTTTCTGGTTATCAGCGTTGTTATATTTAAACAAAAAAAAGAAAATATTCAAAGAAAAAAAATACGAATGATGAGTGCACGTGTTGTTGGTATAGTTTGGGGTCTCTGGTTTTTCTCTTTGAATGTGTAAATGATGAATATCTAAGCAACGTTATTTGAAAGATTTGATAAAGGCGATACGTGAGGAAATACCACCATCGTATTCCTAATAATTTTTTTTGTTGATGATGATAATATGATGTGATTGTCGCTTGAATCCAAAAAGATTGCTTGATGATGATGATGATGATGATGATTAACATCATCATCAAGCAATTCATGATTATCATTATACATATTCAAGCTCAGATTTTAATTAATTCCGATTCATACATATATTTGCACGTGCTATGATGTCTCACATAGGATTCTTTTGTTTTTGAGTTACAAAATTGGCTGCATGTGTGTGTAGTTGGTTATCATGTGTTCATTCTCCCATTTGAGAATTGAATTCTATGTGATTCATGAAATTCACATCTACCAATCTCATGCTGTGTGTATTTGTTTCAAAATAAAAAAAAAATAAAAAACACCAAATTCACATGTAACATTTGTGCTATAACAGATGATATGACATTTTTAAATTCTGTGGTTTTAGAAATTTGTCCCTTTTAGAAAAAATAAAAAAAAAATTCGCTTGTATGATTTTTCATTATTATGAACAAATGATAAATTGGTTTAGCTCAACAATTCTCATTTGAATTGGTTGAATTCATTCAAACGAATCAAAGTTCAATAGTGAAAAACGATCATCATCATAATTGTTAGTCATCATTTCAGATTCAGTAATTATCTAAATTGTTTGTTTTTGCATTGAGTTTAAACATGGAAATTAATTACCAACTCAATGGAATGTTTCTAATTAGAGACAAACATACAAACACACACACACACACACATGAACATTTGTTTTGATTACAACTGTAGTTTGTTTTTTCATTTGTTTGTAGATATAATCGAACAAACAAATGAAAAATTTGATGTTTAAATGTTGTTTGAGATATACAACGAATAATAAAAAAAAATCTTGGATCAGAAAAAAATCGAGTTCATTTTTGTGTGATCCAGTTTACTTCTTTTTATATTTTGATTGCTTACATCAAATCATTCATTCATCTGTTTATTCAACGAAAAAATTTTTTTTTTTTTTTTTTTTTGAAAGACGAAAAGAAAAGTTTGTTTATTTTCTCTTTCTCTTATACAATAGTAACAGAAACAACAACAACAACAACAACCGAAACCACTCAAAATCTATGACAATTCAAATTCTAATTTCGAGTGATTCCGGATTTCTTTCTATACACTCATTGAAATAATAATAGTGTTTATTCTGTGCCACGAACAATAAGCACATTATATTTCAGTTTTTTTTGATTTTAATTTTTTTTTTGTTCAAAAAGTTTTGAACACAAAAAAAATCAAAACAAAACAAATTCAAAACATCCAGACCTAAATTTAGTTTATATTATTTATTTATATGTGTGTGTCTTGTGTTTGTATGAGTGAATAATAAACCAGAAAAAAAAACAGTTCTTTGTTTGGGTCAGCAAAGTTACCGATTGACATATAACAGTAAAAATAGAAAATAAAGTTCTGCGGAATTTCATTCACAATGACACATGAATGTATAAAACTTGTTCATTATGATGACAGTTTTTTTTTCTCGGAAATGATCCTGAAACTTGTAATAGAATACATATGCACAGCAATACTTGTGTCATCGATTTAGTTTGATAAGAATTTGAATTCAAATATCCATACTGACAACCATACGAATGATGGACAGAAAAAGCTAAATGCCAATTCGACACAATTTCCTTTTTTTTTGAACGGATAGGCTGGATCGTTTGATCATGTCAATAATAATAATAATTGTTAAGTATTTGGAAAAACACGTGCCCATTTTTTTTTCTTCTATTCAACAAATTATACTTGAAATTTTAATTTGACAAAACTGTTTTCGTTTGTAATAGGTTACAAAAACTCAAAAGCTTCTATATTTTGATGAGATTTAAATGTTTAAAATATTTCCCAATATAATGATCATTCAAAATGTTTTCGATTTCAATTTAAAAATAAATTTCTTTTCTACCATTTATGTAGAAAAAAAAACATTCAAGTGAAGGTGATTTAATCCTCTTTTTTTTCTATTTGATCGTAGGAGAAACCAAAACAAATCATGGTGAAAAACAAAATTCTAAAAATTTTTTACAACTTTACTGTACTATATACTATACTACTCATGATCGGTTTTTTTTCTTTTATTTGTCTCATGATGAAAAACATGATCAAATTGAATTTTTTTCCCTTTTCCGGAATCCTTCCCAGTTTAGCATGTGTATGATTCATTGCAAAATTACACCTTTTCTCTATTATGCTGTACACACATTCATTCATTTTCATCGGAATTTAATTTTGAAATTGATTTTTTTTTTAACAATGACAAAAACAAACTAAATGTGGTCACTATTCTCGGAATTCCGAAATATCAAACTTTGAAAAAAAAGTTTTTTAGATAAAAATCAAAATCACAAACAATCGAAATCATTCAATTGGAACCATGGATAATTCAACAATAGAAATATTCCTTACAATCGTATAGAGTTGCTATTGGTGAATGAAATTCGATCGATATCGTAACGAATTCATACTATAGCCAGATGATCGGTTATTGGATTTTATTTTTTTTTCTATTTGATTATTTCAAATACAATATCAACTGGCAAAGAAGATGACAACCACAAATGTCAAATTGAATAAGTTATTCGATTATATACAAAATATACCAAAAGTAATTTAATCTAACAAAAATTCTTGTTTCACTATTTATTTTGTATGTGGTCAAAGTGAATTGAGTATCAAATTTTCGTGATACAATGAACATCACCACTTGCATTGTATAGTCTTATAGAAAGATAGTTAATCATCATTGTTATATAATTCTCTGTCATTCAATACATACATGACATTGTAAATATTGTCTAGAAATAAAACAAACAAATTCTTATATATAATATAATGTTATAAAAATATTTGTCCTAGTTTTTCAATTCAATTTCTGGTTATTTCATCGATATTTTTTGTGTCATATCAGCTATGTAATATCGGTTATATCCAGATAAACAAGAGTAAACATATATAGCCAACACGCACATACAAAAAGATTATTGTATGTTTTTTTCCCATTTATTTTGTATAATGTGTGGGCGTATATTATATCATAGATGAATTTTTTTTTTTAAATTGTTATACATTCTGATGAAATCGTTGAGGTTGAAAATTACCATCATTTTTCTAAATAAATAAAGGACTTGATTACTAGTAGAGTTTGGTCATTATTTCTTCGTATAAAATGAATGAATGAATGAATGAAGAAAAAAATCGCTGTTTTTAGCTCATATTGATTCCAACAATTCCGACCACACCTTGATTTGTTGTTGTATGGCTATGGTATTCTATTATTAACCAATCAACCAGAATCCAATCATTATTATTATTCTTTGGTTATTGACAATATATTGCATGAAACTATAAATTATGATTTGCTATTCATATCAATAGAAGTAAAAATTCCATTGATATGAAATTCAAATTCCATCAATTTAGACGCCATCTATCGATTCTTAAAAAAAGTTTATTTAATTTTTTTCTATAAATGTCAAAAAATTTTGGATTCCAATACTTTATTCATCAAATTTCATTCAAAGAAAGTTAATTTTCAAATGTTTAAAATACACGATAAAAAAATACAGAATCCATTAAGAAATCAGAGTTTTTAGTTTTCTCTTGTTTCACGAAGACGACGAATAGCCGATCGAATGGCTGCAGCCGATGTTGTAGAAAATACATATGCACCACCAGCAACGGTCTTTTTACAGGCCTTACATTTCCAGATACCAACACATGTTCGTTTCATAGATTCCTGAAAACAATTCCAAAAAATATGAATAGTCAATTCAAAGTTTATTGCAGAAAATTTCAAACAACAAACCTTTCCACAAAATGTGCATGTATATTTAGAATGCTGAGTGATTTCCATCTTTTTTACCATTTTACGTAATGATGCGCCATAACGAGTAGCATATTTGCCAACAACTCCAACCTTTTTGGTACGTTTCGACTTGAAAAAAAAATAAAAGACAATTCCGAATTAGAGAATAATGTAATGATAATAATTATATATAATAAATAAATATAGAATAATGAAAACAATTAATCAGTCGATTAAAAAATAACAACATGAAAAAAAATTTCTCACATACCATTTTTTATTGTGAATTTGATGAAAAATCCAAATTTAAAATGAAAATATACAAAAAAAAAATTAGAAAATTGTCCAATTCACGGAGCAACAACGTGTGTGAGCACACGAAAAAAAAGGAAATACAATGAAAATTTTAGCGTGCATGCTCGTAAAAAGTGGTTTATTCATAAAGGCTGTTTCTGAGTTTGTAAATTTTAGTACAGCATAAAACCAAAAAGGGCAGTGCTTTAAGACATTATCACGTGATATCGATTCAGGATACTAAAATCCTGTTGCGTATGGATTTGACACGCCCAGCCATGTCAATTCTCTGACACACACTCGCTATTTTAATATATATTTAGGCACGGATTATTTATAATAATATAAATAGGAATAAATGACATATACGGCAATGTAATTAAATCTTCGCATGTTTTTACAGAATAAGGATCGTGGGATATTCGTGTTTCTGTGTGGGTGACACCTAATAAAGAAAGATCTTAGAAACTTGTAAAATTTGTAATATGTGTCTGTGAGATTCAACCATTTTTTATAGATGATGGAAAATGACAGTGTAAAGTTATCATGTTATGAATTAAATTAAGGAGGCTAAAAACATGTTCCAGACATGGTGTCATCAACAAACAAGTTCCGTCATGGTGATCCGAATACATTTTTTCTCACAATCTTTATTTTGTTTGGTTTACGACAATTGCCAACATGATGCGTAGCTTTGATTTGTTTCATTCAAGCGTTTTGGTTCTTACATAGATTTGATTTGTAAAATTATTCACATGATAGTCATTTACTTTTTCATTCGAGGAAATTCGAAACCAAAATGCCGAAAACAACGTATAGCCAAATGGTCAATAGTGAAATTGATGTTTGTGCCGATTGTAGCCAAATAAGTAAGTTTTTCTTTCTATAGACCATACCTTTATTTCTAAATAAAATTTCCATTTCTATTGGATTATTATAAACACACAGACCCCACTTGGGCTTCAATCAATCATGGCACTTTTTTATGTGATCAATGTGCCATCATACATCGTAGTCTTGGTAGTAAGTATCCAAGTAGAAATTGATCCATAATTTTACTTTAATATTTCTCATCCTGATCCATTTCGAATATAGGGATTATATCACAAATCAAGCCATTGAATTCAAACAATTGGAAATCAACTCAATTACAGATGGTATTTGACTTGTATCGTAGTGGTTCCAATTCCATTTGGGAACATACGCTTTTGGATCCACATGTATCATCTGGTAATCATCATCAAACAACTCACAATAAAGCTCATCTAAGAAAGAAACCACAACCTAATGATTTATTGCATCCAAATAAAAGTGATTTTATTCGAGCTAAATATCAATCATTTGCCTTTGTGAACAAATCTCATGGTATCAAAGATGATGTTGAATCCGAAGCTGATATTAGTGAACAATTGCATTCGAGTGTACGGACACCGAATCTTAAAACAAGCCTAAGGCTTTTGATTGCTGGCGCTAATCCGTAAGTGTTGTAGATAAATGGATTGACCAAAAAAAATAATTTTTATCGTAGGAATTACATACATTCAGAGAAATTTAATTCTCCACTTCATATGGCCGCAAGATCGGGCCAAATGTCTCAGATAGAATTATTGCTTGCTTATGGTGCCAATTCAATCATTGTTGATTCACGAAACAAATCGGCGATCGATTATGCACGTGATGCTGGCCATCATGACATTTTTCATCGATTAATTGAACATCAGTTTGATTTGACGGATACATTGACTCGTTTTATTTGTCAAGGTCGTCAACCTAATCATCGAAATGGTGAACATTTTCTCTTCGTAGATGTAAAGTCGGAATTGATCAATTATTTTGACAACACTATCGATGTTAGCAACGATAGTAATCAACTACGAAATTCAACTGAAATGTTTCGCAATGAACTACATCAAAGCTTGCAATCATTAGGGCATAAGTTATTTCAAGAATTAACACGTGATGTCTACGATGAGCTTGATCGACGTGAAATAAATGCCTTTGTTACTGCAGCTTATTCCAATGAAAATGGAAAATTATCTATTCTACATCAACAATTGATTATACCATTTTTGCCTGTTTATCAGTATTTTTCCACCACTCGAAATCAAGGCAGACAAAAATTGGCCCTACTCAATACAAAAGAATTGACATTGTTGATTGTCGATGTTTTGAATGAAGTACGTCGCCGTGTTTACAATATACAATATGCATCAGGAAGTTTGAATAATAATAGAAATACGGATAAAGATGATCGTAACCGTAATCATGAAATTGAAAACAATGATTCAGAACCTCTTTATGATTCCGTACCATCAGAAGAGGATTATGATGATCTTAATTTTGATAGTGAATTGAACACCATTGTCAAAAATCGAAACATACAGAATCTAAATAGTATACCGGTAAAATCTTCGGATATAGCCATGAAACAAGATGTTTCCAATCCTATATCAACCAAGGAGTATAATGCCCTGAAAGAACAGGTTGTAAAATCTTCAGAATTGATTGAAGCCTTTCTCAACGAGAATAAAACAATGCGAATGGAACTTAATCATTTACAAATAAAATTGGATAAATTAACAGTTGAAAATGTTCAGCTTAGACAATTTATACTTACACCATCATCATCATCTGCTAATCCTTCAATGAAGTCATCAATGATCATGAATGAACCAAAAAGTACATCAATGTTGATTGAAAGCACTGAAGATTTATTAAACAGTCATAATAATATTGTATCCTATCTACATAATCAGCAAACAACGAATCGTGTTAGGCCCCAATCAATGTCAACAATTACCAATGATTTTTCTTCACAATCGATGGCAATGATGACAATGTTGAATAAATCACCTGCATCATTAAATCATGCATCACCTTCGAGTTTATCAGTATCGCCATCAAATTCTATGGCCAATTATAATAATCCTAATAATCAACGAAATTTATCACCTCATAATTATAATATGGCATTCAGCAGTAATAATAATAGCAATGATCCTACCGATCATCGTCTTCATCATTCATCATTTATAGATTCATCATCATCATTATCTAGTCAGTTACAACAAACATCGAATAATAGATCATCATCATCTCCTCATTCTCATCAACACCAACCAACCCCACCCAAACAACATCAGCCTGCGTCGCAGACAAATCAAACAAATTTGAATGAACAGCGACCATATTCAATTACGGCCGGAACCATTTTGGCTAATTCAAGTCTTTCGAAACCAAGTGCCTCAAAAACTACTTTGCCTACTAAAGATGAGGTTATTAGGAAAATTGAATTTATAACAAATGGAATCAAAGAATTGCTTATTAAAGCGAAAGAAGAAAAACATAATGAGTATGTTAATGCATTTTTACATAATTTTATTTTGAAAAATTTGTTACACAAATTTGTAGCTTGCTTGGCATAAAAAAAACTTTCTCTTTTTCGTTGTTCAGAATAATTTTGATTGACATTTCTAATTTTAGATTTCATCATTGTTCGGAACGAATATGTAATTATGTATCAGATATGATCAACTTATTCCCAGAGGTAAGCATTCATTCTTTCATAATGAAAAAAAAATGCTACTAGTTCTTGAAACAGCAATCTATGAACAGCTTCGCAACACAATAATTAGAGACTTCTCATAACGATAATGTTAATCAACTTTATTTTTGTTTTGTCCAAAGTCGATAGAGTCCTCTAATATGGATAATCTATTACAATTGAATCAGGCATTCATCGTATTACAAGGCAATGTGATTCATTTGAATGAATTGTGTCATTCATATGAAAATCGTCCTCCACCACGTTATCAACATAGCAATTCAACTCCTAATCACAAAGAAAATAATCGATATAATTACAATAAAGTTATCGATAAGGCAGCCGAAGTGGCATCATCGGTGAAATCGATCATTAACCTGTATAACATACAGACGGCGACGACAGCCACAGCCACCAATATTCAATAATTCAACATTTTAAATGATGGCTGAACTTTATATTTACAATTTAAAACATTTGTTATTGAATCTTTTTCATTTGATTTTAAAAACACTGAATTATTCACTCCAATTAATTCATCATTTTTTATTTTCTTCGAGAAAATATAATTATTTTGATCACTTTTTTCAAAAATAAAAATCTGTATTTTTCGAATCGCTCACAAAAATTATTCATTTGCTTATGATTGCTGATCTTTGTCGTTATTTTTTGTTTGACTAGTCGTTCCATTATTAATGCTGCTATTATTATTATTATTATTATTATTATTATTATTGATATTCGGCATTGATGATTCTGTTTCAGGGTTTTTCATCTGTACATTGATCGATACATTAATCCTGTTCAACAAGTTGTGCAAAAATAAATTCATATTGTTGATGCCATTGTTAATATGATGAAGTGTTTTGACAGCTAATTCTGATGTTGCTGGCTAATTTTGAAGAAAAAAAAATTAGAGATTTGCAATTATAGGAATCTAATCCAGTGGCTTACCTCGCTTAAGATTTGATCAGCACGATTTTTTGCTCGTTCCAAACGATTATTTGTATTACGCAATAAACGGCTAAGGAATAGATCACGTCGTTCACGTGAAACTTGGAAGGCTGTCTCTAGAATTGTTTGAAGATGTCCAACTTTATCCACAATATCTTGTCGTAATTTTTGACCTTCAAGTTCATAATTGAGATTGGGTTGCTTATAAAATTGTCTCTCATCATTTAATTCCTGTGACGGTGGTGGTGGTGGTGGAAGTTGATTATTGATGGCTCCAATAGCCGTTTCATTACCATCGATGCGTGATTCAGCAAATTGAATATCTTGCTGTTGTTCATTATCTACGATTGGTTCCGGTGGTTTAGGTTTTCTACTTTCAATACGATGAACAAAACGTTCACGAACTCTAGGAAACAATCGTCCTGCACTTGACCGTCGTTCACTCATCTATTATGTGTGCAATTTGACAAGCGATGATGGGTTTAGTATTTGGATTATAAAGATTAATCGAAACAAAATCATTATTACTGACTATGATTAATACTCACAAATTTTGTTAATCGAGGTCTTGAACGATTACGGCGATGTTCGATCAAATTTTGGAACGCTTGACTGGCTCGATTTACAATTTGTGATACTAGTTTGCCCCTAGCATCTGAACGTCTTTCAATAAATGAAGGCCGTTCAATTATACGAATTTGAGGTCTGAAACGAGGATGAGAAAAATAATGAACAATATGTGGATCATTTGTATATGAAATATATTCATTTGTATGTGAATAAGGATAATAATAGTGGAAACGAGATGGCTGAATATTATTAACAGTGTGTGATTCAGGAACATGATGATGCCCATATGAATACGCATATGGATAGGGTTTCAATCGATCACGATTCCTTCGAGAATTAAGATTATTATGATGGGTAGGACGTTTGGAAAAGGATTTGATTCTAGATATTCGAGGAGGAGAAAGAGAAGAAGAAGTAGCAGGTGTCATGCGAAAGTGAGAGGAGGGAAAAGAATGATCAACATTTTTCACTAACAATAATTCACGATCGACCAATTCCATATTTGATTCAGATTTTTTATCTTCTGGATGCAGCTGCTGTTGTTTTTCTTTGTCATTTAATGATGATTTCGACAATGTTAGGGAATTATTATTATTATTATTAGTAGTATAATTGGAATCATAATTCGTTTCACCAGTAACATTAATGGCAGTGTCAATTTGTTTTTCCGCATCGATAATTATTGTCTGTTGAAAAATCAATGCCATACCCAATAATAGTAGCAGACAATAATAGCATGAAAATGACAATGAAGATGTTGGTACTGTGAAGACACTTGGAACTATGTTCTTAAGAATCGACATCTTTATTTCCAATGTGATAAGTGTTCGTGTCAAAACTTTGTTGACAACAATAACGATAGAAAGACAAGCAGAAATAATAACGGACAAATTAATTTCACTTTCACTCACTCATTCACTTTTTTGTTATCGCATCATCACCAGAATAAAAGTCATTGCACTGGAAAAAAATTGAAATTCGATTATTAACAAAAATTCTTGAATCTCTTATATTACAATCTAGAATTTTATGGTGATGATATTAAAAAAAAAAGAAAAATGAGGAAAGAAAAAACTTATAATTATGTAGTCCGAAAAAAATCAACGAAAATTGAATGAAACCTTATTTGAACCTTTTTGAAAGTGATGATAGATAATGGTCAAACTAGAAAATAAGAACAAATTACATGGAACGACTTGTTTGATAATGACGATGAAAACCAGGTGACATTTACAATGATAATAAACAGGCTAAAAAAATGCAAACAATTTTCATTTCCAATTGGTCCAAATGGTCGATCCGAAACGAAATCCCAGAAAAAGGCAAAAAAATTTAAGAAACCGAGTGAGAGAGAGAGAAAGGCACTATTTATTTGCACGGTTATTTTCTCTTTATCCATTTACTAATGTACCAATTTAGTTTTCTATTTTCACTTTCTCTCCGGTGACATTCGAACGGAAAATAAAAATAAAAATTTCCATTTGTAAATTTGATCAAACGAACTAAAAGGTATTCATTCATTTATTTAAACTTGTTTTTTGAATATTTTTCTTCATACACGAGACCATGTTTGTCCGATTTTATTCATTCGTTGTCCGAACATTGGATCAGACTCTAAAGAGTTTGAGAATTTTTTTTTAATTTGAATGTTTTTTTGTTTCGAAAAAAATCACTCATTTTTGAACCATTTTAATCACCGTACAATCTATGTTGACAAGATAGATCAACAACAACAACAAAGCTAGGCTATACAAGATTTTAAGTTATGATATTTAAAATTCAAAAAAAAAAAAAAAAAATAAATGGAAAAAAAACTGGACGCAAACAACATGGATGGATTAATCGATCCATCCAATCATTTATGTTATTTTTTTCAGTTGAAAATGGTGACTTTTTTTCTCATACTTGCTATTTTATTACAATTTTCTCCCGTTTTATTTTTTTTCGATTAAAAACAAACACTGATTATGTAGTTGTTTTTTTCCGTTGTTGTTTGTGGCTATCAATGAAATGGAATGGTCAGAAAAGAAAAAAATTTTCAATCAAACGTTATACATTTGTACACTAGGAAGTTATTTGAACCTGGCCATGTATCTTGCCGTTTGTTGTTGTTTGTCTACGACTTGAAGCCATTTCAATGAGAAAATGAATGAATAAATGATAAATTATTTTTTTCTTTCATATGCCATTTCGAACATACATTCAATGTCCAATGTCAATTATTATCGGCCCCGTGTAGCTACGTTCGGGCAATAAGTTGAACCACACTGTGGTGAACAAATGATGATGATGACAAGACATGATGATGAAGACGATGTTTATGATTGTGGAGAAAAAAAAATCAATTTCCTCTTTCATTACAAAAAGAAAAAAAAGTAGATTAAACCTTTTCGAAATGAATCGAGTTCGAAATGAAAATTGTAAAAAAAAACAGGCCAATATAGCCAATCAACTATAGCTATAGCCATCGATTGAATTTCGATCAAATTCGATCTCTTCATTCATTTATTGTATTCAGTTTTCTATTGGATTTTTTTTTTGAAAACAACTCGTTTATATTTTATATAACAAATTAATTATTGATATTTTGACATTAACGGATGATGTTGATGATGGAAATCGGAAAAAGTAATCCAATAGAACAATTCGATTGAAGGAAAAAAGTTCAATTTGATTTGATTTGAATCAATATAAATACGAACATGATTCGATGATGATATAATTATAATATTACCTATCATCAACAAATCAATTCGTTGACATTGAAATAAAATTCAAATTAATGTTACAAAGTAAAATAAATTCAAATAGACATAGTCATCTTCTGAAACATTTTGAATGGAAAAAACAGAGCATGAAAAATTCAAAAAAAAAGTCTGAGAGACGATTTGAAATAAAATGAATCGAATTCATAGCTTCATATTTCATTCATTCATTTCAACAATTCTGAATCATGGGTAATTAGTCATTGAATGTATATTGTGTATTATATTTCATGAATAACAAGAATATTTATTGGGAACAAAAAAAACGCTAGAATAAACTAGAAAGAAAATCATAACTAGACAGTCAAAAAAAAGAAACAAAGGACCTTATATTATTATAATAATCTATATATGATTTTCGTTTCTTAAGAAAAGACAATGACATGTTGAAGAGGTCACGTCAATCAGTAGTCATCGCCATTTCGATTTCCTACATAATGTTTTTTTTATCATCGACTTTCAATTTTTTTGCATTTTATTTCTTCCGCAAACAATTCAAAACATCATAGCATCAACAATGATAATAATAATTGACATATAGAAACAAAAATGAAATTCTTGTCAGACGATTAGTCGTCAGAGAGAGTTATCGTCATAATAATGATGATGATGATCGTAATTAGAAACATGCAAACATGATTCTGTAGAAAAAATGAAAGTAAGAAAAAACAATTGCCTGCTAACCGCCTATGGTGCATTCTATGGTGTATTCTATTTTCCACTATTTTTTTAAAAAAAATAAAATGATGAGCATGAGCATAATACGCCCATATAATGATTTTTATTCGAAACTAAAAAGGTTTTTTTCCTTTTCGGTTAACAAGAACAAATGTGCGCACATGTTGAATAGTCGATTGCCGGTTTCGCGCCGGTTTGGTGCCCATGGTTTAGTTTTGGGTGGTTGTGGTGGTGGTGCTAGTACCCTTACGTCATCAATGGCCAATGGATTGTTGTTTCGGCACGCTGATATATTTCTATTTATTAGATATATTTGCCTATCTATACTATCTATAGATGAATAGACACATAAATAGAGATCGTTCTCGGAAAGAATTTTTAAACGAAACATAGCTAAAGTCAAAGCAAACCTATCACCAAATAGGCCACCACCATCATCAAACAGTCATTCATTCATTTAACTTTGTTCTGGATCCGATTCCGTATCTCAAATTCTTTTTTTTTGACAAATGTTAATTTTGTATGTGTGAATGTATGGTTGAAAAAAAGTTGTGATTACGTTTAAAAATTCGGACATCATTACATGTGAACAACCTATAAAATCGAAATTTAATTCTCACTTCATGACATGCAACCAACAACCAAAACCAGCAGCCATAAACCACAACGAACACTAAAAACAATGTGTTTTTTAAATGAATCTTTTATTCAAGCTCTACGGAGCAAAAAATCAAACCACCGTCACATTGAGATGGAATTGATGGAAACAATATCGATACTGGATAATTAAAGTAAGTTTGTGTCGAATTTTTTTTTTGTCACGACAAATAAGAGAATGGAAAAAAATCGATTTTTATTTTGCCGTTCTAATTCTAATAAATGATTGCTCAAAATAATGATCGTGATCAAGCTGCTATCGAATAAAATCTGATTAATTTGAAAAAAAAATATTCTGATAAAAGAACTAGAAGAAGAAATAGGCATTCAAACGAACCGAATATAGGAAAAGTGTGAGCGAGAGATAAAAAGAAAATAAAAGAAAAGGGTATTGGAAAATTGGCTAAGTTAATGAAAAAGATTGTTTTTTTTTGCAATTTATCAATTTCGTCGTCAATGAATTCGAAAAAGAATAACCAGCTGGTGTTATATTAGAACAAGAATGATTGAACGTGTGATGAATAGATTTTCATTTATTTAAATAATCCTCGGGTAGAAAAAAAAAGAACGAAATTCTTCGTACGAAATTCCGGAATGAAGAATAAATAAATTAGTGAATGGATGAGCAAAAAAAAACAACAACAAAATGATGTACGGATGATCATCCTCAGCATCGAAGTTTGAATTCAATTTTTTTTCTGTCTATATCAAATGAAAATAATGTTTTTTTTTTCACACATACGTCCAAAATGACACCGCTATCGGAAATTGTTTACTTTTTTTTTACTGGAATGCTACCATGTTGTAGTCGTTCGATTCTAAAAAAGCCAATTTATCTCCCCCTTTTTCCCTCTTTCAAATAACTCTTCAAAGCCTGAATTTTAAATCTGAACAAATGAAACTTTTAATTCAATTTTTTTCTGTTTTTATATTCGCACATTTATTATTATGGATGATATTCTCATCTAGTTCAATTCCATACACATTAAAAAACAATGGATAACGTGTGTTTGTTCAAACTATTCAAGTTGTTTCGCGTTTTTTATTTTCATTTGTTTTGAATCTGATTTCGATTCTCTGTCTATAAGTTTGCAACAAAAAACAAACTTGGCCCACATACACACACACACACATACTGCATACAATAAAAGCCAGTCACTTATTTTGAATTGAATTGAATCAAACATTGGTTTTGGTGATGAAAAAAAAAATCCGTCTTTTGTTCTTTTTTAGTTGTTTTTGTCTGTGACGGCTATGCCAATAATATTTGTTCAAACTAAATTGAAACTTTACATCGGTCACAATAGTACATTTTTGTGTGCAAATAATAGGAACAAAATATCCGAATAGAATAGTTAATTTGCAATAATAAGCTATTGTTATGTTTCATAATAATGGCCATGGCCACCTATATGTACACACAGGTCAATGTCGATACCAAATAGAAACAGTGAAAAAAAGGCAGCCATTGTTATGGAAATAGAAAAGAATTTTCTAGAATTTTTTTTTTTTTTTTTTTTTTTTGATACCATATGAACACCAGAAAAGATGATATTTGTAAAATTGGATAGCAAGCGAAAACTTCATACAAACAATATTATATATTGTTATAAAAAAAATAAATTAAAAACACTATGGTAATATGAGAATGGAAACAAAAATAAACCGATCGCAAAAAAAAAATTTTGAATCAAATTTAAAACTTTCATGTTGAAAAAATTTGGAAAAATAATTTTCAGTTTAGAATCACAGCTGCAGAAAATGAGATTAATGATAGAATGTGAAAAGCGTTAAATTCTAATGAGAAATTCTATATCACTCATGAGGGAATGGTAATTAATTTTTGTTTCTCCTTCAATTCGTTTGAACAATGAATTGTCATTGAATCAGATGATGAGGATGATGATTATCAGTATTATATTCTATAATGGGTTCCAATCAAGTAAAACAAAACAAAACAAAAAAAAAAACACCAAACGAATTTCTTTAGGGCAAATGTTCGATTTTTTTTTTTGGTCTTCTCATAAAGAAATATGACAATGTGAAAATGTATGTGCCAAAACATCATCAAGATAACCTAATTTTATTTTTCCTTGAGCCTTTGAAATAATTCATTTCGTTTTACACATTTTATTAATGAAATGAACATCAGTGAAATATTGTCTAATTTATATGTGTTTTTCAAGGACCACCATCATTATATTCATTACACTTGGAATTTATATTCATAAATTATTTGAGCCATATGATGAGAATGTGTCCCATCAGAGAAGGAAGAGGGAAAAAAACGCACCCACATTTCGAAGTTCATTTATTTATTTATTTTTTTTTTTTTTTTGTTAAACAATTTTCCTTTATTCAATAATCTTGAAGAGACTAATTAATTATAAATAGAGCAATCTTATTGATTGCGCTATCAGTTCTTTTTATGTTTTTATTTGAATATGATAATCTTAGCGATTATATTGAACATGCAAGGATCGATTTTGATCAATAAACAACATCATCATTATCAATTGATTGATTATTAATATTAACCATTAATTTTTTTTCCAATTCCAAAACTAATTAGGAATTAAATTGCCTTCATCATCAATGATGATGATGATGATGATGATCCAAGCTATTATATGAACACACGCAATGCAATACAAAAACAAATACAAAAAAAAACAGAACCAATAGAAAATATAATGTTTTCATTATTGCTAAATTCTATCAACGAATTAAATTGAGAATGAATAACAAAAATACAACGTTTAGGTTCATTTCGTTTGGTTTGTCGTTTTGGTTTTTTTTTCGTTCTGTTATATCCTGAATAAATATTATTATTCGTATTCATTAATGAAATAGATGATTGAAAAGCGGTTATTTTGTAAAGTGAATCATGTTTACATACCTAAATTAAATTGAATTGATGATTAATAAATAATTGTCTTTTTTTCCAATTCTATTTCTATATATGTCTTTCAAGGAATCCATATCAATATACTTATTTATCTTTCGACATATTGAATTCAATTAATATTATGTCATCATTCAAAACTACCCCTCGATATATCGAATCGTTGGAAAAAAGTTGAATATACAAATTTGAATTGAAAATTTTTCAAACAATAATAATAATCAACAGCAATAATCGATAATATAATCATTAGATTCGAAAGGGAATGAATGAATCGAATGAATCAGATATTCCATCATCATCAACACCACCATTACAAAGTGAAATGGATGCATTGCTTCTTGGTCGAATTAAGGTAGGTAGCAAAAAAAAAAAAAAAAAACAAAACAAATATGTAATGCAAATATATGAAATAATATAGACCAACAATATTAACTAAAAGTTCATGTCATTGTTTGAACGATGGTAAAAGCAAATATTTGACCATCTTGACAAAGTTTTTTTTCCTGTTCTTTGTCTTCAATGTTTCGTTTGCGTTTTGTGTTCTAAAATTCTTTTCAACACGAACATATAGACAAAACATATAGTTTCAATTACAATGATGATGATTTAGGAAAAAAAATTGAAAATGTAATTTTTTTTCGTAAAATAAAAAAAAACTCTAAAAAGAACAAATCTTACTGAAGCCCTGAAGCGTCATGATAGATTTTCTCTGTTATAATGATGATGGTACTTTTGAATTTTTGATGTTGATGAAGATGACGGCTAAAATGACATTTAGTTACATTTAGTTTTATGTGTTGAGAAAAAAAAAATCATTGAACGGAATTAAAATTTTTTCGAACGATAATGGCATATATGAACAATATATAGGAAGAATAAATCCATCCGATAGGTAACTACCTCTAGCGACCCTGATCTCAACTAAATTCACAACTATGCAAGAAAATGAATGATATTGATCCTGAAATTATTAGATTAATAGATAGTTGACGGTTGTAAATCGGTTCTAACAATTTTTCATAAATAATATTCATTTATTAGTAGTTTTATCTAGCAGGTGTATGCAGGCTACAGATCGATAGTAGAAGTTTTCGAAAATTTATTCTACAAAAACTTAGTCAATCACAATTGATTATTGGAGATAAAAACTTAATATATCGAGTATTGATTGAATACTATAAAAACGATTGTGAAACACTCAATACAAAGTATGAATTAGAATTATATAGAATATATATTATTATTATATTCATTGTTGTTTACGGCCAAATAAAACGGAACAAAAACTAATGCAGCTGCTGATATAATAATCGGCTGACTGAAAATGTATTCCATTCACTATTTCAACATTAATTCATTCAGATGAGTATTTTTAATCAGAATCTTGATTTGTTTCGGAATTTTGTCCATATTTTATTTTATTCGCATTCATGCATGCTAACCGTATTTTATATATGAGGGTATAATGAAAATGAAAATTTCTCATCCATTATACTGTATACAGCCGAAAACAAACGATTTTTAGATTCAAGATTACATCCGTTAAGAAAACAAAAACAACCGAATATCATATGAAATTCATTCGCCAAAAATGATTCGAGTTTTTCATTCCACATTTTCTTTTATTTTGATTTCATTTTCAACATTGAATATTTTTCTTAATGTTTTTTTTTGTCTGTAAATTTAATAGTCTGTTGTTTGTTTGTATGGTCTTAAGACGAAAAACTGTTTTATCAATCAATCAATCGTCAAGCGTGAAAGAATGAATAGAAAAAGAAAGATTCTTAGTATACAATAAAATGTGTGTGCATGTGGTAATTTTTGTGAATTTATAAACGGCCCACAGTGTTGGATTGCCTTCTTTTTGTCTCGGAATTTTCTTTTCAGTATTTAGTGAGCACAATTCATTTTTTTCGACCCGAATTCGAATTTGATGATCCACAGATTCAATTAGATCATCAATCCACATTCTAATGATTTTTCTTTCTACCATTTTTCTCGCATCAAACTCCATCAAGTTTCATTAAATCATGAAACTAGCTAAAAAAACTTTGGCGGGCTTTCTTGTCCAACATTTTTTTTATGCATCTGCTTATCCAAATACAGACTCATTTCAATTTCATGCAATATGTGTTATGTGTGTTTGTATGTGGATGTTAAAATTCTTTTGATAATATACAACATACACACACACACACACATCACATTTCTTCAGATTCAATATGATGCCATGCATTATCATCATCAACATCATCATATCACATGCGCTTGAAAGCACGAACAACCAACTAACCAAACATACAGAAACATCCAATTCTAATACGGATTCTGTTCAGAATTCTGGCATCTATCTTTCGATTCTGACTGGTTTGTTTGTTAGTTTGGTTGGTTGGTTGGTTTGCTGAATGACTGACTGACTGAATGAATGACTTGATGGCTGTTTTATTTTATTTTATTTTTTCATCTCATCACCATCATCAACATTCAATGTGTTCTTCATGTTGATTTCATGTTTATTCACCAAATTTATAGTTCCATGTTCTGTTTTTTTCCACTTCGGCACTTGTATTTTTGTGTTCACATTTATTCAGCTATTCTGGTCTTATGAACAGATTGGATTTTTTCTTTGAAGGGGTATTGATGTCTGATCCAGAAACATTGCAACAAACTTACAAAATCAACAAACAACGGTATTCACATGAAATTCCGAACAAAATAATATTATGATGAAAAAAATGTACATCATAGAATATCTGCATTCGTGAATCTAATTCATCATTGAATATATTTAAGATAGAAAAAAATAATTTTAAAAGAAAGAAGAAAAAATTTATCTGACAAAAAAAAACTATCAACAGCAAGTTTTTTTTCATAAATAAAGATTTTTTTTCTGGATCCATCTATATGTATCTGTAAAATTACGAAACCAAATGAATTATTAAATAAATTGAATGAATTCATTAATATTCGATTGATGAAAAAAAAAATTTCACATTGTTTTATTTGTCTATGTAAGAGTAGCAGGTGTGTGTGTGTGTGATTTCAAATCAATCTTTTTTCAACTGTTCGAATTGCATTCTCTATTCAATAATTCCATTTAGAATTTTTTCGAATAAAAAATTTAAATTTTAAATTTTTCATGTCATCATCATCATCATCATCATCAGCACCAGCATTGTTATATAAACATTGAGTGTGTGTGTGTGTGTGTGTGTGTGTGTGTGTGTTGTGTGTGTGTGTGTGTGTGACTGTGAAAGTGAGGAAATTTGTCTTCATAATTGCATGATGACAATGGTAAAAATGAAAATAAAAACAAATTCGATTAAGATTTTCACCAACAGTGACTACGACGACAATCGACGATTAGATGACAATGTAGAAAACAAGAAATAAAAATTGAGGACATGATGATGATGATAATAATTATTTATAATCACATCAGTTGTTAGATTATCACCATCATAATCATCATCATCATCATCATCATCATAATGATTTAACATCATCGACGCAGATATTTGACCTGAATTGCGTTTTAAATTTTTTTTCAACTGATTTAAACGAATAAAGTGTTTCGCCAATACTTGACACTAATTAATTGATCTGGTCGTCATATCAACTTTAATTTAGAATTTAAGATGTTCAATCTTATGACGATTTATATGGATATGAAAAACCAATTGAAATGAAATGTTTTTATTATATTTGTTTTAATTGATGGTTTATCTTTTTTTTTGTACTTTGAATCAAATCATTATTTAACTATAATATATCTGTTCACTATTTTTATTATTGGAATAATATTTTTATCAAATTGGGAAAAAAATTTGCATTTTAATTTTTTTATTAAGACAAACGTCGTTTTCTTAATAAAATGATTGTTATTTAAAGTGTGTGTGTGTGTGTGTTTGAAATATTTTTTTTGTTTGTTTGTTTGCCAGTTTTCATCATTCATCAAGCAACAAGCTGTTTAAAATACTTTATTATTATCACGAATCAAATTATATTACATCGTGGTTTTTGTGGTTGTGAATTGTGTTGAATCGTTTTGTAATTGTTCACTAATCATCAATATAGCCATCTTATCATCGAATTGAATTGTATTTATGCGTGCCTTTTTCTTCTTTTTTTTCTCATCACAAGAGATCAAATATAATTTGTTTATTTTCAATGTGTATGAAACATTTTATCTCTTCAATCACCTCGACAATCAGTTTGAATCATTCCATTCAACTACAATAATAATAACAAAACCAACAACAATTATGACAAATACTGATGAACAACAAAATAATGTAATCACATTTTTCCATTCTGAATTAAAACACTCTTTATTTGTGTTGAAAATCAGAAACATTTGCTTATGAATGAATTTCCAGATACAGATAAACAAACACATATTAATAGAGAATATTAGATAAATAGTGATTATTGTTACACCACTGACATCAAAGTTGATAGACTTTCAATATAATTTATGATCATCATAAACAAAAAAAAAATTCCATTCTTTCACAGTGATTCATTTTTATTTCATTTAGATAATGTTTGTATATATATATAAAGAATCAACAACATGAAGTATAATTTGAATGTATGATGAGGATTGACAATCAGCATTAATAATCTATATATTGTCCCACAATCATTATAAACTACATATATATAAATTGTCATGAGTTGGACATTGAATTTGTCCATTTACTGTCATGAACATGAATAGAAATTTTCGACCACTTTTCATTTTTATGGGAGGATGATGAGGATGGTGATGATCCATTTCTTTAATTGTAGATGAAGAATTTAGTTTTCCATTATACTATTGTTGCAATGATTGTCGAGATGATGATGATGATGATGGTGATGATGATGTTGAAATATGAAAATAAAAACCAATGTTTATCTGTCTGTTTTTGTTAATTTCATATTGACATTTGCAATTTGAAAATGAAGTATTTTGATGATAATAAATACAATGGAAAATATTATTATTCTATATCATACACTTGAAATTGATGAGCAAACATCTGTTTCGGCTTCCGTTTGCAATAATATTCTAGATGTCATAAATTTCTGAAAAACATGTTTTTCAAAACATTTTTTTTTCAATATATTCGTTGCCATTTTTATCATTCACGATTATACGACAAAAAAAATAAAACAAAATCATCCATTAATCCAATGATTCCTTTTTTTAATATATAAAAAAGAAAATCTTCAAATTATTGTCAATTCTGTTATCTATCTATCTTTGCTCTACTATACTCTCTCCATATTGTCATTGTTTCGTGATGTTGCATTAAATAATATAATTTGGCATTATATCATCATATCATTATTATTGTTTTTTTTTGTTGCCATGTTTTGAAAATCAAATCTTCTGCACTTTCAATTATCAATGTACGTGTGTGTGTGTGTAATGTGTGTAGTATGTATATGATGCAACCAAAATTAATTCTACACTCTGTTGTGTCAATCACTTTCATTTTATTTCACTTTATATTCACCGACCTACTATCATCATCATCATCATCATCATTATTATCATCTTCATTATTATCATCATAATCATTCAATTCAATATAAATTTGCACCATTCAGTCTATTCATTTTTCATGCCGATTTATATATTTGCTTATTAATCTTGCTCATAATGAATAAAAATCAATGATTCATCGCATTATATATAAACAGAGAAAATTCTACGTTATAACAAAAAATCATCATCATCATCATCATAGTCACATATTCATAACGATGATGATAATGATAATCATAAAGAATATATATGCATATACCTATGGCTTCAAAGGCTTTTTTTATTTGCTTCTTTTTTTTCTAATATGATTATATAACTAGAAATTTTACTTATAATAAAAAAAAGTGCTAAATAGACTCACCATTTATTCATCATTAATAAATCGTCATTTTTTTCGTATACATAATACATATTTCATTCTACCATATTGGAACAATGCATTCTGTATGACAACGAAAATTCAAAATAAAAACAAAATGTTGTTGATGATGACGAATGATGAACGAAGATTTTTAAAATGAGAATTTACCATTATTAAAATTAATATGGTTCAAACAGATTTTTTTAAATATACACATCAATACGCACACAAATTTGTAGATAAATTCCATCACCACCACCACCCACCAGTGTGTGGATGGATAACAATTCCATCGACACAATGACAGAGTTCGATGATGATAATGATAATGACACTGTCATTCCGGATGATTTTCGTGAAATGCATGTAAGTTGTTTCAGAACAAAATGCAAGAATCCTGCATGTATATATGATTAGGAATGTATATGGGTTGGATTATTTTATTTTTTTTTTTGGGAAAAAAAAGTTTAAAACAACATAATAAAAGATGGTGACAAAATACTAAATTATATCTGATGACTAATAATGGATGTTTTTATTTTTGTTTTTATAATTTTTTTAAATATTTCAATGAAAAAAATCCAAACAATGACATTGATATGAAATTACAACAAATCAATAAATCGTTTTCGTTAGATCCATGAAAATGACAGTTGTCTTTCTGAATTTTTTTTCTGATTAAAAATTAATTTTATCATATATTATTATTATGTCTATGATGTATAGGAGCTTTCAACGGTCGATGTCAAAACAAGCAACTGGAAAGGGACATTGATCTCTATACTAGTTATAATATTATTATCTTCAGCCATTATATTGGCTATTTATATAATCAATCCAGATATTCAATGTAAGAATAATAATCAATTTAAATTTATTAAAAGATCATAGAAAAATTAAATATCATATCATATTTCAATATAGATAAATTGATAAATGAAACCCGAGAAAAACTCAAACTAGATGAATTATTACATGGAAACTATACGGTACAGCCAACATTCAATGGTACTTGGATTAGTGATACAGAGATCACATTCATATCATCGGCCGGTGATTTTGTCCTATATGATGTTCGTGCCGATAAAACGGATACTATCATTTATGCTAGGATTATGGTAGGTATATTCAGCATATATAAAGATATTAAACGATGTAATACATAATCATGAACAAGAATTTAATGTTCAAATATATCAAATATATAAAGTGAATAGTGAATAGGAAAAAAAACAAGCTAGGGTCAACTAATAATAACTTTTGATAGTTGATTGATTATTAGGGTTAGATATATCTGATGTGTAATGATTAATGAAATTGCGTGAATTTTGATTCAATAATACACTAATGATCATAAATCATTATGATGATTATATATAGAAACAACATGAAGTTGATCGTGCCATATTGTCACCAAATCGTCAATATGTTCTATTTATCAGTCATATCAAAAATGTAAGTATCAATGTTATTTGCTTGAATTTTTCGACCGTGAATAATAATCTTTTTTTTTATCATTATTGTTTTATTCTTATTACATCATTATTATTTTTCACCATATAGATATTCCGCCATAGTACAGTGGCCCATTATAAAGCTTATCATCTATCAAATGATACGTAAGTATCGCTCTTGATGACAAAAATGTAAAATAAATGAAAGCATCTATCAAATTCCAACAAACTATTTTCTCTTGTTTTTTTTCTAAATTCAGTATTATAAATATAAGACCCCATGAAGCAAACATTGATGCTAGTTTACAGGCAGCCGAATGGGGCCGTAAAAATGCCCAATTGATTTTTGTATATGCTAACAATATTTATTATATGGCCGATCCAAGTGATAGTCAAACATATCGTATAAGTCATGATGATGATCGTTATATCTATAATGGAATACCCGATTGGATATATGAGGAAGAAATTCTGGCTTCGGGTACAGCATTCTGGTGGTCAAATGACGGCAGCCGTTTAGCATATATACGTTTTAATGATAGTCAGGTCGAAATACAAGAATATCCATGGTACGGTGATCAGGTTGATGTTGAATCACAATATCTTGGACCTATTAAAATTAAATATCCCAAGGTAAGAAAAAGTACTCATTCATTGTAATAATATTTATTTGAAAAAAAACAAAATAAAAAACATTTTCAAGCACACACACACATTAAAATATAATGAAAATAAAAATAAAAAATGTAATATCTGCATGACTGCTTTTTACTTGTTAACATTGCACACGTTCCTTTTCTTTAGACAGCTTTTTTTGTGTGTGTGTGTGTGTATGTTTTCAATTTTATTTCTTTTTTTTCAATCGGTTCTCAAATAAATGGCTTCATTAAATTTTCTATTTTATTATACATAAAAATCAGCCAGGATCAACAAATCCAACGATAACATTACATATGGTTGATCTGGAAAATTCTAGTTTTGATCCATATGAAGTTTTACCACCTATTGAATTAACAAAACAAAGGTTTGTAGAATGTGTTTGTTTGTACGTGTTGAAGTAAACAATCAATTCAAACATATTATTCCATTCTATTGCACAGCAACGATTATTATTTAACATCAGCCGCATGGGCTGATCGTGATTGTCTGATTGCCGTATGGATGACACGTGAACAAAATTATGCTTCTTACTCATGGTGTTCACCTTCATCATCCGAAATGGATCATAAATGGAAATGTAAAGAAGTAAGTTATAATAACAAATAATGCTAATTTACCCTTTTTTTCAAATTAAAAAAAAATTTAATTTTTTCACCATTGTCCTGATAGAGTTTTCATAAACAACTCAACAATGGATGGATTGAAATTTCATCCATACATGTTGATCAATATGGTAAGAATTATTACATTTTACATGGTGATGAAAGTTCGGAACAATTTGTACAAATTATCAAAGTTAATATTAAGGTAATATAGAAATTTAATAAACATCATCATCTATAACAATTTTTTCCATGAAAAAAAAGACCGGTGAAAAAAATTTCATTACATCTGGTAAACGTGATGTAACGAAAATATTAAAAATCATTCCAATTTATAATAACGATGGTAGTGAAAGCAATAAGATATATTATTTGGCAACCAGAACAAATAAACCTGGTGAACGACATGTATATAATGTTTTAGATAAAACTAAATGGATGTTTAATCGAAACAACAATGATGGTGATGTTGATGATACAAAGTGCATTACATGTGATCAAATCGAGCTTAATCAATGTCTATACAATCGTATTACATTCAGTAAAAATGGTACATATTATATACGGGAATGTCTTGGACCAAATATTCCTTATTCAACATTACATCTATTGAATGATGATGGTGGCAATAATAATTATACACGTGAATGGGAAATGAATGAAAAACTGAAAATGACATTGAGCCGAAAATTATTACCAACAATTGTTACGGAAATTATCAACAAAACTGATTATGGTAAGTTGATGAAGTGTCAGAATCACTTAATCAACGTATGACCATAATATTCATGTTATAGCATACAATATCATTATTCAATTAAGCTTTTTTTTTTTTTTTTTTCGAGCTGACAATGATGACAAAAATTTTCATATTTTCATTTTCTTCTTTGCTTCTCAATATATATACACACATTATGATGGCTAATGTTTTGGTTTTGTCATCTGATTAACATAATTATATAGATAAGAATATTTTATAGTGATAAATTCTTTCGTCTATATCTATCTGGTGATAGCATAATATATGGCTATTGTTTTCGTTTCACGTTTGCTAAAGTTTTTTTTTATTTAGAAATTGTTTGAATATGAATGTTGTATATTTTGTTGAACTTGATTGAAAGTTATTTTTCGGATCGATGCATTCGAATTCTAGAGATATTTTATTTTTTGCTTTAAAAAACTTTTCACTTGAAAGACATTTATCAGTCAGTTATATTATAAAACAGATGCTCATCTAATTTAATTATATTGACTATATATGGCCGTTTGTTTTTTTTTCTTTTGTCAACAGTTTTGATTGTACAAATGTTTATGCCTCCATCATTTAAACCGGATAGTGTTGTAAAATATCCATTACTTATACAAGTATATGGTGGTCCAGGATCACAATATGTGAATGAAAATTTTAAAATGAATTTTGGTAAATATCTTGCCGGTAGTCGTGAAATTATCTATGCATACGTAGATGGGAGAGGTAGTGGATTTCAAGGTGAAACAATGAAACATCATCTATTCCATCGATTGGGTACAGTCGAAATGGATGATCAGATTATTGCTGCAAGGTTGGTGTTTGATTCTTTATGATAATTAAAATAATTAAATAATATAAAAATGATTAAATCGAATTCAACAGATATCTCCGAGATAAATATAATTTTATCAATCCTGATGCTATTGGTATTTGGGGCTGGAGCTATGGTATGTATTGATATATTTTGCGTTTTCAATTTCTCACCATGATTTAAAAATTTCTGCAAATCTGAATAACCACCAAAAAAAAGGTGGCTATGCTACAGCTAAAATATTAATCAAAGATCATCATGTCGATACAGCAGTGTTTGCCTGTGGAATATCGGTAGCACCAGTCACATCATGGCTTCTATACGGTATGATTGTACAATGTGTGACGTCACAACACATGTTATGATTTTGAATATATTTCTTTAAAAAAAAAATATTTTGGATACAGATTCTGCTTACACGGAACGTTATATGGGTTTACCAACAAATGAAACAATGAAAAGCTATCAAACATCGGCCGTTATGCATGATATAGATCTTATGCGTAATAAAAAATTTCTATTAATTCACGGAACAGCAGATGGTAAGTATCATTTAAAATGTAATTCGAGTATATAAGATAAAAACAATGTCGACAAACAATGAGAAACCGAAAACAAATCTCCTTGTTAATCCTATCATTTGTGAGTGTTGTCACAAATAAGGCCAAATAAAAAAAAAGAAAAAGATAATAACCATGGTAGTGAAAAAGACACCAAAAAAAATACGTCAACATTGTTATTCTTTTACGAAAATGGTTTCAAGTGTTCTTATACAAAATATTCTACCAACAACCAGACAAAAAGTTTTACCTGAAAAATTGAACTATAATTATGGTTGAAAAAAGAAGTTGTCATTTTCAAGTTTTCAAGTGTGACAAGTGTGTATATCTTTTTCATCACTTCGAATAAAGCTTGTTTGTATACTTGTGACTTATTTAGATGACGACATAGTTCCATAGTTGACTACTATAGTTCGTAAAGAAATGAAAAAAGTCAATATTTTTTTTTTTTTTTTTGCTAGTGAGAAATCTTTTTTTCATGATGTTATTTAACCCTTCAGGGTGTGCTCAGAACATCCGACCATGGGGTGAGAAAAGAAAAAGGAATATATAAAATCAATACATTATTATATTTTATTATTATTAATTCTCTTTTGGTGTGTGTGTGTGTGTGTACAAAGTTCCTTTGTTGATATTTGATAGAAAAAAAATTTAAAATTTAAATTCCATTCTATAGAATAAAATAACAAGAATCAATCATCATGTGAAAACGTGTGAGAAAGATAGAGAGAGAGAACGAGAGAGAAAAAAAAGAGAAGGTTCAGATCACCCAAAAAACAAAAAAAAAATTCATAACGTTTTTAAATGTTGTTCATTCGTCTGGAAATTTACCCAAGCGTTCGTTTATATATGAAGATCGGAAGTTTTTTTTTTGGTTCGGTTTTTTTTCATCATTTCTTTAATTCCACTCATTCCTCCATCGGGAAAAAATGATTATGAATAATATGGAAATATGAAGAAAGCCAAGTTTGTGTGAAAAATAATTTTTTTTTCATTTTAAAATAATATTTAACACATTGTAATACAAAGTAAATTTTTTTCCTGTTTATTTTCAAAATTTATTTATTAAAAATCAATTGTAGATAATGTACACATACAAAACTCAATGGTGCTAATCAAAGAATTGAATAAAGCCAATATAATGTTCAATACACAAATCTATCCGGATGAAAATCATGGACTACCCGGTGTTAGTGTACATCTTTATGAAACAATGGCCAATTTTTGGAATGAATGTTTCAAATCTGATTCATACGTTGAAGAGATTGGATTACGAAGACGACGTGTATCGAAATTTTAAACAATCAAAATACCACCACACACACACACACACACAATATATTTAAGTTCCAAAGTCATGTGCATAAATGTGGATATTTATGTGAATGTGTGTGGTAGGTGTTGAATGAAATATACAATATATATCCTTCCAAACATTTGTTATCACAATCATTATCATCATAATTTTTTATCATTATTTGTTGTCCAATATAAATGCATTTATTAAATTCGATTATATAATTACACACATTTAAGTGTCCAATCCATGTCCATGTTTTGATAAATGTTTTATGCTTTTTCATCATAATCAGCAGCACAACGAAATCCAAGATTACTTGCTGAAGTATCCTAGAAAAAAAGAAATTTATCATCATTATTATTATATTGTAAATACAAATATATCTTTCAATAAAAAAAAGATGAAATAAAGAACGAAAAATAAATAACTAACTGGTGTATTGAAACTTCTGGCAGCACAACGATAACGATAACAATATGAACGATGACACATGAATGATCCTCCTTTTTTCACTTTGTTTTCGGTGATTATTCCATTGGGAATGGAATGATTCGTCGTCCACCAATCATCATTCCATTCCCAAACATTACCAATTATATTTTTGAAGCCAAATCTATTTTGTTCAGGAAATTGATCGACTGGACAGGTCCAGCGAAAGCCATCATCACCTTGGTTTAAGTGTAAGAAATAGGAAACGATTATTTTGGTTTTTTTTTTATTTCTTATTGTTATTTGATTGTGTATAGTATACCTGTATTTTCGATTGGAAATTTCCCATGCCAAATATTCATATAATGTTCGCCTTTCGGGTTTTCTTTGTTTCCCCAAGGAAACAATCGACGTTTGAGACCGCCACGACAGGCGTATTCCCATTCGATTTCACGAGGTAAACGTTTACCAGCCCATCGGCAATATTCATTGGCATCATTCCATGATACATGCACTACTGGATGATTCATTCGTTCATTCAAGTCGGAATCGATTCCTTCCGGATGACGCCAATTTGCTCCATTGACTGGTAGCCACCATTGTGCCTGAGCAACGGCTTGAGTAATATTGGCCAAAACTTGTTCACTACACATTAGATCCAAAACAAATGATGTTCCAAAACGTTCAGCATCAGTCACAAATTTGGTCATTTGTATAAATTTTGCAAATTTTTCATTGCTAACTTCATATTTATCCAACCAAAAACTATTAACATGCATCAATCTTTCAGGCGATTCAGCATCCGCTAATATTATTGGATCATTGGTTCCCATGAAAAAATCACCCGATGGTAAAAGAATCATTTGCTGATGATCGATATCAAATGATGATGATAATCTAGAACTAACGCTATTACTGAGACAAATGTCTACATCATCTATAATTTTTGACTCTTGATTTCTATCGAATTGACTAGGACAAAACTTTAAACGATCATTATTGATACCACAGCTACAGCCATAAATGCTGATCGGATTTGGCCATAATAAGAATATCCATAACAATAGAAAATGTATGCTCTCAATAATCTGTGAAATTGAAATAGAATATGATAGAATTTATGAATTTTTCTTATGGAAATCAGTAGAATTATAGTAGGAAATATACGAATGAAATAAAATATTGAAATGAAACCGTATTTTTTTTTCTCGAGATCATACGACAACGAAAAACGTCAAAATTCTTTATGGCTTCAGCTATTAGATTCTATTTAGAATCGACAAATGTATATAACTATCATTACAATAAAAATTCAAATTTAATATGTCTATAGGAATTGTATTTATCCGTTATATTGGCTTCATACGTCATACCATATTTCAGCTAAGAAGAGATGGCTGTGGCAAAAAAAACAGTGCCAAAAAATGAATGCACTAGAAAGGAATTTGAAAAAACGAAAAACCAAGAGAATTCTTCATAAATGAGTGGATTGAAATGGCATTATCATTATTATTATTTTATATTCAACGAGCAACTCAACGAAAATAAAGGGAAAGTGAGATTGGAAAAAAAATTTGATATTCAATGTCCAGTAGTTATAGCAGTAACTGATTTTGGTTGTTATGTACGATATGGAATTACAATAACAAAAAAAAAGAAAATCTCAATAACCAAGGTAAATCCGTAGAAAAAAACAAAGCAGTATTATGTGGTTGCCATGTTGATTAATGAATTAAACTATGGTGGAATTTTTTTTTCTTTTTACTTTCTCAAAATAGAAACCATAACAAAATGACCAGCAAAAATTTTTAACATAATAATATATATATAAAAAACCAGAATAATCAGCAAAAAAAACAGATACAGAGATATTTTCATTTTCAAGTGGATTCTAATTTGTGTATAAAGGATTTGTGATTCGTAGGTCGAGCATCGAAATAAAGATTCATTGATAAATTCAATTGTAAAAAAAACAACAACAGCAACGACAACAACAAACATAAAATGGAAGAAGATTTCGAATTCGAAGACAAGGTAAGTTTATATCCTATGAGATGAATCAATTCATAGCTTATTTATCGATTCACAATCGTACATGATAAATTCCCATGTGTTGTTGTTGTTCTTGTTGTTCTCAGTTCGATAGATTGATTTTATTCATTTGGGAAAATGAACAAAAAAAAATTGCAATCCATTTATTCATTTCAATTTTGTTTGTTTCATTTGTAATTTGTCTAGTTTCATCAATTTCAAATGAAAAAAGTCTTGTTCTTTTTTTGATCAAAATCTTTTGTGTGATCGAATTTTTTTTCCTGTCATTTTAACTTTTCAACAAAGAGAAAAAGGCAAAAGACAAATTTTCTTTTATCACTTTTACAGAAACAAAACTTTTGGCATTTGACATGTCTTATCATTCCCTAATTCATTGTTGATTTCGTTTTTTTTCTTTTGGTTCAAACGATTGAATTAAAATTGAAATTTGAACGTAAATTTATCTGGTACTAGAAAAAAAAAGTTTGACATCAATTTTTTTTCATTCAACACCAATAATAATAACTGTCGATCAGATTAAATCGAATTTTCAATTTTTTTTTGAGAAAAATTGTAAGAATTTTGTGAAAAGAAATTTTTTTCAAAGTTTTTTTTTATTAATTTTTCCGACTTATTTCTCACTTTTTCTGCTTTCGCCTTTTTGCAACTATTTTTAGCGTTATTCGAATGAATTTTCGTAAGTTCATCCCATACTAATACTGACTGTGTTTCGTGTCAAGATCGACTAGATTTAAGCTGTTGTGTTCAAATTGAATCCTTGATTTTCAATCATAATTAACATCAAGATTACACACATTACACAACTCATCAATGATGATGATAATGACCATGAACAAATATTTTTTTTATTATATAGGACAAGAATCGATTTTTTTTTCTTCACAGAAAAGCCATTCGAGTGAGTTACCCAGAATAGACAATTGTACAAACGTTCAATAATTTCGAGTAATAATGGCTTTCTTTCTATACTCTCTCATTCACAGTAGTCATCATTATCGTCGTTGTTGTTGTCGTCGATTTAATCTACACCCACAATTCCCCAAAAAGCTATACAAATGAAGTAGAGAGCATCATCATATATTTAATTTTTTTTTGTTCAGTCATAATATACGAGAGCTTTATATATCTAATATATAAATGAGATTGTTGTATAAGACGATTATTACTATGATAATAGTTGACGATCAATAATATCAATGAAGTTGTCTATAAATAATATGGCCGCAAGACTTTGGATTCTTTTTTTTCGTTTTCTTTTTATTCTTACAATCGACATCATCATCATCAATCGAACTCGACTCGATTCGATTCGATTTGTTTTGTGGCTTCACTGTAATCATCATTCAATTTAATTCTATACGATATAAAGGCCAATCTCTGGAGCAATGTATGTAGAGTTATTAAAGCTGTACTGTAGATTCTTTTTTTTACCAGAAAAAAATGCAAGAATCAAAAATAAAACGTGTGTGTGTGTGTGTGTGTGTATGTGTGTGCGTGTGAGAGAGAAACAGGAAAAGAAAGATCACAAAAGACAAATTATTGGACAAATAAATGAAAGGCACTAAAAAAAGGTGAATGACCAAAAGTCACGAAATTTTGTATACAAAAAACAAAAAGGATACGGAGACCACTGTGAAGAATAGATTAGGATCAAAAAAAAAAAAAAAAAAAAAAAAAATTATGGAGGTGAAGCCAATGTTTCAGGGACAATGTTTTGTTGTTGATTTTAAACAAATAAGCACAAATTAAGAAAATCTTTAAAAAAATTCTTTTTTTTGCCTTTTTTTGAAACAATAAAAATAAACTTCCGAGTAGCAAGAACTCGAAGATGTAATTGATAATGAAAAACATTGGAAAAGTTTAGGCATTGCATCGGCTGTCATATCAGTAATCTGTACAATCATCATATTGGCCATATTAATTTTGACACCTTGTATGTGATTTTGGATGTTAATTTTATATACATTGAAAAAATTTTTCTAAAATATATATTGTCCTTTTTTTCAAATTAAAAATCAAATGACTAGCACGAAATACCGGTCAAAAACTTGAACCATACACTTTGGCGGAAGTATTGAGCAAAAAAATTATGCAAGCCCATCGTTTCAATGGAACATGGATTTCAGGTAAATGTATTTTTTGTTGTTTTTTTGTTTTCACATCACATTGATTATTTAAAAAAAAATTTATTTTTTGTTTTGTTTTGATGAATAATTTATTGGCTATTCATAATGATGATTGAAATGGAATCCATATCAAATGATACACATTGCAAAAAAAAAAACAAAAACAAAAACGAAAAAAAGCCCATGAATTCATTTATTCATTGGACGACAAAAACATTATGCTATACGATTGTCGAAATGAACAAAGTAGACCAATAACAACGAAACTCAATACGGTAATTGTATAGTCGTCAAACAATAACTCTATAGCACAAGACATTAATTCATTTCAATGCTGTCTTTTGTATGTTTGGCTTTATTTCAATTCACCAAATAAAGACAAACGATGAAATTGTTCATTTTGAAATATCTACATCACGACTTTATTTGTTGATTATCACGAAAAAATCAAATACAGCACAACGAGTAAGTCGATATATGAAATGAATATATATATACATTCAATTCAACATTAATCCATTTTATTGTTACTCTCTTTTACCGTTCAATGTTCAAAACAAATAAAATTAATGAAACAAAAAAAAATTTAGGAGAATTTAGAATGCGATCCATCAATGGATTATTATATCTATCGTTTAGATAATGAGTAAGTTTACCATTTTGTTTTGTTTTTTTTTTGCAGCTAGTGCATTTTATGTATACCACAATACAAACGTTGACGATACATCTGATGAAATATAATTATACAAAATAAAAGATTTAGTGTAATGAATTAAAATTGAATCTTTATAATGATAACAACATGATCAACAACAACAAAAAGAAACAAAACTGAAAAGCTTAATGAAGAAAAAAAAATAGAGAACATTACATATATATTTGGACTATTACAATACAATGATATAGATAAATGATGAAGAAAAATGATTCTTGTCAAAAATGAGGTGAATGATAATATGCAAATATTGATAAATTGAAAATGAAACATTTTTGCTCTATTAACTAATGATAATGATTAGACAAAAATGGAAATTTTTTTTTACCATGTTTCATTTTATCATTCAGTTTTCTGAATCTTTTTTTTTCTATTTTTATAATAACAAACTATTATTTGCAATGTAAAATAGGCAATAACTTTGCAAAAGAACCAGAAACATAGTATGTTGCAAAAAAAAAAAATATTCTTGCACGTTTGTAGGTGTGATAATAATGTAATTATATTCAAATTCAATCTCATTTTTTTATGCTGCATATGAAATAATAAATTGACATCATACGAAAATAAAAATCAGAATCTGTTTCACATTCAGCCACATGAATATATAACATGATGATATAATGATTATTGAAATGGCTGATTCAATCATCGATACATGTTCATGTATGGATGTAGTGAAATGATCATATATGATACATGTATTGATTATCAATTTGATTCAATTTGAAATCTATTAGGCTTTTTATTTATGAATAGAATTATATTTACAAACAGATGAACATTATAGTGATGAAAAAAAACGACAGTATAATTATAATTCAATTCAAAATACAATCATACAATCGAATCGTAGTTTTTTCTTCACGAAAAAGTACAACAAAAATGAACTAATGAATGAAAAAAAGAGGATAGAAAAATTTAAATTTACAAATAAAAAAAAATTCAATTTCCATTCACTATAACGATCCAAACTGACGACCGGATACTATCCCTAGAACTGGTTTCATTTCCAATTCCTATTTTTTTTCTCTCACTATTTTTTTTTCTTCACTTGGTACGTCCCACCATTAGAAACATGATCAATCTTCAAGAGGAATTCATTTCGAAATTGAAACTACTGACACAACAAAAAAATGATAATAACAATAGAAAAGATTCAAGATTGTCATCAAATTCTGTAACGGGAATGCATCACATTCCATCATCATCATCATCATCTTGTGTAATACAAAGCTCCCAATGGAACCCAATGGGGAATATTCTGGTATGTTCTTTATATTTCTTGTTCAGATTTTTCCCCATATATGGTAACGTTTGTTTGATTTGTTTGTTTCGAAATTTTCATTTAAAAAAATTCTTTGGTTCGATTTGAATTTAAAATTTTCTTCCATTTTTTTTATTGGAAATTCCAAATGATTGAAACATTTTTTTTGAGTTAGGATTGTATAAGGTTTTTTTGAGGAAAAGAAAAAACAAGACCTTAAGCATCTTAAAAGCTTTTTTGTCATGTTTTGAAATATTTATAGGATTTATATTTTGATGATGAATCAATTGATTGTGAAAAAAGCCAATAAGAATAGTTTCAGCTCTTTAAACTCTATATTGATGATTGGTACAATCAAGTGTTAACTAAGAACTGCTGAAAAGAATTCTTGCATGAGAAATACTTTTTGATATGATTCATATGGCATAAATAAAAGAATAAATAAAAATGAAAATAAACTGACCGCTTCCATTAGCTCGAATGGTGAAGGATTTCCGTCAATCAATCAATCAATCAATGGATAGATTCCCGATGGCCGATTCTTTAATGAGTTGTATTGAGTAATAATAATAACGAAGTTGAAATAAAGAAATCTGATGGAGAAAACACTGTTGTTTGGTGTTAAAATTAATCATTGAGACAATTCTCATTGAGACCAATAAAAATAATGGTCTTAAAAAAAAAAAAATAATGAAGATAAGCCTCATTAGAGACAATGGAATGATGAGCAATATATTGCTCATGTTTGTTGTGTGTGTGCGATGATTCCGTTATCAACAATGTGATTAAAAAAATTAATTTCATTCTGTCATTTTAGCTCATCATGCATAATAATGACATCTATTGGCTGAATATGGAAGCATCAATTGCACCGTTACGTCGTATTACGATGGATGGTTCGATTTCCGATTCCATTTACAATGGAATAAATGATAATATTTATCGAGATTTTATATTTGAAAAACCAACATCATTATGGTGGTCGCCTTCTGCTAATAGACATTATCATCTATGTTATTTACAGGTGAACAATAGTCAAGTACCATTGTCAAATGTAGTCATTTATGATGACAATGATGGCTATTCCACAAACCATTACCGTTATTCTACTGTAAGTTTTTTTTCTGTAAAAAAAATCATTGAAATGGGCAGTTTTTCAAAATTTAACCAACTAGCTTAACAGTTCTATCGGTACGGCAAATCTATGGATTATTCGTATCAATGCACAAACAAATGAATACGAACAAGCTATACGAGTACAGCCTCCTGATCGACTTAATCAGTGGCCACATTATGTAGTACACGTGAATTGGCTTTCAAATGATCAATTGATCGTATTATGGTCATTACGTGATCAACGGCGAACGATTCTTGGTTCCTGTATTGAACGAAATAATTGGAAATGTGACGAGGTAATTTATTTTCATTCACTTTTTTACACAATTAATCTCACACAAAGAATTAATGATCATGTTGAAATCGAAAATCTGACGAATTTATTTCAATTAAGCTTGTCACATTAAGAAATTGGCTACGAATGAATCATGTGCCTAATAGTATAATGCCTGCATCAGCCAAACATTTGGATGAATCTTCATTAGCCACTGGAATCAATAGTGAATTATTGTTCTGTGGACAAACACCAGAGAATGGTGTGAAAACATTTTATCAGCTTTATTCATTCAATGTAAAAGTAAGTCGATAAGATTCAACGAAAAATTCGATGTGTCAATAATCATTTTTCGTTCAATAGACAAAAGTAATTAATTCCTATTTGAATGTGGCCGAACGTTATACCGAACAACGACAACATTATCAGATAATTGAACTACTTGGCTATAATAATCATTCAAAATCAGTGTTTTTTGTTGGACAATCATTGAATCAATCATCGAATGATGAAGGAGAAAAAGTGATTTCCGAACAAGATATGCGCATCAATTTATTCGTTTTTAATCTGGAACATAGCCTTGTACATTGCATTACCTGTCAATTGATTAAGTGTTATCAAGCTAAACATTTGAATAATCAATCTGTCTGTATTGATTTGGCCAATTCAGCTACAATTAACGAGAATGATGCTGATGAAGAATCATGTATTTTTCAACATGTTTACTTTAGTCCATCATCCGAATATGCAATTGTTAGCTGTTTGGTTGGAATTGTACCTAAAATTTATCTTGTAAAATTTGGTGATCAACCGGATCTTGTTGAAAGTGCGTATCGTATCATTTAAAATTATTGACTAATGAATTTTAATTTTTTATTCCATAGATATTATGCTATTTGATGATAATTCTGAATTAGAATCGCGCGTACAGTCAAAAATTATGCCCAATGTTGAGAATTTCATTTTTACTCGTGAGAATGATAATTTAATCAAATGTAAGTTTGAAGGTTCAGAATCTTTATAAAAAAAAATAATTTTACTCCTAGATTTTCGAATCAAACTATTAACACCGCAAAATTTTGATCATGAAGAAATTGGCAAATATTCAATGCTGCTTGAAATGTATCCATCACGTCATCGTTATCATTATCTACCAAAAACAACTATAAATAGTCAAGGTACATTCCATAAACGTATCTATCCGGATTTAGAATGGGCCGTACATATGGTCACCGAACATGATTTTATTTATGCGTGGCTTGATGGGCAATTCTATCAAGATGGCAATCATTCATTACACGAATTATCATTCGAAGAATTATTGGTAGATTATTCAACCTTGATCGATTTTATTGTCACAAATATGACATTTGTCAATATCGCACAAACCTGTCTTATTGGCCATAATGTTGGCGGATATTTTGTACTAAATTCTTTATCGACAACATCGATCGAATGTGGGATTGCTATATCATCGTTCGTCGATTGGAATACAATCAGTAAGCGTAAAACAAATCTTATGAATGCAGTCATCGTATAAATTTTTTCTCTTATATATCTATAGATAGTTTTTTGGCTGAACAATATATTGATGTGGATAAAGTACGATCAAATGATCTACAATATTTGCTCAAAATGACATTGAATTGGAAAATGCTCGAAAATAAAAATTTACTCATCATACATGGAACTTCAAACGGTACACATATTATATTATTTGTTTCACAACCAATCTTATAATCAACTTTTATTCATAGAAATGTTTCCAATCAGTCAATCAATGAGGCTGATGAAAAGTTTAACATTGGAAGAACAAAATCGTTACATTAAATTTCATCAGAATCCATCCCACGACGATATGGATGAAATGAATTGGACAAGTCATCATTTCATGGAATTATATGTTGATCATGGAAATTCATTCGACACGTTAATCGAACATTTTTATAGAAAGATCGAATTCTTTTTGTTCCAATGGATAATAGTTTAACTTGATAATAAAAAAAATCAATTTAAAAAATTGTGTGACAATTACAGCGAATTTTCCAATGTTTATGATGGCAAAGAATTCAATGATCGAGAATACGGAGATTGCCCGAAACAATCTTGTTCTCGAGTATGGCACCGGATGGAATATCGATTCGTTCACCATGATTGGCGATAATAATCACGGTTCCTAGAAAAAAGTAAAAACTTAAACACGGTACTTATAGAAAAAAAATTACCTTTTAGAACAACTCTAGATCCGAAAGTCACATCACCACTGACTGTCAAATGGATAAGTTCTACCATATCTGGTATACTAGCGAAACGGGATAAAAAGTCTCGTACTTTTGTAAAATGTGAATCACCAAGTTTGACCAAAGGCACGGATGGAAAAGAACGCAATGGATTCATAATCAATGCACCATCTTTCAATGAATATAGATTAGACATAACCAACATTAAATCCGAAGTTTTTTTCACAGGTAAAAATCGACTACGCGGCACATTTATACCGATAGCACCGCTAAAACTTTTCATTGCTGATCCAACTGCCGTTTCCAATTGAATTATGTCGATACCAGATTCCGAATGCTTATTATTGACAATGATATCCATGTTCAACATTTTGTTCTCAACCAATCGTTTCAGTTCAGCCAAATTTATCCATAGATTATTCGTGTTGAAAATCTTGAATTTTTTCACGCTTTTGAATTCATCTACATGAGCTTTTGGAACTTGAGCAATTTCCAACAAACGTACATGACCTTCATATTGAATCAGTGTACCGCCCTTGACATCAGCATGCGTCTTATTTGTTACTTCCATAACATAGGTAGGCGGCGATGAAATGGATGGATTTAGTAAATAGTTCAATATGTTCAGATCAACTGTAGCGCCAAGATTGTCAATATTCGATAAGAATACATATTTTCGACCTAATAAAAGAGAATAAAAGTTATTTTTTATTTGTAACAAATTCTTATTTGAATAACATACCAGCCTTAAGAAAATCACCGAGAAGGTCAGATTCAAAAAATGATTCATAAAAATCACCATGTCCAGGTGGATACCAATCTTCTGGATTTGAATGCACTGATGTAGAGATGGGCATTAGCGTCTCCTTATTGATGCGTGGATAACGACTTTGCATGAATGTAAAAATGGCCACACGAAAACCTGCATATTTACGAAGCAATTTCAAGGTGCCATCATGAGTATTAAACGAATTCATCAAGACTAAAGGTACATCGGCATCATAGGTTTTGTTGAGTTTTTCAATTTGTTGGACGGTCAAATCCAAGAATGTTAAATCATTTCGAACAGGTATCACAGATTTCGGTCCCGTACAGCCCATGGATGTGCCTAGGCCACCATTCAATTTAACAACCACCAATTTATTCAGCATATCACGAATTAATTCGGAAGGAGGATCGGTTAATGTTTCATAACGACAAACTGCTTCATCAGGCAGTGGTTGAATCTTATCCCAAACGATTGCTTCATTTCCAACAATGAATTTTTCGAATAAATCTTTAAATCCACGAGCTTCTATTTGAAATTGTTTTTTTTCATCCACATTTTTACAGGTTAAATTCAGTTTATCCAATTCTGTGGCCAATTGATTTATGGCATCTTTTTTGGCAATCTCTTTGAATTCTGTAGTTGAACTAATTTTACGCTGATGGCGGCTAGTATTTTGATTGGAATTCATATCCAAAGTCATTGTTGGCTATGAAGGATAAAATTAAAAAAAAATTAATGTTATGTCAGGAATAATAGATAAATAATAATAAATAATGATTGAGTTCAAATTTCATTGTGTATATGGGGGCCTATATATCACCTTAGCATTCAATGAAATATAATTTTTAGCTGAACCGTTCATTTTTGATGAAAAAATTATATTAATATATCAATTATGATGAAGTTATAACTTATCGATGAATATAATATGGAAATTATGCTAACAAGAAAAATTAAAGGATTTCGAATATGAACAAATTCGATGCATTTGATCAGGATGGCTAGTTCTATTTAAATATTTTGTATGTATGATCTGACATGAGCTCATCAATTAATTGACATACAAATGGGGTTTTCAATTTTTTTTTTTTGATTATACTCAAATCCGATCAGATGATAATAATTATCCCATTATCACCAATAAATACATAGGGAAAAAACTATTAATTGAATTGATCTATGGATCTTTTAGTATGAAAATAATCTTGTATGATAGATTTTATTGATATAAAAGAAAAATCAGAAAAATATTCAATAATGTATTATGCGGTATTGGTTTCTTTTAAAATCTCGTTATGAATAAACACTTGACATTATTTAATCTAATCTAATAATACACAATTTGGTCACACCCAAACTTATCGTCAAAACGAAAAAATTGCATCAAGTCTTTTTGTTGTGTTATGTTGATTATCGAAAAAAAGAAGTTCAAAGTTAAACTTAATAAAGTACAAAAAAAACAAACTCATTCGTCATAGGATCAGTTTTTTTCACATTTAAAAAACATCAATTTACTAAATGAATGATTGAATCAAATAAATACATCGCGGCGAATAAACATTTGTTCATTATAACAAAAATAATATTAATTTTCATCGATCAAAATAAAAATATAGATAGAAAATTGAGTTGATCAATGATTGACATGGCATAAAAAATAATCAGCTACTGATAAAGTTGTTGTATACAGTTATATAGTAGTAGGATTGATAAATGTACTCACGTTTTTTTTTGGTTTAACAACGGTACAAAAAACACGAACAATTGTAAGAGATCAATTGATAGATATGTATAATAAGATATTAATGATCACTTATTTTGACCATATGAATGCATATATTTTGTATAAGTTGGATGATGATAAGAATCAAGATAATATACTTGAAATGTTGTTCAAATTATTCAATTTAAAGAGTGTGAAGGAAATGTTCAATGTTCTCGTCTGAGTAACAATTTGTTGGCAAATGCCAACATATACATTTACAGGATATAAAACCAAAAAGGTTACATTAAATAGTCGACAAATAAGATGACATTGTTTTATTTTAATTTCACCATCAATCTACCACTCACCAATATAATAATGAAAATTATAGTGTGATTATTTTATCAATATGGCCATGATAGCAGTGGTAGCTGAAAAACATGTCATTCTAAACTTTACGACGAATATTGGCAGAAGAAATGAATTTACTAATTCAATTATGATCATGAATTGCATATGTTAATGTTTGGATAAATTCCAATTAAAAAAAAATTCGAACACATGTTTTTCTAAAAACTAGCGGCTAAAAATCACTAGCCGCTAGTTCAGCACGGTGGCCATAGTAAATACTGCCATCTTTCGCGTGACCAAACATTCATTGGTTGCTATGGTTTCGGCGCGATTCATCGTTTATAACTAAAAATTTATTTATAAACAAAAAAGAATTTTTTCAGTAGTATTTTTTTAAATAAAATAAATAAAAAAATATGGACCGTATGCGTCTTAAAGATAGATTAAATACTTCATCAACAGTGGATTCATCATCAATGATATCAAATGGTAATTCATTAGAAGTTTCAAAATTGCCAACTAATTCTCTAATAAATGATATTGATCGTTTAGTATCAAATTCAAAAAGAAAACACCATTTTAAAGAAAAATATCAAATCAAATGTCATCTTAGTGCAGGAGCTCATGGCATTGTCCTATGGGCAATCGATCGTCATCATTCAAATCATGAAAATTCTGATGAGATATCTAGTGCTTGTTCGCCAGAATCACCACTCATAAAATGCTCTAAAAACGATTATTACAATTTCAGTCATGATTTTCATGAAAATTCAAATCAATTACAAAAAACTAGGCATTATGCAATCAAACGAATTTTCATTCGCAATCGTATCATTCCAGTGAAATTGATTCGTGAGATTAAATCCTTACAATTTTTGAAAGGTCATCCAAATGTCATTGAAATACTTGATGTCTGTCCATCAGGCTCTACCATTAATCTGGTCTTTCCATTATTGCCTACAAATTTGACCACTCTAATCTATAGCCCAAAAGTAAACAGAATTTCTCAAGATTTATCTTTGTTAACATCCGAATTTTCCATTCGTTTTTACTTTCGTATGCTCATTAATGGTTTAGATCATCTTCACCGAAATGGCATCATTCATAGAGATTTAAAACCCTCTAACATTTTGATCGACTGGAATGGCCAATTGAAATTAGCCGATTTCGGCCAAGCACGTGCCATTGACTTTATCAAAGAAGATAGCGATCAAGAATTTTCGAATGATGTTTGTACCAGATGGTATCGTGCTCCCGAATTATTGTGGGGTTCTACTCATTATGGCTCTGAAGTCGACCTCTGGTCCTCAGGTTGCATTCTTGCCGAAATGATTCAAAAATATCCATTATTTCATGGAGAAACTGATATAGAACAATTGAGCTTGATAGTGCGGTCTTTGGGAAATCCGGAATCCGGAGAATGGACAAAAAATCTACCAGATTTTACTAAAATTCAATTTGTTCAAGTGGACTCATTCGATACGGTTGTAGAAACTGAATTACCTGGATGGTTGGAGAAATTTTCTGAAAAAAATGGTATCGAATTATATGGATCGGATTCAAGGTTGACACTAGACCTGATTTCCAAAATCATCAGATATGGTGAACGTTGTACAACTAATGACTTATTACAACATGAATATTTTCATTCTCATGATTTTACAAAGGAACAAGAATATGATACTGAAGAAAAATTTCTTATTAAACCCAAGTTCATAGAACATTTATCGGGACCTCCACCAGATATCAAAAAATAATCAAACTAACAAAACTATTGAAAAATGTTTTTTAATCATGTGGCTATTATTGTTGAAAATGAACCAAGTTAAACCAATCACGTGCAATTTGTGTATTAAATTTTTGAACTTGTTCCTTGTAAAATTTTGTCATTTTTATCTGATCATATTTGGGACGAAGCCGATAATCGTGTTGTAGACAAGTAGCAATGAAATTCTTGAAATTTTTTGAATACTTTTCTTTTGTTGTCGATAAAGTTGGAACATCTTTCGGATTCATGATTTTTGTTATGATCTCAAATGCAACTGTCCATTGTCCATAAGGATGATGACCAAGCGCCATTTCCAATAAAGTCATTCCTAAACTCCAGACATCTACACGGCAATCATATTTGAAATTTATTCCAGAATCAGTCGGTGGTTGAATTCTTTCCGGTGCTTGATAAGCAAGTGAACCCATTGTTCGTGATGAAGTCATTGAATCAATCAAACATCCGGAAATACCAAAATCACATAACTTGATTTTACCTTGGTGATTGATTAGAATGTTCGATGGTTTGATATCACGATGAATCATTTGATGAGTTTGTTTCAAATATATCAAAGCGTCAATAATTGATACTGTAACAGAACCGATAATAGATTCTGGTATAATCTGTGGAGAATTGCCGCTTTGGTACATCAGACGATCAAAACAACAATCCATCAATTCCATACAAAGCCATAGTTCGGAATCATAATTCATTAAAATATAACCAAAAAATTTGACAATGTTTTCATGTTGACTTTTGGATAACAACTCTAACTCATTCAAAACATGTTTTCGACTATCATCGTCTAGGCCATTTTCCATATTAAAGTCGAGACGATATTTCATTCGTTTCACCGCGATATGAGAACCGGATTGAAGATGCAAAAAACGCTGAACATAACCAAAATTTCCTGAACCTAAGTCACCAATCTTGCGAAAATCATTTGAAGTTAAATTTGAATATTGGTAGCCATTAATGCAGAATGATGATGAATTACAACGATTAGCTTTTTCGCTGTTGATAAAATCGGAAAGTTTAGATCGAGATGATCTTTTTTCATTGATATGAGACCATGAATTGCCTAATAAATAAACACGGTTAATAAAAACTAAAAATTCAGAGAAAATCTTACCGAAAGAAGGAGCGCCCTTCCTGACCAAATCTGCATAGATTATGTCTCTTGAAGGCTTGCAGTGGGAATGTGGTCCTGAAAAACTTAACGATAAATTTGCATTCACTTTTCGAGCAAGTCGATTTTGTCGTCTTTGTTGAGCATCAACTGAGTAGCATCTTCGATTCAACGATTGTACATTAGTTTCAGAATCTTCGGATTTAAAATCAAGTATCTCGAATTTCAAAGATTCGTCTGAGAATGATGAAAAATTCACATCTAATCCATCAATGATTTCATGTTTTTTGTAACAGATACCTCGAACCTTATTTTCATTTGAAGGTGTGGAATTTGGATCAAATTCTTGATCACCAAAATATCTTGTTCTAACTTTGCGAAAAAAATTACAAATTGTCATAGTGCTGATTGTTGCAAGTTGCTTTGAGTTTGTTTAAACGAAATATTTGGTTCAGCTTCCAAGTTGACAATGTTTGAATAATCACACCAATGTACGCTTGGCACAACATAACACAAAAATAAAAAATTGAAAATAGTTACAACTGACCTATCAAATCCGAACTTGGTTTTGCGAGATCTTAAATACAATTCTTCTAGGTGTGCTCATGTTGATGAATAGTTGTCGTTACCGAGTGACCCTGTAACGTCAATCATGTGGCCTATCATTCGCTCGACTGGACCTCCCATTCGTTTTGTTATCATTTAGTACCTGTTAGGCTCAAATTAAACTTTTTCATTAAGGTTGAAGCACTAACAAAAATAAAATAGAAAAAAAATCTAACATTGGCTAGTATGAAATGAAAATTCAAATTTCATTGAACGTCCTTTATGTACGAATTGAACAAAAAAAAATTTTCGAGTGAAATGTGTGATTCAATTTGGGTTTAATATTTTTTTATTTTGATTATGTAAAAACTATTTTTCAACTTAAAATTCTCAAAAATTAATCATGGCAGAATTGACAAAATCATTAGCATCGACTAGAGAACGTCGATCCAATGCCGGTTCTAATATGTCTAGATTGCTAGACAAAGAAGAAGAGGATGAATTTTATAAAACTCAATATGGTGGTTTCGATGAGGTATGATTCTGTATTTTGCTAATTTTTTTTTATATTAATTTTGACTGTTTTCAGATTGAGAATGACAATGATTTCTCTGCCTCTGATTCTTCAGATTCTGAAAATGTCATCGATTCTGATTTTGATATCGATGAAAATGTCGATCCAATCGTCGATGAAGATGAAGGTGAAAAAATGATCCAACAAGAAGAAAAACGGGAACGCCGAGCTGCAACAAAACGTAAATCATTTTATCGCGAACCTTGTATTAAAAAACCAACTGCGGCAATGAAATCACCATCATCTGTTGTTCGTCGTACTCCTCGAACTTCACTCATCAGTACTGTGCCTGTATCACGAAATACAACACTTCGTTCTGATGATGCACAATCGCTTTATAAAAATCTTCGCGAATCTACAAAGAAATCATCAAGAGAAACGAAAGAAAACCTTGAAGATGAACGACGTCGAAAATTAAAATCCAAGTATAAACGAAAACAACCATATCGACAGCCCACACAAGAGGAACGTTTACGTGAAGCTAAAAGAACGGAAATCGAAAATATGCGTTCCCTGGAAGCTTATAAAAATATGGAAATAGAAAAATCGAAACGTAATAAGACAAGTAAAAAGTTACCCAATGTTCCAATGATTCGTTATCAGTCGTATCGTGAAAACTCAAAAGATTCAGATCCATGCTATAGAACAATCATCTCATTTCCTAATGAAGAAATTTTCGATAATTACTTTGGAAGATATAATCAAACATCTCATAAGTCCGAAATCAATCAACAACCTCGAAAACGTCCTATTTCAGTTCTTTCTGGTCTCCCTATTCGTTACAAAGATCCTTTAACCAGATTTCCTTTTGCTAAAGCCAAAGAATTTAGTGTTATTCGCGATTCCTATGTCCGTTATTTGGAACAATCTACATTGCGAGATGATGTAACAATAAAAAAGTTTACAGACTCTTATCAATTATCGCCTGTATTGGAGTTAAAATTGGACCAAACAAATCAAACATCCAAATTAGTTATTACCGGCAATTCTAATCAATCTCAAGGGGTGACAAATCCGATCAAAGCATCCGCAGCTGTCACCACAATGGCCACAATTCATTCTACAAATGAAACGATTCGAGATGTTTGTAAATATCGAACATTGAAACCGAAAATTCCCATGTCTATTACTTCCATTTCATCCAATACTAATAGCCCTGTTTCCTGGTTGGTGATAACAACCAATAATAATAAGCCACAAGTTCAACAGGTTTCAGCTTCATCAACTAACAGCTCTCAAACTAGTAATAATACACAATGAATTTGTAATGACAAACATAAAATTTAATCATTTTTTAAAGAATAAAAGTATATGAATGAATAAATAAATTGAGTTTTACCCACGTCTATGAATAGATCTCCAAAATGTGTGAATTGATTTTTCGCGCTAGTTTCTTTCATGTGACTTGAATGATATTTTAATTTGTTGAATCTATCTTGATTCAAAATGTCTTCGTCGAATTATCGTAATCAATTGTTGAGAAAATTTCAAATGAATGGCCTTAATGTTCGTCAAGATGCCTTAAATATTTTTGAATCTGAATTCAAACATGGACAACCACCATATGAATCAATCGATGATTTTATCACTGTTCTTATAGATAAAATGTTGACCCAAATGACTTGCGAAGATTATATTATCAATTCAGAAATGGCACAAAAAGCAATAGAAATTTTGCGTGATTCCCGACAAACACAACAGCCAAATCAACAAAACCAGAATCAAATTGTTATTAGAAATACAATCGATTTGGAACAAAGTTTGGAATCAAATTTTAAGTTCCACTATCAACAATTAGTCAAACAACTGAAAAAACTTTCTGTATTTGAATCGGGACAATTTCGTTTGATGACAATCGATGAGCTAAATACATATGAATCGAATATTGAAATTAAATGCATTGTATTCGCCATGATTCGTCATGATCCGTCCAGAATAATGCAATTTTTGTTAGAAGACCCAACTGGTAAAATTCCATTTCAATTAAGTTCTCAAATTGTATGGCGAGAATGGGCAACATTCCAACATGGAATTTATCTAATTGAAGGTTTATATGAAGGTCGAAAGGATTCATTTCAGATTACATCGATTGGTCTTCCTCCACTTCCTATACAATCAAATTCGATCGATAATGTGGCAAATCATGTCGATGACGATGATCGAATGCTCATTTTATTGGCTGATATTCATCTTGATCAACCTACAACAATGGAAGCGCTAAAATTTTTATTTAATGGTTACAATTCTTTGCAACAGGTTCCCGATATTTTCATATTGATTGGGAATTTTTCCTCTACTCCTGTTGATAACTTTGATTTCAAGGGTTTGTATGAAAGATTTTCGAAAACTTTTCATCATATTAATGACTTTCATTTGCAGATAACATGAAAAAGTTGGTTAAATTGATATCAACATTTAAAAAATTGTCACAACATTCAAAATTTATTTTTGTCCCTGGTCCAAATGATCCCAGCTCGGTTTCAACAGATTCATTGGTTAAGCATCAATTTACTCCGGATCATTTTCCGACAACAACTACAAGATTGAAGGATTTCCATCTTCCTTCCAACCCATTTTATGTAAGATTTGATGATCGAAAATTATGCATCTTTTCGAATCGAATTGTCAGCAAATTCGCCAAAAATGTCATAAATAGCCACGAACAGCTTCATACAACGAAATTGTCGAAAAATGATCCGACAATCATGAACGATTTTTTAAAATCTATTGGACGTTTAATCATCACCAATGCTCATATAACCGCTGGTCTTTGTCGAAATTACTCCAATTCATTATCTTTGTTTTCTCAAGCTCCTGACCTGTTGATTTTGGCTGATACTGAATCACCATATGTGGAATGTCGACCATTCGAACAAAGTTCATCACCACATTTGACTACCTCACGATCATTCTCCAAAAATAATTTTCAATTTATTGTCTATTATCCCAAAGCCAATCAATTAGAGGAATCACAAATAAGCATTTAAATTGTTCTTTTTAATAAATGGAAAATTTTATTCATTTTTAAAAATTTTGTTTAGCTTGCCGATCGCAATATTTTTCTATTGATCGTCTTATGACTTCAGCAGTGAAATCTACATCATCTTCATTTATGCACATTGGAGGTGCGATTCGAAAAACACTAGCTAGAGGACCTGAGAAAAAAAATTTATAAATAAAATTCGACTTTATATTAAAACAATTTACCTCCTCGACCGACAATCAATCCCATATCTTTACAGTCTTCGATTATTTGATCCATATGATCCTTAGGCATCGGTTTACCATGAAGCATCATTTCCATGCCTATCATTAAACCTTTGCCACGAACATCACCAACAATTTCACCATTATAGTCATCTCGAATTTTAGCCAATTTTTTCAAAAGTCTATTCCCTAGATTATGCGAACGCATCTGTAGATTATCATCATCGATTACATCCAGAACAGTTGAACCAATAGCAGATGCCAAAGGATTGCCACCAAATGTGTTGAAATAAGATCCAATTGTTAAAGTTTGAGCAATTTCAGCAGTGGTGATTACTGCAGCCATTGGAAAGCCATTTCCTATGCCTTTTGCCATTGTAACAATGTCTGGCATAATACCATGCGATTGGAATTCCCAAAAATTAGTACCGGTTCGTCCAAATCCTGTTTGAACTTCATCCATCACCATCAACCCATTTCGTTGTTTTACTAAATCATAAGCTCGTTTAATGTACTGTTTAGGATATTGCACAACACCCCCAACACCTTGAATAGATTCTGCAAACATTGCTGCAAATTTTTTTGGAAGAACTGTGTCCATTACTGTTTGTAGATCTTCAATGTAGTAATCAGCAGCTTGACAATGATCTGCATCGATACAATTACAATGTCGATTAGTTTGAATAAGAGAATCACGACAAAATCGACCACCAACACGTCCTCGATATGGATCAGGGCAGGTAACGTGATGAAAGCCAAAAGAAGTAGGTAAAGGGAATTTCCAAACACCAATAGAACATAATGGCATCGTAGAAAGGGTGCTGCCGTGATAACCATTTCTCAATGCTATAATATCAAATGCACCTGTATAAAGTCTAGACATAGTTATAGCTATATCATTGGCTTCTGATCCAGAATTACAAATAAACAAGCATCGTAATGGTTCTGGAAAATGATTGGCCAATTTGATGGCGAAATCATGTATCTCTTCGGTCAAATATAAAGAACTTGTATGCCATATTTTTGTTGATTGTTGTTGAATGGTTTCGACTAAACGAGGATGGCAATGTCCAATCGATGTCGTTAAGATACCGCCAAACATATCTTACAGAGAAGGAAAGATTCAGATTAATGGTTTTGATTATCGATAATATACAATACCGAGATAACGATTTCCAGAATCATCCCAAACATATTGCATATAGCCTTGCGTTAACATCACTGGTTTTTTATACCATGTTTTGAGACATGGATTCAAATTGATACGATGGATTTGTTCTATTTCAAATCTACTCAATTTAGTCTTTTGACGATATATTTTTTTAATATGCCAATTTTGTAAAAAAATTTATTCATTACTGACCTTATGTTTTTTTGGAATAAAATCACATGGAGGTAATTCTGGGGCAGAACATGTTGATAAAAAACGAATCCATCTAAAACATAAATTCTTCAACGAAGAAAATTGAATCTGAAGGGCCATTTCGTTAAGATAAAAATGACGTCCATTAAATTTTATAAATCATCATCATCATCACGCTTGTCAATCATCAGTACTAGCGATTGAATCAACATTTACATTTTTATCTGCCATCTATCAAATGCTTAATTTTATTCAATATTAGAGGGTAATATTTTATTTTATTTTTTTTTTTTTTTTTGATGATAAGATAAAATCGAGATTCATGACCAAGTGTTTGGCGAAAAACTATTCTGAGATACTTCATTATTTTCGAGTAAAAATCGATTATTGATGACAGATGGAACTACTATCAATAGATTAAATTATGATTTTCAATTTATTTTTGTTAAAAATGATAAATGGATAAGGCAATTTTATCACAAACATTAACATGATTCTTAATGAGAAAAATTATCAAATTCATCTTGTAGTCGTCGTTGTCGTTCCAATTCTTTGCGACGTTTTTCACTTTCAAGTGCACGCAAAGCTCGTTTTGCAGCCGTACATTTGGCTATTCGTTTATTGCGGCCAATTCCAACAAATTTACCCAAACCAAATACTTCAACAGTAACACGAATACGGCGCCCAGAATTGATTTCAGGTTTTCTAAAAAAAAAAAAAAAAAATAGTGTTGATTTGAATTTATTAAAATGAACATATTTGGATATTTATACGAACCCAAATTTGACACTTTGTGGCTGTTTCTCCAATAATACTCTTATCGGACTTTTCGGTACCTTTTCACTGAAATTTTCTACAATAAAAATTCTTTTTAGGAAAAATAATTCAAACAATTTTAATTCATACCTATCTCAGGTTTCATCATCGGATAATAGGCTTTCCAAACAGCCTCCAAACTCATACCAGAATCCAAATAAATTGCACCAGCAACCGATTCGAAAATATCTCCTAAAGCTTTTGGAACTTCAATATCCTCCAAGTGTTCCGCTTCGTTTTCGCTAACGAACAATTCCCAATAATTATAATTTGAATAAGAATTTTCATCCATATGTTCATCTTCGTTGCCTTGCTGAAAATCGCTTATGGCACTGAGAATCTTTTTGGATTCACCATTGGCAACATTTTGATTATAATAGATGTTAAATTTGCGAACAAAACCATCAATAACTCGATAAAGCTCGGAAGAAAGCATCATGAGATATTTATGAAAATTATACTTGACAGCCAATGCAGCAAAAAAGGTGTTATTAACTAATGCTGAACGAAGATCGGTCAAAGTACCAGGCGAATGACATCGAGAATCTTCATAAAGATATCTTGTTATAAGATAATCAAGAACAGCATCACCAAGAAACTCTAATCGTTGATAGCAATCGGTCACTGTGTTTTCATAATAAGAATTGTGTGTGAATGCTTGCACTAAATAAGCACGATCCCGGAATTGATAGCCAATAATTTTTTCAAAACGATCGAGATGATGTTTAAAATAATTTTCTTGAAGTTTGTCCTCAATTTCTTTTACTTTAGCTGCATCAGTTCGCAGATGTTTGGGAATGATCAATGGTGATCGAGGTTGTGGTAGCCATCGTTCATGTTTTTGATAAGATTCATCTTTATTTTCTGCAGAAGATTCGTAGGGCAAATTTTTGGTTATTATTTTCATTCCCTTCGGTAGTACTTTGAGTCCAAGCCAATCCATGAATTGAATAGCGCCCTGAGATCCAGAAGAAATTAGATATGTTCCGATCAACGCTTCAACACAATCGGCAATGGATTTATTCGGAATTGAATGTTGAGTCAGTAAATTATATGGCACTTTATTCGATGTTGTTTTAACATTATCCGATGATTCTTGTTCGACATTTTCTAAAGCCTTATAGAAAATTGTCAATAAAGAGTTAATCTGATTCATTTATTAATAAATACCTGATAGGAAGGTGGACACCAATTATCGACTGGTTCGAATTTCGAAGCAATCATTAATTCACCAAGATTTATTCGCTGTCCTAAACGATGTAGATTTATATTTGATATCTGTCTGCTACGCAAAAATGACAATTTCCCTTCATTCAATTCAGGACACATACAGAATAAAAATGCCGTTATTGAATACCTATTATTAAAGTGAAAAAACATAAATATTGAAAATATTAAATATATTTTACAAACTTTAAAAATGAATCGCCCACAGTTTCCAAACGTTCAAGATTAATGCCATCGCTTGAATTGGACATTGTGATTGCTTGCAATATCAAGCTTGGATGTGGTCCTATCTGCAGCTGATCGTCGGAAGTATTTTCCATTTGAAGCCATCGTGGTAATGTTTGTAAAGCTAATTGTCGCTGAACTTGAAACAGATCAATCGGATTTTTATCATTTGAAGTAAATTCGGTCAGATTTTCATCTCTATTTGGCAATAATTCACCGAATTTGACTTCAATTTTTGTAGATGATGAATTCTTCTCTGGAAAATTTACGAATTGGCTTCGGTTTTGTACTTGTTGATCAATTTTTTGATCTTCAATCTCATGTTTAATTTTCATCATTTCCAACAAACTTGTATCGATTTTTTTCATTAAAACTGACACTAATGGTTGATTGAGGTTCATATGATTTAAATTTTTGTCATTTTCAATTAAATCATATTCAGGATCACAGAAAACAGAATCACTTTCATGTTTCGAATCGGCCATTTGTTTATTTTGAATTCTGGCGACACATTGTAGCACTTGGTTTTGTTCATCATAGTACATTTCATCGAAAATTTTTCGTTTACGCAAATGTTCGGTATGTTGTTCAGCTAATGAGAATCGGTGACGATAATAATATTTTAGACTTTTCTGCTCAATCTGTCGAGAATCATATAGTAATTCAATTTTCAATATATCATAAATGACCGATTTTGTTTGATATGCATCCATTGTTTGTGTTAAGTTTTGAATTTTTAAATCCATAGCTGTCTTTGTTTTCCGATTTTTGCATCTGGAATATCTATTTGTAAAATTATCATCATCGCCTCCTTCATCATCATAATCATCGTCCTCATCGTCATCGAATGAATCTTCATCATCAAAATTAGAATCAACTAATTCATCTTCCTCATAATCGTCGCTAGAATCATTGAGATCAAAATCTGAATAGGAACCATCATCGATTTGTTCATCACTTTCATCATCATCGTCCAAATCTGATAGCGATGTTATCATTGGCTTCTGCTTTCTATTGTTGGTCTTAGTACTTTTTCTCTTTGATGAACTCATTTCCATATTCTCCGTGCATCTGGAATCATCACATTCGTCAAAATCACGTTCATTATCTTGGATGTCATCAGCTAATCCTGGCATTTTGGAATAATGTTGAATATCTTCGCAGAATTTCTCAAAATCAAACCGAAATTCGGTATTAGATGTTTTGAATTCATCGCTATTAGAATCATCATCATTTCCATCTGATTCATAAACTCTCCAATCAAAATTTGGCCCAAATTTTGATTTTATATTTGAATCAAAATTTTCTTGATCTTCCCAATATGTTGGTGAACCAGCACGAACAGGCAATGTTTTAGCTGGTTCGACGATTGGATTATTTTCATTGTCAACTTCAACTATAGCACTCTCTTCTTCAAAATCATCATCCATAAAATTCTCGGGCAAAATCGGTCTTTGACTAGAATAACTTTTATCAGAATAGCCAAACGGACCACTGATAATTTCAATTTGTGGAATTATATCACTACTGCATGAATCATAATTAATAAAATTATTATTGATTGTCTCAGCAGGATAGGATGAGCAATTTTGATTTTCAATTGTGGTAAAAAGATCATTGGAAGGTGGTGGAGCCATTGATGGATCAAAAGTATCGATGATAAAATCATCGTCTGGATTGGATACAGAAATGACTTTTTGTTTTTCATTTGATACTATTGGATCGAATTGATTTTGTTCGTGTTCTATTTTCGTCTGTTGGCGCGATTGCTCTACTAGAACAGACCATCCAAAATCTAACTTGGGCCATTTTTTTTCTTGTTGTAATTCAACAACACCAATTTTAGCTTCTTTAGCTATTTTGAAACGCAATTCTTCAGCAATCAATAGCAAATTTAAGCGATACAAAATGCAAGGTAAACAGACTGCTTTACGCCAAAATGATGCTGGAAATGGATGAATAAAACATAGCTCAGGTACAAGAATTTGTTTTTGTTGAGGATTTCTTTTTGATTGATGGTCGGAGGATTTTATTGATGATAGATGAATACCTCTACGATTTAAAAAACGAGGGGTCAACAGGTTTAAACGTGCTGATGTGTGGTCAACATCAAGCAATGGTTGCTGAAGATTGGTAATTTGTTTGCCATATTTTTGATTATAGTACTTTTCAAAAGTTTGATACTCATGATCTGGAAATGGACTTTGTGGCGTAAGATAATGACAAATTTCCGCAACATAATAGAATGCTTGAAGTTTATCTTTTCGATATTTTGGAATGACGACTGCATCTCGATAAAGTTGTTCGTCAAAAATAAATTTATTCTCATCATCCTGACGAAGTATACCTTGGTCATATGATTTGGGATCATTTTTGTGGTGCCAAATTAATTCTAAGAATTCCCAATCAATCGTCTTTTGATTATCCTGTTCGGCGTTGAAATTGATTGGAACAATGAGATAATTTCCATTTGAACCATTTTGACGATCGAAACGAAGTGAAGATTTTCCTAATGGTAAAACATTTTCAAATGTATATTGGTGGAAATTTTCAATTTGCTGACGTTTTTCGTCGGTAATTTCATAACCATTTTCAGAATCAGTGATTATTATAGGCACGATCGATATGGTGATTTCTCCCGATCGATTATAGATGGTGAAATCACAAATTGTTGGCAAACTATTTGGCGAAATTATTCCAAATGTTCGTGTAGTTTCAGCCGGATCAATAATGCGGCGTCCTCTAGTATTGTGTTCTTCGGATAATCGATATGTTAATTTCATCTGAAATTCATATAAATACTGAAAATAATAATGATTAGTGGATTCGTCATGTCGAAAGATGTTTCCACGAATAGAATCGGCAACTTTTTTATTATAATATTGACGACGTTTTGATGCTATATTACGGTTTTGAATTCGATTGTAGCGATTTCCTTTCTGATGATAAGGACCGTGACTATGATGATGTTGTTGTTGCAACACTTGATTACCCTTGGGGACACTGATAAAACAATCTTGAAGACCAAGTTTTTCTATATATCGACTTGTTTCCTTTCCGACAGGATAGAAATTCTGATCCAATTCTCCTATTTCTCTCAATGTTTTAACCGCTTCGAATGCTACCGATTGTTTGGCCAATGATTGTGTTGGCTGAATTTCCCCCATAATTTCATCTCGATATGTAGAATTTATAGGAAGATAGAGTCGACAGCGATATTTAGGAACAACTTCGTTGCTATTTTCACTGGATTCAGCTTGTGAATGAACGATTTCAATTTTGTAATTCGGAACCAGTTTAGTAAATGTATCACTCGGTAACTTGTTGCAATAGCGGTTTAAAATGGATATAGCATTTTCTAATGTGAGTTGTAAAGTTGCATTTACAGATTGATTGATCTGTTTATCGAACTTTCTTGGTTTATGTATCATTGAAACTGGCAGAGATGGTTTTGATTGTGGTGGTTTAATGAAATGCATAGATGCCAAGGCCATTAAATCAAATTTGCTTGGTTCATTTTCAATGAATACTTGATTGTTCAATGGAACTAATTTGGTGAAAATTCTCTCAATGTTACAAAATTGAAGAAATTTTTCGACATATTCCTTATGGTCACTTTTTTCTACCAAAACCAAAAATTGTCCGCACTCAACACGAACTCGTCCTTTAGATTGAATAAATTGATGAAATGTTTTCGGTGGATCAAAACAGATGACCATATTGCAACGATTCACATCAAGACCTTCTGCAGACATTGATGTGGTTATCAAAAGATTACATTGTTGAGCTAAACGAAATCTTCGGAGCGTTTCTTCTTGTTGTCTATAATAGAAAATCTCATGCAAAGATTTTTGATGCTTTCGATAGTAAAAATTTTTCAATTCATTCTTTCCGTCATCTTCAGCCAAGAACACGTGATCTGGCAAAAGAAACTCGAGAATGCTTATCTTTCCAGAATTGACATCACGAGTGATGGCAACCAATTCTCGTAACCATTCATCCAAGACGAGGGCCATTGAACGGTTTTCGACATAAATTAAAGAACATATATTGGATGGGAACGTAAATGAAGAATGTGATGTTTGATGAGTCGACGGACTAGTCAATTCTTCGAAATATTCGAATAATACATGGGCTAAAAGGTGAAGTTTTGGTGCAGAAATTGAAAGAAACTGTGATAATGTCAATCGCGATTCCGATTCACTAGTCATTGATGAAGTTTCTAATTTCGCCACAATGCCTGCGTCCATGTACGATAATATTGATTTACGAATCAAACATAATGTTGAATGAGCAGCATTCAAAAGTCGAAGATAATTTGATCTTGTTTTGGCCAAAAGTAGGATAGTATCATATAATTCACGATTTACCATCTGGATTAACTTTAGGGCACACCATTCACCAAGCGTTCCAAAAATATAGAGAATATCAACAATCATTTTGGCAATAGTTTCATGATTGATAAGTTGTTCAGTGGTGATGCCTCCATCTAACGAAACGTTTGTTATAAAATTAAAAAATTGCCCAGAATAATTTCGGATCATAAACAGAGCCATACGATATTTTGTTTCATCATGAATAATGTCCGATTTTTCTTTAGAGGCCAATAATGATGGATAACATCGAAGCTTTATACGACATTGAATCGAATATTTGCTGATCATTCGAAGATCGGCATAAGTTTCACATGAACATCCGAGATTTTTTCGATTTGTTCAATCATTTTTTCAAAAACATTGGAGGAAACGTCTTCCAAAAGTATTGAAGCAGAAAGTCCGAGAATCCTATATTGTTTTTCGTTAGTCTGGGAACGCAGTCGTCTAATTATTCTTGTATAGCAATCGTCGGTTGAAGATGTACAGAGTAAAATTTTATGAACATCATTCAAAATTAAAAGATTTAAATCTTTCGCATTAATCAATTCCTGTTCGATTAGATATTCGAAAAGATCGTCCATCATTAAATGAATATCATATGATTGAAGTTTATCACGCCAAATATCACAAGACCATTGTTTAGCATCTTCAGTTTCTAGGTATTCACCAATGCGAAGATTACAATGGGCATTGAAAACGGATGAATAAAGTTTTATGGAACTTGGCGACTTAGCCAGGAAAAATATCTTCTTAAGAGTTTTGGAGTCAGTATCGGAAGGTGATAGATGTGGATTGAAATATTTAACCAGCATTACCGAAATGAAATATCTTCCTTGACCTGGACGAAGAAAAACAATTGTGTCGCGATTCTTGCATGCTTCATATAATTCAATCTGATGACAAAAATGAAAAAATTTTTTACAATAAAATAAAAGCACGTAGACAAATTGATATCTATGTTTCTCACCTGAAAGGGACGCGGAAGAAAATCTCGATTATCGAATAATGCAAAAGAACGAATCAAACGAGTTGTAGGATGATTCATCGAATTACGATGGCCGAATTTATGCATCGTTTTCGAATTTGATGAAATAACCACATTATCGGAATTAGATGAGGATAAATTTTTGCAATTATTTGCAGCCATTTTATTGGCTGGCCTGAAATGTTTTCTGAGGAAGAATTAGTTTCAGCAAAAAAGCAAATAACAATCCAAATAGTAATAATAATAAATTGGAAATTGGATAGAAAAATGAAATCCACATGTATAAATGCACATTTGGTTATTATTGTTACTGTCTGCGAGTCTGAATTCATCTATTTTGTCTTCATGCATATCAAAACGGGTGTGGCTTAAAATTCGAAACATTATTCTTTCATTATAAACTGTCATTAGTCAGTTCATTCCGCGCCACTCTTATCACGTGATTCAATATTGGATGGATTCTTAAACACCAAAATTATCATCACCATTTATCAATAATTACATCATCATCATTTTATTTATGTGTCTGTATTTTATCGTTATTTCGATCGAGATAACATTATCTTTTTTTTTTTTTTGTTGCTAAATGCAAAAAAAGTTATGTAAAGACTATAAATTTCCAGCTATTTATCGTATGAGTTTCTCAATTGTTCAAATCAGCTAGCACTTGCTCATGTTTGAATATTGAATGTTGTAGTTTTTTTTATGTTCCAGATTGAACAAATTGTTATGGAATCTACTGAGCAAAATTACTTCTATCCATCGGAAAATGATAGAAATCCCATCAAACATGAACGTGATAATATTCCACGGGAAAGGATTCGAATTAATGATGATGATGATGATAATGGTGACAGTGATGTTAATGATGACAATTGCAGGCAACGGCAACAAACGATATATTCTCAGGAAGAGTCTTTGTTATCCAACAATGGTATGATTGACAGGGAGCTATTGCAGCAAAAACTAAGATTCTATTTCATGTCACCATTGGATAAATGGAGGACTAAAAAACGATTTCCTTTCAAGCTTATATTTCAAATGTTAAAGGTCATTTTTGTCACATTTCAATTGGTGAATTTTGGTACAGAAATGTCTGATTATATAACTCAAGATGATCACATTGAAAATGCATTTCGTAATATATTATTGGATGATTGGGATCAAACTCGTGAAGTAGTTGCTTATCCACCGGCAACTGGTGATTATGCTGTTTACACTACCGAACATTTTTATTCGTCGATGGATTTTGCTATAAGAAGATTTTCTAATCTAAGTAAACTTTCCGTTGGTTGTTTCGGTTTCGAACGACGAGAATATCCTCGAATTTTGATTGAAAAAATTTTCTTTACAAAGAGAAAATTAGATCCTACTGATTTTGCTTATAATATTGAAAACAATGATTTGAATTCAGAAATATTAGATATTAAAAATCTTTATCCATCCGGTGATCAAAAATGGTTCGACGAATTCACAACGAAAAGTTATTTTCACTTGAAAAATTTTACATTATCATTCAATTCTTTATTCAAATTACATCTAATTTTTCCCTTGAGAACTATACTGTTTGAAGATGAAACAATACCCAGATGTTTTGATTTTAATGTCACTATAGTCTATGATAACCATGCACACGATGCAATGATCAAAGTTAAATTAAAAATTAATCGTTTGGCTAAACCTTGCCACTATATCTCAGATGATGGAACATTATTAAAGCAAGTTATCGGAATTGGTTTAAATCTCGACCCGAATATGACTTTGATCATGATATTAAACTATACTGTTTTGTTATTCTGTTTAATCTCGACCATGCTTTGTATACGTTCTCTATATCGTGGCCAAATACTTCGTATAGAAACAGAACAATACTTTGGAATGTTATCCAATTCACAGAACCTATCATTAGAAGATAAAATGGAATTTATTGACATGGGTTTATTAATCATATGTATTAATGATTTTCTCATCATTTGTGGTACTATAATGAAGATTCGGATGGAATCATCAGATTCGGTTGATTCGATACTATATACTAGTTGTTCGCTATTTTTAGGCATTGGAAATCTTTTGGTTTGGTTGGGATTGTTACGTTATTTTGCCTATTTTCAATCATACAACATTCTTATTGTAACATTGAAGAAATCTATTCCAAACGTTTTGCGGTTCTGTCTCTGTGCATTTTTAGTTTATGGGTTAGTGTAATTGCTGATCATTAGTTTATAAAAAAAATTGTTTAAAAATTTTATCATTTTACAGAGGATTTTGTTTTTGTGGTTGGGTCGTTTTGGGTCCTCATCATCTCAAATTTCGTACGCTTAGCTCAACATTGGAATGTTTGTTTTCACTTATGAACGGTGATGATATGTTTGCCACATTTTTTTCTACTGATGTGAAAAAATCAAGTCTTATTTGGTGGTTTAGCCGCATTTATCTTTATCTTTTCATTTCATTGTCCATATATGTGATAGTTTCGTTGTTCATTGCCATAATACTCGATGCATATGAATCGGTTCGTGATTCATATAAAGAAATCAATGACTTATCACAGTCAAATTCAACTCTAAAAAAATTTATAGAAGAATATCCAATGGACAATTTTGATGGTGGATTCCATAATAACTCTATTGTTGACCAAATTCAAAATTATTTTCGAATCTGTTTCCGTCCATCATCGAATGCTTCTTAACATATAAGAATTATAATTTAATAATATATAATTTTACGACTAAAATAGTTATGATTTTATAACTCAACTTTTAATTAATATTTAAATGAATAAAATATAAAATAGTGATTTAATTTACGAAAAATTATTTGATTTAATTATTATCATTTTTGTCACATGTACAATATTCCGTGTTGTTGTTAATGGTGTTGAAAATTATGATGCTGTAATTGTGGTGACATTATTATCATATTTGATGATGAATATGCATGATGAATCAATCATTCTAACAGGATCATGATGGCCATTTTTGTAGCCATTGATTGTTGAATTGGATGACCATCTTGATCATTTATAGATTTATTAGATCAAGACACTTCTATTGATACAACAACGACAATGGTTCAACAAGGACCAAAAATCGATGGTGATGAACCACAATCATTGTTGATTGATATTTCATCCAATACAGATCGATCGATTTCTGAATTGGAACAATCAGTCAAACAAATGTCAATCAAAGGTTAGTATTTTGGCAAAAATATCTATTCATTTAATCATTTTCTCGTTTGATCTATTTTTTTCCATGAAGAAGAATCACCATCAATGAAAACTTGTGATGATTCGGTGATTCAAACCGGTGGTACCATTGATAAAAATCTATTACAGCCTAATATTATGACAACATCGTTTGATTCATCATTGATGCATTCTACATCACCGGTTGGTATGGCACAACAGCCACAATATTATCAACAACAAATACAATATTAACATCAGAAAAAATTGAAGAAAGACAAAATGAAATGCTTAAACAACATGAAATAGAACGGATGAAACGTAAATCGGTAATAATTGTTGATTGAATATTGTTGATGAATTAAATATAATTTCGATTTCTTTATCAAAGTTCCACGTAGATTGATCAATATTTATTATTTCATTATCAATTATTTGATAATCTTTAATGATGTTTTCATCAATTAACATGAGCGATTTAAAGTCAATATTAGTTCGATTTGACAGTTTCAGTAATTCTAATTCGGGAAATTCCATAGTAAAATCAGGATCAATCCTAAATATAGTTCTTGAACCAAATAAATGGTAAAAACAATTTTTGTTAAAAAATGATCAACTTACTTTGTATCAATGATGTCGTTTTGACGTAATGGTTTCAATTCTTTCAATTCAATTGAATGCATCTTCCAATGAAAAATTTAACAATGTTTGCGATTCATCACGTGATAATGAAGGTGTTGTTGTTGTCCTTCCAGTATATATGATGATTTATTTTTTTCGCCTATGATAAAAATTTTTTAAGGCCTAGCGATTTTCTCGGCCCTGTTTACTGGTATTTATTTATTATTAAATTTAGATATAAATGTGTATATAAATAATTGGGGGGCAAATTTATAAGTGATTGTCCACTATCCTCCCCAACAAATAGGTTTTATAAGTGAGGGGGAGGCAAATTTATAAGTGATTATGCGCAAACCACTATCCACCCCCAACACTGACTATTTTTTAAATTACTTTATGCGCAAGTGTAAATGTGTATTTGATAATTGGGGGGCAAATTTATAAGTGATCGGACAATTATGGTCCAAACCACTATCCTCCCCAACAAATAGATTTTATAAGCAAGGGGAGGCAAATTTATAAGTGATTGTCCACTATCCACCCCAACACTGTAAATGTGTATTGTATTTTATAAATGATCGGACAATTGCGCTCCGAATCACTATCCACCCCAAATAAGCAAGGGGAGGCAAATTTACTAACACTGACTATTTTTTAAATTACAATGCGCAAGTGTAAATGTGTATATGAATAATTGGGGGCAAATTTATAAGTGATTGGACAATGCGCTCCGAATCACTATCCTCCCCAACAAATAGATTTTATAAGCGAGGGGAGGCAAATTTATAAGTGATTTTGCGCAAACCACTATCCACCCCCAACACTGACTATTTTTTAAATTACATTATGCGCAAGTGTAAATGTGTATATGAATAATTGGGGGGCAAATTTATAAGTGATCGGCAATCACTATCCTCCCCAACAAATAGGTTTTATAAGCGAGGGGGAGGCAAATTTATAAGTGATTTTGCGCAAACCACTATCCACCCCCAACACTGACTATTTTTTATATTAACCCAGGCGGCCGCGATGGGATTTGAACCGACGTCGAATGTGTATATGCGTGTATATGTGTTAATGTGTGTAAATGGGGGAGGCAAATTTATAAATGATGGGGTAATTTTCCCCAGACCATTATCCTCCCCATAATATAGTATCCATAAATGGGAATATATAAACAATCATATTTCCCAATATTTACAGAAATACAACCCTTAACGCTGCCCCGATTAGCGCTGTTTCGATATAACGCTGTGCAATTACATTACATTGAAATACATTGTTACATTGTATATGAAGAGTAAAATGCATTATGTAAATTATGCAAAAACCCCGCTTTGCGCTGTTGTTTCGCTTTACGCTCAATATTTTTGGAACGTAACCCCGCGTTAAGCGGGTATTACTGTATATTTGTATTATATCATCACTGTATATATGATACTGCATTACTGGCTGCGCATGCTCCTGCCTATTTCTACTTTTCCCTATTTCGACCGAGAATGTCGGTGAGAGAGAACGAGCACGTATCTATAGTATAGATTTTCAGCCGAAAATTCCGAGTCTTAAATACCTGATAACTTTTTTCATTTAAAATAAAGAAAATGGAGCATTTACGATATTGCAAAAAGCCACAGCGGTTGACGATTCAATGTTGAGTGTCTTCATGCGATGAACCCACAAGGTTATCCTATAGAATCTATAGACACAAACTTGGATTAAACATTGGATCGATTATCATGTTCAGTCGCAATATTGAACCACAAAGTGGTTTGCTAAATGGCATGCGTTTATTTGTAAATAGACGCAGCATTGAAGCTCGAATATTGACAAGGAGGCTATGATTCATTTGGCAGCAAAACGATCGAGATCTTAAGCTACCATTTAAATTGGTGCGTGGACGATTTCCTGTCGTATTGGCTTTTGCTCTGACAATTAATTAATGTTTTAAGGGAAATCTTTCGATAAAATAAGTGTGTACCTTCCTACACCAGTATTGCAACATGGAATGATTTATGTGGCTTTTTGCCGCTGCAAAAATCCTAATAATCTGAAGATTTTTGTTTAGGAAATTGAGGGGAAGATCAACAACGACCACAGTATTTATACCAAAAATATCGTATTTCTTCAACTTATCGATTAGCAATAATAAGTATGCTGTTCGGTGTACACAACTTTTTCAAAGGTATCAGGTGCAATGCACAAGTGATGGCTGACCCTGCGGTACCAAACCGAAGGCCGGAAGAAACACGCCGTGCATAGAAACCCACCGTCAGGCACGAAGCGTTAAAATTGACACCTTTGGCTGGATGCCAAGCAGGGGGGGCGGCGCAGCCGACCCCACCTGCGGGTATCCAGTTATATTGACCGTCAAGGATTTATATCTTTGACTGGATACCAAGCAGGGGGGCGGCGCAGCCGCCACCCCTGCGGGTATCCAGCTCTATTGACCTCAAGAAATCATACCTTTGGCTGGGTACCAAGCAGGGGGGGCGGCGCAGCCGCCACACCTGCGGGTATCCAGCTATATTGATTGTCAGGAGTCAGCCCCGCAGGGCCAGCCTGGGGCAGGCGCGAAGCGCCTGTACCGGGCTGGACTACTAGCAATGGATGCGCACCTATTTCTACATTCCGAATCAGGATACTAATAACCTTTTTACTTTCTTTTCTGTGTATACACGAACACTAACACTAACAACTCGACAACAAATAAAAATCCGATTTTCACAAACGATCCCACGACATATTTATTATTAAATATTGTTCGTTTTGCATTCAATTGATTCTCACTACAACAATGGTTCATCATTATTATCAATTTGTAGAAACCATAAAGGTGATAGTCCAATTGTATCAGTAAAAAAGATGAATAGGTTTGTTAAATATTTATGTTTCAAATTAAATTGGTTATAATTTTTTTTCTGTTAGCTGTTCGCTATTTTTAGGCATTGGTAATCTTTTGGTTTGGTTTCCATTATTACGTTATTTTGCCTATTTTCAATCATACAACATTCTCTTATTGTAACATTGAAGAAATCTTTTCCAAACGTTTTGCGGTTCTGTCTTTGTGCATTTTTAGTTTATGGGTTAGTGTAATTGTTCATTATTAGTTTAAAAAAAATTATGCTTACAAAATTTTATTGTTTTACAGAGGATTTTGTTTTTGTGGTTGGGTCGTTTTGGGTCCTCATCATCTCAAATTTCGTACGCTTAGTTCAACATTGGAATGTTTGTTTTCACTTATGAACGGTGATGATATGTTTGCTACATTTGCTACTCGATGCATACGAATCGGTTCGTGATTCATATAAAGAAATCAATGACTTATCACAGTCAAATTCAACTCTAAAAAAATTTATAGAAGAATATCCAATGGACAATTTTGATTCTGGATTCCATAATAACTCTATTGTTGACCAAATTCAAAACTATTTTCGAATCTGTTTTCGCTCATCGTCGAATGCTTCTTGACATATAAGAATTTAAATTTTACGACTAAAATAGTTATGATTTTATAACTCAACTTTTATTTAATATTTAAATGAATAAAATAGTGATTTAATTTACGAGAAATTATTTTATCATTTGTTTAATATTCTACAATTCTTGATATTCTTTATGAAAATTTTCTAGATCAGATTCCGATTTGGAGAATGAGATAATTTAATAAAAAAAAACTACAAATAAAAAGACGTACTATACGAATATCTTATTCCACATTTTTACAATCTGTTCTTGAGACGTTAAATCTTATACCGCAAATAATGGATTATCTTGATTACAAAATTGATCATCCTTTGGTTCCAGATTCAATTTTTTATATTTCAGATTTCCTTGATACGGATGAAGAACGAAAATTGATTGACCGCGTGATACAAGCACCGAAACCTAAATGGCAATTTCTATCAAATCGAAGCTTACAGGTTTATGGTGGATATCCAAGTACCGAAGGAATGTTGGCTGAAGATTTGCCACAGGTTTGTTAAGGACAGAAATCTCACTTACTAAACAGATTTCTATCATTAGTGGTTACAAGTCTATGCAAATAGTTTACAGAAAATGAATATTTTCGATGGTAATTTGCCCAATCAAGTATTGATCAATCGATATGAACCCGGTCAAGGAATATTGGCACATGAAGATGGGCCATTGTATCATCCAGTAGTGGCTACGATTAATACAGGATCTCATACAGTTTTGAATTTTTATGAAAAATCATTAACCGAAGGTCGGAAATATCGATTCTCTTTGCTATTATGGCCACGAAGTTTATCGATTTTAAAATATGATGCTTATAAAAAATACCTGCACGAAATAGAAGAAATAGATGTAGATAAATTTCCGATCAATAACAACGAAACATTGCCAAACAAAATAATCGTTAATTTCAATTTGATTGAAAAAAACATTAAAGAACTAATGGATGCAAATAATTGCCTACGACGACAAACACGATATTCATTTACAATACGCTTTGTTCCCAAATGTCATAAATTGAATTTGAATAAAATATTTTTTAAAAAATAATTCCACAAATCGATCATTTATTTATATGATTATAGAAAATTTAATCAAAAATGATAAAAATTTAGGAAGTACCTTCAACAAACATTCAAAATTATTCTATAGGCTTAGAAGGTATCGTCGAACCACTAGGATCATGAATGGTGGTTGATAAACTTGATGTCAAAAAATACATAATGAATGGCTGCAATAGAGCAATAAATATCACCAAATAATATGCTGTTCGAGGATTATCACCATATTGATGCTGGTAGGAGGATTGTTGGCTTTGTTGGAGATTTGTACTCAATGCTCGAATCTATGAAGCATAAACAATAGATAGATTAATCCGACATTATCATGTGTCATGCATACTTACAAGAAAATAACCCAATGATACTGTACAATACATAAATAATATGAGATAACCATTACGTCCAAACATAATTGCAGCTAAAAGTAAAGTATCAATACTGCAAATTTTTTAATTAATTTGAAAATATCTACTAGTTTTCATTTAAAGTTCAATGATACTTACCAAACGAATTTATATCCACCGAATGCCACCATGTGAAAGAATCCAAGTGCCGAACTTAGATTCATAACATATTTAGCAATCATAATTAGAAAAACTTCCAACAGTAGCCATGCTAGAGCACTTGAAGCATAAATTCCCAATTGTTCAGGAGCAAATTGATTACGCAATCCGAGTATGTAACCGGAGACCAAAATATAAGTTATAAATGCCATAGATGGTATATATAGATCGGGCAAATTAGGTTCATCCCTAGGCGCTACAATTTCAGAATTGTATCGAATTGACCAGTCCTATATCACAAATTTTAGAAGCAATAGATATAGATTTCTATACAAACCTTATGCAAAAATGGTGCAAATATAAGCAATAATTTTTTCATTGCATAATTTGTATCAACGGCAAAATATTGTTTTATGTTGCCCATCCAACCTTTACTTTTGTCAACCAATGATTGTGAATAAGCATCAATGGCAGCCGCGGTCATCGGATTAGATAGGAGTTGTTGACCAGCAGCCATTAAAAATTGTTGATTTGGAAACATTGGCTGATGAAATTGTTGTTGTGGTATTTGTCCCGAAGAAAATCCCGACATTGGCGGCATCGAAGGTGGTTGTTGCCAAGATGATGAGCATGACACCGGTGGAGTAGGTGAAGAAATTCCATAATTATCATTCTGGTTGAAGAAGGAATTCATTTGATTATAATTATTAAACCCTTGTGTCGATGGTGGAACCGGTGGTGAAGACGATGATGTTTTTGCTGCTGTTTGGTCAAAATTATCAGAATCGACAGTAAAATAACTTTCGGTAAACATGGGAGTTGAAGAAACATTGTCAGTACCCGATGAAATATGACGACGAGATGGTCCTAATGGATAAAGAAATAATATTCTAAACATAATTATTCGGGTAAAATAAACAAACCTGGTCGATTCAAATCCATGATGAAAATGTGAAAAATGATCAATAAAATGGTAATGACGTAAATGTTTTAATTAAAATCGTCGTCAGCAATTTAACTGATCACCAATAATTTTCAGACGCGTCAACATCAAATACTATATTTTCGACAAAACTTTTGCAATTCTTATAAAAATTTTTCCTCGGAAAATTTCCACTGTGAGCACTGTTGTCTGAATGCTCTATTGTTGATGAATGTAAAAATGGCGGGATTTTTTCTGCCTTCATCAAATGTGATATGACTTTTTTGTCTGTTGGTTCTTGATTGAATCTTTTCGATAAATGATCGACAAGTGACATATTACGATTCAATAAATATGGGAATACAAGGTTTATTACCATTAATGAAAGGTGCTGAAACAACTGTTTCCCTTTCTAGACTTCAAGGTTTGTCTATTCAAATTTGATTTTCTTATTTTCAATTCAATTAAATTTAATATTCTAAATAGATACTGTAGCTGCTGTTGATACAAATGGATGGATACATCGCGCCTGTTATAGTTGTGCTGATCGTATCTATATGGGGGAACCGACTGAAATGTTTATCCATTATTGTCTTAATTTTTGTAAAATATTAGAAAAACATCGTATCACACCTATCCTTGTTTTTGATGGACAAAGTCTTCCAGCCAAATCTGAAACAAAATTAGCCAGACAAAAACGTAAACAGGAAAAACGTGAAGAGATTGAAGTATTGTTACGCAAAGGTCGTGAAAGTGAGGCCCGTTGGCTTATGCGACAATGTGTTGATGTCACTTTTGAAATGTGTCGTCAAGTGATTGAACGTTGTCGCCAAAAACAAATTGATTGTTTGGTGGCACCGTTCGAAGCTGATGCTCAAATTACCTATTTAGTTAATAATAATTTAGCTGACTATGCAATTACTGAAGATTCTGATTTGTTAGCATTTGGTTGTAAACGAGCTTTGTATAAATTGGATCGAGAATTTGAACGTGGTAAAATGATTGATATGAGTCATTTGAACCGATGTTTCAAAAATTTGAATTTAAGAAAATTTCAACTCATGTGTATTCTATCTGGTAAGTATAAATAGAATAATTATTTATTAATTGAATTCTTGCTGATACTATTCGATTAGGTTGTGATTATGTTTCCAACATTCCTGGCATTGGGATTGGGCGTGCTCGAAAATTTTTCGAATCTTTTATTGAAGATCCAACCGCTGAGAATATGCATGTAATCTTACAAAAATTACCCTCTGTTTTGAAAATGAACGGCAAAATTAATGTTACAAACGATTATATTGAAGACTTTATTCGTGCTTCTAACACATTTGATCATCAAATCGTTTACTCACCTCAATTCGATCGATTAGTCTATCTGAATCCATTGAAGCAAAATATCGATCCCAATGAATTGAAATTATATGGTGGAAATTTTTTTTCTAATGGTGAAGAGAAATTGGACAATAATCTTAAATTTGTCACGAATTATGTATTAGGAAACGTGTGCCCAAAAACCTTGAGTATTTTAGATTCATTCATTCCTCAAAGTTTAACCATTTGGCATTCACCAGAATTCAACGAACGTATTAGATCACAGATGTCAAATCGTAATCTCGAATTAATCATTCAAAATGGTGATAAAAAAGAAGAAAAACGTATCTCAAAAATCAGCCCATCAAAAGTCAAAAGCCCAAAATTGAAAAACAATGGTAATGAAATTATTGATAGTGGGAAATCTGAGAAGAACGAAAATGATACAAATCGAAAAACAAAAACTTCGATTCAACGACGATATACCCGTAATGTATTTCGCAAACGTACGGTAGTCGATGATGGTATTGTAAAGAAATCTAAATATTTTTTACACGAAAAAATTGATGAACAAACTGACAATAGTGATGCAGAGAGCTATCTTCCTCAGCCAAAAAAATCTCGACCAGAATCTTTACAAATTTCGACTGAAGAATTGAATCAATCGTTTTCATCAATTGAGGAAGAAGAAGTCAGAACATTACAGCTATTGAATAGTTGTCAGATTGATAAACCTATTGCGAAAAGTTCATATCGACAATCCTATTCTCTATCTTCAACACAAACATCGCAATCAACATCGACATCTAATTCTCCAACTGAATTACAAATGTCCTCATCAGATCTATTTAATAAATTAATCACATTATCGAACACTCCAGATCGTAACGTCTCAAAGAAAAATACTCGAACAAAATCCTCTTCGTCAGAAACAAAAATCACTGCCACTGATATTCGTAAATTTTTTCCAAAAATTTCTCCATAATTGTAATTTTATTTTTCAAATTGGCAAGTTATTTCATTTATTTAATTGTAAATTTTTAATAAATAAATGAATTTTAAAAATTAAAATTAAAACTTTTTCAATCTGTTAGCTACGCCATCTGACGTTGCGAAACTCTTTTTTTTGGAATTATCTTTCCACAACTCAAAAATTATGAAAATGATGAAAATCAATCATGGATGTATATCTTCAAACCGAGGATATTTGCTTATGGCGTGAAATTCGAAAATTATCGCCCAAATTTTTGCCCAATATTGAAAGATTCTTTATATTTGGAGACAATTGCTCTTCGGCATTGTTGTTGACTAGAGATGAAAATCGTCGTGTGTTCGCCACTGGACAATGGATAAAAAGTTCATGTGACCTGAAAGAAATCGAAAGTCTTCGCGGAAAACAAATATTCGATGTGATTGCCACTGATTTCAAACTATACTTGGTCATTGGAGTTCAACCAAAAAGTGATGACCAATGCAATGTAATCAAAAATTTATACTCGATAATGTATAGTGAAACTGATAATGAAATGAAGCTTGAGATAGAAAATGTTCAAAATTATCATTGTTTCAAAACCAAAATGTTGGCTTTGGACCATTCCAACATTTTATGGCATTCAAATCTTTTCGATCAACAACCAAAACGCTGTCAACCACCATTAATGGATAATGAAGCAATTGTAGATTTTGTATGCTCATCAAATGTTTCATTATTGATGACCAATCGCAATCGACTTTTGTCGTGGACATCCATATCGATAGAGCCGATCCATATCAGCTGTAAATCAGATGATATCACGAAGAATACATCTATAAAAATCAAAAAATTAATTTCCTTTGATTCTGATCAATTTCTGATCATCAGCATTGATGATTATCTTTATCAATTTAGATATACGGAAAACTCAACTAAAACATTCCTTGCTGATTCTGTCAATCTAGATGGTGGTCGAATTCATGATATTATTGGTTCTCCGAATGGCTATGTGTTGGTTCTTAATGATGGAAAATGTTGGGCATACGATTGTTATGATTCAAAAATGATTCGAACTGGCCATCGTTGTCTTTCGGATGTATATTGTCTTTATTTACACAATTCTACCCCACGGCTCACATGGTTGCCAGTGGATTTGAACCAAACAATTATTCAATTCGGTTCATTTAATAATATCAAAGAATCGGATATAATTTTCGAAATACGATTTAGTAATTATATAATCACAATGAATCGTCAAACATTGATAAATCACTTAGATTATTTTCGTGAAAAATTCCAAGATGGAGAATGGTTCGATTTGGATTTCATTTATTTGGATAAATACAGTTACGCTTCATGGTATGAATATTTTCGTTTCATTTATTGTGGTCAATTACGACCATTATCGTTATGGCCTCAAGAAACTTTGATCGAACTTTATGATATGGCAAATGAATTTAATGATGATCGTCTTCGTAGATTAATACCAGAAAAAATCTATGATGAACATGCACCACCATTACCATTGAAAATAAAAAAATTGGAAAATACATAAATTTATATTCGATTTAATTTATAAAATATTTTATTTTAAATAATCATTGTCATATTGTTGTTAGGATTATGTTGATGTTTTTGTTTATGAAAACAAAAATAATAAAACATCAAAAACAATGAAGGCAATGGATGTAAAATCACCATTATAGATGCAAACATTACGATCAATATTTTTTTCCATTTCTCTTTTATAATTTCTATAAATACACAAAAAGAACAAAAAAAAATCACCATCGAAAAAAATTGAGATTGAACTTACTGTCGTCGTTCTGGGTAGAAGAAATACATTGGAAAATTTTTTTTTCAATTTTTGTCTGAAACAACAACAAACTATTATTCAATGATGTGGAATTTTGTAAACTAAAACACAGATTCAATTCTTTTGACAAGCACATTTGTATCGCTATGAATGACAAGAAAAGTATTTGAAATGATTTCATTGTAACAAGAATTGCTTGATCATTTTTTTTGCATTACTGAAAACAATGCTATTCTGGATAAATTTATTCAATTTTTTACTTGTTTATATTGGGAACGAATTTTAGATTTTGGACTAATTGTTGAAATTTTCGATTTAGACATTGTTTTCAGGCCACTGCTAATTGTTGTTGTAGTAGTAGATTTTGTCGACATCAACGGCGATCTTCGTTTAATTGTTGAGGAAATTTTCGATGGAATTTTGCTTTTTGGACTGAATTTAGACTTGACGGATTTCGTTAATTTCATTGACATTTTACCATCTGAACTCATGGCATTCAATTTTGATTGTTTAATCACAATTTTTGATTTTGTTATCGGAGATAAAGTCTGCATGGTAGATGTAACATCATCATTATCATTGTCTTCAGTAGTTTCATCGCCAGTATTCGAACGGTTAAATATTTGTTTCCAACAATACCATCCCAAAAAGAGATACATTAAGACAATTATTATTGATAATGCAATCATCAGGATTATTTGTAAAGCTCCAATGCCATTTCCTTGGCTAATTCCAGTGATTGGAACACCCTCTAAAATGAAAAAAAAAAAAATTATGAAAATCTCAGCAGTTTAAAAATGTTTTCATGCCCAAAAACTACTAACCTTGTGGACAATTGATAAAATCTTCAATTTTAACTTTTACCACTGGTGCAGATTTGCTCATGTTGTAGAATATTTTTTCCTCAATTCTATATACATATTGATCGCCAATGAGGAAAAGATAATATTGAGTAAAAAATCCGATAGCAACATCTTTTGCTTGAAATGGTAATCCATTGCAACTAGTACCGGGAATAGGATGCATAAACAATAGTTCATCTTTTTCAATACAAATATGTTGGAATATAATGTTATTTTTCATATATTTCCAAGCCTCTTCTTCCGGATAAGATTTTGATTCCAATCTGGCAATACCTATGCTTGATTTACCAGTGGCACGATGGTTCCGCCATACAAAATATTCTGGATAACTAGCACGATTAGATATGACAAAATCATCGATATCTTCAACGATCGATTTCGGCGTTGGTATTATGAAATTCAATGTCTCATGAATTAGATTATCATCGATCCAATAATTGAGACTTTTCTGTGAGGATTGATCCATTGCTATGAAACAAAGTGATGTTTTATTCGAAAGTGTCATAAAAAATGCCGAATGTATTTGATCATATTCATAAAACTTGTTGAAACGTTGATTAACATTCAATTGAGTGAATTTGTTTATCATTGCTGATGGGTGAATTCTATCAAGATTTAAGCGAATTTTTTCTTCATCCAACATATCGGCTAATGGCGATTCATATACGAATTTATCTTTAGTTACCAGTATCAAATTGTGTTTGCTGTTCACACCAATGGCTAAAATATTCAGCATATCAAATGTTTTTACATTTTGGATACTTTCACAAATGGTCTGCCAAAAATTCAAGATAATTTCAACGTAATCACGATTTTAAACAAAGACCTACCTTAGAATCTATTGTACAAATAACAGGTTCACTAAGAATGACTATTAGAACAAAAATAACCACAACGGACAGGATAATGGCTTTGAAATTTAAACTGTTTTGAATTCTCATACTGATCCAGGAAAACGACTAAATAAAAACTATCACGCTGAATTTTCTGTACATACTTTTAATTCCCAATCGAATTTCTTAATTTTTTTTTATTTAATTATTTAATTTGATGCAAATTTAATTCATTGAAAATTGCAAATTATTTTATTTGTGAAAATCTTTCAAATCAATGCGTGCACGCATGCAAATTGAAGCTTTTGAGCAACATAACACAGGAAGCTGATTATCACATTTGTTTTTCGAAAAGACGATTTTTTCTCATTTACAGAAAATTTTTATACAATCTTCATATTCATCATTTTGATTATGGCTGTTTCTGATTCAGATGGTGATAAAATTACAATGGCAAACCAAATTTCTAGCGCAAGAAACATTGTTCATGTTTCTTGCTCACAAATCGCTCGATTGACAAATAAAGACAATGGTTTGGTAATGTTCCGTCAACGAATTCATTCTATTATTGCCATTGGAGTGGTTCAAAACATTCAAGAATTTGTCAATCGAAATATCTATACCATTGATGATTATACTGGCTCGTCTATTGAAGTTCATCTTTATAAAAATGATGTTGAAGGTAACTAAATTTGTTGTGATTTTAAAAATCATATAATATATTCAAATATTTTAAAATCATTCATAGATGATATTGACTTTCCGATTCCTGATGTGTTTAAAACAAATTACCTTGAAGTTATAGGTATGGCTCGTGTAATCGATAATAAATCATTTATTGTTGCATTTCGTATTCGAGTTATCAAAAATCCGAATGAAATCCCAACTCATTTTTTGAATGTGATTCAACAATCATTGTTGTTGGAAAAGCGCATGAAAGTTACGCTTAAAACAAAAGATCAACGCAAACAAATAGTAAGCCTTGAATTTCATGATTATGAAACAAACAATTTAAGCCAACTTGAAAAAACTATTTTGAATATTATTAAAAGGCATGGTAAAGGCATGTTTGGAGTGTCAAGAGATGATATTCGGCGTCATCTGGATCAAGTCAATCCAATCGATATCGATAAAAGCATTTCATTTTTGCAGGACGAATTTTTTATTTTTAGCATTATTAACAATCGTTTTTTCAAGTCCTATTAATAATAAATGATTATCTAATCCAATATCCAATAAATCTATAAGTCTAAACTTTTTTGTCGGTAAACATCATTCTCCATCCATCCTGGTTCAGGTGAATGTGTTTGTAATGAATGTGAACGATATTTATTCCGTTGTCCAATGAAATATTGATTCAATGTTGATTCTGGTTTAATTGTTTCGAGTACAGTTTGAAAAAGTTTTGGAGTCTTTGGTCGTTCTTTAACAATAGGTTCTACTGGAATTTGTTCAGCTACTTGAATATCGACCATTTCTTGTATTGTTTGCGGTTGATTATCAATATTTAATGTTTTTGTAGACGTTTGTTGCTGTTTTTTGCGCAAAATACGTTGAACTTTGCGTTTCAAAACATTTTCATATTCCGGATAATAACGAAGTGTTTCCCATAGATCTTGCTTTTTCAACGCAAACAACTGTGAATATCCACATGAACGGACATCTGCTGTTCGTTTGGTCTGGCCATGTAGATTGAGGATGGCAATTTCACCGAATACGGATCCTTCACCAAGTGTAACCAACACTCGACGAGTTTCAGGGTCGAATACTTGAATCGTACCTTTGTTAACAATGTACATTTCATGACCAACATCACCTTTACGGCAAATATAATCACCTGGGAGAAACAAAATTGGCTGAAGTTTCAACACCAAATCTCTCAATATACTTCTATTGATATTTTTAAATAAATCTACACGACTTAATGTATGAGAGTGAATGCACAAAGTAAGATCTGTTCGCATCTTTAGCGGTAGTACGCGAATGATTTCCGTTTCATTGAATGTTTTCTGCAAATCCCAAGTAAATTTATACCAAAATCGTACACGTTTCTGAAGATTTGCAGGTACTGACAATCTTGTCATGTGTGCGGCAATTTTGTTCAATGAATCAATATAATAATTTTGATTGCGTGAGGCGTGTGCCACAATATCACGAATCTGACCAATGACCATGGCAAATACAAATACACCTAGCAACCATGCAATTAGCATATAAATTCGTTCAAATTCTGTAGTTGGTTTCGGAAGACGACCACCGATGGATGTGGTCGTTCGGAAGGCAAAATAAAAACATCTAAGGTATGGAATTCCTGCGGTAATAAAAGAAAATTAAATGACATGTACAAAAAATAAAACACTCAAACCTTTATTGTTATAAGTCCAAGGTGTATGGCCAAATCCAATCCATTCGGAAACTCGATAGTAAACACATGCACCCAGATGGATAATATATAATTCATAAATCAATGTATGAATTATACGGAAAAGGTATGGGTTTCTCGTTGCTTTATCTACACGTTCGAAAAATTCCCAAAAATCCATAATTTTTATCAAACGATTCAATCGCAATATAAGACTTGTAGCGTGAATATTTCCACAAAAATTCCAAGCAACTAGCAAAGCGATCCAGTCGAATGGTAGTTGTGATGGAAAATCAATTAAAATGAATCGTCTTGAACGAAAATAATGCTTATGAGTGCGGCCAATCTCATCGATCCAGTTTCCGTTTTCGAGAAATTTTAATCGAGGTTTAAACCAACAACAATCGACCAAATAGATCATATCGGCGATAATGTTGATAATAATCGATTTCCATTGTTCATCACTATTGTAACGAAATACCAAACTATATGGAATCATAGTCGCATTGTAGAAAAAAATAAGCGAAACAATCAATAACCATATAATATAGATAAAACTTTGCGGTTCATAGACCGAATGTTTCAAACGCTGCCAGAATTTTCGTTCAATTTGAACATCATCATTATTTCTCCATTCATCACCGAACATTGATTCGAATAAAGCAACGGATAATTTCTTTCCGTCAATCTGCTCATCAGGACTTTCAGTATCGTCATCAGATTTTGATAATTCATCTTTCGCGTTCATCTCTTCGAAGACACGACGAACAAAATCACCACGATCAGTAAATGCTTTGACTAAATGACGCATTCTTTCCGTGATCCAGGTTGCATGCTGTGCAGAATCTTTCATCTTATCGTTCCGTGGAATAGTATCACCACCACCGCCACTACTAACTATTACAGGTATGGGTGTTTCTTATTTTCGATATAATCAATGATTTATATAAATGAGAAAAATTCGAGTGAACTTGACTTACTTTTAATATTTTGAAAGATAGAAATGGTATCTTCTTCATCGACCACATTATAAGGATAATTTTCATCATCATTTGTTCTCATTGAAGGCGATTTTATTGATGTGGAGAAATGTTCATCTTCGGTTGATCCGAATGATCGCTGCGTTGATCCAGAATTCACTCGTCGTCTGGAAGGTGATAAATCACATTGTCTAGATAGTGGAGGTTTAAATTTTTTTGATGATTCATTAACTTGGCTTTCATTTCTAAAATTGATTATATTATTTGGTATCATATCCATAGACCAACGAAAAGATGGTTTAGAATAAATTTTAAGATAACGTTTCGCATCTTCAACTTCACCATCATCATAAGATGAACAAGTATTTGGAATTTGAATATTATCAGATTCATCATCCGATTTATTTGATTCTGAATATTCCGATGACTTTTGCTTATCAATTTTTCTATGTTCAAGATTCGGTGTTGACACAACGAGAATATCACCATTATTCGGATGAAATCGGTTGATCGATATATCTAATTCTGAATAATTTGAATCATCTAAATCGAAACTTTTCTCTTGTTCAACTGGAGCAAGAGTAGCATTGTTATCGTCAAGATTTGTTACGAATTTTTTCTTGAACAACGATTCCACTTCATCATCATCGCCATTATTTTCAATGGAGTTTTCAATTTCCATTGTTTTTCGATTCTAATCGATATGGAGCGATAACACAATTTGATTGAATTCATAAGAAACTCTAAGTTTATCTCTTTTTTTTCAATTTTTCTATCTGACCAAGTTGTAATGGCTTGGCTGGAGTTGCCGCTGTAACCGAAATTACTATTTCAGGTTATATTTCTACATTTCATTGTTCATTTAATATTTGGTGTAGTGGTAAATTACCGTACACAGTTGTCATGGTTGTTTGTATTTAATCCAGGAAAAAACTAATTTAATTTAGCCCATCATCGTCATCATCACGATCAAAAAAAAAGACTCCGTATTAAATTGACAATAGCCTTAAACACGAATTTAATAGATATATCACGCTTTTTCATCTACCACCATAGGACAACAGGTCTTGTTGTACAATATATATTATCCAAACACGAATGCAAGCATATATGATCTAGTCTGAATCTCAATTTCTTATAATATTTTCTATATGATCCTGGATCTGACGAAAAAATGCTACATCCCGTAATGTTTATTTATTTCATTTAATTCATCATTATTGATAATGATTGATATTGTTGATCATGACATTATTTTTTTTTTTTTTTTTTATAAACTAAAGTAAACAAACATTTCGACAGAAGGAAAGAATACTTTCTGTCAAATAATGTTGACACAAGTCATTGTCATCATAATTGTTTAGCCATCTTTCAACGGCTAACCATTATGAAAATTTAAACTTTCAGTTTTCATTTTTCGATTCTTTATCGGTTTTATTAACGATTTATAATCTATGAATAATTTGGATATTGGATACTGTATTTTTTTTTTTGAAATTATGAATTTCTTTTCATTTTCTCTTCATTTTATAATTTTGTGTTTATTGTTTGAAATTTTTTTTCGTTATTATATAATAATATTCCTATTTTATTGGTATAGGAATTGCCGTTATTTTCCTTAGATAGAAATGAATGAAAAATCAAAAAAATTCTACATTTGATTCTTTTTTTTGATTCAATGAAGGAAATGTAGACAATACGACATAATAAAAAAAAAAAAAATACATGATAGGCATACTTCATAATCATCTATCATATAGATTCAATATAGTTATAACCAGTTCGGTTTCAGGATTTCCTGCTTTACTAAATCTATATATAGCGTTTATTCAATTCTGTGTGAGTAATAGTTGTAGTGTCATTCAAATGGAATATATATTTGTAACTTTGCTACTACCTCCGTTTGGATCATATACAAATATTATACCAAATCATCGTTATTTACATCAATTATTGAAAAAAAAAAGATTTTCCTATTTGAATTTATATGAGTTGTAATTTATTTTCTAGGAAAAATCGTCAACAAACTTTTTGGTTCATTTCATAAATTACAAAATATTGATTCAATGTGGTAAAGAACCTTGGAGTTTTTTTCGATTTTAAATAACAAATACCGATATCGGTTGATTTTTTTTTTTGATTAAAATTTGTTTCATACTTATTCATTCCATATGTTTTCAAGGTTGGTTGTAATTGAAAACGATCATTTTTATTGTCAATTTTTTTTTTGCTTTTTCAACTAGATATGGGCAATACGGACACCAAATTATCTTATCGACAAGCTGTAATCAATCTAACTTCCCGATCACAACCAATCGAGCCAGATGATGAATTTTGGTCACAATTTTGGCATGAAAATCATATCGATTCAATAGGCGATGTATTTGCATTGTTGACGGCTCAAGAGATCCGTCAACTTCGCGATGAATCGCCATCAAATCTTTCCACATTGTGTTATAAAGCCGTAGAACAATTGGTTAGGGTTACGGACACATTGTGCAACACGGCCAGTCAACATCGAACAGTACTCACTTGTTCTGCCTTATTGACAAGAATTCTTCCCTATCTTTTTGAAGATTCGGATTGGCGGCAATTTTTTTGGACACAATTTCCGCTTGCAGAATCGACTTCAGTTGATGAAAACAATTCGACTTTATCATCATCATATCATCCCTATAATCGGCCATTGAAATCAGATATTCCTGGATGCGAGATTCTAAACAAACAAATTCCGTTATCGCATTCATTATTGTTAGCTATCGCAGATTTAATGTTTTGTCCAGATTTTACTGTAGCACCACTAGACTCAAAAGGAAATAGATTCGGTGCGCCTGATACACCTCCCGAAGATTTACAATCAATCGATAGTTGTGAATATATTTGGGAAGCTGGAGTTGGTTGTTCCATAGGGTCACCAACATCAGCAACATACGATAATCATCGTACGCAATTGTTACGATTATTGTTGACCTGTTTCTCCGAATCAATCTATTGTTCAGCGGCACACGTTGGTCACCAGCCAAATCGTTGGATACAATTTTTCACTTCTGTCGAGAATCGTCATGCTTTACCATTATTTACATCATTGTTGAATACGGTTTTTGCATATAATCCGAATAGTTTTTTGCCGTTCAATCATCTATTATTCCAAGATTCTAAAGAACCTTTGGTGGAAGTAGCTTTACAAATCTTAATTGTCATTTTGGATCATGACTTTTCAACACCAATCTTATCATCAATAGAAGAGGCAAAAAAATCACCAGTTTCATCGCAAGATAATCTTTTTATCAATTACATAAGCCGAATACATCGTGAAGATGATTTCGAATTTATATTGAAAGGATTCACAAAACTACTAAATAATCCATTACAGCAATCATATTTGCCTAATTCGACGAAAAAAATCAAATTTCATCAGGAATTGTTGGTTTTATTTTGGAAGATTTGTGATTATAACAAAAAATTCATGTATTATGTTCTGAAAACTTGCGATGTTTTGAAAATTTTAGTACCAATTCTCTATCATTTGAATGATGCTCGTGCCGATCGATCACGCGTTGGCCTTGTACACATTGGTGTTTTCATAATTCTCCTTCTTAGTGGTGAACGTAACTTTGGCGTCCGGCTAAATCGTCCTTACCAAGCGGTGGCACCTATGGATTTACCCATTTTCTCTGGAACACATGCTGATCTATTGGTGATAGTATTTCATAAATTAATCACTACTGGTCATCAACGTTTGCAACCATTGTTTGATTGTTTACTTACAATCTTGGTTAACGTCAGTCCGTATTTGAAAACATTGTCAATGGTTGCTTCAGCCAAAATTCTTCATCTACTTGAGGCATTTTCAACACCATGGTTTTTATTCAGCAATCCAACCAATCATCATCTGGTCTTTTTTCTGCTTGAAATATTCAACAATATTATACAATATCAGTTTGACGGTAATTCCAATTTAATTTATACAATCATACGTAAACGGCAAGTGTTTCATGCGTTGAGTAATTTGCCCACTGATTATGGTATAATTCAACGATCATTGAATCAAGCAAAGCTTCAAGCTTTGATATCAACTAATCATACTTCCGGACAAATGAAAAGATTCAATAGGCAACATTCGAGTCAATCTAGTAAACATCAAGGAAGACCTTTATCCTGATAGAATCATCAACGGCCCAATCATCAATAATTGATTATGATGTAACGGCATCTCATTCCAACCCATCAACACCCACTGAATGCAATAATGAAAACAAAATATCATCGTTGGTTCATAAGTCTGAATCAACATCAACAAATCATAAAATTACATCAGCACCAGTCGATATGAATATTTTGACTAATGAACCATCGAATTCACCAATTCCATCATTGATCTCGACTTCAACGAATCATATGAATATTTCTTTGGCTGCTTTGCCTAAATTGGAAAAAATGACCGAAAGAACACATCCTAATCATAAAATAGATTCTGAGGATAGCGTAGGTGATAAATTCATTCAAAACAATCCTGAAGATATTGTCAACACTAATCATCACCATTGTCAAGAGCATTTATCAGCCAATCGAACGAATTCAAGAAGGCCAAAATCAATGTCAAGGCAATCATCAACAGCATCGGATGATCAATCTTCTGCTGGTTCATCTTCAAAAGGATCAAAAGATCAAAAAAATATTGCACTAGACACGGGAAGTTGGCATCCTTCGACTGATTGGATTATTTCCTGGAAACAAAAATTACCTTTGCAAACAATCATGCGAATGTTACAAGTATGCCATTTGAATAGCTCTTGTGAAATGATATTTCAATTCATTTTTTCCCATAGGTTTTAGTACCACAGGTGGAAAAAATGTGCCTGGATAAAGGAATAACAGATGAAAATGAAATATTAAAATTTCTTCAACATGGCACATTAGTAGGATTATTGCCTGTACCACATCCTATTTTGATAAGAAAATATCAGACAAACATTGGCACAACAATATGGTTTCGAACCTATATGTGGGGCATCATATATCTACGTAATAGTGATCCACCTATCTGGTATGATACGGAAGTGCGTCTGTTTGAGATTCAAAAAAGTTGAACAATTATATCAAACTAGCATACGTATCACACACACAAACAACAAATCTCAATTTATTGTTGCCCATTTTACATCATTTTCTCAACTTTATATTTGTGTATGTTATATAATGATGGAATGGCTCTTATCTGGATTTTTGAACTAATATTGGAATTTGATTTCTTGAAATTTTTTAAAATTTAAATTTCTGTACATGGTATATGAATGATACAAGTATTCACGTGATTCTCACACACGATTATAATCAAATTAAACAAATTTTTTTTGTTCCATTTTTTGATTTTTGATTCTTAAAATTATAAATTTCATCATTTTAAATTTGATTAAAAAGATTTGTCATGGATGATTCTGTAATACTTTTGGAAAATGATGATTCTTTACCATCTAGATCATCAGTTAACAAATGCTTGCAAAGTTTCAATGTCCAAAGAATTCGTAAACGAAAACATGAAGACAACACAAGCGGAAAATCTAACAAAAAATTGGTCACAATGAAACAACTCGATTATCAATTCACACCATGGTCCCAAATCGAAGAACTTATTATGGCTCGTTATTTCATTTATGATTCATTATACTTGGGCAATACTAGTGATTATTCATCCGAAATGGAATTTAATCAGTCGAGCCAAATTTTTAACCGTAAATTTAATTTGGATGCCAAACCAGAAAATATCATTTCTGAGCATTTACATTTGGCACATGGATGTATTTGTGATTGGATACAAAGATGTACAAACTTACCGAACAGATCCGTTCAATTTATCATGCAACATTTAAAATCAATTGAATGTATGGTGAATATTTTACTCGAAGAATTCAAATTGGAGATTATTCAGAATAACGTTGAAAATTCGAATTTTTCTATTCTTTATAACCTTTATTCGATTGGTGTAATCAACTTTTGTAATGTTTTATCAAGTTATTCAGATGAGATCTACAGCATACGTTTTTTAGCTAAGAATCTCAAATGCCCATTATGGATTGTTCAATGTCGTCATGATTTGGCTCATGCATGTTCGAATCCACCATCATTGAAAACGTTAAAAAATGCAATTACATTCGGCCTTCGATGGATGGATGAATATTTTTGGTCGGCAAATATTCATAACGAAATGCAGTTTCGATCGATCGGTCCGTTTCCAGTGTTAGATTATAGTCCACCCCAACATCTCATCTATCAAAATATGGAGCGGCAAAAAATTTATCATAATTGCTGGAACGTCGTTCTTTCACCTGATTGTACAGGAAAACGTGCTGCAAATATATTGAAACCAATCGAACGCTACATGAATCATGATCCAAATTCATTCATTGGAATTGTAGTCCAGATTTTGATTTCTGATGTTTCCAGAGTATCGAATCAGATAATAGATTTAAATTCATTTAGACCATTATTACTTCGTCGTTGCAGCCGATTGTTTCATATAGTATTTGCTTATGAGCCCGAACATATGCTATTACTTTTGCTAAATTTGATCATTGATACTGTAACAGATCTTCAAAAATCAGAAAACATACAATTGGATTCATCATTGAGTATCCAAATCGGCTGTCTATGGCTTGAACAGATCTTCAAAATGATAGTCATGCCATTAGAAAAGAAGCAAACTTCATTCGAAAAAAGTTTTCTTTTGTTACCAGACTCGAAACGTTTGCTACATGAAAATCAATTTGCTTGGTATCGTCTATTTCATAAGCTCGTGAAATTGGATCCCAATCCAATTTTGATAAGAGTTACAAGAATTTTTTATGAACAATTCCTTTGCGATGATCGAAATATATTCTTAATATCCTGGCAGAAATATCAACAAATTTTAAAATTAATGAAAATTTCGATTGGTAATGAATATCACACCAAAAATATGAATCGATTCCAACCTAATGGTAATATTTTGACGGTTGATGAATTAAAAAAAGAAATTGTTTCTAAAAAACGTTTAATAACACCACCATTGATTCGAAAAAATCCTAACTGGAATCGAGTATTCATTGGCGCTTGTTTGAATTAAAATAATAATTCACTATCACTAATTCTTATTATCACAATTGAAGGCTTGTCCCGATACACATGCGTAATGCTTTAAAACTATGTAATCTTCAAATTTGAAAATGGATCCATCCAAACCAAAATGACTCATCATCATGAATTGATTTTGTACTCGATATTTGATCGTGTAACATTTTGATCCATTTCTTTTTCTTGTATATACGATAATAATAATAATAATAATAATTATTAATAAAAGAAGAAACTAATAAAATTATAATTTTTGAAATTTGAATAATATTTATCCACATTGATGCAAAATGGCTTGATATTTGAATCATTCATCCATGACAACGTCATTGGTTTGTTTTGTTTGTATATTGTTCATTCCATTTCATTGTGAAAATCATGAGCATAAATTGTTGAACATCCCATTCCACATTCATTGGATCATCATCATAATCATAATTTTTATCACCAACATTTAAAAATAATGAAAAGGTAATGAAAAAATAAATAAAGATGATTTGATTTATATAATCTTAACAAACATTTTAGACAATTTATATCAGTGGATATTTTTAGCAAATTGACATCATTTTTGTAATTGTATTCAAAATTGATTTTTTTTCTCTTTGATTCGCTTAGAATAGAAAATCAATTAGTTATAGGTGAATCATTTAATGAAGTGATGTCATCTTTTGTTGAAGTCATTTACAAGTTATTTTTTTCACCACTAAGATCATTATATTGTCGATCGATTATTGAATCGACGATTGTCATCATATATTATTATTCGAAAATTTTCATCTATGATGATGATGATGATGTTTGCAAAACAAAAGACTTTTCCACCTATTCAAACATATAAAATATCCGAACCAATTATAAATATTTGTTCTTGTATAGTCCATCCGTCTCTTTAGTTACTAATACATCAGTTTTTGACCCACTTACCCGTTTATTATTTGTTAGTTAAAATCATCATCATTCATTATAATATCATTCCAGTTCGACTATATATATATCAAACCCCATTTACGTCAATCGACTCTTTTCTTTTCTCCCTAATAACAAATGAACAATCGATTGAAGGATGATGATGATGATGGCAATGAATCATAAAGTTTCTATAAGTATAATAATAATAATTAGTTTTGAAAATCGAGATTTTTTTTCTTTTTTTGGTTCTCAAAAGAATGACTTTCAACTATACGAAAACACCAATTGACAACGAATACCAACTAGATCCAAAAATGAAAATTGATCCAGCTATATAGTCTATATGCGGGGAAACAAACATCCTGGGGAAAAACCACAGCTAAAACCGTATTGCGGGTATTCTATGAAGACATATTCTGAACATTCATAGTTGCACAAAAATTTTTTTTCCTATTTTCGAAACATTCTCAATTCATTTTATTGCTAGTTGATTTTGCTCAGTGTTCGATTTATCAACAACAACAACCTAAACCTAACGACAATCAACAAGAGCAAAAAAAACGACAAGATAAATTGCAAATTACAAACCTCCTCAATTATTATATTCATAAGTGTTCATCAGAATAACGAATCATCAATAATTATAAGCTCTACAGTGCATCTTGGAAACGTTTGTGAATGTTATCAAAACTTATGCACATCACAGAATCTCATAAGTGTTTGATGTATATTTGAATGTGATTAATACTGAGCTCAACCATATTTGTATAATCGATTGGTAAAACAAGATGGAAAAATATTCTAACCTTCGTATCGTACACATTCCATTAGCTTCGATCGATGAAGATGATGACGATGATAATGATAATACTGCTAAGAATTATGAAAACAAATCTAAAAACATAAAGGAGGTAAGCACTTTAAAACTGATGTCGTCATCACGATCCGAAGAATCAATTGAATGGAATTTTCATCAACAATTGATGAGTCCGATAAGCGATTTAAACACACCGACAACGCCTTTTACACATCATACAGTGACGAATACAACCGATACTGAAGACTTTGGCACCGATACTGGATTCTTTAGTTCAGCATCACTATCTTCATCAAAACGTTCTTCAATCGTTGATTTAGATCTTATTATCTCTAGTCTTCCATTGAATTCTTTGTCATCAAATAAGTTTTCAAATTCTGCATCAATGAGCCATGTTACAGACCATGATGATGGTGAATCATTTTTAAATGATGATGTGGCTGAGGAATCAGATGAAATGACTATTCTCAAAATGACTGATGATTTTGAGGATTTTTCTCGTGATCAAGATTCGATATCTGCATCATTAGAGGATCTGGTTAATTCGTTTGATGAAAAAGTTAAAAATTGTTTGAAAAATTATGATGAAAACGTCGACAAACTCGCTCCCGTTCAGATGCGAACATTAGATGAAGTCATCCAAAATAGACCGTAAGTAAACATTATTATAAATCACTCATTAATAACTTCATTCATAGTGCTTGGTGGACATTAACCGGAAATTATGGAGGCATTCTTCCGATCGATTGGGAGAAACTATCTCCTGAAGATCAAATCAATGAATCAATAACAACGATTATTAATGATGAGTCTGATATAGATGAAGATGATGGCGATTCAAAACTGAAAGAATTGATAGATTCATGTTTGGAAATAGAACAAGGACAGCAAGATTCAATTAAAACGGCTGAACAAGTTTTAAAAGAAATTGATGACATCATCACGGGAAAATCTTTCCAGCAAATTATGAATTGCAACTTGGATTCGAATTCTCATTGCAGTTCTTCACCACGATGTTCAAGATCATCATCAATTGCATCGTTTGATTATATACCAGTGATTCTTCGTTCGACATTCTATCGATTCTCGTTGGACAAACTGAAAACATTCTCATTGGATCAATTACAAGATTTATATGAAGATCTGGAAGGAAAAACGCAAAAACATTCACAAGAATTAATTAATCGTCTTGCTGAACGCGATGAACTTGAATATGAGAAAGAATTAAAAAGTGCTTTTCTTTCATTGTTGGTCAAAATTCAAAAACGTCGTAAAGATTTTTATAAGAAATATGGTAATAATCAGCAACAAGCGCAACGATATCGGAAACATCGTTATCTGACCACTGTCATACCTTATTGCAAAGATATGAAATTCACTAAGAATATTCAAGCATTACAAACATTAATTAAAAGTAAGTGACTGATTCTGATCGATTTGAATTGAAATAAATTTTTCTTTGATTTGATAGTTCTTAAAGCAATGTTGGACGATTCGCCGGCTGTACCTGCCTTGCTGACTGATTATATTTTGAAATTCATCTGCCCATCAGATTTGAACCAGAATGAAAATGATCATTATCATCAGAACATACGGCCAAAATCATCACCGCAAATTTCACAGATGATAATAAAGAATAAAAAGAATGATTCGGTGAATTTTTCAAGATTTCTGAATCATACTTTTCGTGCAGCATCGCTTAGATCCTTTTCATTTCGTGATTCAGTTTTCGGGGATGGATATGTTGCAACAAAAACAACAAATACAATGGCGGCCCAAGATCTAGTCGATAATTACGAAAAAAGTCGATCAACATTGTTAACTAATATTCTTGACAACGCAACCTCAAACCCGGCTTCCGTAATTTTAGCTTGACTTCAATATTGAAAAAATACATTCTTTTCACAAATCATTCTTTCGTGGCTATTGAAAATTGTCTTAAAAGAGTTTATATTTATTTAAAAACACTTACCCACAAATTCAGGATTTGGGATTTTTTAGATAGAAAATTCAAAAAGTGCACTCGTTTTTTGCAAATGCTTTTTAAGATACACAACCTTTATTCCAAAATATCATTTATTTTGTCTGTTTTCGTTCAAAACTTTAATAAAAAACATGTTGAATATTAAATGATATAACCGAATATACGTTATTTTAACCGTTATTTCTGGCTTTCGATAATTTCGTTCAGAATCTCCAAAAAAAAAACTTTCCAAAAAATTGATTTAATCGTAAAATTTCCGTGCATTTTTTTCATTTTGAGAAATATTCCGAATTTTTTCCCAAAAAGAATTTCGCTCAATTTATATTCATTACATCTGATGCATCGATGAATCTAACTATAATGTTTCGAAAATTTTGTTTCCGTGGCCTGAATATTGCCTCAAATTTAACCCCAATCAAATATTCACAAACAAGAGCGTCAACTTTCTGCTTGAAAGGCATTCATGAGCCAGAATATTTGGATTATCTCAAGCCACAAATCCCATTTTATAATCTAATCAATATTCAGGTTTGTACTTGTAAATCTTTACTTTTTAAAACATATTTTTATTTTTATTTGTTTCAGATAAAAGCTCATGATTTTGCAGTGTTGGAATCATACGGATCATATCTACATCGTTTATCCAATCGATTAGGACTGGTGGTGGTAAAATATTGGTGTGCACCAAATACAACGAAAAAAATTGAAACACTTCAACATGAATCTTCCGTTGTTCAACATGAATATGAATTGAATTTATATGAAAGAAATATTCAAATTGAAAAAGTTAGTTCCCGTATCATGTCATTATTAGTGGAAGTTGTTCATCGATCATTACCAGCCGGTGTTCAACTATCTATACATGAACATAATCATGAATTACATGAGAAAACACGCTATATCACTGATCATGAATTATTGCAATACAAAAAAGAATTGAAACTATTATTGGACAACAAAAAAGAAGATGAAGAGGAATTGACAAGCGGAAAAAAGAAAAAATAAATTTTTTATTTAAATTTCAAGATTTCCAATAAATTGAATAAACATGACAATTTTTAGTTTGTTAATCTAGATTGCTTAATTTGATATCGATGTTTTTTGGATTGTAAATGTTCTTTGTAAGATTTGCCACCACTGATTTGAACCTGACATAAATCACAATAAAATTGACCAGATATAAAAGTTTCGCTTTGATCGGCATTACTATCATCGTTACTGGCCATTCTTCGAATAGCCAATTCATCTAATAATGAATGAATTTTTTCACGTTCTAGTGGTTTAGATTGAGCTCGTAAACAGTGATCAACAATCCGAATGGCGTGATCACGAACTTTTTCATTCCATTCATTCAGATTAGTTGTATCCAAACGATAAACATTTGGTACTTCACGAATATTTTCAGAAATCAAAAATCGTCGTCGTATCCATTTTATTTGTTTGTTCACGTATGATCGGGTTCGTTGTTTGAGCATCAAAATTCCATGGCCAAGCTTCAGCTGTCCGTCATATGAAAGACGTTCTTCTTTGTTCATTACTAAATAACGATGAAATTCTTTTAGGCCTATCGTCTGAAATATTCCTTCACTGTAATCGGCCTTTTCTCTTTCAATACGCTTGGAATTATAACAATGATGAAATTCAGACAATTCATTTAATAAACCTTGATGAATCATATCATCAACTCGTGCATCTAATCTTTCATCAAGCACTTGTTTGTCACAATCAACCCAAAAAATTATTGAATTTTTAAACCTTAATGGTCCACCATGTCTGGATCCACCTTGAGATCGTTGTTCTTTAAGGATTTGGCTCATTTGGCGACCAGTTTGTTGATACACCTGCAAACATCGAATAACTTTTCTTCGATTATTAACATGCAATATATTCGCTGATTCAGGATCAATTTCAATCAAAAATCGGTGCAATTTTTCATCCGATATTGATCGTAAATTTTTATAGGTCAATTTCTGTTTTTGTAGCAAGTCATTTACAGTGTCAATTTGGTCATCTAAAATTTCTGAATGACTTTCTATCGTATCGATTTTAAATTCATTATCTGAAATTATTTCTTGTTTCGATCCGACCAATGTATCCCACAATATTGATTCAATATAGTAATTTGTTCCGCCGACGATAATAGGAATTTTTCTTTTTGATATAATTTCATCAATCTAAATAATAATAAATTAATCAATTATAAAATAATTATGCCTTGTTGAAACTTACAGATTTCATGGCAAGCTTTTGAAAATCTAAAACTGTAAATTGTTGAAATGGATCAATCAGATCGATGAGATGATGAGGAACTTGTGCTCGTTCATTTGGCAACGCCTTGTTTGTAGCAATATCTAGACCTTTATAAATCTATCAGAAAGAAATTATAAATATAATAAATTCAAACAATTAAAAAAAAATAATAATAATAATTAAAACACCTGCATTGAATCAGCCGATATGATTTCAGCATTTTTATAATGTTCAGCCAATTCTAATGAAAGTTTTGTTTTTCCACATCCTGTAGCTCCAATTATAACAATCATTGGATCATAACTGATTGTGGCTTTCGAAACCATTGAACAAAAATTTCGCAAATTCCAAAAAAATCTCATTTATCATTTCATGAAACGAGTGCATTATGCATGAATTTCATCATAAAACACATTGCGGAATTTTTCGAAATTCTCATTGAGCAAGATCTGGGAAACATTATCACGTGATCATATTTTGTTGCATCATAATCATTGAAAATGAGTGTTTTTGAAATTTGATTGTGTCAAATTTTCTTGCTCATTTCAAATAATTTTTGTGATTAATTCCTGACATAAAAATGGATGACCGTAATGATTTAATTGTGACAAGAACTAAAGTTCAGCATTCAGAAGATGAAAGTAATAGACATCTTTTCGAAAATTTAGAAATGAGACGTCTTGGTTTGCCTACAGAATTTTTCAGTGCGAAATCCAAAAGATTTCATAAGAAAAAAAAGAAACGAAATCAAAATTTAATCATCGATCGAATATTGAATAATTTGAATGAATTTCAAATTAGTTCTTTGGATGATTCAGATGATAAAAATATTTCTAATGATAAAGTTGAAGACAAATTTAAAATACAGCATCACCTTATCGAATCAAATGTCAATGTTGAAATGTCTGAGATCTTTGAAACAAATAATTCCAATTTTGATTCTGATGAAAATTCTCAAGACTATGATAATGATGAAGAGAATGAATTGCTGGGAAATTTACAAGAAGATTTGGATGTTTCAATGGAAGAAAATGAAGATGATATTGTCGAAGTTCCAACCTTTGTTATGACAAATAACAGCTACGATTATCAAGATGTGCTGGCAAACAATTCTATTAACGATGAACAAAAAAATGGTGATAATATGATAAACTTGGATTTTGTTACTCCTAAAAAAGGTGCTGATTCAAGAAAGGAAACAAGATCAAAAAAAAGAAAGAAAAAAATCCGTTTTAATGTTTATTGGCGACAACGTTTCATACTATTTTCTCGTTTCAATCAAGGGATCAAATTAGACGATGAATCCTGGTATTCTGTTACTCCAGAAGCCATTGCAAAACATATTGCTGAACGTTTGCAAAACACATTGGCTAAACGTTATCCAAATCGTTGTAAAGCTGGTTTTATAATCATGGATCCGTTTTGCGGTGCCGGTGGTAATGTCATACAATTCGCTTTACAATCTTTGATACAAAAAGTATATGCGATTGATATTGATCCTGAAAAGATTGCAATGGCCAAACACAATGCCCGTATCTATGAATGTGATGATAAAATTGAATTTATTTGTGGTGATTTTTTCGAATTGACCAAACATAATCGTTTTCGAGATTTGATCGATGCTTGTTTCTATAGTCCACCATGGGGTGGACCAAATTATATTGACCTTAAAAAATTTTCATTGAATCACATGATACCAAATGGATTCGACATTTGTCGTCATACATCTAAATATCTAACACCAAACATCATTATGTTGTTACCAAGAAATTTTGATGAAACCGAACTTCAAAAAGTTTCTGATTTAGTTTACAATATTGATTCTAATAAACCAGCACAACAAGCCCGAATGGTCGAATTGGAACGGAATATGATCTTCAATAAAGTCAAAACAATTACTGCTTATTTTGGTGACACAATTGATGGATTCAATGAAGTTCCTACCAAAGTTTTGTTCGAAACAGAATAAATTTATTTTAAATTTTCTCATTCATATCACAGCTATTTTGAACAATTCGATGTATCCATTGTTTTGTATCTAAAATAAAGTAATTTTTTGTTCGCCATTCTGATTCTTCATATTCGAACCACTTTTGTACGGAAAATGAAGGAAAAAAGAATTCAATCTCACGACGTGCAGTTTCAGGTGAATCCGAACCATGGGTCGCGTTTCGCGTATCAGTTATACCGAATATACCACGAATCGTTCCGGGTTGTTCCAAACGAGTTTTGAATACTTTGGTTGAACCCATAAGTTGGCGCCATTCTTGTATGGCATTTACCCTTTTGCTAAAACATGGATAGCTAATTCACCACTATTCATCAGGGAAACAAGACGTTCAAAAAAAAATTTTCCTTTATGTTCTTCGTAGAATGATTCTGCTTGCATTCTAGTTAAATGTATTTGAGTAGATTTTAGAAATAAAAATCCATTTTCAAAAATTATTGACCGTATTTCTTGTAAACAACTTGGATCTTTACAGATGTGTGGTTTGATGATTGCCAATGTCAACTCAAGACGTTGATCATCATTGAAGTTGTGTGTAGATTTTAATATTGAATTTTCTCGAATTATTCGCTGACGATTCGTGATTATTCGCTGTATCGATTTTGCGAAAAGATTTATTCGATTCATTTGTATCATTGCAGAACTTAACTCTGTCATATGGTTGAAATCAATGAAAACATCAATTACGTTGTTTTAGAATGGTCGATTTTTTAGAAGCGCTAAATTCAAATAGAATATAAATCCTTATACTGAACCAGGAAATATTTTGAACGCACACAAAATGAGAACGTTTGAATCGATTGTAGCTCTATAATAAAAAAAAAAAACGAAATCAACGGGAAACATATGTTTATTAAACGATCCAATTTGAACGTCTGGTAACTACACAACAAATCGTTACTATGGCAACGTACCAGAATTTGTGTGTATGTATGAAACATTTTATATGATGATGTGATTCAAGTAAATGGTGATTTCATTTTTGAAAACAAAAAAAAATAAAATAAATCGACGTTATTTTCCATTAGTATAAAAAATGAATCGGCTAAATCTAAATGAATTAGATCAACAATTGATCAACTGTACAATGGGATCGAAATCCAATTCGTCAATATCTTATGGTCAATTATATGATATTGCTCGATCGATCATTGCTATCGATTTTGATCAAACTATAAATTTGAATAACAAATCCTCTAACGATGGCAAGAATTCAGATCACGATGAACTAGAAAAAACATTGACTAAAATACTGCAATTATGTCAAACGATAATTAATTTTTTATTGGCCGACATCAGACGACTTGAAGTGGATCGTACAGAATTGACCAATCGAAATAATTTAATTCAGGAAAATCGTAAACTACGAAAACTACTACAATTGCAACAAAAAGCTATCATATATAGGCGAATGAATTTTTTATCCATCACAAATTCGCCTGATCATGAATCAATCATTGATCAAAATGGAAATAATGGTAATAATGATGATAATAGCTTATATAGCTTAGATCAATTGCCCACCGATTCCAAATCTAGTTGTTTGAACTCATCGAAAATTCAATGCTCATATTGTTCGAAAATTTTCAGTGATTCTCAAGCTTTCACTAAACATTTACAACTTCGTCATTTTAGTTCCAATATTGATGATCCTTCACAATCGCTTCAATCATCTGTAGCTTCAAATCTTTCATTTGTACAGCGTATATTACAACAACACTGTTGCTTAAAGCAGCAACAACAGGAATTATTACAGTCATCGGATATGTCAGTATCAGACAATAAAATCGAAGAATTGTGTTCAGAAATAGATATTTTGAAAGATAAACTATCAAAAACAGAAACACAATTGAATGAAGAAAAATGTGCACGAAGAACATTGGAAAATGATTTGAAAAATAATTTTCAAGAACAAATTCAGTCAATCAAAACAAAATTAGAAAATAAAATTAAAAAGATTCAATTACATCAACGACAACATACCAAAATAGATCATAATAATTATCAAGAAGAATTAATGGATAAAAATCACAATGAAAAAAGTCAGCAACAGAAATCTAATGTTCATTCAAAAATGGATAATATGGCTAATAAAATGGAAATTTTTGAAAATGAACAAAAAATGATTACACCTGCAGAATTAATTACAAAATCAAATGAAACTGAAAATGAACCAAGTAAGTTGGAGCCGATGATTGTTACTGAAGAATCTCAATTGAAAAATTCTGAAAATGGAAAACAAATTGCTAATGAAGATGATGATAAAAAATTGAAACAAAATTTACGCATGGAATTGATCTCACAATTAACTACAAAACGGGAACAACGTCAGAAGCAAATTCCTGTTAGCACAGAAATCAATCATACAAAGAAGCTGCAACAAACAAACAAAGAGGAAAATAATGATTCGGAATTTTCGACGAAAAAACTAGAAACAAAATCATTAAAGCAACCAACGGATAAGGCGGTTGAAAAGAACACAAAGAATAAAAATGAAATGCAACTGAATATTGTCAAAAAAGATTATGTCGACAAAGAACAAACCAAAGCCGATATTTTTAACTCTATCGAAACTCGAATCAAATCTTATCTAGATAAAGAAAATGAAATTGAGAAAGGACAAAAAGAAAATATTACGGATGAAAATCAATTTCATCAAGCAATGAAACGTATACACGAAGATCGAAATCTATTAATACAGCAATCAAGACATGATTATGATTTTGTACAGATCGAAACATCAATCCGAGATATGATCGATATGAAATTGAAGAATGAAATTCAAGAAAATGATAGTCATCCGAATTCTGATCAAACAAAAGAAGAAGAAAAAGCACAATCTTTGGAGAACAAAATTGAAATCATTGAAATTGGAACTAAAATGAAAAAATCTCCGGAACCTGAAAAGAAAAAAGATGATACAAATTCGACAAAAGAATTACTAAACGGGACGAATAATTTAAAATCAATTCTAAAGGATCCGACAAAAATGGGGCATAATAAACGTAATATCACATTCAATAACGAAGTAATTGAGTTTGAAATTAGCCCGTTAGCTAGTGATAATGATGACGATGATGATGATGATGATTGGACACCAACTGATGATCATCTACCGATGGAGAGTGTTGAATCAGAAATCGAAATAATCAATACAAATGAAGACAATCGAGTACAATCAATGAACAATTCCAAACGAATGTTTATCATTGGTGATGATTTGAACCTTACTTTTCGTGGTGATCAAAAAAGTTCAACTACTTTCGAAGGTGAAAAAATATTTCTTAATAATGATGATGATGAAAAACAAAAATTACAAGAAATATCATCGATATCTTCATCGACCACTTCTTCGACGACCAGTTCTGAAGATGAAAATGAACAAGTTATTAGGAAAACGCCTATAAATGAACCGATAAATAGCTATAATCAACAAAACATTCAACAAGTGATAAAAGTAGATGTTCATGGTAAATCATTGTTAGTCAATAGTAATGAAAACTCTCCCATTCCGGTTCCTGCAAAACGAAAGAATGTTCCTCAACCATTTACTACTACCACATTCAATCATGCACTTAATTCGTTACTTGATAACGATAATGAAAAAATAGATAAATCCAATAATGAACAAACACGTCGTGTGTCTGAATTAGCTGAATTGATTGAGAAAAAACTTCAAAGTCCAGCACGATCTAGTCTTTCTCAAAACTCTACTAAAAAACTGCCACCCCTAGGTTCGTTATCAAATCTTAAGAAATCATCCACATCATCGTCGGATAATCAATCAATAATAGCACCAACAGGGAATGTAACTTCAACCAAAAGTGATTCAAGCTTTCTAAATAATACGAATTTGAATTCTCGAAACAATATACTTGATGCATATGATTTATATGAATTCTGAATTTTACATAATTAAATATCGTATAATAAAGTTCATTAAAATAAGCATATAGACAAATTTTTTCGAAAAAATAAGCGAACATGAAATTTCTGATGGTCGAATTCTTTTTGAAAATAAAACAATCGATTGTATCGAGTAGGTTATTTTTGGAATATTGACATACGCAATCAACGATTGGCGCCCAAAATTTTATTCACGTTAATTTAGTGATTAAATAAACAGATTTAAATAACGAAAAAATGGCTAACAATGATATTTCAGGTTCAAAAAATGGTAAGTTTTGAATCGATTTCAAATAGACGATAATTTTTCACTTTTGGCAATAGATATCATATTCGATTCGGAATTTATTCAATTTTATTTGGAAATTCGAAAATCTCAAGGCGAAAATGTGTTTATTTTGTTCAATCATGGATCATACTATACACTTCATGACAGCAATGCTGAATATGTTTCGAAAAATTTCCTGAACACTACTGAAAGTTTGAAGAATTTTCAAACAAAAAATCATCATACCGTTGTGTACACTTGTATCAGTCAAACACGTTTTCCATCATTAATTCGTCATTTGTTGATTGAAAATAATTTTGCTGTTGAAATCTATTCGAAGACAAATCCAAAATCGAATATCAAACAATGGCGTTTAGAAATCGAAGCTTCACCTGGTTATCTGGGCCCTTTTGAAAATCTTTTGTATGAAGCTGATGTCAATATTTCCATTCAATTATCGGCTGTCTACATTCTTGATGATGAAAATGATGATCGAAACAACCATGTTTCCGTCGTTTCTATTGATCCTATCGCATGTCAGATTTTTTTAGGACATTTCCAAGACAATGATTGTCTCCGTCAATTAGAGACTATTTTAGTTCGTTCAAACCCTAAAGAATGCTTTATTCCGAATGCAGGTAATTCCACAAAAAAATTATCTCAATTGTTAAAAAGAAATCGTGTTATGATTCGTAAATATTCAGTTCAATATCAAAGTGATAATTATCAATTGGCCACAGTATTAAAAAATTTAGCTGTACCAGAATGTCGCGAAATGGTCGAAAATTTTCTACAGCAAACTGTCAATATCAATGAAGTATTGTGTCCACTCAAACCGTTATTATTGAAGCAAAAATTGCTTGTCACTGAAGCTGAAAATATAACATCAGATGCTTCATTGAATTATCCGTTTGGTTGTTTCTTTATAAAATTGCTCAACCCAAAACAATTTCTACGTTTAGATTTATCATCCATTCAGCATTTACATTTATTCCCATCGAAACTTGATTCAAAATCGAAACATTCGCTGTTTCAAATTTTAAATCGATGCAAAACTTATTGCGGAATGAAACTTTTGGAGCAATTTCTCCGACAACCATCGACCGATTATACAACCATTCAGACTAGACTAGATATTGTGGAATTTTTCTCGGAAAACCCAGCGATTATGGATTCGATTCGAGAACAGATTCTTCCTCGGATACCAGATATGACAAAATTGTATAAAAAATTAAACACCGGTCGCTACCAAATCAAAGATGTATTTCAACTTTACTTTGTTCTGGATTATCTTCGGCGGCTAAAAACAGTCTTTGACAATCATGGTCAACAATTTCCGTTGGTAGTACAACGAATGTTAATTAATAAACTTTCGAAATATTTGGCTCAAACCAATCGATTATACATGCGTCTGGTTCAAGTTTTAGATTTGGACAATTATGCTCAATCTGGAGAATTTAAACTAAATGTGAAAACATTTCCTGAATTGACGGAAGTTAATTCTTTGATGCAACAATTTGCCAAACGTGTTCGTGAAGAGCATCGAATGTTACAGAATAAATATGATGATGGAATATCATTGGAACAAAACAAAGACATTGGTTGGTTTTATGAAATTAACAAAAAAACTATTGGAACAATTGGAGTTAAATCCGTAGTTTATCGAACGATTTCATCCAAATCCGAAAAAAGTATGAAATTTTTGACCCGATTATTGACCGAGATAAATGACGAATTTTCGACTTTGGGAAAACATTTTGAAAAATTAAGTCAGAATTGCATACGCCTTGTATTGAAAGAATGTCGTAAGTTTTTTATTGTTTCGATTTTTTAATTATCAAATTAATGATTTATCAATCACTATTTCTTATCAGAGGATGATTTGTATCGAATTTCTTCTTTGCAATCATACGTTTCTCTTTTGGACATTTTGACATCATTTGCCAAAGTTGCAACCGATTCTCCAGTGCCTTTCACTAAACCAAAGATTCTTGCACAAGGAAGCAACGAAATTGAATTGAAACAATTTCGACATCCTATTTTAGAGTCGATTAATGGTGGTCAATTCGTACCAAACGATATACGATTTAATCAATCTCGCAAAGTTTTCATAATAACTGGACCAAACATGGGTGGTAAATCAACATTATTGCGATCGGTAGCACTCTCTGTATTGATGGCTCAGATTGGATGTTTTGTACCTTGTGAATCTGCTCGTATTTCTTTGACGGATGCTATCTACACACGAATGAGTTCAAGTGATGATCAATCACTGGGCATGTCAACTTTCATGGCTGAAATGTATGAAATCGCAGGCATTCTAAAATCAGCTACACAAAATTCCTTGATATTGATCGATGAACTAGGACGTTCAACATCTACCAACGATGGATTTGGTTTGGCACAATCAATCATTGAACATATTGCTCGTGAGATCCGTGCTTATACATTATTTGCTACACATTTCCATAATTTAGGATTATCATTATCAAAAGGTTTATTACATCGTCTTCATATGCAATCCAGCTTTAATGAGTTACAACAATTAATTATTCATTATCGTGCATTGCCTGACGAAGAATCGCAATATAATTCACAATCATTTGGTATCGAAGTAATGAAATCGGTCGGAATGCCAGAACATCTCATTCGAGCAGCACAAGATCGATTGGAAAGAATCTATGATTCTACAATTGATTCAAGAATATTCAATCAAGTAATAGATACAATTATTGATGATTTTTCATTATCTAGTTCTATCGAAAAAATTTTTGATCTTGTTTAATTAACTGACATTTATAAAAATAAAAAAATTATGCTCTAAAACAAAAAATGATGTGCTTTACACGTTGATCCACCAAATTCATATTGGCAGCGGATTTAAGATTTGAAACTTTTTGAAAAAAAGAAAATTTCATTACGATTTTTATAATCACATTTCATCCATTCACTAGATGGTGTTAGTGTTCGAATCATCTTTAGCCACATGTTGAGTGAATTCAAGTTGATTTAAACTCATTTTTTCATCATCATTAAGAATGTTTGAACATCAACCAGAATGTTTGATTGAAAAATTAGAGGTTGGCTTCATAGATGAACGTGTTATTATTGATAATTATGATGAGAACCCAATAGATATTGATAATGGAGCGATAATATTATCTGTAAAATGGAAAAATGTTCTGAAACGATACGATTGGATCATAATTGAATTGATTGTCAATAATTATCAATCTCGACGTTTAGTTCAAACTTTATTCGTAGATAACGTGGAAAATATTGATGAAAAATTTTGCTATGTATCGCCACAACTTTGGTTCAATCTCCGATTTCAACCAATAAGCCAAAATCTGGCAAATGTTTTACATAAATATCCTTTGATTGAATCCGATGCTAGAATCAATGTATATAGCTCAGCAAATAATACCGAACTAATCGAACAAATTCAATTTAATCTGATACAATCACCAGATTATCCATTCGATTATGATTACGCCGATGAATTGAGCTCGTATTTTTATTGTGGCAATATTATGAAACAAAGACGATTATTGAAAGTGAACGATATAATTGTAATTAAGATTAAAGATGCAAAGTTTTTCTATAAAAATGGTCCGATATTATCATTTCATCAAATTGGTACTGTCGTATATTTTCAAATATGTCGAGTGAATCATAAAATCTCGACAGAAAATTACTACATGTTGACAACTGAACCAAACTGTGATCGAATTGAAATGTTTAAATCTGCCAATTTACAATCAATTGCGCCCACATTTATGCAATATTACTTTTCGGATAATACAAACTGTTTTAATCATAATTTTTATCAAAAAATCCTTCGTGATCAGATCGAATATTTAGCACTTGAATTTCAGCCATATTTACTTCGCATATCATCACTGCCAATTGGAACATTTTTGCTCAAAAATTATGGTGATCGAGAAACTTCAAGTTATTTGGTTCGTTTAGCAGCTCAACATTGGCATCTGCATGTTTTCGAATGTCATTCCAGTCTAGATTTATTATGTGAAGTACCACAAACGACTGAAGCAAAAATAAAAATTTTTTTCACCAAAATTCGTCAATATGCTCCATGTGTTGTATTGATACATGATTTAGATATGTTAATCAAATCAGACGCATTTGAAAATGATCGTTTAATAAATTTTTTTCGACAATCTTTGTTGGATCTAAACGTAGGAAATGTCTGGCCTATAATCATTGTTGCAACAGATCATTCCCCATTACAGAACAATAATCCGAATAAACATCCCTTATCAATCTTATTCTCTCACATGATTCGGCTGAAAAATCTTGATGACATTCAAAGAAAAAAACTTTTTACCATGGTCATTAAAAGAAAATTCAATTTGCAAATTCCAGATGATTTAACTGAAAAACTACAAATAATTGTTGATTTAAGTATCGGCCTGAATCTTGGCCAAATTATTGCCATTATAAATAACATATTTCGATGTGTTGGTTCCTCAAGTGATTTGGAAAATTTTTTAACATCAACACAAGCAGCATTGAATCGATTTCGCAATGAAAACAAGACGAATTTTACCTTACAAATACCCAAAGTACAATGGTCCGATATTGGTGGATTAGATGACGTGAAACAAGAAATCTTGGACACAATCGAACTTCCATTAAAACTTGGATTCAATTTTGATGAGCTTGGTGTGAAGCGATCAGGAATTTTGCTGCATGGACCACCTGGAACTGGAAAAACTTTGCTTGCGAAAGCTGTTGCTTCCCAATGTCGAGTAAATTTTATTAGCGTTAAAGGACCTGAATTGATAAGTAAATACGTTGGCCAAAGTGAAGAGAATGTTCGTACCTTATTTGCACAAGCTCGGGCTTCATCACCTGCATTGGTATTTTTCGATGAACTTGATTCTTTAGCGCCAAGTCGAGGACGATCAGGCGATTCCGGTGGCGTCATGGATCGAGTGGTGTCACAGCTATTGGCAGAATTAGATGGAATCAGTTCAAGACAAAAGGTGAACAATGATTTGGAACCTGTAGAATCATCACCGCCTATAGTTTTTGTAATCGGAGCCACTAATCGTGTTGATCTAATCGATTCAGCTTTACTTCGTCCTGGACGTTTTGATAAAATCATCGAAGTTTCTATCCCTAAGGACCGGCAATCTCGTTTGGCAATCATCAATGCTCTTGTTAAAAATTTCCATTTCGAAGATGAACAAAAAGGCCAAATGCAACGGCATGAAATTGTCGATGAAATAGAAAAATATTTACCACCGTTATTATCTGGAGCTGATTTTTATGCTATCTGCTCTTCAGCTATGATGCTTTGCGTTAGAAGAACATTGTCCGACAATGTAAACCTAACCTGTGATGACGATGAAAGCGAAGATGAAGATCAGGGTCCTAAAAAAGCTTTAAATGTGGAATGTCGACTTGAAGATTTTAAGCAAGCGATTCGCTCAAAATATAATGTAAAATTGTAATGAAAATTTTTTAATCAAATTTCCACTTAAATAAATAATTGTTAAACTAAAAGCCCCAGAAATTTAGCCCGTGGATATTTATCTGCTAATTTTGGCCATTGTACCATGAAATGGTTAGCTAACTTTGTATGATATACAATTTTTCCGGTTAATGATAAAGATCTGGTACGGCAAAAACTTTCAACAAAAACGATGGTTGTTCGATTTGAAACAATCCGACAGGCAATAATCACAGGCATACAGACACCAGGGCCATTACATAATAAGATTCTAGGGCGTATACTTGAAATAATTTTAAATGAATGATATAATGAAATCAAACTGGTCCAAATTGATGAAATATAACTTTGATGAACTTGACGACTTCTTTGGATTCGTTGTAAATGAAATTTGATTGAATTGTTTGTTTGATTGTTCCATTCAGGAAATGTTTGGTCCAATTTATCGACGCTTAGTTTATCATCTTGAGAGGCGACGAATATGATTTCATTGATTGGCACGATTCCAAGAGTTGTCTCACTATTCGATTTATCATGATCGATCAAAGATTTGACTAATGTTAACATTTCATGGGTATGACCACCACTTCCAAGGACTGACATCAATGATTTCGCTTGACCAGATTTTTGCCCCATGAGAAGCAAGAATGCAATCGTTGTCATACAAATGACCACAAATGAAATAAACAAAACGACAAACATTTCATCGGATTAATTATCGTCAAACTTGATATGTTTACACGATTTTACGATCATTATCTCTATGAACGACTCCATCGTATATTCAATATTTTCACTCCACAAAAAAAAACTTTTTGAAGGTTGATTCATGGTTATTATTTTCAGAATTTGAAACAAAACTTGGTTTTTTTCAAAAACAACTTACAATGTTGATTACAAGAATTATAACATTATATTCTCGTGGACAAAGCAAAAACATAGCAGCCAAAATTGGTCAACAAATACGAAATGATTCAACGTTTACTAAAGAAGCTGAAAAATTTATGGCCAAACATGCAAAACGTGGCAGTCCTCAAAGTCCATATATGTTAGGCCTTACTTATAAAATTCAATTGACATCAATGTTATCATTAACACATCGTATTACTGGTGTCGGTCTCGGTTTGATCATCTATGGTTTCGGTATTGCTGAATTATTATATTCGAATAAGAATTATTCACAATTGTTGGATTCATATTCGTCTGCAATTCCTTGTACATCGATTTTTAAGGTCATGTGTGGTAAGTAACAATTTTATTTTATTGAATTAATTATTAACTTGATATCAAACAATTAGGAACTGCCTTAGCATATCATACTTTCAATGGAATTCGTCATCTTTGCTGGGATATGGGTTATGGATATTCATTACCACGTCTCTATCTTACCGGTTATGCTGTTCTCGGTAAGTTTACTCAACTAGATTAAAAATTTTATCTAATTGATCACTTATTATTTCGATTAGGATTGACAGCACTTTGCATGGTAGCCATGATGGCTAAACAATAGCTGTATAACGTAAAGATATAAACAGATTCAATAATTGGAACCAAATTTAAAATATTTAGGGAATCTTAAAAATAGACCCTCTTTGTTGATATACTTAAAAATTGGTTTATTTATTTACAAATAAAAATCAAAAAGAAATTGAAAAAAAATGAAATTTGAATTACAATCAAAATAAAAAATTGTTCATGAATTAATTAATACTGAATGCTGCGTTGAGTTTGTATGTCATCTAACATTTGGGCCAATTCATCATCGGTAAATCGTCCCTCTAAGCTTGGTATTAATCCTTTAGCTTCGTCTGGCGTTTCAGGAGCAAGGTTAGCAATTTGAGCCATTTCAAATTTATGTAGTTTTTTCTGTCCTAAAATCTGACGAATAGTGGCGATCGTTTCACGGTTATTGAAACGGCTAAATCTAGTTGTATAATTTACTGTTTTGTTGAACACATCAGAGAATTCCTGTTCTTCTTCAGAATTTTCATTCTGTTTGATACGATGTTGCAATAATAAATTCACTTCGGATATCAACAAGGTTTCTGTTGATGGATTTTCAAATTCTTTTGGAAATTGTAGCTCGGCCGCATTTTCTTCTTGAATATCTTGGGATACATTTGTCGTCATTTTTTGAAATGGCTGAGGAAGAATAAATTTATCAAAAAAAAAAAAAAAAAAAATAAATAATTCAATTAGCAAGTCTATACATACAGAAATGAATGTAGAAAAGAATCAGGTATAAAATTTTTTCACATTGACAATCGCTCATGAGTGGCTGAGAAACTAAACAATCGATATTAAATTAATTTAATCGACCATCACTTGTATACTGTGTTCACTCACACATACATTCGCTTGCCCTTTACATTGGCGATTTGTGGTTGCAAAGGACAATTGATAGTTTTTGTATTCAACTTATTTTGGTTAGTATTTTAAGATTTCATTTCTCTCATTCATTAAATTCTTATTGCGATACAATAATCTTTTCATAGTTACTTATAAAATCGGTAAAAATGTCTGCAGCTGCCGGTCGTTTGGCTAAACCAAAACTCCGCCGTCTCTTGTTGGATAGCCTGAGAATTCATATTCCAATTGCCTTAGGTTTAGCTGTGGCCACACAATTCAGCCTAAAATTTTTTTTCAAGGATGCTCGACGAGAAAAAATCGCTGAATTTTATCGGTAAGTTGATGAAAAATTTAATTTAAAAGTTATTAAAAAATGTATATATGCAATCTAATTTGTTACAGAACATATGATATTGAAAAAGAAGCCGAACGTTTAGAAAGAATTGGATTATATGAAGTTAGAGAATAGACGTAATAATTCAGACGTCGAATTGAGATCAAACATTGGAATTGATTAGTACTGTCCATTGATGATTAGCAATGTCATTTAAATTTATAATTATTAAATGAAATAAATAAAATCGAATGATTTTCTATAATTGTTGATCATATAATCTTGAAATTGAATTTTCATGAAAAAAGGTGGTGGCTAATAAGGTCACGTGATCTAAATAAATCTATCAATAAAGAGAATTGGGTACTGCCCTTTATGTTCGAACCGAATACCAAAGTTCATTAAATGTAACGAGTAAAGTTGAACGAATTTACGAATTTTTTTGATTGATAAAGAAGTGATATCGATTTTGATTCTTTACAAAAACAAATTCAAAAAGTTTTCAAATCATGAAACCGACTAAAACAAACGCTAATTTATCCATGAAACTGAATAAAAAACAAGATGATGTAGATATTGGAAAAACTGTCCCATTCAATTCAGATTTAAATTCTTGTGACGATGATCAATTTCTTCGTAGTATGGAATTATTCGATATTATCAAACTAAAAATCGACCAACTCAATAAGCAAATAATCTTACAACGCCAATGTATAAATTCCATTAAAACATTTGAAAGTTTTCTTAAAGTACAATTAGAAGATAAAATGATGAACAATGATAAAAGTCAAAAAAACATTAAAACTAAATTAATACAAATCAAAAAACATTACGAAAAATTCGTTAAGACTTTTCACCTTTCTCGTAAACGTTACCGTAGAATTGAAATACGAGAACGACCATCATCCGAAATCTACAATTACCTCTGCAAACTGTTTGATTCTATAAAGGACCGAATGAGTTTCCGCCAAAGTTCGGATCCAATAGAATCGTTTTGTATGTTATTAAATCCTGTCCATATTAATCCTGATGCTCATATCGTGCTTTCAAATGGCAATGAAATTCAGGTAATCAAGTGAATGTGAACTTATTTTTAAATTTTGATTTCGATTTTGTTACAATTTTAGGATGATGATCATTCAAAAAGATCATTTGTTTCTCCCAGAGAATTACGTAGCCGTACATGTCGTCGACGTGAGCTTGATGTCAAAAATCTTAAAAATGATAAAGAATTATTCAACAAAACCAAAGATCAACATGGTAATCATTTAAATGAATATTTAAAAAGAAATACAACTAATGATAAATTGATATTTAGATAAAAAATCCATAGGTAAAAAAGGAAAAGTAAAAAAACAGGTCAATTCCAATTTGAAATCGAATGATAAGAAGAAAACAAATGTTAAGAAATCAAATAAAATATATTACTGTGACTTTTCTGATTGTGATTATCAAACTAAATCTAAATTCGCCATGGATATTCACGGGCAAAAGCATTCGGACGAAAGACCATTTGAATGTGAAACTTGTCATAAATCATTTAAAAATATTTATAGATTAAAAATTCATCAATTGGTACACCAGAATCAACGTTTTCATTGTCCCTTCGAAGGTTGTAACGCTGTATATTCGTGGTCCGATTCGTTGAAAAAGCATATTCTTGTTCATAATAATCAGGCACCCGTTCATCAATGTGATTGGCCTGGTTGTGATTATCAATCATATCGACTTGATCTATTACGGAAACATCGTACGAGACATACGGGCGAAAGAACATTTCACTGTAAATGGCCTGATTGTGGTAAAGCATTCAAAACTAGATCTGTTTTATTTGATCATGTTTCCATTCATAGAAATGAACGTAAACATGCATGCACTTGGTTCGGTTGTAATTATCGTTGTAATTTACCGGGAAATCTTCGTAAACATATTGCAATACATGAGAAGAAACTGGCTAAAAATGTCAATAACGAATAGCGAAAATAATAATTGGATAGACCATACATCCGCTAATGGTAATAATGAGTCGACGTCCAGGATCAATGTTTAGAATTTATCGTCATTATAATTTTAAATGAAAGAAATATGAATCGCAAAACTTGCTATTTTTTCACATAATTTAATTATCTTATGTCAAAATAAAATAATTGCTTAATGATTATTTAAATTAAAAGGAAAAAGGAAGGAACAATTTCCAATCTATTCGATGAAATCAATAAATAAATTTTTTTTTTAATACGAAAAACATGTCTATTTCTTCATCAAAAATGATGATTTGAATCAATCAATCATTCATGATTGATTATTACAAGTTTTACAGGAAATCTTTTCTATTTAGTCTTTCCTATTTTATAGTATAATATTTGTCAACACATATAACTTGTGAAAGGAAATCAAATGACCAAAACAAAGAAATTCAATGGATAATCAAGATCAGGATAGTAGAGTATTAGTGCTATTATATATTATTCAATGAATATTTTTTGGTTGCCAACACTAAATATGATGATTGTCGAAGAAACAATTTATCCAAATAATGAATCATCATCACCACAATGTAGTGAATTCATTTCGTTTTTCACTTTTCAATCGTGAACTTCGACAATTTTCGAATAATAATAATCATTGGACGATAACAAACCAGCAATCATCTCATCTTATCTGACAAGTAGGTGTGGTCATACATGTAATCATTTTTTTTATACATATTCTTTTTTTAAACAATTTCATTTTGTCGTTGTTGAAAGAAAAAAAAAGATCATGGGAACCACCAAAAAAAAGAGTGGTGTTAATTTTATAGAATTTTGACTTTTGAACATTTCAATGTTTATTGTTGTTTATGAAAATAAAATTTCTCACCAACAATTTTTGTTGTTGTTGTTGTTGTTGTAGATTTTGGTGATTCGCATTGAAGCGTTACTAATACAAAACACAATAGAAACATTCATATTCCGATCTAAATGATGATGCTAATAAATAATTGTATCTCTTTGTCACACACACGTATATGAAGGTCCATTGAAATCGGGTCTCAACCCAGAACGAAACAAAAATCGATTCACAGCATGGTTGCCACCTACTGTTGCTGTCGATGATAATCGATAGCTCAAAAATCATCAATATTGTTGTTTCCATTAAAAAAATTATCATTCATTTTGTGTCATCTTTACTTATGTGTGGATCGGAATCTATAACAATTTCCAACTACTACTATTATTAACATCATCATGTAATTCTGGAAGTTACATTTAAGAAAAATTTTTTTGGTTAAAATTTAATCAATTTTTTCCACAAAAATCTATTCACTTGTTTTCGTTAATATAAAGCGGTCAATAAGAATTACCACTCTCTTAAAATGAACGTTTGAATCTATGCTCATGAGAAGAATTTGTAACAAATAATAATGGTGAAAAAATTTAGGTGTGGATTGTGACCAGTCAATCACTACTAAATTTTATACATTTGTCACAAGTAATAATTATCAACAACCTGTCTATCGTGAAATGATAAATTTTTGAAACTGGGTCGATGAACGATGGAATTTTCTTCAAAATGCTGGTCACACACTCACATTTATCTCATCTTTTTGTAGACTTTTGACTAGACATAATAAAATAATAATCTAATGAGAGCAAATTATCAGCCAGATTTATAACGGGTCCCTAGACACCCACCATACGATAATCGTTAATGAGCGATTGCAGATTTTGATAGAAAAAACTATTAAGTTTTATTTTTATTTCATAATTTGTTTTTTCCAATAAATGATTATCGAATCTTTTTTGGTTTATATTAATATAGATATGGGTGTGTTTTTTGTGCTTATGATGTTTGTTCTTCTCTCACTTTTTCTTTTTATTCTACACTTTCCATGTCTGAACTCTGATGTAATCGTTTGTAAGGCTTTTTAGGAACAACCCCTACTTCGAAACCGGAGAAACCAAGATGTAATTTATGTGATGATCGTCGCATTGGTGATTTCTTTGTCGTTGCATTTCTAGTTGTGTGTAAGTATGTAGATCGACTGATTATCGATGACAGTGATGATGTTGAATCATGAATTTTGGTAGATAGTGCGGAAAGATTTTGCTTTTTTTGTTTTGGTTTTGGAATATTTCTATATGATGATAGTTTAGGTGATGTTCTAGGCGATGGTATATGGCGACGTGATCGTTGTGGTGGTAAAAACCATTCAAGAAAACTTCTTCGTGTTGTATCTTTATATCCAGGACGTAATTTACTTACGGGTGATCCAAAAAGTTTCGATGTATGTGCTCGATCTGAATAAGCCGAGATTATCGAATCAGATCGCATGTTCGCTGATATACCTCCTCCTTTTGGCATTGACTTTCTTTTCTTTTTCATTATCATTTTTGCCGAAATGCTTTTTCTGTTCAAGGTTTTTTTCTTTTTACTTGGTGATTGGAACTTTATCAATTTCGAATCGTGTTGTTGCTTCTGTTCATCATAATCACTGAACATCATTTGATCATTATTATACAAATCAGGTCGATTTGATTTTCCTGAACCTATTCTTTTTATTTGTGATTTTTTTCCAACCAATATTTTTGCAAAATGTTTGGCCGCTTTACCAAAATCGAATTCTTTTCCCATTTTCATTCGATTTTCCATCATTTTCATTTTAATTTCAATATCTTTTTCATCGTATTCTACTGGTTGCTTTTGTTCCTGCTGCTGTTGAACATCTAGAGCTTGTTGTTGTTCCTGATTAACTTCATTTTCCACAATGTTCTCGGCCTCAGTTACAGGTTTATTTTCAGCCTCACTTCCAACGCCAACATCAGTTTCGATTTGTTGTTGTTGTTGTTGTTCGATCAATTGTTCTGTTTCATTTGTTTCCGTTACATTCGATTCTGGTACACTTTCAATTGGTTCAATTTGCACGGGAGATTTATTATTATTCTTTTTTTTATTCCCTTTATTTTTTCCTTTTCCACCACATAAAATCAATATCATGAGCAATGATATGACTAATATGATCGACGGCATGAATCGAATATAGATCCCCTTTTTTTTACTTTCATATGGCATCAGATAATCATGTTTATTTTGTGGACAATTGTGAAAATATTCATGCATCGATATTTCAGCCATCGGTAAACGAATCAAATCGTCTAAATGGCTTAAATAAGGAATAAATACTACCGAATGGCGCCATGGGAGCCAAAGATGTAACATTCGATTATTATCGATGAAACCGAAAGGAAGATGATCATCGAAAATTTTTTCATTAAATCTTTTTTCTGTCATTGGTTTATGTCCATTCAATTGTCTAATCATAATCACTGATGCTTGTTCGATTTGTGTCCAATTATACATTGCATAAGGAATCATTGGATCTATTTTTTTATCCTTTTTCCATTATAATATGTATCTGGTTCAACTGTGATATTTTTTTGGATGTGAATTATTAAACATTATTAAAAATTTAATTAGTAAACTAACCATAATTTTTGTTCAGATAAATACTCTGTATACGGGTGATATTTTGACCCGATTGTTTGTCGCGACTTTTAAACAAAAAATAACCGAGTGATTTCCATTTATTTCTACCACCATTGAATCCATCATGATCAATCGAATGATATATATAATCATTATCGAAAAATGGAAAATATCCCGGTTTGTTTGAAATCGAATGAATTTTTCCATTAATCAATAACACTGATTTAGATTCATCATCATTTGAGGATGAATTTGGATGAAAAAAATAATGTTGATATCTTTTACCATTATAATGGAATATATTCAACAATTGTAAACGATGAATTCCATCTGATGGCATTTGATCAGCGTCTAGCATGAAATCTGTAACATTGTACCATTTTGGATTGCAGCTTTTGTGTGGTTGATTATGATCACCATCATTATTAACATTGACGAATGTTAGATTCAATTTAGCTACATGAAAATTTTTTCTAGTAGTATATTCGATATTGTCTAATGGAATTCGATATAGACGATTATTTAATATGACTGTCAAAATATGTCGATGTTTTTTCGGCCAATTACTCTCATCAAATGTTTCAATCGATACTGATTGTAAACGACTTTTGTTGCTCAAAATTTTTGAACAAAAATTTTCAAGTTTTTTATTTTCCTGATCATCAAGTTTTGCTGAATGATTTTCATGTGTTACGGATTTGATGGTTGTATACAATGATGATGACAATGATATTGCTGGTGAATCCATAATGTTTGTCATCAAAAAAATCGTTATAATTGCCATCTGATTCATTATAAATTTTTGCATCGAATAATTCAACCAGGGCAGTGTCTTTTTTATTCTTTTAAAACGATTTTTACCAGCGATGAACAAACCTGAAATACGATTTTCACAACACAAGGAAAAAACATTTATAACCACGATAAAATATCCAAAATAAATATCCAATTTTCTAAGCATAGTATTTGTTTGTTCGAATTTTTTTTTTAATTTCATCGGCACAAGAATTGAAGAATTTCTGGCAATAGTTTGCGGTCAAGTTAATTTAACTAACTATAAAAAACAATCACAGCAGCAGCAGCAGCAACAACAACAACAACAACAACAACAATAACAATCAGTCAATTTGCTACTTGTGGGAATTTTGCATACATGATTCGTAAATTGTGCACACCTGTGCGCTACTTATTCTTCTTTTTCTTCTTAGATTTTAAATGATCTCAATTCGAATTGAATTTTGTTGTTGCTTAGTTCGACCGATCATCGTCATCATAATTATTATATTGAACAATTTATTTCTCCATACTAAGAATGTACAAGAGATTATCATTACGCGTATTCAGCTCTTATCATTGACCCATTGATCAAAATGAATGGTATATCTATATACAGGGGCAGAGAGACACACCTTGACTTCTGCTTTCTACTGATACCTTTGGATGATGATTTGATTTTATGGTCAACAAACAATCACAGAAAAGATTACAGCCACAATGCTTCTGGCTTAGTTGATTTTTATCATCATCATCATCAGTGGCCTGCTTTTATTTTATGAACAAAAAGGAAGAATAAAGTTAGTTAATATTTGTTGGTAGTTGATTAGTTCTTGTTCGAATTTTATTTTGATTTTTTGCTCCTTTCAACTTGATAATATTCTATGTACTTACTAAAGTTATTAGGAGAATTTTGTCTTCCATCATTGTGAATTGACGGTGGCAGGTTAACTTTCTTCGTTTTTTTTTTATTTTATTACCAGAAAAAAATTACTATCATCATCATCAGAAAAAACAGCATCAATTCGCGTTGAAGAAGCCAAGCCTTAAAAAAAGTTTTTTTCCATACAAATTTCTTCCAGTTTCATTTTCTTTTCTGTCTTTCTCGCTAGTTCTGAATATTCGAAATTCATTCATTCTTATCATCAATTGGCGGTGATGATGTTTTTGGTGTTGTTATTTTTTTTACGTTTTTTTTATTTTCTTCTTTTTTGAGTGGAATGTTGTACCCTCCGGCATCGTTGGTCGCCAGAACACAAATAGATAGCCATTGCTTTCAATGATAATGATGATAGTCATCGTTTCATCATCATCAGTTTATTCAGTTTCTGGTCGGTTTCTATTTAGAGAGAGATAGAGAGAGTGAATGGAAAACTTTGCTTAACTCAGCTTTATAATATCTATCTATCTATCTATTATATATGCTTGTCAAACCTTCGATTTTTTTAAACTTTGCCAATTATTATCATTTTTTATTATGGAGATGTCTGGAGAGGTCCATTCTATAATATTCATCAATGATTTTTGTTTATATCTATCTCTCTGTGTATGTATTTGTATATATGTACAACCTCTCACCTCTCTCTTTTCTCCTTTTTTTCGTAAAAGGAAAATAGTTTGAAATGAACAATAACAAAAAACTAAGATATATAGATAGTGAACTTTTGAAATGACCTCCTATCTTCATTCTAACAAAAAAAAACAGGTAAAAGGTAAAAAAAAAATATGAACCACCATCATATGATGATGATGACCTTAACCTTTTAGATTTTACCGACAAATGTAATAGAGCAAAAAACAAGCAGCAATAATTGTTGTAACACACAAACACTGCTAGAAAGAGAGAGAGAGAGAGAATGAAAAAAAAATGAAAATCAAGTGGAGATGCAATTATTTGCCAATCTATCTATCTATCGATTGTTGATACCTGTGGTGGTCAGATCGAATTGTGTGTGTGTGTGTGTGTGTGTGTGTGTGTGAAAGTCAATGAATGATTTGAATGAAAACAATATGCAATGAATAAAGTAGCAACAAAAAAAAAATAGTTTTCTTTTATATAAAATGTTTTTGTTTGTGTCGAATGAAATGATTAAACCATTTGAATACACACATCGATTATAGTCATTGTAATTTTTTTTATCGGAATAAATTTTTTGTATTAATCATGTGAAATCTTTATCATTAACACCGTTTATCATTTTTGTCAATGCAGCCAGTATAGATAAACTGACAATTTTTTTTGTTTGTTTGTTGTGGTTGGATTATTACTATTTTCCATTTAAAATCATTACCAAATTTTGATTTTTTTTATGAACCACATTGACGAGTGATAACGATATAAAATTATTATTATCTTTTCAAAGTGACAAAAAATATGATAAGTCAGGAATTTGTAAAAAAAAATGACGACACAAAAATTGTTTCATTACATATCACATAAAATTTTCGATTTCATTCTTTGTTCCGTAATGTTCACAGTGTCTAAAGGATAAAATGAATGAGAAAAAGAGAGAGTGAGAGTATAACAAAAAAAAATCAAATCTACCTCAACCTTAGAATGAACAAATGATTTTTATTCTACTTATTTGAAGATTGTCCGGTATCCAGCTGTGTGTTAGTGAAATGTACGTATTTGTATATAATTGAATTGATGTTCACAATTGGTTTGCTAGCAGTGAACAAGAAAACAAGTCAAAAATCATAATAACAAATATCGCGGCTTCTGATGTGGTTGATGAATTGAAAACAGGATAGCCAATTACAACATCAATGTTTATGTTTGTATTGAATAGAAAGATTTTTTTTGTTAAACGTTTTTTTTCATCATTTTCTATTCAGAATTAAGAATCGAATTAATCTTGTATATACAACAGACAAAAGGATTTTAAATCACTTCATGAACGATGATATTCAATACGAATTAAGATATTCAATAACTACTATTGATTGAATAATCTGTATTGATCAGGTTTTGATTCGATTCAATTTTTTTTTTCGTTACTTGTTTGATTGATCGATTCATTCAAAATTGTAGAATCAAAATGTAAACGAAATAACAAGATAGAGTAACAAGAACAAATAGACAATCTTGATTGTTATCTTTTTTTTTACCAAAGAAGAATTATGATCGATTTTTTTTCTGGAAACAAAAATTCCTATAATTCAATGTTAATATTGATGATCAGATGATGATGGCTAGAAGCAATGTATGGAAAAAAAGGGAAAGCGGAGAAACATAACAAGTGTATGCTGCATTTTTGAATCCATTTGTTCATGAAGAACATCGAAAGCTAGTAAAAAAATTTTATTTTTTCAAAACCCACCTGACAACGATAATGATGATGAAGATCAGCCGACCTGAAAGTTAATCAATTTGTCAATGAAAATGATCATCAACCAAACCAACCAAATGAATGAATTGAACCTAACTTATTATAGGCTCTCGAGATCATTTGTGTATACAGCTTCGAAAGAGAGAGAGAGAGAGAGAGAGAGAGAGAGAGAGAACAAGAAAAAAATAGCAAAAACAATCAAATTCTTGTTTAATTTCATTTGCCAATTCTTTCAAAATATGGTACTGCCCATTTCAAAAAAAAAAAAAAAAAAATAGAAAGCGATTTTTTTTTCTTCGTCTCTGGTCATCATCATCATCATCATCATTATTATTATTATTGCTTCAGATACAAACTTGGCTGATAATCGCTTCAAACATACACACACACAGACAGACACAAAATAAGAATATTTGTCCATTTAGATCATTGTCCAAAATCAAAAATTTTCTATGTGAATGTATCACATATGCACAAACCCAATAATTATCAATGACAGGCCAGAAATGATGATGATGATAAAGAACATGGATGCAACGTTTCCTATGTTTACAACGAGAACATCTCGCCCATCATTTTTATATGAAAATTTTGTTCATTTGTACTGAATGCAAATTTCACTTCATTTTATTTTTTTTTTGAGGGTTCATCAAAGTTCTTTAGTATTTAAGAAAAGTGAAGAGAATCAATTCGGATCACATACCATTTTATTTGACATTTGTTATATGGTCTTTTTTTTGTGAAAAGACCATCATCAAGTGCAGAGACAAAGATGATGATAATGATACTTGACCTTTTTTCTGTTGTGTCTATATGAAAACTTTGACTTGTTCTTGTTTTGGATTCTTCTTTACAAGTATATTTTATATTCTTTTTTTTGTATCACTTTATTTCTTATACCTGTCGTTATATAATAAAATGTGTGTGCGTGTGTTCATTTTCAATTGAATTGAATGTATTCTTTTACTTTCGATTTTTTTTCTATTACTTCTATGGAAAAAATAATCGATGACCTCGCTTGAATCAAACGATTGTTGTTTTTGATGATGATCACAACAACAGTGGTCACCAGTTACCATCATTATAATTATAATCATCATCAATGAAATAGTGCTTAGTATATACACTAGCTACGTCATTTGGGGACGTCAACATCTATTAATTGCATAATAATTGTAATTTATTTTCAAGATATATTTTTTTTTCTTTCTTTCCCTATATATTTGAAATGATTCTATTCATTCAAATTGATTGTACCTTCCATTTTTGGTCAGGCTATAAAAGAAAAAAATTCATTTTCATTCAATGTTCAATGACCATCTATTATCCTTGAAATAGTAATAATGATGATGATCATCATAATCGTTGTTGTTGTCAAAATTCATACAGTGGAATGATTGTTCTAATCAAATCATCATCATCGAATTGAAAAATTCTTTTTTTTCTTGATTGATAAGTTTGACTGCAGATCTTTTTCTTGAAAATAATTCAACGATTTTTTTTCGCAAATCAAATTCCATAATAATTTTGACTTTAGAGGATAAAATCCTGATCTTTCGATTCTCGTACTATTATTAGAATAATAATAATCAGTGAAAAAATTAATGAACGTAATTAAAAAAAATGAAAATTTTTTTTCATTCCATTTATTAATTTCTATTGAACCATTGATTGAGAAAAAAAATTCATCGACAACAGGTGTTTTTGTAACTGATCATATAGCATATCAACAGCATCATCTTTGTGTTTGATGCCTTCAAGGCATCGCGATTGTAATCAGCATTTTACTATAGATAGTTAGGGTATATATAGGGGTATCATAATCATAATTATAATCATAAATTATAAAATAACCTTTACCTTGAATACAGTCGTCGAACCTCGATGATGATGATGATCATCATCATCAATGACTGTATAGACCCCATAGACCGAGTCAAATTTGTATCAATTAATTCCAATTTTTTTCCTTTAACCTTACTAACATTTTCTCAAGTTTACCTACCAGTTTTTATTTCCATCTAGATAAATTTCTTCACCGACGACGATCAATTTGATCATCATCATCGTCTATGATGATGGAGAATTTTTTTTCATGCATATAAGTGATATTTTTTTGTTCATAGCTTATTTTAGAAAAACTTTCGATTTGAAAATATCAGAACGAATGGTTCCCTTGGTCCATGATATATTTGAACAACAACCAACACACCGTATATAAACCAACCAACCAGACAGACCAGTTTGATCTATTTCATTTTTATTTTACATTCTGTTGAACGCATTTAAGCTAGAATGTTTTCAAAACATGGATAGTTTAGCCTAAAGCCACAAACAAACGGCTATATGGACGATATACATAATAATATATGAATGTCGAAGTTTTGACCGTCGACCACCAAAATGACGACGACGAAGACATCATCATCATCATCATCATCATCATCATTTTATCGTTACCGTCCCTATTTTTTTTCTTTCGTTCATGCTTCTGAACATTTCGATTCGATCAACGTCTCTCCCGCATTCAACACAGAAACTTATTTTCACTTGCCATTCAGGTTGTTGGTCGGCAATGTATGTATATTGACCAAAGGTCGAAACACACACTGTTTACGTTTTTCAATTCAATTCATTCTAGAATTGGTTTCTGTGCCGAAAAGATGTTCGTTCAGAAGAAATTTTTGATGATTTGATTATTATTTTACATTTATTTGTTATATTGCGTGCTCTGTAAAACTATCTATCTTTCTATCGTTTTTTTGAAACGAATTGATTTTGCTTGTGGTCGTGTATGTGTGCTATTCGATTAATTTTCAAATATGCATTATTGATCGAAATAATAAATGTGTTTGATTTGAATTTATTTTTCGTCATTTCTAAACAAAAAAAAACAATTGATAAAATTCAAAACAAAACAAAAAATTCCATCAAATCTTAATTTCATCAATTGACAGGTAAGAAATGCTTGAATGAATTATTACTAAAAGTGCAAAATGGTATTCGAAATGAATTTTTTTTTTTTTTTTTTGTTATGGTGATGCTGGTGATGGTGGCTAATTTACCATAACATTGAAACTGAATGACAATTCGAATGGAAAAAAAATTCACTTTCATTCATTTTTTCCGTGTATCCATTTTATTCGCCATTATTATTATTATTTTCTTTATATTCTTATTTTGATTTTCATTTTTTTTCTCTATTCGCTTGTTATGGTCCATCATCATCATCATCACCACCATTATCATAATAGTCGTTCAAGTCCAATTACTTTCATTTTACTTTGGTTGAGCAAATCAAATCAGAAAAATCTGAAAAAAAATAATGATAAATATTGAAAAGAAAATTCTCCAACCAACAAGAGATGTATAATAAAGAAAATAAAATTCTTTTGTTATATTACAAGATGAATAGCGAAAAAAAAATTAGTTCAATTTTGTTTTGTTGTTGTTGTTGTTGTTGTTGTTTCTTTTATTGTCGATATTTCTTTCATACCAATTCATGGAGAAATTTTTAACGAAATAGAAAAAAAACAAATCCGATTCACTTTATATTATTGTAATTATGGTCACATGTTTCATTTGTTTGTTTGATACAGAGCAAAATCATCGAAGCAAAATTCAAATGTCTATAGAGAAAAAAAAGAAAGAAAATCGGTAGTCCATGAATATTTATTGTGTCCATAGGTTGAAATTTAATTCTTCAAAAAAAAAAAAATAAAAAAAAAAATTCTCCTGATGATAATCGATTTCAGATTCATAGCTTCTGAATTTTCATCATCATCTATCATCGTTTCTTAAGGCTATTTCTTCCGTTAATATTCATTTTTTTTTGGGTAATCCATTCGAGATATTTCGAAGTGAGAGAGAGAGGCAGGAATAGAAATTATTAAACTTTCACCATAATATTAAATCCATCTTATATATGGATTATTATTAAATAACATAATGCCTCACGGTAGGCAACTACCATCTATACATAAGCTATATTGTATCCATTTCCATATTAAAACATAAACACAATGATGAATTTAAAAAAATGAAAAAACGTGAATCACGTGATCAAGTTTTTGTTGTACCACTTGATCAATCACGAATAATAATAATGATAATCACAAGTAGCTTAGTTAATCGATATCGTTAGTAATATAGGAAGTATATTTATTCATTTACTAAACCAATGGATAGCAAACGAAAAAAAACCTCAAAAATGAAGAATATATTGATGATTCGTGATTCAATATTAAATCACGAGTATCACTTTGCTCGCGTTTTTGCGTTCGCACTTTGATGATGATGATGATGATGATGATGATGATCGTGAAAAGTATTTGGTTTCGCACCACTTTCAAATAATAAGGTGTTAATTGATTTAAATTTAGAATCATAATTATGGTTCAGTGAAAAAAAAACAATAAAAATTAAATAAATAGCATTAGTTAACGAAACAAAAAACTTAAACATTTCCGGCGTCAAATTTCGTGTATTGTTTTACCCCATTTTTCTGGTCCTGTTATTTGTCCGTTTTTTGTTTGTTTGTTTGTTTCTAGGGATAGCCCAATAATTATGTGATATATTGAATTTCATTTTTTTGGGAAAACTCACTCTTTTTTTCTCTCAATGAAAATCAGTTAATATCATGCATGTCTTACATTTTTGCCTATCGAATTCGTTAAAAAAACAAGAGCCCCAAAAAGACCTACATTTCTTACAACATGAATAACACAATCCAAAACAAAAGGAAATGTTTTTTGTTTGTTTGTTCGTATGTTATTCATTTCAGAGTATGGCTCCATTGATTTTTGAATATATGTGTGTGTGTGTAAAAAACACACACCTGGTTCTACTTTTTTTTACGAAAATGAAAAATTTCTGGTTATTGAACAACGTTTTTTTTTGTGTGTGTGTGTATGTCCACCACAACATCAGGAAAAAAATGATTCCATTGTAATTTCAATTTTTCATTTGTTGTTTGCCACATAAGAAAACAGAAACCTAAACAAGTGAGAGTGTAACTGTCTAAAAGTATTCACGATTCTTGAATATAGCAAGAGAGAAGCAAAAAAATTCAAGAATCATTCAAGCATGTTAGATAAAAGCTTTGAACATCTCAAATGAATAAATTAGTTTATCAGCTGTTTGTGTGCTGCATATGTAATAACAAGATTTATTTACGTTTTGTTTTGTTTTGTTTTTTTTTTTTGGTGAATTTCAATTCTGTTAATTTTTTTTATATACTGAACTGAATCTAGGTAAGTCATATTCAATTCCAATTCAATTTTTTGGAATTTAAAAAAACATATATTTCGATCATTTTTACTTTGAAATTTTGTTTAGCCTAATCTTTGTCTGATTGATAGATGTGTCATATGACTATTTTTTAAGGTTTCTTTTGGATTATCTTATCAAATCTCACATATATAATGCCATGATTGAGGTTTCATATTAATTAATTTTTTTTTCTGGAGTGATTACTGGTGAAAATCAATCAATCTATCAATAAATATCTATATCGATCTTCTGATATCTTGCATTTTGAATCATAATTTTCAAGTGCAGCCCTCAACCAATATCGTGTGTGTTTTATCCTTGAAATATATAATTTATTTAATCTGATGATCGATAAATCTCAAAAAGAAAATCTTTAGATTTTTTTTTCTTTTCTTTGTTATTTGATTGCGTGTGTGTTGTTTGGTTTTCGAGATTAACAAAAAAAAATAATTCTATTAGGTAATCTAAATTCTCATTGGTCGTTCATTATCGTTAATCGTCATTATCATTATCATGAGGAGAAATTGTCATCTTAATAATTAGAATCGTTCTGTGTGGATCATTGCAATTGAATATTTGCCAAATTTTTTAATTTGATAAAAACAATTTGTTATTATTATTAATATAATAAATGTTTAGAAGATTTCTTTATAACAAGTATTACAATAATGCAATCAAAAATTATTTTCACATTTCCAAAATGATAAATTATGCTAAGATATAATGATGATTGTGGTTACCTGTGTTACCTGATTTTCATATTTTTTTTATCTATAAGTACTTTATTTAGTATTTATATGAGGATCATTTTCGATTTGCTGTTTAAATGTTTGCCATCAGGTTCATTATTCTGTTGTTCATTTGTTCATTCGATCTGTTCTGATCATCTTTTATATCTGACTTTGAACTTGACTTTGAAAAAAAAGAATGTCTCAACGATAATTGTTTTTATCAATAATAGTAGGTATGTTTAATGTATACGCGGTATGTCATTCGAAAATTATGATTGATTGATTGTTTTTTTTTTCGTTTTGGAACACACCAAAGTAATACCAGTAGTTTCAAATGATTTCTAGCCTTTTTTTGTTAAAAGAGTTGTCATTATTGATCTTTTTGTTTGTTTGGTTTTGTTGTTGAAAGCTTTGATTTCCTTGAAACGTTACATTGTATTTAAATTTTCTTTTTTTTTCTTTAATATATTTAGTATTTCAATATTATTAAAGGACCGCACAAGTAGAAGTACCTAGTTGAATCCATCACCATCACCACCACCACTGAATTTTTCATTCTATTTCATTCTATATTTTATGACCTCGCCTATCGATCGGTCTATTCGAGACCTACCTGAAGAAAATTGACGTCTGACATTTGAAACAAACAAATCAAAAAAAGAGATTTCAGATCAAAAAGAATGGCATCAGCAACAAGTAATAATGTCTATCAACAATCACAAGACTTTATTCCAAACAATCATCATCATAATCGGCAAACAGGAGACATTTCAACTTTGACCTTTCCTCCACAAACACCACAACAACAACAGCAACAACAAAATTTTATTACGATTAACCAATTCAATATAATTGACATTCATTGTCAAGCGAATGGACAAACGCAACAACAAATTGCTTCGCCAACGCCTTCATCGTTGCCTATTATGAATAACCAAACAATCAGAATCAAAGATGAAGATAGAAACGATTCTTATTATCATCATCATAATTATCCACAAGGGCCACCATCATCTTCACCAGGTTCATCAATGTCTTCGGATTGTGATGGTCGATTAATGGTGGATAACAGAGATTACATGTCCGAAATCGATCACGCCTGCAAAATATTGGCCATTTCAGCTGGTAAGTTTCATCATAATTTTTATTTGTTTTATTTGTGTGGCTGTAGTTGTTTTAAAAACCTATTGAGGTGAAACAAGATGAATTTAGAGCATTTGATAGCTACTTGTTAGAGTCTGCATATTTTAGTATCTCTTTGAATAATTTATCGAATGATTTTCTGATAATAACCGGCTTAACAGTTGACTTAACTGTGCAAAACAAATTGAAATCTGATTGAATGTGATGTTGATAATGATACCTCCATGATTGTCGTCACAGTGTCACCAGGTCACCCGGTCAATTCGGTTTACCCTAATCAAGAAGCGAAAATGATGTGTAATGCACTGTATGCCACTGGTATCAGTTTGTGCCATACTTACAAAATCATCAAGATTATTTAATCTGATAAGTGTTTGGAATTTTTCCTGAAAAAAATTTAATTTTTCTGATCTCCCTGTTGATAAATAATCAAATGATTGGATTTTTTTCTTTGCCCAAATGAAAGTAGAAAACATCATGCAGATGAATTTTTCTAGATAGCAATTGTAGGATTATCGTTTTTGTTTTTTATTCTAGATTTTTTTTTAGATTCACAAAAAAAAATATTTTTCTATTAATTCATATCCACAAACACCGGAAATTCTTATTTGCTTTGGCGTGTATGTTTTTGTGTGTGTGTGTGTGTGAGTGTATGTTTTGAAGTCAATCATGCATCCATATATATCCTATATATGTTCAGTTTACCATTTATTTGTGAACCAATAATTAAAATTCAATTTTTTTTTTTCTCTCTCTCTCACATACTACATTCGACATGGACATTATTTTTGTGTGTGCGTGTGTGTGTATTATACAGATCCTTACAATTGGAATCAAACGGATGTACGAAAATGGCTTATGTATCAACAACGTTTACATCAATTGAAATCATGTACTATTATTGAAAATGGTTTCCGCATGGATGGCATGTCATTATGTGAGCTAAATCTCGAAGATTTTCATCAAAGAATTTTAAGTTCATTGAATATGACCAACGGAAATATGGAAACATGGAATTATGCCACAGTGCTTTATCAGGAATTGAATATTTGGCGTAATGGTTAGTATTATAATTGTTTTTTATTAATTAAAAGAAAAACAAAACTAACTGAAAAATATTGTTGAAACTAAATAGCCATTACAAAAATGTTTGAACCGGATTTTACATTTTTTGATTCATCATCATCCACCGTTGAACAATCACAAAATTATGATCAATTTCCTGTAATGAATGATAACAAATCGATGATGTTAGTACCATACAGTCGACAAGCTCAATCATCATCACCAACATCGGAAAAATCATCATCATATTGTAGTAGTAGTAGCTATGGTGGCCAACAGATGTTTAGTTATGGTAGTCATATGGATGGATACCAGAACAATGTTTCACAATCACTGCCTATGAACTCATTTTATGATCCATCATCAAATAATTCGGTCTATTCGAGCAGTCCATCTAGTTCACCACAGAGATCTTTATATTGTTCATCACCTGCCGGTAGCATTTCATCAGCATCGTCGATGATCAATAATAATTACATAACTAACCACATGCAACAACAACAACTCCCATCATCACAGCAATCAGTCGACCATATCGCCTTGAATCAGGGAAAATTTCCAGAAAATTCATATACCTCAATGTATCAAAATGTCTACGGAAATGACCTTTCTGGACATCAGGAACACATGTTTTATCCCCAACAACTTAAAAGTGAATATGGAAGCGATGGTAAAATTTTACTTTTATAAATTTTGATTATTTAAATAAAATATTCATTTTTTCTTTAGATGACATGTTGAGCGATGATGATCCAATCAATGGTAAATGTCCCATGATAATTTCTACACAGAAATGCCATCAAACACCAATGTCACATCAATCAGCAACAATGAAAAAACCAACCTTCAATGGTTCACGTCCACATGGTTCTTCAACTTCCATACAATTATGGCAATTTCTTAAGGAACTTTTATCACATCCAAACCAATACGAAAATGCAATTCGATGGTTAGAACGGCCACGTGGTGTTTTTAAAATTGAAGATTCTGTTCGTGTTGCTCGACTTTGGGGTCAACGAAAAAATCGTCCAGCCATGAATTATGATAAATTATCTCGTTCAATACGGCAATATTATAAGAAAGGTATCATGAAAAAGACTGAACGTGCACAACGATTGGTCTATCAATTTTGTCAACCATATGCCATGTAAGGTAATTTGGTAAAATCTGTAAATACTTATGTATTTCGTATTCTGGGTTATATCCATTGATCCATTGTTGTAATTACACTAGAGTTATTAGTGTTATCACAAGAAATTTTTCTTTAAAACAACAAAAACGAAGGTATTATTCGTTTGTTAACCCAATGTTTGTATGTGTGTGTGTCGCCACTTGTAAGGTATGTGCTTTACAATGTGAATTTTTTTTTGTTTTTTTACCATATATCCTTCTTTATTGTCGAAGGATGTATAGAACAATTCCCATGTAACTGTTCTATGAACAGATTTCTCATTCTATTTTTCATACTTTTCTTTTATTTTTGTATTCACGAACATATTCCTGCAAATCCAACATCATCATCATAATATATTACTGATTTCATTAATTTAATCATTTTTTTTTTTTGAAAAAAAAAACATTTATATTTTTACAAATGAACTATCTCATTTTCTATTCATTCTATATCTATATATATTTTTTATGACATTTTCTTTTAATAATCCAAATTTTTTTTGCCTAATCACCACATCGTCGTTGTCGCATAAAATACATAATACAAAGTTCATTTACTGATCTCCTTGAATTTTTTTTTTTTTTTTTCGATTGAATCAATGGAACCAAAAAAAAAAAAAAAAACACATAAAGATGTTTATGATGAGAAACTAAAGTTTTTTTTTGTTTTATTATTTTCTTTTATTGTACAACACAAATTATAATGCAATAATGAAATTTGTACTCGGTTACCGAGCAATAAAACCACAAAAAATGAATGAATGGATTGAATATTATCAAAGTTTATCGTAAATGAATCAAATAAAAATATCATGCTTATCGTATTAATTAGGATTAGGATTAGGATTATTATTATGATCAATTGAAAAACATAAATCTTGCTGTAATGATGATGATCGTGATTGTGGTTGTGATTGTTGTTGTTTGTCCATTTTAATTGACTGGTCATTAGAATGAATTTGATTTAATGCATTTTCAATACGTTGTAATGCTCGTCTTAAAATTGTTTCATTGTTATCGAAAATTTTTGATGAAAAATTTATTTGATCATCATTTTCTTTCGGATGATGATTATCATTTAGCATTTGATTCAAAATCATTTGCAAATTATGTTCCAATGATGATGATTGATTGACGACTGGTTGATTGGCGAAAACTGGTCGACTTCTGTCGAAATTTATTTCATCAGATAGACTACGCATATAGGATGTTGATGTAGGATGATGTATCAAAGTCTGTAGATTATCGTCATCATCATCATCATCGTCGTCGTCAAGTTTTTCCTCTTCCTCTTCATACCTATCATCATCTAATGAAGTTGGTTGTTTAATTCGTTTATGACGCTGTTGTAATGTCAATGAAGAAAGTAACTCCGTCTGGTGACTAAAATCGTCATAATCATCATCCATATCATCATCGTCGTCGTCAAAATCATCGCCATGAGTTGTGATTGTCGAGAATGTCGATGAGTGATCATCTTCCGGTCCATTATTATTCGACTGCTTCGCTAATGGTTGTGACAATGATAATGGGGGATGACAATTCGTTAATTTTGGATTAGTTTTTAATTCAACTGAAATTTCATTTTCCGATTCTTTTGATGATACATCAACAATAAGATCGTGTTTTTTCCGTTTATCGTATTCTTCTTGATCTTCATGGTTTTTGTTTTCATTGTTGATTTGACTATTTTCAGTGGTATTCGTTTCTATTTGTGTATTATTCAAAGTTTTATTCTTATTCTTTTTTCTGCGTCGACGTCTTTTTCTTTTTTTACTTCGTCCAGTTGTAGTAGAGAATCCAGCGATAGGCAATGTACCAGACTCTATCATCATCATTATTTCAGCAGTGGGAGCCATCATAATTGATTCTGGTGTAAATGATGATGATGAAAAGATCGATGATTGATTTGTTACTGTTGTTGCCATCGTTGGCTGTTGTCGTTGACTTGGTTGGTTAGAATTATGTTGATGTTGATATGAGGCCAAAATAAATGCAGCCAGCTGTTGTCTTAACGATTCTTTTTCTATTAACAATTCATCATTCTGATCTTGTAATTGCTATAGTTAGCGTAAAAGAAAAAAATAACAAGAACAGTGTTTTTTTTGTTACCAACAACAGAAACAACACCGACATAGACCAACCTTGTTCTGTTCTTTTAATTTTTTCATTTCATTTCCTAATTGTTCGAGATTCTTGCGATCCTGTGCATTTTCCATCGATTCTAATTCGGCAATCTGTGTGGTCATAAAAAAACAACAATAACCAAGTAATGAAAAAAAAAACAGGCAGTTAATCAAACAATTAATACATAAACATAAAAACTAAACAAACGAATCATAATTGAAAAACAACAAACTTTTGCATTTAGATGATCAGATTCTTCAACATGACGTTGTATATCCAGAAAATTCTGTACCAATTCATTATTCTGGCATTTCATTAGCTGACAATCAGTTTCCAGGCGTTTATTCTCCTTTATCGTCATCATCATCATCATAAAAATTTAAATGAAAGCAAATCGATTAATAATATGTATGATACGATATAATTGGTGTGTGTGTGTTTACTGAATCTTAACAATGTTGAAGTCAAACAACAGCAACAACAACATTATTTTTACGAATTATAGAATTCCGGATAAATGGATGTATATATGTGGAACAACAAAAATAACTGACAATTATAAAGAAATAACAGCCAATACAGAGAAAAAATCAATAAGTCAGTATATTATAAAAACAAGTGTGGCAAAAGAAAAAAAACTAGAGTCAAAAGCGAAATTAATAAATGATAATAGCGACAACAACAACAAAAAACAACGAATTCAACATAGTGAAACTGATCGACGTATTATAACCAGCCAAACAAAGTTTGCCCATTTGATGGGCGATAAGAGAAAACACCATAGTCGATCGATTCTTGAATGAATGAATTCAAAAGATGATTGATTAAGATTGAAATGATTGGCGGAAACGATCGCCATAAAGACCCCTCTATATGTGTTTGGATCCTAAATGAGCCTCGAACATTGCTATTGTTGTTGTTGCTTCACGTTTAGTAAGTAATAGTTTGGCCCACATATGTATTCGTTATCATACGAAAAAAAATTCGAAATAAAAAAAATCGATTTTAGAGTGTCGATTTCTTGTCTATTTTTCATTTTGCGCTTTTTCCATAACAAAATTATCAACTAACAAACTATTGGGTGCCAATGAAGGTTTTGAGTGGATGGAAATGGCTGACTGAAGAAATTCTTAGCCAGTTTTTTATTCTATCCTTTTCTTCCGGTTACATACCTCTTCCAGTATTTTAATATTTGAACGAAATTTTGATAATTGTTCTTGTACGGCGTTCATTTGTCTATCAATATCTTGTCGCAGATGGCATGATTGTATGATCATAATTTCTTTTTCACGCGAAAAATCCATCTCAATCAATCGTATCTGATCCTGATATTTTTTCTCCAATATACTGTCGTTGATGATGATGATGATTATAAGCGTAAACGATGTGTGTGTGTGTAATGAAAACAACGAGAGTGACAGCAACAAAAAACGAACAAAATGAAACAAATCGGTTAATCACCCATCATCATCAGAACAGAGCAGCCATCACCATCATCATGTTCAATAACGGTACACGCCCAGAATCGAATAAGGAAAATGGAAAAAGTGTTGAAGAGAAAAAAAGTGAAATTCGATTAATCGATTTATTTTTTGTTTCATCATCATCATCATCAAAAACTTACGCCAACTTTGCCTTTGAAGCATTTTCCAAACGTAAATGTTGTTCATCTACTTCTTGTGCAAGAAATTCTGCACGACAATTAGCCTGTTCCAATTGTGATTCTAAACCTTCACATTTGGCCATCATATGGTCATGTTGAATCCTATGTGCACAAGCAAAAACAAAATGAGAAAAAAAAGAAGAAACAGATATTGATAAGAAAAAAATTGAATAACAAAAAAAAAGATGTATCCAAATTCAAATGAGCCGCAAAATGTTATCGAGAATAGAAAAATATTCTTTACTCATCTAAGAATGGGACTGAGAATTTAAAATTCCATTGATAACCAAGTCTGACCGATGTTAGTGATATTGAAAAGTTTTTTCATTTTAAAAACACATTTTTATTTTTATTTTTTGTCCATCATATGTACGCATAAATGCATTTATTCTCTATGCTCGTTGGTTTTGTCTTGCCATAACTGAGAAAGCTAAAATTTGAATTTGAAATTTTTTTTACAAAAAACAAACAAAACGACAACAAAATTTGTCAAACAAAAATGTCTAATGATTATTGTCGTTAGACATTTTTATCGGATATGGTTGGAAAATTCTAAAAATAAAAATCTTTGTCTATGTTTTGAATACAATTAAAAAAATAGTATGTTTTATCGACATTGAAATTTTGAATGACAATTGCATTTTCAACAATCAAACAATTTTATTTGATCGATAATAACTGTATGAACAGCAAATCACAATCATCATACGCACATTATGTTCACGATGAGAGAATCGAATTTATTTTTTTTTCATTCTCAATAAGTATCAAGTTAAATAATATACACTGTCTCTTTTAAATAGCTTTTTTCTCTTATAGCCTGGTCCAACAATTACTGTAAAGAAAAAAAAACGAATTATATCAAGCCAATTGATTAACTAGATTATTACAGAATAAAGATGGAAGGAAAAATCCTGAATCGATTTGTGACATATAAATACTTAATCTCTATTTTTTTTATTAGAACAACGAGACTAACTGGAACTGGAATCAGAATATAGGGAGAGTTTATCTCAATCTCGCTAGCTCTTGTTTTTGTATTGTTTAATTCGATGCGTTTTATCTATCGCTAGCTATCAAAACGATCACAATATAAATCGTTACATGAAATTTTTTTCTGCCTTTTTTCACATCCGATTCATTGAAGTTGTCGTTTTTTTTGAAAGTTATGGTTTTAATGACTAAATCGAATTTATCGATTAGATTCTGTATTTTTTTTTCAAGCACTCTTCAGTTTTTTAAATCGTTTTTTTTCCTCTCATTCGATTCTCTTTTTCATAGTTTTTCCATCTATTGTGTTTCAAATGATGATGATGATGATAATGGTCTTCGTATCCATCTTATCGATAAAGTTTTTCAAGGATTTAAATATTTTAAAACAACAGTGAAAAAAAATCACTCGATAACTCAATGAATGAATCGATTTTTTTTTTGGTTTCTCTCGATTATCTCATCGTTGTAGATCATGTGTCCGGGAATCTAAATAGAAGACATATAGACATTCCGGAAATGGAGATATATTCTTTAATTCCAATTGATTGGTTCGTTTTGTTATTTAGATTTTGAAACAAACATTTTCTCATATGTTTTTTAAATTATCATATTTCAACAATCATATAACAATGATCATCATTATCATGAATACGATGAACCGAAATTCAAAAAAAAAATCATAGAATGAATTTAAACGAACAGAAAAAAAAATAATCGAAAAATAGAACTACTTACTTTAATTGTGCAAATTCATTTAGAATCGTAGCCAATGAGACCTAAAATGATGAAGAAGAAAGAAAAAAAGGAAAATGATTTGGTTTTTTAAAAAAGAAACGAAACAAAACTAAACTACTAAACAAATTCAATTTGTCTTTTTGTACTTTAATTTTCCACTTTTTCTGGGGTTAGTGCATTTTTTTTTTTTTTTTTTTTTGGCAAAACAGAATAATAAATAGAATAGAATAAAAACGACTAAAATGAATGTGAATATATTTATAAATGGTTAAGGGAAAAAATTGAGTTAAGCTTTCTGGATGTTAAATGTTTTCATCATTAAAGGCGTTTCTTTTTTTTCAAACTATTCGTGTGATATATATGAACGGATGATTCATTTAAAAAGTCATCAAAATAATAACGACAGAAAAAAGTTGAATCAAAAAAAAAAAAAATTCAAGCGTAAAATAAGAGATAAAGGAATTCAAATAGGCAAAGATCTATGATGTGATCATTCGATAAAAAAAAATAGGAAAATCGTTTTATGCATGCAAACATTTTTTTTCGAAAAAAAAACAATTAATTTTTGATGTCTTTTAAATCTTACTTGATATAATTGAGAAGAAGAATAATGATTATCATTGTAATGATGATGAACATTCGAACATTGCTGTCGTATGGCTAAAACATATTCCAACATTTGTGACCATAATTGTTGAAGATGGATACGATATTTTCGTTGTCCCAATGATTTACCATAACCAAATAGCTGTGTACCATTTCATATAAATAGAAAATCGGGATGTACCAGAAAATAGCGAGACAGAAAAAAAGCAAAAAAAAACAAAAAACAAACTCAAATGAATTTATTGTACATTTAATTTAGAAGAAAACATTAAATTTTAACTTTCCGATGAATAACCATCATCATCATCATCACTGTGAATGATTATTCTTTGTTAACCAAAATGAGTGAGAATGATATCTGATAAACATAACGAAAAAAAAAATTATCGCTATGAACGAAACAATCTGCGTTGAATGAAACATGGTGGTAATGCCAGAATACTGAAAACAGTCATTTGAAGCGAGGTAGGTCATTTTTCATTTTATTTCATTTCATTTTTTTTTTTTTTTTTTGGGTTTATGCTTTACATATTACGTATCATCATACACATTAATATATTCCTGTATATGTGTGTATTTTTTTGTGTTGTCCATACAGAGAATTCATTCAATTCATACTTTTTCATACGTATGAAAAATAGGATTCTTTTTTATTTTCATTATTTTACTCCTAACCATGTAGATATTGTATTTTGTGTGTGTTCAAAAACAATATATTTTGTCCGATTGTTGAATAATAATAATAACAACAACAACTACAACAACAATGACAGAAAGAATATTGGACAAGCTCTGTGTATATATTATAATCATTTTTCTTGTTTTTCTATTTCAAACAAGAATAATATTTTAATATTTCTATATGTTCCAGAAACAAAATGCAAAAAAAACGTTATCAAGAACCAAAAATAAAAAGAGAAAAAGCCAAGAGAATTTGAATATAGAATTTTGATGTTTGTTTTTGTTTCTATAGATTTCGATCAAAATTTTGTTTGCTCTTCGATGGAGTTGAGGAGACAACAAATCGTCCCACTCTATTTTTCTCTCCCATAATTCGCTGATGAAAAATTTTAATTTGATCGATGATGGTAGAATTAGACCCATAGGATCGTAGATCGAGGCCAATGTTGTAAGTAGTGATCTCTTTGTGATATCACTCGAAAATTGGATGATTGGAAACGAGATTTGTACGGTGTCTTCTTTTTTATTCCAAATCATTCCAAGCACTTTATCTTCACCTAAACCATCTGACCAAGATTTGTCAATGCCGGGATGTGAACATTGCCACTTTCGAAGTTCCATTGATGCTTCTTTGAAAATTGTGGAACTGATGGATTGAAATTCGATTGCTTCATTTTCATTGTTTACTGAATGTACCAAATCATCAACGTATAAATTTGATTGGATGGCTGATACAATTGCGGGAAATTCCTCTTTGTATTTTCCTATGTGATGATTTATGACAACGTTTAAGACAAATGGTGATGATGTCAGTCCGAATGGTAGCCGTAAGAATTTGTAGCAAAGTAATTTTTCTTTTTCTTTGTCACGCCACAAAAATTTAACATATTTCTGATGATCGGGCTGAATACGAATGTTGTGAAATGCTGCTTTGATATCAGCTACAATGGCAATTTGCTTTAAACGAAATTGAAGTAATGATCTTGGTAAACACCATGTTGTGACTCCTTTGAATATTGCTTGATTTAAATTATTGTTGCCATTTGAAGCATTGAAAACCAATCGTTTTTTCGTTGTTGTTTTTTCAGAACTTTCTTTTCGGCATACCACGGAATGAGGCATGTGATAGCCCTCGTTAGATTGAATGTCACATGATTCTACAATTTTGTTGTTTTCTAATTCTTTGATCAAGTTGTTGTAGTCTTTGTATTCAATTTCTGATAGCGATGATGTTTTGGAGATTAATAAACGTTTGGCATTATTGAAGTTTGGATTGATCACATGGTTGTTGATAAATGGGAACTTGATTCGATATACGCGATTTTCGCTATCATACATGATGTTCTTTTTTACAAAATTGTCAATGAATTGTCGCATTGCATGTAGATCTTCCGGATTGATCATCAAATCGATTGGCGGGTCGTGATTCTCGGTTAGACATGCGACAATGTTAGAACGATGATTGCCAGATTGCCCGTGTACGATATATCCCAAAGATGTTTTTCCGACAATCAAAGAATTATTGTATTGCTGGTCTGCGACAAGAATTTTGAGACGGTTTTTGTCGTTGTTCCCAAATAAGATGTCAACTTGAATATCTTCATCGTTGAAATTGATCTTAAGCATTTCATTGATATGGTTGCGAACAGCAAGAGGGATGACATTGAATTTGAATTGTGTGACAGTGTCGTCAACTATCAGCTTGAATTCGTTCATGACTCCATCTCGATCTGGTATGCTGAGGATGGTGTAGTAATGTCCGATGTAACGACCTCGTTGTCCACCATATCCATTAACACGTATTGGTTCGTTTTTGAATTTTGGAAGATTCAATTTATTTACCAATTTATTGGAGATGAACGAAATTTCTGAACCACTATCAAAGATGACTCGGGTTTTGATGTTGTTGATGTTTGTGGTTAACGTTTGCAAATATTGCGATACGCCTCCAGAATTGGCTAACGCCGAAATGACTGATGCATCGTTTGAAATTGATGATGATGTGCATGGTTGCTCTTCAGATGCGATCAGTGTTTTTGGAATGGTTTGATTCGAAGGTTGTCGATTTGAATGTTGATTCGATGGTTGTTGGTTTGAAGATTGATTTGAAGGTTGTTGGTTGTTGCTTGCTGAATCTCGACATAGGTAAGATTGATGATTACCGCTGCACTTGTTGCATTTTAAACGTTTGATACATTCACGGGTGCCATGGCCTTTGCCAGCACAACGATAGCAGCGTTTTTCTCTGTTCAGTACAAGGATTTTCTCGTCATATGGTACGGGACATTGAATGTGGTAATGATATTGATCGCAAAAAATGCACTTTGGTTTATTGTTAGATGAGCTATCACTGTTAGTCGATGTCAGCAACGATTTCTTTTGCTCAGTTTGACGGTTATTTTTGTAATTGAATTTGTAATCGTTGCTTTGCTGATACCGATTGAATCCAATATTGGCCACTTGATTTATGAGTAAGTCTGTTGCAGTGATTGTACTGAAGTAATTTTCTAGATGATCAAGTGTGATGGTATGCGGTGAAACAGATGAGTTCAGATTCTGGAATGCGCGTCGACGGTTGTCAAGATCCATTTTTCCCAATATATGACCAATGATCGTGCGACTATCGCCCTCGTTTAACCTGATACCTTTGATGATAACCATCATTTCATGGTACTTTGTATAGATTGATGATGGTGAATCGAAACGAAGGAACGGTAATGAATGAATCTTTTGAGTCAACTCTTTCAACACTAATGCCGGCGATCCATAAAACGTGTCCAGAATATTCAAGATTTGTTGAAAATTTGGATTTGAATTTTGACCACGGATTCTAGCCTGCGCTTGTATTGAGAGAACATTCATAAGACGACGGAATTTTGAACTTTGACTCGGTATTTCAACATTGTTTATAACCAACTCCAAGATTGCGTTTTTGAAATCTGGCCAATTCTCCGCTGTTCCGTCAAATTTTGGTATTTCTTCAGCCTTGACTTTTATTCTCGAGTTGTTGTTTGGATACACATGATTTGGATTGTTGTATGGATAAGCATGATTTGGATTGTTGTATGGATAAGCATGATTTGGATTGTTGTTTGGATGAACATGATATGGATTGTTGTTTGGATGAACATGATATGGATTGTTGTTTGTTATTTGACTCTGATGTTGCTGATATGGATCGTAAGCATTATTCATTATTGCTGGTTCAGGTTGTTGATGATGATCATGATAATTGCTGTGTACTTGATGTGAATGTGAATTTGAAAGACGAAGAAGAGGTGATACAGGAGCGTTTAAGTGTAGTTGACCATGTTCTTGACTTGAAAAGGTATTGATGATTGGTCCATTGTCACCGCCAAATCCATTGTAAATTGGAGCATTGAATGATGGGTGCATGTCAGTTGTGCGACTTACTGCATCAAAGGGAATATCTTGAATGATCGGTGAATTGCTACGACTCACATCTGGTACTTCTTGTCGACGTTCATTGACAGGTGTTGTATTAATAGATCCCAATGGATTGTGTGTACCGATATCGACCGCATTCAATTTTGCTTGAAGTTCGTACAACAATGAAATTGTCCCAGGCAATTCTTCCACCAGTTTGTTTAATCCATCAATAGCTATTTGACATTGGTTTTTGATTTGAATTGATGAAATTCCTTGCAATAACCTTGTTTCCACACTTTGATATAATTGCACGAATTTGATGATTAGATTGATTTTTTCCTCATGGTCACTGTCGTCTTCATAGCCCAGATTTTCCAAGTCTGACATGGTTTCTTCGTAATCGGATTGTAATGTTGAAACATATTCTAGCGATGGGATACGACCATGTAAGCTCAATTGTTTGTACGTTTTGGTTATAGCTGATCGCAATGATTTTCTTTGCGAAAGCAAGTTGCTCAACTCGTCGGAACTCATGATGGATTGTTGGAATGAAAGAAAGATACTTGATGATGAAACTCAGAAGTTATGATGATGATGATTGCTCGAAGATGATGAAATGACTTGATTTAACTCGTTGATGTTGAGAATCACTCGATTGAAATTGTTGCTCGTTGATGAAAGAGAATCACTCGTTTAGATTACTTGCTTGATGATGATAGAGAATCACTCGATTAAGATTGTTGCTCGATGATGAAAGACTCGGTGATGAAAGAAAATGACTCGGTTGAAAGAAGATGATTCGGTTAAGAAAGCTCGCTCGGTATTGATGATATTTCCGATCACCAACTCAGTCTCATAATCGTTTGGAACGAAATTTGGAAGAATAATGGTACTCGATGTGATTGAAACAAGAATTGATTACGTTACATTCATAAAGAGCGTAACGTGATATTTTGGCTGCAATTACTTGCCATCGTAGATTTTTTTTGCCATAATGTTCGTTTCAACACAGACTAACCAACCGTGGAGCATATATGAATATGAACGGACATATTTGAGGCACACATTTTAAAAATTTTTTTTTATATTTTGATATTTCAGGTCGATGATAGAGAGAGAGTGGATTTATTTTGTTCAGTAGCGTTGTTATATAATAACGTTTGTATTTATTATGGATATGCAAAATTTCTTTTTTTTCAGAAAAAAAATCATTGAAACATATGATACTTAATGGTCCTTTCATAAAGATTGTTCTGTTATACACATTTTCAACAAATGAATTTCATTTTTTTAAATTGATAAGAATCATGTTGAAAAAAAATGATGACGGCAAAACATTATTACAATTCTTTTGATTTGAGTTTTGTGATCTTTGTGTTGTTTGGTGCCTATGTGTGTGTGTGTGTGCAGTGATGATAAAGAATCTTTTTAATTTTATTCTCTAGTTTCGTTTATTCATATGGAAAAAAATAGTAGAATAATATATAGTGACTTATAAAACAATATATACTTTCACTCACACAAACAAGTTAGTTCGTAATAAAAGAATTGCACTGGTTTTAAAATGGACTTGGTGACAACCATGTCCATGTTTTAATATTTCAACGAATACATCAGTTGTTTTCAACCTTTTATATCAAAAAAGGCATAAAAAGTCTTCGTGTGTGTGTTTGAAAAACACTATTTCGTTAGATTGTTTTGAAATGTATGCAAAGTATTACCGGCAAACCAAATATATACTAACATTAGGAACAAAATGTATGCATAAAAAAATAAAATATGCAAATTAGCTCAATTTACTATGTGAATGTGTGTGTGTGTGTGTATATATTTGTATTGTTGTTGAAAATTTTCATCAGTATGATATGATGATGCGAAAATGAAATGAAACAAAAAAAAAAATAACAACAACAACAACAATAGAAAAAGTGGAAGAATCTTTGGGACAGAAAAAAAATAAAAAGCATAAAATAGTGGCTATAAAAAAACAAACAAACAAAACAAAACAAAAATGCTGACTGTAACGAAAACAATCAATGAGAAAAAAGCAAGAGCAATGAAAGAATGGAAATGAAAGAAAAAAAAAATTCGTTTTTATTCTTAAGATTCTTTGATTCAATAGAATCATCATTGTTCAGAAATTTTTTCTTTATCATCTGAATGGTATCGTCATTGAGAAATGCAAGCGGAAATGATTTTTTTTCAAATAAAAAAAAATCCTGTTCATCATCATCATCATCACTTGCTCAATTCAAAATTTTGTTTACTTTTTACTTTTAACTTGAAATTTTGTAAAAGACCAGAAGATAATATTGACATGTTGGTCGCAGTTATGAACCGATGAAACGTTTTGTTATGGAAAAAAACAATGATTTGGACATCAATTTGAATCAAGATTGATGAATTCCATAATCAAAAAAAAATGACAATGAATATTTTTTTTATATTATGTGTGACAAAATGTTTAACTGGATAAAATGGATCGATCTACTATGGCGAACCAATATTATCTTATTTTTATATTATGACTTTTATTATCTATATATGGCTATTTATAATTTGTCCAGATAAATGTTTGGAATATTTTCGGTTGGTAGGTTGGATTTCATTTCATTTGGTATTTTGTGTTGTGGCATTTGAAATTAGCATTAACAGTAACAGCAGCAATTACGATGATCAATCATTTTATATATATTTCCGTTGTAGATTTACGGGTATGGATCACCTCTTACTTTTCAGGATAGAAGGTCATTGATTTAATGTTTAATGTCTTGTTCATTCATGGAATAGAGAAAAAAAAACAAACACACACACACATATACAATATAAAAAATAAGGCAAACGTTATTTTTTCAAAGTTAAACAGACTAAACTGGATTCATTGAACAATCTATAGGATCAATTCAAAACGATCGACAAAAAAGAATTTTCGATTGAAAATGTTTAATCGACCATGCATATGTTGCATTTTCAATATTATGCAATATGTTCGTGTTCGTGTTCGTGTTTGTGTTTGTGTGTGCTAGTATTTTCCATATAAGCCGGTATTTTCAATTGAATCTCTCGACCATTGGCTTTACATCAACACAACATTCTATGCAAATGATACAAGTAAAAAAAAAAAAACATACATTGAACATGGCAGAAAATTGGATTCTTTGTGGTCGAATCTATCTGATGATGAGGTTGAAAATTTATAACAAAATCGATACAAAGAATGATCATGATCAATCTTCAAAATGTCGATGTTGAATTCGAAAATAAAACAATTGTGTGGCTAAATTGGTCAAATCGATTAAAGTTGTTGTTGTTGTTGTTGAATAAAAACTATTGAATTTCGTATATAAATGAAAATCCGTTATCAAATGTCATATGTATGTAATCACCGATCTAAAATATATTAAAGTGTAACGTCTTGGTTGATGAAATGAAAAAATCGGAAAATAAAAGAATCTTACCAAACCGAAAATATTTTTTTTTTTTTATATTTCTGATTAGATTCAACATCAGCAAAATTGAATTGTCAAAGCATGATCCCAAACTATGCAATCCATCCATGAATCGTTTGTTGTTGTTGTTGATCGTTGGCCACACAATGAATTCAAATTCAAAAAGATTGGCACATTTCATTTCATTTGGCATGAAATGAGAAATTGAATAGAGAAAAAAAAAAAAAAATGTCGCCAAACATTTAATAAATATTCATCCATATATATTCAATTGTCCATCAATAACAACATGTTTTTTTTTTGTCTGGGAATTTGAATCGAACCTAAATTTTGCTCATCTTCTTTTAAATAGCCTGAATGAGATTTTGTCATTTTGTCTGTCTTCATTTCAGATTCATTGATTTGGTGAATTGAATTGAAACGAAAAATGTAAAAAAAAGGAAAATGTAAACCATGATCAATGTGTAAATCGATCGATCCTAAATGTTCGATTCAAGATGAATAAGAAAAAAAAATCGAGATAGCGAAAAAAAAATAAATGAATGAATCCAATACAAATATCGATATCAAAAATGGTTCGAATTGAAATGAAATAAATATAAATAAATGAAGATAAAAAATGAAATATGACAACAACAACAACAACAACAAAATACCATATTAACCTCAAATATAATAAATAAATATGAATCGGATTCACACATTTGAAATTGCTTTTTTTTCTTGGGGTAGATTTTTTTGCATTGAAATGGAATATTTTTTTTTCTTATTTTCTCCATATGATGATGATCAGAAGATATAATGATTACCAATCATCATCATCATCATCATCATGAAGAAATTGAATTGGCCGATTCAGGCAATATGGCCATCAACATCATCGAATATTGATAAGAATGAGAAATTTGATAGAATTGCCAATTTTTTTTTCTCACCCGTCTATATATATATAATTGTGTGGATAACCAAGTTTTTGGCTGTCGAATGAAACAAAACAGAATAAGAAAAAAAAACGTTAAGATTATTCGAAATTTGGATATCGATTCCATCAATTCAATAATCATCATCAATACAATAGTTTATTATTCAAGTAGTATATACAGAATTACAATTTAGATCGAAATCGTTTAGAATTCTCTATATGCCACAACATTTTTTATTCTATTTCATCTGATAATGCCACTGATACATTCGTAGAACGTGATTAAATCCACAATACAATATTAAATGGTAGTAGCATGAATCAATAATGTGAATATGAAACAAACAGAACTTTGATAAACATGTACAACACAAAATTACATTCTACTACCATATTCAGCCAAAAAAAAAGAATGATATGGTGAATGAAAAGAATGGATACATGAAATTCGTGTTTGACGTGAAGCATCATGAACACATGTACATTCATTCATTTATTCGTTAGTGCCAATTTGAATTTGTCGGTTGAGACTGGTTTGTTTTTTACTTTTTACTTGATTTTTGTTTGCCGTTTGCGACTAGTCGGTGTGTGTGTGTGTCTGTTTTTTCATCCGAATCACATTTTTGAATCATCCGATATAACGTATTGCCAATGTGGTTATTTGTTGATGATGATATAACCATTACCTTTATTCACTCTGGAATTTTGTTTGAATTTTTGCATTCAAGAATCATTCTTTTCTTTTTCATTGACCGTTTTTTGTGATTTGAATTATAAAGATTATAATATACATTCCATTTAGTCATTGCAAATTCCTATTATCCATCGAATATCTACAAAAAAAAACATTCCTCGTCATCAACAACATCAATGCAGGGTAAGTCCACCACTAAAAAAAAATTGAACGGTCTGTATATTTGTTGTTCGTGTGTGTGTGTGTGTGTGTTTTTTCTAATCACTAACGTTAAGTTCATCATATCAATCAGTTTAGTGGAAATCCCTATCATTCAAAAACTACAATGATAATAATAATAATATCCTAGAATTCATTCAAGTTTCAACAACTTGGTTGGCTGAGTTTTTTTTTATTGGATGGATGGATGGATGGATGATTCGTTTTCGGTTTGACACGTGCCATTTTTGTTTATCAAATTCTTCTATGCCAACAACCGAACCCAAGTGTATGTGTGAGTGAAAGATGGATTGAAGAGAGAAATGATTTCGACCAAAAAAAAAAGCTGATGATGATAATGATTACAACGACCCTTCATCAACATCATCATCATCGTAGTCGAGAATCGATTTTTGAATTCTATTCTTTTTTACACCATGATGATAAATTCGATTCATTGAGTAAAAGTCTATAATTATTATTATTTGAAATAACATTTATCTACTACTACTACTACTACTAATACTGTGGATCATTCATTTTGTTCTCATGAAAGCAGGAAGTAGACAGATTCGCTATTGAATCAAATATTACAACAACAACAACGGAGAAAGAAAGTGAGAGAAAGCAAGAAAAAACTATGGATTTAAAATGGACACACAATGGCAAGAAAAAAAAGACAGAAAAGATACTGTTCACTAGAGTGTGAAACATTTCCGTTTCCCGTGTACGTTTTTTTGTTGTTGTTGTTGTTGTTTATTGTTGCTATTGTTATTGTTGCTGTCTATGGATTCTTTCTTCTCATTACGGATATAATTTTTTTTTTTTTTTTTTGAGTTTCACAATCACAACTAAGAATTCGTACATGTCACTTGGCTGAATTCATATTTTGTGCATCTCATATTTGATTCGATTTCAGATTTCTTTCAAAAAACTAGGTTTATTTCAATTATTTTTTTTTTGTTGGCTATTGCTCATTCATAACGGAAAAAAATGTGATGATGACCTCTACTACTACAACAATGATGATGACCATTCATTGTTGTTATCATCATCATTGTATGTTTGTCTAATATTTGTGTGCGGTTGAAAGAATCCAAATGATAAATTCAAATTGACAATTTTATGATGATGATAGCTTATGATAGAAGGCGTTGAAAAAAAGGCGAGCCAATTTTTCTATGAAAAAAAAAAAAAAAATTTTTTTTTTTTTGGTCTCACAAGCAAATTTTCTGCCCACACTCGATCACTGATCATCACAATAGTGAGAATAATTTCTTATCTCTTAAGATTCTGAACAACGAAAGGGAAAAAAAAATCAGAATTTAAATGAGCAACAAAAAAAACCGATAAGAATTTTAAAATTGAAAAATGTTCATTCAATTTCTTTCTCTTTACAATTTTTGAATAGGTAAGCAAAATTTATTTTTTGCTAAATTGAAATTCTCTTTTATTTGTTTGCGTTTAGCAAAAAAAAAAAAAAGAAAAAGAAAGATGAAATTTCCGGTTGATATTTTCATTTCATCATCAATTTGTGTTTGTCGTTGTGAAATAAAATGAAATGAAATGAAATGAAAGAATCACCATTAACCAATAAAAAAAAGTAACCAAAAAAAAGGCTTCATATTTTTTTTAATTTGCATTTCGATTTCCAAATGCAATGTATATATTATACAACGAAATGAAAAAAAAATTGAAATGAATTGAATTGTTGATGTTGTTCATCGTATTCAAAAAATCAATCCTACATATATATTTCTTTTCAAGCACACATTTATATACAAGACAAAAATTAAATGGAACAATGATTTTGAATAATATTTTTACAACGAAAAAAAGGAAAACAACCAAAGTAAATCAACTTGAAGAACTACAAATGCATTTTTTTTCATCTGTTAATAATAATGAAGCAATTTCGAGACAAAAAAAAAAAAAAGAAATACCAAAAATTCTATACGGATTCAATTTGAATTAGAATCGGCAATGAATGTTCGATTCGATTACAGTAAGTAAAAAAAAAAGATTCATCATTGCAAGAATTGTAATGTAACACGATCCATTCATTCGTGTAACATACGAAAGAATAATAATGATAATTTTTACCGATGATTGTAAAAAAAATTCCTATTTATTGGTATATAGGAATTGTTATTTTTTCCTGAATAAAATGAATGAATGAATGAATGAAAACGATGATTCTTACTTGAATGAACGAATAAATAAAATAAACGAAATGAAACGAAATGAATGAATGAATGAATGATGAATGAATGAATGAATTGAATCAAACGTGAAATGAAATGAACAACAACATCCAAATATATTTCTTGTTAACATCAACATTCAAAGAACGAATTATTCGTAAATGCTAATAATAATAATAATAATAAGATGATTGAAAAAAAAGTTCTGACATATATAGAGAGAGAGAGAGAGAGAGAGAGAGAGAAATTCCATTCATAATATCACTCTTTTTACCTTTCTTCTTCTTATTCACAATCATTATAATATCCAATCATCATCATGTATATATGGGTATAGGTGAAATGATCATTTTTCTCTCTATTCAATCGAAAAAATTCTTTCTTGAATATTTCAAGTGTAGAAAGAATTTTAGCCTAAACGAAAATTTTTCATCTATTCATCGAATATTACAGTTTGGTTTTTGGTACGACATTTTGAATATTTTTTTTATGTTAAATAATTCTTTGAATTATTTTTTAATAAGAAAGAAATAAAAATTTCACATTTTTTTTGTTTCAATTTTTTTTATATATATTGTTTTTCTATACAATTTCTAATTTTACGATTATGTTTAAAAAAAATTTTCTTTACAGTAACAAACAAACAAAAAAATTATCATTTTATTGGCCATCTTATTCCATGAACATATATACCTTGCTGATGACAAACTATAAAATAACAACGATTGATCCACAGAGAGAGAACCAGCAAAACATTCCTTAGGGATATTCGTTTCATTGTCTTTTTTTTATTTATTTTCTATTTCTTGCCATCGCCCATAAGATCAATATAAAAAAAAATTTCTCTTTTGCAACAACAACAACAACACCAATCATCAAATTCAGGAATCAACAGAATTTGGAATTCAATAATAAAATATTCTCTATATTCGAATTTATGAATAAAAAAATTTCCTATACCCAATAAACTAAACGTGTTTGGGTGTGATTTCATGGATAAATGTGAAATTTTCATTTGGTGTGGCAACTTATGTGTGTGTGTGTGTGTGTGTGTTGCACATATAATAGTGTGTATAATAGACAAAAGTTGAATGTAGAAAAAAAAATAACGACAAGTTATCAATTATTTTTCAGTTAATAAATTGGGTAAGTTTCATTGATGAATTTTTCATTTTTCAATTTCGAAAATATTATGGTGCACAATGAATTCTTTCATGATTGGCTTGTTGGTATTATCGTTTTCAAAATATTTTTTGTTTTCATTTAAATTCATCGTCATTATCGATTTTTTTGGATTTTATAAATTTTCAATGTTGGATTTCTTCTTCATGTTTTTTCATTTCAATTCAATTCATACAATTTTTTGGACATTTTTCTTGTTATTCATTTTTTAGGATTTTTTTTGGAATTCTTCCTCACTATTGTATGTCTATCAGCATGATAAAATGAATGAAAAAAGGATTTCTTTTTTTTCAAAATGTTTCTGCAACCTAATCAATTATAGATCAGCAGCTGCTACAGAATGTTTTTTTTCTTATTTTTCTCAATCCTAGATTTTTCTTTTCTTTTTTTTCGGTTCCTTTCAAATGATGTTGATCAAAGATTCAAACGTTCAGAATAAAAAAAGAATGCAAATGAAAGAAAATTAAATTTATCAGAGAATAGCCAAAAAAAATCATATAAAAATATGAACCAAATCAATAAAAACAACAAGACAAATGCATGAAAAGTTTAAAACAACCTAAAAAAATTAAAAATTAATTTACCTAGAATCTAGGTCCTAGATGGTATTTTGTGAAAAACCAACCATTTTATTGAATCAGTTATAAAGGCTCACTTCACTCTTTCTGTGTGTGTATGTCTATGTTTGAAAATGAAATTGAATCTTGAAACTTTTTCTGATTTTTTTCGGATGTGTGTGTGCGTGTGTTTTTCAGGCTTCATCATTCGTAATCTCGTCACCAGAATAATATCCGCAGAATTTTTAATTGAAACTTTTTTCTTACATGAAAACCTAACGAACTTTTTTTCAATCAAACGGAAAAATCGATTGTTTTTGTGGATTTTTTTTCAGTATAAATGGTCCAATATGGTTTTCTTTGGTGAGGATGTTGGAACTGTACAAAAAAGTTCAATATAAGTTCTGACGTTTTTGTCGTTGTTGTAATAGAATGGCAATTTGTTACTGAATGTCTATTGTTTAATATATGAAACATAAAACAAAAAAAAAGAAAAGAAAAACTTACCTTCAGGATATGTTCACCGTTTGATGAGTGGATCGATTGTTGTTGTTGTTGTTCATCGGAACGATTTGTCAATTTTACAGTTTGATTGGTTGATACACATGAAATGGGATTTTTTTTCATGTTTTCATCATCATCTGCCATGATGATGTTGATTTTATCAGCAGCATTGTTATTATCGACATTTTTTCCAATACCATCCTCATCATCATCATCATCATCAACTACATCATTATTGAATCCAAATGATTCCCATAGATCAATCAATATGCCAGATTCTGTATATCTGTTAAATATTGAGAATAATGTAAACAAAACAAAACAAAAAAATTTGTCGATAATTTACAAGCAAACAAATGAAATGTGAAAGAAAATTTAATATTCATTTTTTTGACATTGACACATGATAATAACACGAGGTCATGCCATTCATAAATAGCATACAATGCATACAGATGATACATTATTTAATCAAACAGACAAACAACCATTTAATCACGATTATAACGAGGCTGTCAAATTGTTACGTTGCAAAAAAAAAAAAAAAATTATTGTCAAACCATATACAAAATAAAAAAAAAATATATGTAATCTACTAAAAAAAAAATAGAATTCGTGTTGGTGTCAAGACGTTTTTTTTATCCATATAAATATTACTGTGTTTTTTCGTGGGCCTTCATATTCATTATTTGACGTAGAAATATTCCTGTCATAGATAAATGTATGTGTGTGTGTATGTCTGTTTATCCAACATACAAATAATGTCTTGCAAAAGTAAATCTATAAATCTTCTGAAAGATATTAATTCGAATATACAACAACAATAATGGCATCATCATGCTAGAATCCTACCATCAGGCAAGATTATTATTATTAATTATTTTTTTTTTTTTTTTGCTTTTGCTTTTGCCCGCATTAGCATCATCATCAACAATGTTGATTTTTCTTCCTTTTCCTATTATATTATAACGTCGAAATGATAGTATGGTAATAACACCAAAATTTATTCACTTGATTCAGAATTTAGACTAGATTTTAACGAATCCTATTCGAATGTGGTTGTCATCACCGCCGCCATCATTCATTCATACATTTGTTCATTGGTTATTCATTGTATTTTAATAATTCATAATTTAAGTAATTAACATTCATTCATCGATTCATTGAGCCGATTCGTGGTCGAAGTGGTTTTTGTAGTAGTTTTGTTATTAGCGTAATGATCTGCACATACAGAATCACGCAGTATAAACTAACTATTATCAAGATTTGTGTTCACTAGAAAAAAAATACATTGACAAATTCTAAAAGCTAAGCAATGTTTTAATAATAATAATAATAATAACAAATGTTGAAACGTTTAGTTTTTTTTCAATTACAACTTATTCCATAAGAATTTTTTTTTATCTGATTCTATTTTTGTTGTATTCTATGACGTAACCATTTGAAAATAGTTGTATGAAGTCTGTTTTTCTTTTGGTCTATCATTCTACATTTCTTGAACTTAATGGAATGAAATTACTAAATTGAAATGAATGGATGAATCAAAATGAAATTGGGTACAATCATCATCATCATCATCATTGATGATGATTCACAAAAGAAAAAAAAATCCAATCATCAATGATTGAACACACAAAAACATACACACACACACACAAACATACACATTCCATCACTAAAGGACAATCAATTGAATTTATAAATGTCTTTATTTGCTGTCTCATCCATTCTATCTATTATATATCTAATCTGGTTTGATGATCGAGGCAATTAAATAATTGAATCCACCGACTTTTACAACACATGAACACATGAACACATTCATATATATTGGATTTGACTTAATGAATTTGACTTTTACTTGTCCATCACACACAACATCTATCACCCAAACTATCATCATCATTTCTAGTGTTAATTTTTTGTGTTAATATTTGTTGTTGTCCAAGTTAACATAATAATAATATTTTGGATACGATGTGAATGTTTATGTTTGTTGTTGTTTGTTGAAAGTGTATTGTGTGTGTGTGTGGATGTGTGGATGTTAATTTTGGCAAACACATTTTTTTTTTGACTTGTCCATTTCATTCTATTCTTCACATATATAAACAATAATAATAGAATTCTTTATTTAACACTACGTGTCTTGTTCCCTTTCATTGTGTATAATATGACATGTGTATATATGTTGATTGTATCTAAATCTCATAGTGTTGGTGGCGGTGTTTTCATGTCTCCTTCCTCTTCTTCTTCTTCTGTGTAAATCCCAATAGACCATTCTCATTTTTGGGTTAAGCATAGCAACAAAAAAAAGATGAATGACATAAAATGAAATTTGTCAATCACAAACACACACACCAAACACATACACATATACATTTTTGTTTTCTAAAGAGAATTATTTTTCGGCTCGAATATATTTTCCATTATTAATGATCTTTGTTTTTTTTTTTTTTTTTGGTATTTTAATGATTCAAGATCCAAAAAAAAAATCCAGGATTTTTATTTCTTATCATATAATGGAAATGTGTTGGTTTCTGTTTCAATTTTTTTCTTCATTCATTCATCCATTCATTTCGGTAACAAACTATAAGATTTAATCGACAAACACAAAACAAACAATGGCCAAATGGTATAGAAAAGGTCTGTCAGATATATGTTAAAGTCATATCGGAAGGATTTTTTTTTTTTTCTCGTTTCACTCTATCCTATTTTTTGTTTTGTTCTAGCAATTTGAAATGTTGTGACAATTTTGTTATTTCTCATCATATTGATCAAAATGATAACGAGAATATTGTTACCGAAAATGAGAAAAAAAGCATTTTTTTCCATTTGAAATTTTTGTCAATTTTTTCCGTCTTGTTCGTTTTATTGATTGTGTATTATATTTAATAAATAAGAAATTGATTCATTTTGCTTATTGTTTGTAAGATGAATGAAATTCCATATCTATTTGACTGGAACGATTTCTATCTCATTTGATTTCATTGTTATGATGTAGCTAATATTGCCATATTTAGATAATTGCATGTATGGAGATATGATATGGAATATCCTGTCACCTTGTTTTCTTTGTTTGTCTTTATAATAAATAACATTTTTCTTTAGTTCACTTTTTTTTCTCATTTATTTCGGTGTCTGGAAATGTTATGTAACGGAGATATAGAATGAATTCATTGTGTTTGTGTAAAACATTCTTTCATAACTTTAAGTCTACAACATAACTTTTGGCTTCGTTTTTGGTGTGTTTTGTGTACAAACTGGAGTGTCAAGAAAAAAAAAGTTTTGATTAATTTTCTTTCGATTCTCGTGAAAATGAAATAATAATAAAAATTGCCAAACGAAAACAATAGGCAAAGTGAAAAAACTGGAAGAAGAAACTGGTAATAATAATAATAGAAACAACGACAACAACAAAAATCATGAAAGAAAAGTAAACGATGGTGTGATGCGATCAAGTTAATTTTTTTTTTTTTGCTATTTATAATATTATAAATACTGATTATCAGTAAAATGAATAAATGAATCAATATCAAGATGGAGCAACAAACACATGGCTACAATACAGGATATGTGTTTGTATGGTAATCATTTGTTTGTTGCTGTATAAGTGACGTATTGAAAATTATTTCATTTTTTTTTCTACATCCAAATATTATATATCCACATAATGAATAAATTCCGCTATTTATGTATATAGTTTAAGCTTCACAATTATTTTAGTTGTGATAAGAATCTTACATCAATAATGTTTGGCTCTAAACTTTTCTATGATAATGATGATGATGATAAAAGAAAACTTTTAATATTACCACAATTTAATTCAAAACTGTCTATATATGTGTTTGTGGTTCGTAATAATAATAATAATAATATATAAATTGGGATTCAATAAAATAGTCATAGTTAATGATCATGTTGTTGTTGATGTGTTGTTTAGAACTTTATATTCACCGGTCAAACTTAGTTGTTGTTAGTCAATAGAAATATTCTGTTTGATCAATATAGACCTTGTTTTTTTCGGATGAATTCTTTTCGAATAAAATCTACCATCTACTACTGTTATGATTTAGTTACTTTGTGAAAATTCAATAAATACATGAGAAAGAAAAATTTGTCTTGTTATCCAAATGAAACAAGTTAGGTGCCTGTAGAAAATCAGTATCTTAGGCTCAACCATGTTTGTCTTGTCATGTGTGTATAGAAGAAAAAGTTTAATATCCGAGAATTGAAAGAAAACTGACACACACACACACAGTGTATTTTGCCGTTGCCATATGTTGTTGTATTGTAAAGGTTCAAAAATTTTCCGGTTTTTGTATCTCCATATGATGGAATAAAATTTTTTCTTAGTAGCAGTAGCATGGTCCAGATTATTCTGGGCACGAAAAATATGAAATGAAAAATAAAATCTGCTTCATACTAGTGACCCGTTCGTTTTTCTACCCGTTTGAATGAATGAATGGAAAAAAATTTTTCATATCAATCGGAAATGAAATTTTTCTCAATTCCTATTTCATCTGATAATCGGATTTTTGATTCATTTCTGAAGACATAAAACCACCATTGAAAGAAAGAGAATGGGAGGAAGAAAAATAGAATCGATGGCAACTCTTTTGTTGTTGTTGTGTTTGTTATAGTTGTGATTCATTTTTGTTTTCGTAAACTATAGAATCTTATGATATCTAGATTGAAGTCGATTATGGTATATTTTTTTGTGGACATAGAAAACCACATATGAATGAATAAGACCACTGTGACAAAAATATCAAATATCATCCAATTTGCAAGAAAACCACTAAAATGGTGTCGTCGGTTGAGTGTCGATTGAGTGGTTTTACTATTTGTAATTTTGATACAGAATAAATTCCAGCTGTACACATGATATATATAACTAATAGATAGAATAGTTTCAAATTGACAAAAAAAACGAAACAAAAATGTTCATTTTTTTTTCTTTTGGTTCCACTTGTATATCATTTGTGTCTATATGTGTTCACTTGGTTCCCAAGAGATATTTGCAGTTTGGTTTGGTTTTTTTTCTCATATAACTCAGATAGACAGGAATTTTTTTTTTGTTCCTATTGAATATAGTGCACAATATAAGAATTGAGAACATACACACATACAGGAAAAAACACGTGCCAATTTTTTTTTTTTTTTTTTGAA